GTCGTGTAGTTTGGTCTGTTTGCATTGGAGCTCCCGGGCTTATGGACCGAGGTCACCTGCCATAGGTGGGCATTCTTAATGATGCCCAGGTGAATTGGGTCCTTTCAATCTGAAAGTCCATTGTATGCTTCATCTTGTATTTTGAAAGTATAGATTGATCTTTAAAACATCATTTGGGGAAAATTAGAATATGCCTGGATGAAATCTGGGCTATTCTAAGGTGTCAGTTCTGAAAGCCTGAGAAACATGGCACTAACGAATTGCCTGGGCATAATTTCGAGCCCAGGTATACTTTCGAGTCGATGATATGGACCGATTCTTCAGTGTTCAAGATTCTCGTGTAGGAGGTGATACTAATATCGCTGTGCGACCGCATTATCCTTGCACATGGATACGATTGTTATACACCAGTTGACCCCTCAATGGATATCATGATGTAAGACTCGTGTTGATAATACGTATAATATTCCAACTTGAAGGTTCTATAGAATAGAATCCTGTATGTGTAATCGAGAATTGGGATTCTATCTGGATTTGGACTGAAATGAGATCAGATAAAAACTAGCCACATTTTTGGATATTAAATTTCAACTTGAAGGCTCTTGTTCCAAGCGACATCCGAGGTTGTCAATTCTAGAACATTGAAAGAGCCGATTTACGGAGGACAACCTAGAATAATTCTAGAACGGCTGGGCGGCTTACCTATATCAGAAGTCTTATTATTGGGTATATTGAGTGCGAGGTCTCCAAGTACCTATGGTACTTGGGCCAGATGCTTTGTCTTCCGTTGTTCCGTTATTAGGTACGAATAGGGCATTGCGGCCCGGTTCGCAGGGTGTCAGGCTGGGCGAGGATTCAAAATCGACCAAGCCCGTCTAGGTACCTGGGAGCGAACACAAGTGCAGCAACGGAACAAGGCAAGTTCAAGTTGTAAAAAGCACTGGAAGGGGTTTGAGTTTTTGGCTATTTCTGTTCTATCAGTATGTACTTGACCAATGTACTAGATTGTTTGTTCTTATCTTAACTCACTCTACCAGTATTTCTATATGTTTGCTCCTACTAACAGAGGTACATATACATGAGATGGTCAAACTACATCTAACATTTGATCCTTCAGAAAGTACTTTGACCACATCTGAGATCATTTCGCATCCCGAGGGCGCATGATTGGCAACCTTGGAAGACGCTAAAATGCGGCGGGGTGATGCGGGTTAGTTATGCGGCCTATGCGGTCAGCAAGGTCCACGAATCGATTCCGTATTGGTGTGGCCTAAGACTATCACGTCAACGCCACCACCCAGAACGTTTAGTTTCGGGGTTAGTTTTACTAGGGTACTTTTTATTTCTTTTTACTATTCCCAGTTCACTACAGATTCAAGTGCTACTTCTAATAATTATTTTCGTGAATTTATATAGCTATACTCTGTTTAAAAAAAGTTATTATGGTGCCTGATGAATATCCGAGGTCTGAAGTCTGAAGTCTGAAGTACGGGGGGGGGGGGGGGTCCGTGAGCCAGAAAAGTCCCAAAGTAAGGTGAATGATTGGTGGGTAAGCAGAAAAAGAGGGGGAGGAATGAGGCTGCGTGTGTGGCCCTGCGGCTCTACGTAAAGTGAGGCTGAGGGCAAAAAACAGAAGAGAACTTGGAAAGCGGGAATGTAGCAGATGCCTAAAATCTTGGAAATTAAGATAGAAAAAAATTAAATAAATAAGAAAAAACTAAATAAGAAAAAAAACAATTAATAAAACCATGGAAAATAAAATAGAAGCGGGATGGGAAAAGGTGAAGAAACCCCACTTGTCAGACTAACACCATCCAGAGATTAGTCTCCCCCAACCTGCTTCTCGTTTGCAATCACCCAGCTAGAAGACTGATCTCGGCGCGGGCCGCGTTATTTCCCTTTTGAATTGCGCCGACACAAGGCTCTGAAACGCGCAATCTGGTGCGTTGGCAGGGAATCATAATCCTGTGGGATGTACGGATGATAGTGGTGTACATGTGTTCATGTGTTTATGGGAGGGGATTTTAGCCCCTCAGATCTGACAGAGATGTACGGAGTACCATGTACATATTATGTAGGATGTGTATTCCGTAGAGTGGTGGAGTCCGTCGTGCAGGCTCCCTTTCCCGGGAAGAGGTCTTAGCAGCCTCTGAGACTTATGACTGGAGAAAGTGGAGAGAGAGAGAAAAATAATAATAAAAAAAATTAGAAAAAAAAGAGGGGGAATAAGCACCACTGATAATGTTAGATTTCTCCCCGGTTGAGATCTCCGAGAGTGAAATCATGAAGAAAAATAAGATAATAAGAAAAATAAAAGCGAGATCATAATTATAGATGTGGAGCCCACTGGTAACTCACGGTGAGGGAATAAGAGAGGGAGAGAGTAGCAGAGTGAGAGAGAGAAACAGCCATATTATAGTAGAGTAAGGAAGAGAGTAAGAGTCGGGAATAAAAAACCGAGGATTAAGGATGGAAAATAATAAACTGATAATAATAGAATAAATCCTAGAAATTATCATAAATATACATAAAATAATATAGGTTATAATATAAAAAAAGTGTCCAAAAAATATCAAAAATATCATCCCAGTGATCACTCCATGGTTATCTTTTCCCCTCTCGAGTCCTCTTTCTCCCCCCCCCCTCCCCCTTTTTCCCTTTCCCTCTTATTTAGTTAACCCATTAAATCTTTAAATCCTCCAAATCATAAAATTAGATCAAATAATCATTAGAATAACTCTTAATAAGATCATTTTTGTATGCGGGGAATTTTCCATGAAATTGGAGCCTCGGGGGGCTCCACAAGGGGAATAAATCATTCTCCAGAGCCGCACATAACTGTATGTGGTTTCCTTCCTCCCCGCCGTTTTGACGTGGATGATTCTCACCATTTTTCCCCCTCTTAATTTTTTTTTTCCTTTTTCTTTTTCTCCTCCCTCTTTTTCCCTTCTTCCCTTCTTATTTTTCTCTCCACCTCTTCCCTGTGCAAATCATTTTAAGGAAATCCTTTCTATCTTTTTTCTAAGCTTATCCGATGGAGTCGTGTGGTTGAGCCTCAATCCTACCCGTTATTCTTTCTTTCCCCCCCTCTTTCCCCCCTTTGGTTCTCGGTAAGTTACCTGCTTTTTTATGATCTTTGCTCTTTTTTTTTCAGCCTCATTTTTGGCATCCATTCTTCCCTTTCCTATTCATTCCTTGAATTCTTTTCCTTGCTTTGGCAAAAAAATTATTTACGGAGATTCTGGGAAATACTTAACAACACGCCCCACCCCTGGAGTTATTGGAGTATATTGGGCTGTTCCAGCTAGCCGCTGGGTGCCAACCTGGCTGCGTATCTTGTTTCGGATTGCCTCACCTTCTCTACTTTCCCTGCCCAGATGCCTTAAAAACAAAATAACCCATATTCTATTATTGGATCGTGACATGTTCAGTAAGCGCAAAAATACTAAATGATCCTAGTTTCTTTACTCCTCCGAAATATCCATGGACGTGCACTCAATTTCTTGACGTCTTACACATCACATCTTCCTTCGCCCATGCGCCCCCACTTGTCTCTATGACGTCCGATATCTACGATTCGGATGATGCGATGAATCGCTCCCCTCAACTAGAACCTCAAAAGATCAATTATGGATTGGATGCGGACCGACCGCCGTTCGCCTCGAACGAGGCCGAGTGCACCAAGGGAACGGATGATCGTTCCCGTAAGCTGCACCAGACGGAGACCCCGATGCAAACGCATTACGGCGACGGCGTGCTGATGAGGTTTATGGCACCAGACTATCCGGAAGTTGCTGTGCATGCTGAGAAGCACCCTTTGGAATTATCTCCTAGGCAAGCTCAGAAGGAAGAGAAGGTTAGACCAAAGGATCATCCGCCCGTGAAGTTCGAGTCGAAGCCTCCCCTCCTACCTGCGATAACCACTTCCCCAAAGAGGGATCGTGTCAAGGTGGAAGATCCTAAGTCACCTCCTCAACCAATCCACCCTCCGACTAGCTTCCCTCCACCTCTACCATTCCAAGATTCCAAACCGTCTTTCTCCTCACCTCGTCGTCCTCGCCTGTTGTCCCTTACAGCTCCGTCACCGCCCTCCATATCTTTCGGATCTTTAGGATCCGACCACCGCAGAGCCTCAACCTCAGAAGGGTTCTCCCCTCAAGACTTGAAGTCAAATGCAGAACTCAGGTCTCAACTCTCCCTGCCCTCCCTCCAATCCCTCCAATCTCCACCATCTTCCGTTGGCGGCCCTTCCCCCGGTGCCTGTCATACACAAACCTTACCGTCGTTGAAGTCTACCTTGGGACCTGAATTCACATCGCGGATCAATGGCTTCTCGCCTGCATCATACTCTTCTTATCCTCTATCTGCTTCCTCCCGCAATGATTCCCCCCATGATCGCCAATTACCTAGTATTTTACCACAGAATATTCCGCCAAGTCCGTTCTCTCATTTCTCCCCATTGAGCACGAAAGATATATCCAATAATCCTTCACCGGCATCTCAGCCATCATTCTGGCACACACCTACTTCAGCCGTGTCAACCGTGCCGTCTCTTCCTCCGCCTGGACCTCCTTCTAAATCATTACCGCCACCTCCGCCTCCACCACCATCGGATACACACCAGCCCGCGACGCCTTATGAGACGTCCCCGCTGACTGCTAAAAGCCCAACTGCGAGTTACCCTACTCCAACAGAACCTGTGGCCCCTACAGCCGGTGGTGATCGGTCATCGTTTAGCTCACATCCTTCACCCAATGGGGGAAGCATCTCGAGCATTGGCACCTACAAGTGTACGCATTCGGGATGCACTGCAGCACCGTTTCAAACCCAATATCTACTCAAGTAAGATCTTCCCTTAGACTTTTGCCCGGATAGTTCTGCCCATTCTATTTTGAAACTTTTCCTAATACCTTTCCAGCTCCCATGCCAATGTGCACTCTCAAGATCGACCACATTTCTGTCCCGTAGAAGGATGTGCTCGCGGTTTAGGCGGGAAAGGATTTAAACGTAAAAATGAGATGATGCGACACGGTCTAGTGCATAATTCGCCTGGCTACGTCTGTCCTTTCTGTCCGGATCAACAACATAGATATCCACGACCAGACAATCTTCAACGGTATGTAAATGAGCAACAGCTTGAGATTTGAGTACAAGCTCATATTGGAATAATTCCTTGGCTAATTTTTGGGGATTGCTTTTCTAGACATGTTCGAGTCCATCACGTTGATAAAAGCAAAGACGATCCGATACTCCGCCAGGTCCTTGCACAACGTCCCGTAGGCAGTACCCGAGGTCGTCGACGACGACTGAATGGATGAAGCCCAAGTTACGTTTTACCTATTTTTGGTTTTGCGATTCTGCGATTTGCGATTTGCGATCTGCGACTCTGCGACTTTGTTAGCGCTGTGACCCACCGAGGGGCATATATGATATCATACCACGACACGACGGTCCACCACTATTTTCGAGACAATTACGCGTGACGAATTTCCCATCTGTGATTCCCTTTGATTCGTTCTGAGCAACCTGTCTTCGTCATGTTCTTTTTTTACTTGTTACTATTGATACTCGTGTTCACTTTTGTGTTCAAATGATACCAACCATGTCAAAACCCCCCTGTTAGAAGCATGATGATACACGGGCCATTCGTTATTCTGTTCTAGTGATTATTGTGGGTGCTTGTCACCGCCACTTCAAAACGGTTCCACTCGTTATTATCTATTTCATTTCAGTTCTGTTAAGTTCTATCTTTGGTCTGGAGGGGATCTTCTTGGAGGAAGATCCATAGGAACATGAAAACACGGGCACCACCCTGGGCATGGCATCAGAGCAAGGCATTACTTAACCTTGAAAGGACCTTGATGGTCATTTTACATAGTACAAAATATTGAATCCTAGTTTATTTTCGTATGCCTTTTCCTGACCATTTGAAACTAGTTAACGTCATTCCCAAGGTTCCTATTATTATGACCTCTCACCCCTGAGCTGTTTGACCCGCTGAGTGGCGTGACCCCGCTCAGAGTAGAGGGGCAACACAGCCTTGGAGTACCAAATAGCCCTGTAGAGGGAGATGATCAGCAAGACCCCAGTGGAACCTTCTCACTCTCAAAGGTATATGAACCCCCCCTGCCCCCCTGATCTCTCTGCTCTTTCTTTCTTCTATTTAAACACAATACCTCAATTCATTTACCCCTCTTACAAACAAATCTATCAAAATGGGTTGGTTCAGCGGTAAGTCAATACAATATCAAATATCCTATGATGCAGGTCCAATGCCATGCACTAGGAGGAAGAGGCGTCCGCCAAGCCAGCATCAAGCATTTACTAACAACCTTGGCTTCTAGACGACTCTCAGCAGCGCTCCCACCACGAGGAGTGGAACAACTCCGACCCCAAGAAGCACGAGGCTAGCTTCGCTCACGAGCTGATTGCCGGTGCTGCCAGCTACGAGGCTGCTAAGGCCTACGAGGACCACGAGAAGCGTGAGGGTAAGTGCCCCGCACCAAACACTTCGAAGCATCATATACCCCTACCGCACTCCAAAAGTAATACTTCAAGATATCTAATTACTTGTTTTACTATAGGCAAGCCCGAGAGCCACGAGAAGGCCAAGGAGATCATGGCCGGTTTCGCTGGCGCCTTCGTCGACCGTGAGGTTGAGACCCGTGGTCTGGACTTCATTGACAAGGAGAAGGCTAAGCGTGAGGCCCGCAAGCACATTGACGGTGTCTCCGCTCGTGATGCCGGTTGGTAAATTTTACCTAGCCATGACAATTAAATGAAGCATGAGCCTAGTATAGGCTGGGCCTGTATGATGGTTACGTATTATCAATGAAAACATACATGATAAATCAGTTCTTCACTGTTGTAGTAATTATTGAATCCATCAATGTTAGAATGGAGTTCGTAGAGGTACTAGTATGCGTATAGTTTAGTAGTATGCGGGATGCCGTGCCGGCGCATACTAAAAGCATGCAAGGAAAATCATCAATTGATCTAATGTATTTAGTCAGTTCAATGCTGCAGGTGACTGCATACTCGGAAACCTGTAGTGATAGTGTGAAACCCACGGAGAATATTTCCAAGATTTCATTCAAATCTTCCAGATGTCTGCTTGTCAATGCCTGTTATTCATCCCAAGGCTGTTTCATCTTTTCATTGCTACTATCAATCCGCAGATTGCATGGTTCATCTCCCAAAATTCGAATGCTTCATTCAAGTTCCTGGTCCTAGTCTATACTGTCTATGCTGCCGAGGTAGCATCCCGAGATTCAAGTTGATATAAAGATCATCAAGGAAACCTCGACATGGATACTCCTTGGAAAGACCTTCTAGAACAATGCTGGAATCAGGGAACATCGATCATCAACCTTGGAACGTCACTCTAAAAACGCATCCTAGTAACTTGAGATAGGGAATAAGCGAAAGCGAGATTCGCCAAGAGAATTACCCTGAGTCTCGGATGATTATGTTGTGACACATGTGTCTCCAAACTTAGCCGCAATATCCCCGTCAGATAATCTTCACTACTGCCCACTGGCAGGTGGTACCTAGTGACCAGACAAGAGCACTTAGGATAAAGCTACAGATAGATCAGTTGACTAGTATAGAGATATGAATACATTATCAGGCAGCACAATTGACATTCGTTCAAGTTTAACCTTAAAATGAATTGAGTGATATAGACCGAGGCAGTCTATCCCTGCCACTATAGCCCGGGGCCTGCGTATAATTTTGAATCTAACTGTCTTGAGATACCACGGAGGCACCGTTATGCACATGTGTATGCAGCTAAGCATAAAACAACCTAGTCAAACAGCTCAAGTCACGGTACTATATACCAAAAACAGAAAAAAGAAACAAGAAACATAAGAGAAAAACGCTCATCCCAACCGTGTAACGTCTCATCTTTTACCTCGATTTCGGTCCAAATTCCAACAGCAGAGCCCCAACCCCGCAACATGCAGTATCTGAAACTGCCCAACGCTGTCTAGAATTCCGGGCGTTAAACTAACTCTGTTCATGCATTTGGAGTACTAGTATTGACTCGGGTTATTAGACTATATCAACCATTAACTAAACCTAAACTTCGACTCGGAATTAGTGAACGAGTCTCCGCGCCTAGTCTCAACGGAGTTATCCGAGGTTTCACAGTCCGAAGCCATACAAATATCTCCATCTTGTTTCAATATTCGATAGTCCCGAGTCAAGTCTAGCTTTTTTGCGTAGCGTAGAAAAATGGTTTTGTGGGGCTCTAGGGCTGATTCTGAGATTCTAATGGTTACTAGTAAATCATTGACGCAGTTCTCAGATGAAACGGCTTGATGTAGTTCATTCCAGATTTATGCATAATTCCAAGATACCGAGGTTACTACTAGTAGTACTAGCATAGGACGATATCAAATTTTTGATATTGGTCCTCGGTTGTCATACTTCCGCTACATACACTTGTAGAGTTGTACTAGCTTGAACCTTGGAGCCTTGGAGTCCAAACTACTACTATGTACAATAACAGCACTTGAATACCTGCCTAGTAGCAAATGACAAGTCCTCACGCCACACTTCGCGCGGCACTGTCAGTTAAGCAGCGAGTATTTGAAATTGGGAAATGTATGTCCTCATCACGTGAGTGCTTGGCCACCTGGGCAGATATGGCTACATCCTCTCAGGCAGGGATGTTCACATACTTAAGTACAGGGCTTAGTCTGACTCGGAGTCAGTAACATATGCAGGTGAGTGATGAGCTACACCTCTTTGTATATAAGTACCTATTGGGTTACCTACATGATTACCTGGAGGGGAAGAGGTAGTTAAAGTGAGACAATTCCTGAATTAAGAGACTGGTAAAGTGAGGCGATAGCTGAATTAAGAGAGATATACTGATGTTTAGATGGAATGCATAAAAGAAAAATCTAGTCTATTGGTCAACTGGTAAATCTGGGTATTCTACCAGATGGTGAGGAAACTTGAAAAACCACTGCAACCCAAGTAGGAAAAGAGGTCTATCTATCTTCAAATGCTCTAGTAACCTTCGAGAAATAGCAGCCTGAGTCTACATAGTACATACCAGACTCGTACCTACTATGTACAACTTGCTACCAATACCTTATCAGTTATTAATCAATTGATGCACAATGTGTCAAGGTGACTTTGATATTTTATACCTAGTTAGAATGGACTGTACAACTTGTAGTGAACAGATTGATCATACTTGCGAATAAGCTACTAGGTATGGCCAATGAAAACCATACAGCTATATCCAATCATAAAATTTGAATTTATCAGGCCAAAGCACAGGTAAGAGGCCAAGAGAGGCAGGGGTATCATATTACCAGATCATTCCAGGTTCCAAGGTCGAAGAAAGAAAGTCCAAATATTGAGAAAACGTGGTACCACGAACTGGGTCCACGAAAACGTGCTGATGCCTGATACCAAACCTTAGAAGACAGATGTTTAGTAAAACGTACCAAAAGGAAAAGTGACAATGATACCCGTACGGAGTAGAGACGAAACCTATTTTATCAAAATTTGAGGAAATTGAATACTCCAATTAATCTAATCGCACAAATTACTACGTTAGGATAGGCGTTCACGTTACAGATGTCATTCAACATGACATCTCGGACTCAATTTCTGGGAGACCCGCGTACGTGGACTCGGATCAGATCTAGCCCCAAGAGGTAAATACTTCGGGCACAAACATCTGGGCATCGGAAATACATGAGTAATGAGCCTTGCATATTGGGTACAAGTAATGACAAGCCTTGAACGGGTGAGGCTCAGCCGGGTTAGCCCCCAATTCCGAGTCCGACTCTGTACACGTACAACACGTATTATCGATAGCTTAGCAATTAGTGCCCCGGTGGAGTCCTGCAATATGAGTCCAAGCCTGATGATGCCTGGAATCCAGGATTCAAGTCATTCCTAGTATTTCGTAAATGATACCTAGACAAGGGTTATGATTTATAACCCCGGGGTTCTCGTTATTAGATTGGTAAACACTGGCATCAGCCTCAGCCACGTGAGGGTCGCATTCGATTTCCGAATTTAATATGTATCCATGCGCCGCCCAAATACAAATGGAATGTGACGTTGTATCGAAGATGGGTCCTTCTTCCGGGTTGCTGGGGTTTGCAAAAAAGCAAACAAAGGTCGGAATTATACAGATCACATTTCATGAAGATCAAGAAGATCATGATCGTCAGAGACAAAAATAGCTCTGCAGATCCATGGATGCAGATGCAGTATAGAAAGTGACCAGTCGTGGGGGCTGTTTATAGTATAATATGCGGAGTGATTTCCAATCAGATGCGATGGTTTAGTTGGTAATTGAAGCAACTTTGTTTTTAGTACTGAGCTGAATGGTCCATTTAGAGGAATTTTCTGATGTATCTAAATAAAGATATTGGTCTTTGCGGATATCTTCTGTGGGGAATGTAAATATAGAAGACTTGATTCAGATCAGTTGTGCCGCGAACCCCACGGAAAGCTGCATATGCCCCCCACAATGATTGAATGAAGAAAACAGAAATTTACTCTCCTTGAAGAGATGCGTCACTCCAGTAAATTGAATCAAGGAGGGGCTGGTGCTGACCTCAGGCTCATACGCCTGCAATAGGTCCACGGGTAGCTAGGACTCACTGTATCTATAACCACAATAATGACTGGGGGAGATTTTGAGGAGAAGGTAGAAACCGTTTAATGAGAGCTTGATCAAAATGTCATTTCATGAATTTGTAGCTTCGCATATCGTAAATGCATGTAGTTTCCAACTTCAAAGGTCGAATGCATCTCACTGGCAGTAATAAGACCAGTCTAACCCATAACCTGTCGGTTTCAGTTCGCCAAACCCACTATCTCATATGTATACAAAATCAAATCAAATCAAGAAAACCAGAAACAGGAAAATTCAACGCAAGCTTATCGCTAATCCTTCTCAAAAAAACAAAAATCCAAGTATACCAAATTGCATCAAATCAACCACTAACCCCGCGACGATGAATTCTCCGTACATGATCCTTCATATTATCCACCCGACTAAACACCCGTCCACATCCATCCCACTCACAAACAATCCCAGGGTTGTGTTTCGCCTCATGACGAGCCCGATCCTTCTTACTAGAGAATCCACCCTGGCGTGATTGTGGACATCCTTCATGACGACAGAAAAGGTGTTTCCGGTGCCGATTGAAATGCTTACGCAGATCACAGCCACGACGGAACACTGCCTGTGATGTACAGCCTGGGTGTGCACAGCGCCACGCTCCGTCACTTGTTGGGATTCCGTATCGTGATAGATCTGCTGGGTTCAGGTTTGGAGGTGATGATGGTTGGCCTCGACCGTCGAAATCGGAGATCGTAGTTGGTGTTGGTGAGGATCGCATTAGTGATGGTGATCTGAGTGACATGGCTGGTACGAGAGGTGGAGATAGGTAGCCTGTTCCATGTGTGGTTGGCATTTCGGTGATGTGGAGATTGAACCAGGCCTCCGGTGTTGTGGTCATGGTGTCATTCAGAGGGTGGTAAGGAGATGGTTGCTGATTCATTTCTGGGGTTGGGGTTGGGTAGGAAGGGAGTTGATGGAGTGTATTGTAGGATGCTGTCGTTGTTTGATGGAATGAACCGTTTGGATGAGCGTCAATACACCACTGATTGATCTGTTGTGGTGTATACCCCGATGCACCGGATAGTTGAGGATCCAGCGTGTGATGGTGATGCTGTTGTTGGGATGGTTCAAAAGCAAAGTAAGATTGCATGAAAGGTGAAGAGGAGGAAGGACAGGTGGATGAATCCACTGACACAGATGGTCGTAGCATATCTGCGTCGGATGCATTAGACCAAGTGTAGAGAGAACCCATGGCTTCGCTCACAGGTGAGGCTCGTGGGTCTGATAAATAATCTGCTGGTGCTAGGAAGGGCCCAGTAGACTCAGCATTGGCTAGCATGTAGCCCAAAGAAGGCTGGAGCCCAGAAGAATGCCCCGGTGATGACGATGAGCTGACAGGGATCTCTGTCAGGCCTACCAAATCCGGATGCAAACCGTATGCGGTATCACCGGGCATGATGCTGTTTGAACCCCTGGTATGATGGTTCAAGGTGTTCCGCTTTCCAGTGCTGGGCATGTTGTGCGATGAGTTGACGCCTTGGCCGATGAATGTGTGCCACTCTTCAAGCACGGATGGATCAACCTCTCGGTCGAGGTCTAGGAGAGTAGCTGGAGGAGAGTGATTCACACGCATATCAAACGATACCTAAGTATGAATGAAGTATGTTGTATAATAAGACGAGATAGTACTAGTATTTGTACTTGTAGCGAGGTAAAGTATTGATTCAGTCAACAACGTTCCAATGTTAACTCCGTCAAGTCCGATACCTAGGTAACCAGGTAGAAGAGTTTCAAGTTTCAAGGTAGACGTGGAGATAGGAAGTAATCTGATCTGGGATCCAAGCGGGGTGTTATAAGCTTTTTATGTTCTTTTTTTCTCTCTTGATGTTTTTTTCCCTTGCGCTTGGTAATGTGGCTTTTGATGGTGGGCACGTTTAAGTTGGGTCCAACGTGGTCTTGGCCTTGTATTCAGGTACAAGTTTGGATTTAGACGGTGAGCCTGAGATGTAGAATGGTTGGAGGCAGTGCTTATGAATAAATTCCAGGCGTTCCGTAGCATTTAAAATGGTAATACCATAAATAAATCGGAATGGAGTAGGAGGGGAAGAAAAGAAAGAAGTCGATGATTTGGGGAGTCTGCAGGGAATTGAACTAATAAAGGCAGTAGTTAGGAGAGTATGAGAAAAATAAATTAAATTAAAAAAGATTTAAATAATAATAAAATAGATCGGGACCGCCCCATGGAATCCATCATGGTGATTCAGATCAACGGGACCCGAAGACATGGCGCATATGCATGATTTTGGCACAAGGGATCGACGTAAGATGATAAAAATGCAGCTCAAAGAATAGGGTTCATTGAGCCTATTGGTAGGCTCGAGTAGGGCTGAGCAAGGAATTCGGCTAACGAATTTAGGAGTACCGGGGCTGAAAGAAACAGTTTTACGGAGTAGAGGTAGTATTCGATATGTACTAGGAGTATCTATGAACATATGCATGTTCTCTACGAAAAAGAGCGGAGTCAGGGATAATGAGAATACGAATACTAGATTGAAGGTCGCAACATTCAAGCTTTTCTATCATTGGTACGTACAGTTTTTTATCTGTCCATTGGTGCCGGGTAGAGGGATCCACTAGCAAAGCCACGCTCGGGTCACAGTGAGAACATTGAATGTGCTTCACTTTCAAATGTTGCTTGAATGACTAGTGCTAGATTAATATATCTAATTTCTTGTGACTGTTTTCAGTTTTTGGACTAGTCTGAACATTTGGTCCAAGCATTTGAACCATTCATCCTACTAGTCTAATACCATTTGAAACGAAGGATTAGACAAAAAAACAATCATGTTTGGCGTGATGAACCCTAGATCATCCAGTACCTAGGAACATTTAAGTACAAATGGACCCATTCCCGATAGGTTATGTACATGGGTTCCACATTATGGACTAATCCTAGACTAGTTACCACAATGTCATCAATGATGAAGTGGGTTAAATGGATTAAATGGATTAAATGGATTAAATGGATTAAATGGATTAAATGGATTAAATGGATTAAATGGATTAAATGGATTAAATGGAAATTAGTTTTAATCAAATAAAATGATTCATCGCTAAGAGAAATTGGAAACTCCTCTAAAACCAATATTAAACTAATACTAAACCAAGGCTAAACCAAGGCTACCTATACCCTATGAACCTTAGAATACATACTAGATACAATCTGACTAGTAATTATGTATTTTTTGGTACTCGGTATGTACCCGTACTTTATTCATCCTCGTAGATTATAAAGCAGTTTCGAATGACGAACCAACTTGGGCGCCTGGACGCAACGGCAGCACATAAAGGTAGCATCGAAGTGATGACGGGGAAAGTAAATATGTAAATAATATCAGCCAGCTCAGGGGTGGGAAAGAGCTCAAGACAGGTTACTTCGAAAGACAGGGATTTGACGAGTTGAAATTCAGGAATGAACCGTGTCAAGAAGTTCAGCTCGCTGTAAACCCGACACCGACGATTTGAACCGGGGAGGGATCCATAGTGGGTCCAGCGGGATCCCTGTTTAGAGATCAATATCCATGTTCATTGGACTGCTCGCAAAAAGTTAGTGCTTAACGCCCCTCTCCACCATTCATAATCTATAATAAAGTAAAGTGGGGTTCCCCATCCCCAAACGCGAGAAGCGGTGTCGATGATATGCGTTCCGAGCCGCAAGAGGTAGCTGCATACTACAGTACATGTAGCTCAACCAATCTTGAATTATTGTAAATGTGTAAAATGTGATGGGGAATTTGAAAGGGGTCCTTGCCACGGCATTCGGCTAACTAAACTTCTAGAGATACCGAAAATCGGACATCTGAATGACGAAAACAAATAATACCTAGGTAAAAATAAAAATAAATAAAAATAAAAATAAATCTCATACATATTGGATGTGCTGTCTAATAAGGTTTCATTTTTGCGAATCATGATGACCTTGGAATACTCCGTAAAGGTAAAAGGTAAAAAACCGTCTCTACTATAGGGCTATTCTCGTATCCGACGGACTCTCTGATCCAAATCACTGTCCGCGGGTTTTCTCATATCCCCCCGACTCCGACCAAGACATTCCAAGGTTCAATCATGATGTTCCAATTTGACAGTTGCCCCTCCTTTCCCGTGCAATGGGATGAAGAAATTCGGACTTAGCAACTTGAGTGTGCTTACGAGGCTTCCGCCCCCAATGTCTCAACGCCACAGGAACCAACCACATTCAATCATATTCAATATTCAACTTGAGCTCCATGGTTGTACAATATCTCCGTACAAAAATAGCTGGAACTTGATCATTTTAATCCACATGTGTCCATGTGCACCCGGACTCCGGATCTACAATGTCTTTGATTCGATCCCGCCAGAACAGAGAGAGCTTCCAAGGTTCAAATGTTGTCTAGTCCTAGTACCCCACCATATCCTAGCTCTACCATTAGTAGTAATCATCTCAGACATCCACGTCATGAGCACTGACATGTCTACCGTGTGTGCCAGTGGCCCGGGACTCGGAGTCATCTGCCAACAAAGGCGTGACCACGTCGGGATTAGAGTACCGACCTCCCGGTGGTGGCTTAGACTCGGCCCCTCGGTATAATATATAGTGCTGAACCACGAAGATCAAGTCGGAAATAATCGTGATGTTCCCCAGAAAAAGCTTAACTGGATTTCCGGTAATCCCACCCCAGTCATTCTGAAGACTTGAGTCTAACACTAGTTGAACTAGTGATAGTACACCCCCACTCAAATCCAACAAAATTTGACTGATATTCCATCCCGATGTCGATTTGCGTTTATAATTTAGCCAAGCTTGCGGAACATACTTGAAAATCGTAATAACAAGCTTGATATATGAAAACGCATAAATCTAAACTCCGATAGCTCCTGTGTTAGCTAAAAAAAAAAAAAAAATAAAAAAAAAGAAAAGACAACTGGTCCACTGCCACCTTGCAGAGATCTGAGCTGTATGGAGCACTCACAACATCAATCCACGCCCACGTAGATGGGTCATAACCTCCATCCGGACTTTGAGACAGCACAACCCCAATCACAATAAGAGGGGCCAGAATGGATCCCCAAAATAGACCCGCAATGGGCTTACTGAGTTTCTGGAAGCGAGAGACCTGCAGCCCCCAAATGATTGGCCAAAATTGGGTATATGCAATCAGACTCAGAATCACCGCATGGACCGCGAACGCCAGGTCATTGAAGCGAACCGTTGGCTCCTCTGAGAGCGGGTGGCGTGCCGCATATTGGGCACGAATCACAGGGGAATATAAGAATGCACTGTTATAGATACTGTAACAGAGAAAGCCCAAAGTATTAATGGTGGGAAAATCTATCGATAATCCCGCCACTGAACCACGTCGAACATTGTAAATAGGCTGCGGGTAGAAAGATGCAGACCAGCAGCCCACACTGATTGTGAGATGAGTCAGTTTTGTGAAATATGTAGAGGGGCCTGATTTGCAAGGATCTCCAGAGACTTACTATATCCAGCCCAACAGACTTTTTGGTTTCCCTTATCATCAGCTTTTATGTCTAGACTAGCCATCTGCTTGATTTGAGATACGGCACTTACCGGGACACCGCTCGAATAAAGATCTCCAGCTGAGATGAAGCCATTAGGTCTGCTCTTGAACAACCTTCACCCTTTTTTTGCTCCTTCAATATGTTTCAAAGAAAATTTTTTGTTTCAAGACAATTGGCAAGAAGAAAAGATTCCTCAGAGCCCTGGAACCAGGCGACAACTCAAACAATCCATGATGCGAATCGCGTGCTGATGCCGTCATGTGACGATAATGACTTGATCCCGCGATAAAATAGATAAAATAGATAACCCTAATTAGGAAGGCGGTCAACTCCTGAGGTTCCATAACTTTGTTGGTTGTCCCGGTTATGTGCTGGCACGCTAAACCCATATTAGGAAAACAGTTGACATGGATCTCGTTGCGTAAGTCTTGTTGTTCGGTCTGTACGACTCCTCATCATCAGTCTCCATCAATTCCTGTGGTCTCTGTTGGCCAGTTTTCCAATTCTTCTAGTGTGACTCTCTTTTGAGCCCCTTCACATCTTCTCTTTTCTTTTTGCCCCCTATTCCAAAACGTTTGTTTACGATCGCGTTCTGCGCCTGCGTAACATCTTCAACGCTCACCGCCACGAATACAATCCTTCTTTGAAACATATTTCCACCCTTTCAAGACAATTGATCCAATACGATAGCTCATATTCAAGATCCCTGTCACCTTGAATTCCTCTCGAGTCGCCGATCCCATCGCATGGTACATTCCTCGGAACGGGAGATCTCATTAGATCTCCTTCAATAAACCCCGACATTCCAGAGATAAGGATTGCACGCGACAAGAAAAAAAAGGAAAATTCAAATTCAAAATGACGGTCTCCGGGCTGACAGCCCCGGGGAGTAGTACGTATTCATCAGATACGCTACATGTGGGAGATGGAACATGGGATTCAGAGCGCGATGATTTCTTGTTGCCCAATCTCATGGGTCTGAACTTCGAGACAATGCAATACAATGGTGAGTGCGACTAGTTCAGATTAATGCACGATTACGTACTAACGAATGTTCAATCACAGGCATGGGAAACCGGTTCAAAGATATGACTGGATACAGATCAATGATTATCGCTCACGGCATTATCGCGGCAATTGTTTTCTTGGGTCTGGTACCCACCTCATCGCTCATAATCCGATATTACTCTCGATGGAACCCATTCTGGGCATTCAAGCTTCATGCATGGTTTCAGGTCATGACACTCCTCTTATCGACGGTCGTCTTCGTGTTGGGATGGTTCGCCGTGGGACCTAAGAGAAGTTTGACAAACCCGCACCATGGAATTGGTCTGGCAATCTATGTCATGGTCATTTTTCAGGTTCTGTGGGGATACTTCGTACATAAGGTGGAGAGGAATAAGATTCGATCTCGCGTTCCCCTGAAGCTTGTGGTTTGTCGCACCATCTAAATCATGCATGGTTGTGTGAAAAGCTAATTTATTTCCCTGCAGATACATCGGTGGATGGGTCGTGCATTGGTTCTACTGGGTATTGCGCAAATCCCGCTAGGCCTGACATTATACGGCTCTCCTAAGTTACTTTTCGTTCTCTTTGCGCTCGCTGTTTTCGCATACTTTGTGGCGTATTTTATCCTCTCCTACTTGTATGACGATGAAGGATATCATCCACCAAGTGAGCATGGAGGAAGTCGGTACAGTCACAGTCAGCTTGGACCTTCTGAGCTCAGCGGCAAGCCCCACCAAGGAGGAGGAGGGGGGGTTGGGACAAGCTCTTGCGGCAGGTGGTCTTGCAGCGGGTATGGCCTCAATCTTTCGACGTCGTGAGCGAGACCGGCACTCAAGTGGGGGATATGAGGAATCCCGAACATCTATTTCAGAGGAAAAGTATTCCGACGAAGCGTCTCGTAAAGAAAGTGGTGGTTGGGGTAAAAAGATTCTCGAAATCGGAGCCCTTGCTGGTGCTGGCTTTCTTGCGAAGAAATGGTGGGATCGTCGAAAGGAGCGTGAAGACGATAGTGAGGCAGGAAGATACACACCTGCTCATTCGCGTCACGATAGCTTCACTGAGGATTCTCTTAGCCGACTAGAGGACGGCAGGCCCGAACCTTCTCACGTAACACCCCTCCAGCGACCTCCAAGCAGACCACCCAGCAGAACACAGAGTCCTGGCTCATCATACTATTACAACAGCACCTATCTTACCGAAGACCAAGAAAGACGTCCGTCCCGTGGTATCAAAGATGCGATCCTAGGCGCAGGTGCATTCGCAGGGTTGAAAAGGATCTTCGGCGGTCGTCGTAAGAAAGAAGAAGAGGAACAGAGACGACTTGATGAAATCCGTGAGCAGGAAGAAGAAGATGAGCATCTACAGAGAATGAACAGCAAGCGACGACCAACCACTGGCGCACCACCACCAGGAGCAGGACCTTATCCATCTCGACGCAGACCAAGCTCCTACACAGAAAGTGATCTCACACCAACCGATTTAGCCCCTCGTCCACCTCGCCACCCATCTCGTGGATCTCTACTTTCCGCTGAGCCTTTAGCCTCGGGTGCAATTCCTCCTCTAGAGCCATCGGAACTCACTCTTCTGCCTCCCAGGCCTCCAATCCACCATGAACTCTCAGCCGATTCAAGATCTGAGCTACCTTTCTCTCATGATGGTACCGGACTTGCTGCAGGAGCTGCTGCAGGCGCAGCGGCAGCAGCGGCATCTGCCTCCACACGTCGCCGCAATAGCGGTAGTCGTAGTCGTCGCAACAGTGGCAGTGGTAGTCGCGGCCGACAACGCGAGGACGAGGTCGTGTCACCACCAGTATCCGTAAAGGTGAAGATGGCCAACGACGGACGACACATAACGCTCCGACGACTCACAGACGAAGAAGCATCAGCAAGTCGCGAAGCACGCCGACGAGAACGACGAAACTCACGTCGTCGTGCTGGGAGTGCAGGATCTCTATCAGGTGACGATGGAGACCGACACGCAGACCGATGGCGTCGTGTTGAAGAGCTGGAGCGAGAACAAGAGCTACAGACAAGACGGGAACAAGCTGCTGCTATGACTGCTAGTCGACCATCTATGGCTCCGTCGGGTAGTGCTGCTCCTTCGCCCATGCCTGAAGATTCTCAAGTTAGCTACAGGCCGCCTCCACCTCCTATTCCCCACCCTGCTGCCTCTGGTAGTGTTCCATATGGAAGTGTGATGTCTCCTGGAACATATACTGGTACCGAGGCTAGTGGATCTTATGCTAATAATCGTCGACGTCGACGTGCGGAGCGTGCTAGAGCTCGACAAGACAGACAGCAACAACATGGTGTGGAATTTGAGTGATGAACGTTGTAATTTTTGGTTTTTTAATCTGCTTTATGATTTCTTTTGTTTTTTGATACTTCTATGGCCTAGTATGGATATGTCTACGACCTGTATAAAACGAGCCCCTGTCCCTGTTGTCCCTGTTTTGAAGCTATGTCGATATTGATCATTTTGATTGATATCTTTTTTTTCTTTGAATCACGCACGAATGTCTTTGAACTTATGGAAATGAACTCAATAAGTGGGTTTTATGTTTTTTTTTCTGGTTTATTGGGTTAATGATTTGTTTCTACTTCTATGGCAAGCGAGTTTTTGGGTTTGATTTTGGCCAGTCTGGTTGGCTCATATCGCTTTTGTCTGTTACTCAATTTTCTTCCTGATCTCACATGGATGCAGGACCTTGTTTTTTTTTTTCTGCCTTGATACTCTATCCCGTTGGGGTGTTGTCACATATGCCCTCAAAATCTATGAATGCAAAAATTTGAATAATACTGGCTGTGGAACTGATCTATCTGTACTTGAGTCTACTACCAAAGCAATAGTAAGTGAATGTAGAGCCGACAGGACTTTCAACTTGAAGTAATACGTTGGGCTTCAAGAGATTGATACTCAATGAGTAGTAGTCGTAGCATGATGGGCACTTGAGTCATGCCAGTGATTGCAACTGATGCATCCCGCATAATTGCAGGGCTCTATAAATGTTACCATAGTCATGATCATACTACATCATGATCAACTTGAAACTACTACAGAACATCAAATCCATATTCTACGAGTGTTGAACCAAGCTAAACATGGACCACATACTAGGTAGTAATTTTGCAAGTGATAGTTGCCAAGAATACAAACACAGGCTTCCCTGACATAGGATTTGCCCATTACAACACCTTACTTACAGCTCGTCATGCTCGGCCTCCTCGGTAGGAGTCTCAGTCTTGGGCTCAGCCTCAGCGACCAGACCATCAGGTAGTTTCTCCTTAGAGCCTTCACCGAGCCGGATTGCATCAATCCAAGACTCGACGGAGGTAAGACCAAACTCTTCTCCGTTGAATCGGCGCCACCAGCCACGGCGGGCGTTCACGGCAATTATCTCCACAGTCTGGCTATCTTCCAGACTCAACACGCTTCGCAGGTTTTCTGAGGCGGTGTTGATGTCAGGAATGGCATAGACAGGGAAAAGTTTCACACCACGGAGAGCATGCTTGTGCGCAATCTCAGCGAGACTGGACAAGGCTTCAGTGGCTGGTGCTGGAAGCTCTGATTCAGAGTCACTGGTTGCAGGGAGAAGGGCCAGAACACAGGTATTGGACTTGACTGCTAGGCAAGCAGACCCAAGGGCTTCCGGAGTAGCCAGGGTAGGAACTTGAGGCGCAGGAGGGGGAGTGGGTTTAGTTTCAGGTGTTTCGGTGGGTGTATCGTTGTCTCCATTATCATTATCAGAAGGTGGCTTAGAGGCCGGCTTGGACTTTGGCTTAGCCTTGGGCTTAGTCGCCGGTGCGGCTTTTCCAGTGGCGTCTGGGTTTGGTTCAGCGAATTCGCTAAGGAATTCCAGGATAGGTTGTTTCTTCAGCTCGCCATCGTACACCTTGTGCTCAGAGTCACCACTAGGAATCACGACCAGCGTGGGGAATTCCTCGATACCGAACTTCTCCACAGCTGAAGACTCCTTGTTGCGCACTTGCGCAATGTCAATTGCATCCAAGAAGTCGATCGCCAATGCGCGAATAAGCGTACTGGTGGTTCCCTTCTCAGTGAACAGGATAGCCTTCGGTCGTTCCTCGTTCTGTGCCAGCCAGTTGTCTAAGTCCTTATCCGTAGCTTTCTTCACATGGTTGGGAATATTGTTCACCACAGCATCGACGATACCCTTTGCAGTTCGTGGTCCCTGGTAGTCTTGAACATGAGGGCGTCCGGCTTTTTTCGAAGGAGTCACGATCTTCAAGGTTGGAAAGCCTTGAACTCCCATCTGTCCACAGAAGGGTTTGTTCTCGTCTTCATCGCAATTGACTGCGGCAACCTTGGCCAATCCGTTCAGATTCTGGGCAGCTTTTTCGTAGGCAGGTTTGAGGTTCTTGCAGTGGCCGCACCAGGGAGCATAGAATTCGACGATCTAGAAAATATAGAATTAGCATGATGCAGGATTTGGAATATATTTGATTTTAGTAAGCTCACTGAAGTATGGTTTGAGTTTGCGATAAGCGAGCCATACGTTTTCTGATTCACTTGGAGCACCGGCGACTTGTTTGTGTAGATACCATCCGCGTTAACAGGCAGCACTGCTAGCAACGAAGTGAGAAGCAAAAAAGTTGAGCTTTGAGGCAACATGATGAAAGTTCAATGACTGATACAGATAAAACAGGCGATTCCAATTCCGAGCTCAGAAGAGCATCAACTCAAAGTGAAGAAACACAAGTGAGAAAGAGAAATTACGCAAGGTGTCCTGATACTCTTGGCGGTGCGGGATGCGGGGACACCCCAACCTTAGAGCCAAGCTTGGTCTCTCTTTCTCCAAGTTTGTTTCTTCTTTAAGAAAAGATATGACTCTACTCCATTTTACGAAGCCTCTGAACCCCCGAAGTCGTCCGGACCTTACTCTCTTGCCTCAAGATGTTTTCTGGTTGATTCTCGACTATTTGACTCCCGAAGATATCATCCGCTGTCGTCGCGTGTCGCTATTATGGAATGCCGCATTCGGTGACCCGCCTCTCCTAGCACGGATGCTAAAGATACATTTCCCTTGGACCGATGAAGCGCAAAGCTTACAACTTGCTGGCGCGTTGAAATTGACCCTTCACGATGCTCGCCGTCTCCATGATAAAGTTGCCGCTCGATATCATCGTCTTCGAAAAGGAAACCCTTTGTCCGTACGAAAGTTGCCCATGTGCAATGAGATCGGAGATTCAGGTCAACATACATGGTTACGGGTGCCGCCATGGACCTTTCACGCCAGTCATCTCAGCAACAGGATCCAACGTGGTTTTCCCGAAGCGATGTGGAGTCACGAAGATGGGCTACTTGTTTACCCTAATAAACAACATCATTTTGTCTCGATGATGGATGTGAAGAAAAATCAGCTGTATTTAGTCCCATTCGTGATGGGTGGCAAAGTTGTTCGTCGAATTAGATTACATCTGCAATTGTTAGTGATCGAATGGGCGCAAGAATCGACTTTGTACAGGCCCGATCACCGCGGTCGTGTACATGGCCATTTCGCTTCATCATACGACATAATCCGAAAATATGATGGAAACTGGAGCATTGTTCCCCGAAATGAGTGGCAAATCGTGAATACTGGGCATCCAATTGGCGAAAATGATCGTTTCTTCTCTGCACATAACAGGGACTACTACGTGGTCTACGTCTGGCAACCCAGTCGCAGCTTGAACCAGGCAGACACTACACCCCGCGAGTTACTGACCGTTTGGGATATCTCCAAAAGGTCTTCATATCGTCCTTCTATTGGTGCTGGAGAGGCCGCACTTGCAATGGGAGAAAAGAGAGAAAACTTCCCGTCAATGATTGCGAGGTTTGATTTTGAAGGTCTAAGCCACATTGGCCTCCGGCAACGTGAGGCTCCAAGTATGCAGGGACTTCATATTACTAACGATGGCAAGTCAATTATCATAACAAAGTGCCAGAATACGTGGCTGAGCATGGACAATGTGATTGGCCTTCCACGCGTGATCAGGACCACCTTCCCACTTCAAGGACAAGGCCCTCACCGACAGGAGGTGACCAATCTAATCCTACCCCCTTATCGCAGCAACTCCAACATAGATGCATCATTCATCAGCCCTGCTCTTCTTTTTGTTGACGACTGGTATGGTCTTATTGCACAGCAGTTAGATGATAACTCCGGAGTGAGCTTCTGTCTACATTTTAATGTTCTCGAGTGGTTCGAACATGCCGACAAAGATGACCAAAATGACCTGCCATTAAAACTCACGATCCAAACCAAGTTTAAAAGTCAAGTCACTCGAGAAAACTTGGATTTCTCAGGGACAGGAAAGATCAGCGCTGGTGAAAACTATGTGATAGGCGAGAACCGGAACAACCAGTTGGTCATTTATCGCTTTGACTAAACTAGCCATCGTGGTACCACAAAAAAGATAGTGTTGATTTACATTCATTCCAACGTTCCCTTCCGTAGACTCTCCAAATTGGAATACTACTAGTAGCCAGCACTTGAGTACGTGTTTGCTCCGAGTTTGGAGTCCTACATACTACATCAGTTGTCAAAACTATTGGTAGTACTTGAGAGCTAGGTATTCAATCAATGTTGAATATAAGCTCGAGGCAGTATTATATTAGGTGGACACTATATATGGATACCTGAGTCCCGAGGTCCTAAGACGTAGTACTTCAAGAAGTTCCAAGGTTGCACACTGCTAGTACATAGACTACTACTTACCTACATAGGTAGTATCAGAGGTTCAAAGTTGAGTTAGGCCATCATCATGACTGTAATAGTAGACTTGAAAAACTTTGGTAAAGAATATTAAAGGATATCTGATTTCAGGGAAGGCCAAGTAAATATGTATTAGCTTCCAAGGTTGTTTTGCCAAAGACTGGGGAGAGATGATGCCACCGCAGTCTAGTAACAAGGAATTGTCAGTGAGAACCCACGGTGAGGTCAAATGTCATGGATCAAAGCACGAATCCATGAGTATTTGTCACACCAGATTTGGCTTTGCAGATGTAAATTCTGTTCAAAGGAGAAGAAGAATATAACAAACACTGGGCAACAAACGAGAAATCAAGATGTACCACCGGAAAATTTGCAGCGGATACACGCCGTCCTACCACAACCTGGGCAGGTCAGGGAAAAAACAGGCATGCATAATTGACACTTTGGACACTGGAGAGCTCCGGAGGTTCTTTCCCACGCGCCAAAATGCGAAGAGCATGGCTGGCGACCTGTTGCTTTCGATGGTTGTGTATTAGCAAGGGAATGTTGAACAATCGTCTCAAGTGAACTGCTGTAAGTCTCAAGAATCAGGCCTTGCATTTCTTCCCGCATGTCCCTAGCCGAGTACAGAGAGCTGTACTTCTTGAATTTCTCTGAGAAGAAAGGTACGAAGGGCTGAAGGATTTCAGCTGCGTTCTTCTCCGTAATAGTCTTCACCACATCTTCACGCGTCGGTGTTTCATTGTTGTGAGAGGAGGAATTGGTATCAACGTGACCGTGTTCTTTTGAAATTGCGTGGCCCCTATTAGCAGAGGGTTGCTCCGAATCACTGAGATCGATGAGACAGTCATCAACCACACCGGGGTAGAACGGGATTGGCGTACTTGGCATATCAGTCATTAGGTCAATCATGACACCAGGCCTAATTCCATCAGTCCTGTGCCCGATTGTGCTTTGTTTTCCAAGTTTTTCATTGGTTTGCCGTGGATCCCCCGCTTCTTTACTTTTCATGTATTCGTTTGCTTTCTTCGCTTCCTCAGTTGGGCTGTTGTTTTCCGTCATCTCTTTTGGCCGTTGCACAGCTTCCGTTCCTTGATTTTCAATATCCCTCATCATTCTTTCAAGGTCAGGATCAAACCCTGCATATCTTCTCTCCCAGTCTTCGATATCATGTGCATGTCTAGCCCGCTCTGCGCGTGAAACCTCTGAATTTGGATCCATATGCACACCAGTACCGTATGTGTAAAGGTATCTTTCCCAAGGATCGTTAAAGTTCCAGGTCTTGCGAGGGGTTGCTGACCAAGGCCGTTCATCTTGAGACCAGTTGCGCCGGTCATCTGCGGGAAAGTAACGCCGATTGCCCGTGCTCACATTGCGGTTTGTGATGCGAGAACGAGAACGTAGCGCTTCGTCATGACGAGAACGACTCTCAGGATCACGGAGGACCTCTACTGCTTGCTGGATCTGAAATATCACGAAGAGTGAGTATAAAGAATGTATGACGTTACCAAGGGCATAAAATCTTTGAAAACTTTCATTAAGAAGAGAAGAGATAAGTTCACATACCTGATGGAATAGCAAGATCGAGGCTTCGTCTCCGCGAGTCTTATCCGGATGATGGATCAATACCAGTCTTTTGTAAGCGGCATTAATTTCGTCCACGGTAGATTTTTCGGGGATATCCAAGACCGTGTAACAGTTGAGCTCGGAGTGAGCAGACGTCATCCTGAGGTTTCAGAGCCAATCTACTCTGCGATGAAGGTGTATGTCGGGAAGATGAGACTTGTAATAGGGTAGCACTAACGGTTTCGTGATTCCAGAAGTGAAAAGACGATACGTCAACCTTGGAATGAGCTATAGACCCAGTTGACTAATGGGATTATATTTGGTTCAGGGATGGAAGCACCAGAGTTGAGAGGGTGTTGGAAAGATTTGAATGTTGATTGAACGCAACTGACGCAGCTGAGATTGGGAAAACGAGATTTACTCCCGAGGTCGTTAAGGAAGCGGCGAGGGTCAAGGATTCAACGGCAGAAATCGCAGGGAGGTCCTCGAGGGGTGAATATCGTCCGTGTAAAACCTGATTATGTTCCTTAGTGAGAAACTGTCAGATAACCAGTAGATGAAAAGATCACTGATCTCCTGAGATAATGTGAGAGGGTATTTGAAGAGAAAGGCAGGCCATTCATTACATCAGATATGTCCAGGTGATGTCCGGCGAAGGAGTTCGTGTAGAGATGTGATGGAAGGAAGGCGCAAGCGGAAAAAGCTACTCTAGTATAGAACCTTGGATGAAGACACAAGTACGTAGAAGGTAGGCCCAAGTATACCAGGGGCACATAAGAAATCGGAATGGATTGACACTGATTTTACAGAAAACGGAGAGTCGATCTAAATATCAACAGAGTATATGCCTAGGGCGACTTGATCACGTAGAAGACTTCTAAGAAGGCTTTTACATATCGGCGGAGGCGGTGGCACCGGTGATAATCTCAACCAGCTCACCGGTGATGGCGGCTTGACGCTGACGGTTGTACAGAATCTGGAACCTGTGAATGTTGTTAGAATGAGAACGAATGGAAGGATAGTCATATAAACACATACTTGTTGATCATCTCACCAGCGTTCTTGGAGGCGTTCTCCATGGCGTTACGACGGGCCTAGGAATCGTTAGTATATAGGTGATATGATTTTGGGATTGGCATGGTCATACAGAGATCTCGCAGGCGTGGCCCTCAGCCATGGCCCAGAAGAGGTTGTTGGCGAGAGCGTACTCACGGAGACCGGCCAGAGCCTCGTCATCAATCTCGAAAGCAGAGATGTTGGCTAATATTAAAAAATGCTATTAGTAAACATTCATGAATATCCTGGAGTTAAATGATAGGCGCGTACCGGACTGGGTGATAGCCTCCTCAGAGTAGGCCTCAACGACGGTGGCCTCGTAGCTCTGGGCGTTGAGAAACTTGTTGTAGACGATCTTGATGCTGGCGTAGTCGGTAGGCAGAAGGGCAATCTGATCGGCGACAGCCTGGGCATCGGCAAAGGTGGGGATGTCCTTGCAGACATTGGCGAAGCTGAGCTGGATCTTCTCGGGAGCGAAACGCGACAGCTGGGCCTTGGCCTTCTCACCGAGGATAACGATGTCGGCCTCGGGGTTCTCAGCCAGCATGCGGCGAGTGGCCTTGCTCAGGCCGGAGTGGATACCACCGCAAAGACCCTTGTCGGAGCTAGCAACGACATACAGAGTCTTCTTGCCGTCCAAAGCCTTGGTCTCGGCCTGCTCGAAAACGGTGTTGGAGGTCTGACCATACGCACGGGACTCGTCCATGGCCCTCTGGGCGCGGGTCAGACGGGTGGAGGCAACAATCTTCATGGTGCTGGTGATCTTCTGAATGTTCTTGATGGACTTGAGACGGCCCTCAATCTCACGCAGAGTCGCGAAGTTAGCGGCATTGGGCGGGGCAGTGCTTTTAGGGAAAGTCAGCAATAGGTAACCAGGCGATGATCGTGTGGAGGCGATTGAGCTCGAGGATTGATTGAGGTTTTCTGATCTGAAAGGGGGCGGGTGATATTCGTGATGTCGAATTCGGCAAGGTGAAAGGACCGGACCACTTGAGCGGGCATCGGAAGAAGACTTACCGGGTAGCAGCAGCACTGCCAGCCCTGAGGGCCGGGCGGACAGCACGGGAGAACATTGCGAGGAGGTATGGGTGAAAACGAACAAGTAAGTTCGAGAGCGGGGGAGAGGAGAGGGAGAGAGCAAGAGAATGCAAGACCTCGCTGGTTGCTGGGTAGATGCGATGGTCGGGAAGTGCGAAGTTGAACTCCTGGCCGTCCCATGCGCGCTAAACCTCAATGGGTAAGAATCTACGGCGAGCGATTCCGGCTTCCGGCGCAATTTAATGCCTTAGTGCCTTAATGCCTTAATAAAATGGCCGTACTTCCCGAGGTCTATTGTATATGCATTACATAATCGGATCGCCGGTGCGCCACGGTCGACCCGGGTTCCAAGGTTTCCATGGTTATAGGCCTCAGGCAGCATGAGGTAACTCGTTTTCCATTCCATTCCCTCCATTCCCCCAAACTTACCTTCACTCGTAGAGAGCCTTGATCTCTTTTTCCTTTGCCCCCAATCTCATTTCCTCCACATCTTTCATCCCATTGGAACTCTCCCGTGTTCCGCATCTTTGATGCACCATTTCTAATTACTTGTTTGCCTTCTGTTCATTGGCCAGAATTCTTTTGACCTCATCTTCGTTGTATCAAGCGGTTCGTTTAGCCCGACTAAGCGCACGAGGACACCCTACCCTTACTCATCCCTCGTTCCTTTAATTCTCGCCCCCGATTTCCATTTCCTGTGCTTCAATCTGCTATGAGTTCTTCAGAGGACGACGTGCCTCTGGCACGCGCGAATGGCCGCGCAAATGGTAAGCTTGCCCCGGGTAATTCGGTTTTAGTGTACTACTTCCTCGGCCCTTATTTCCTCGATAAAGGGCTACTCTCCTTATTATCGGACATTTTCACATTATTCTTCACCTTGACGAGCTCCTTACTATTCTCATCACTCGCTCGCACTTACCTGCTACATACTATCCCGCGCCTATTCAACTAACATTTGATCATCTGCGCGCTACTAGCCACCCCGAAAATTAAGTCCCCTGCAACGAACGGCGATCTTGATCCTGGTGTCTCGGTTCGATTTGGCCCCGTGCAAGACGCCGACGTCGATATGAAGGATGTGGATGCGGCGCGCGGCGCCAGTAAGCGCAAGTCTCGAATCAGCACCGACCGAAAGAAGTCATACGTCGAGCCGGAAAGCAGTGAGGAAGAAGACAAGCCTTTGGTACGCCATATTCTATTCCGAGAAGCATACCTGGGTTGCGACATTATTGTCGCGCTTGGTTTCAGCGACTGACCATTCGACAGAGTAAACGCCGGCGAACATCTGTGAAGCATGAAGATCCCGAGTCCGATGATGACGTTCCCTTGGCCTTGAATGGAAGGAAACTTCCCAAGGCTTCGGAAACCGCCATTGGAGAGGAGTCTGACTCCGATGTGCCGATTGAGAAGAAGCTCTCTGCCCAGAAGAAGAAGATTGAGCAAAAGGCCAACAAGGACGCTCGCGCCGCTCGCAAGGCCCCTCCCAAGAAGGAGTCCAAACCTGCCGTGACCACCAAAAAACAGACGAATGGCGTGAAAAAGGAACCTGCCGATGACAAGTCTGCTCTGAAGAGAGTGAAGACCGAGTCAGCCACCCCGAAGAAAGGCAAGGCGAAGGTGAAGGCAGAGAGCGAAGATGCAGACGAGAAAGAAGAGGAGGAAGACGAGTACAAATGGTGGGAGGATCCCACAAAGGGGGATGGAACCAATAAGTGGACCACGTTGGAACACAATGGCGTTGTGTTTCCTCCGCCCTATGAGCCTCTGCCCAAGAACGTCAAGTTGAAGTACAATGGAGTCCCAGTCACCCTGCATCCAGATGCTGAAGAAGTTGCTGGCTTTTTCGGAAGCATGCTCAATTCGGCCCACAACGTTGAGAACCCAGTTTTCCAGAAGAACTTCTTTACAGACTTTAAGGATATTCTCAAAAAGACTGGCGGTGCCAAGGATGCACAGGGCAACAAGGTCGATATCAAGGAATTCACCAAGTGTGATTTCAAACCCATTTTCGAGTTTTACGATGCTCAGCGTGAGGAGAAGAGGAATCTCTCTCCTGCGGAGAAAAAGAAAAACAAGGCCGAGAAGGATGAGCAAGAAGCTGCTTATCAGTTTTGTACGTGGGACGGTCGCAAACAGAAAGTCGGTAACTTCCGAGTTGAACCTCCTTCTCTGTTCCGTGGCCGAGGCGAGCATCCTAAGACAGGCCGTGTCAAGACTCGTGTCCTGCCAGAGCAAATCACCATCAACATCGGAAAGGAGGCGACTGTTCCACCCCCTCCCCCTGGCCACAACTGGAAGGAAGTCAAGCATGATCAAGAGGGCACTTGGCTTGCTATGTGGCAGGAGAACATCAACGGCAACTACAAGTATGTCATGTTAGCTGCCAACTCTGATGTCAAAGGCCAGAGCGATTACAAGAAGTTCGAAAAGGCCCGCGAGCTCAAAAAGTACATCGACAAGATCCGCAAGGACTATCAAAAGGCCTTGAAGCACGATATGATGGTGGAACGCCAGAAGGCTACTGCGGTGTACCTCATTGATCAGTTTGCACTTCGTGCTGGAAACGAGAAGGGCGAAGATGAGGCTGAGACTGTTGGCTGTTGCTCACTCAAGTATGAGAACATCAGCTTGAAGCCTCCCAATACGGTTATCTTTGACTTCCTGGGTAAGGATAGTATTCGTTTCTACGATGAAGTCCAGGTTGATCCTCAAGTCTTCAAAAACTTGAAGATCTTCAAGAAGGCGCCAAAGAAGAATGGTGATGAGATCTTTGACCGACTGACTGTATGGCATCACCTATCACCCCTTTTTGTCGTATTCTCAACTAACATTACTAGACTTCGGCGCTCAACAAACATCTGCAGAACTACATGCAGGGTCTCACGGCTAAAGTTTTCCGTACTTACAATGCCTCTTTCACTATGAGCAACCTGCTTAAGGAGATGAAGGCCACCGGCACGATCCCGGAGAAGGTCAAGGCCTACAACGATGCCAATCGCCGAGTTGCTATTCTGTGTAATCATAAGCGGACCGTGACTGCTGGCCATGCCAATCAAATGGAGAAGATGGGTGAACGGGTAGGTTTCATCGATGGTGTCTGAAGGCTGCACAAAGCTAATCATCTTATTTTCAACATATAGATCAAGGGACTTCGATATCAGAAATGGCGACTTAAGCAACAGATGCTCGATCTTGAACCCACCTTGAAAAAGAAGAAGGGGGCTGCGTTCTTCGAGCGAGATGAGGATATTACTGTCGAGTGGGTCAAAGAGCACCAGGCCTTCCTGTTGGAGGAACAGACTCAAAAGATCCAGAAGAAGTTTGAAAAGGACAATGAGAAGCGTGTTGCCGATGGAGAGAAGGAAATGAAGACCTCCGAGCTCAACGAACGCCTTGAGGTTGTCAAAGACCTGGAAAAGAAGTTCGCCAAGGAGAACAAGTCTGGCAAGGTGGAGGCTGAAGGCAGAGGTCCAACTGTGGAGAAGATCGAAGCTGCGATCGTGAAACTTGACCAGCGCGTTGAGACGATGTCAGTCCAGGCTCAGGATAAGGAAGACAACAAGGAGGTCGCCCTCGGCACGTCGAAGATTGTAAGTTCCCTTTACATTCGATCAACTGTCACAACCACTAACATTCAGTTCTAGAACTACATTGATCCTCGTCTCACTGTTGTCTTCAGCAAGAAGTTCAATGTTCCCATTGAGAAATTCTTTTCCAAGGCGCTGCGTGAGAAGTTTGAGTGGGCCATCAAGTCTGTGGAGGAGGACTGGGAGTTCTAATCTTTCAATCCCTAGCCATGGTTGATGGCTCGTAGGTGCCCGCCAAATCGTTCCTTTTGATCTAACCAATTTCAGCAATTCTAAGGGGGAGATGATCTTTTTTTTTCTGCTATTTTTTTTTGTTTCCTTTTAGCTGTGGGCAGTCTTTTTTTCCCTCTATGAACATGGGTTTCCACGATCAAACAAGACAAAAAAACCAACCGTCTCACTTGTGGATATCTTTGCTGACTTGAAGGGCCCTGTTGGAATACGGCAGGTCTTTCTTCAGCCAGTAGCTTCATACAGGCGGAATTCAAATTTTCTATACGAGGGGAAAACATAGCAAGAAAGATGCATTTACATTTGTTTATTTGCATCAGAGCTTTGGTCATTCCAAGGAATTAGTATTGACACTGTTGATACATAGACCATACAGGAAGATCGCATTGTATTCTATTCAAACTGCGCTTTGTTTTCCATAGTCTCCTTATACTAGTTTAGAAGAAAAAAAACACAACATTTCAAACAAATTATAATTATCATCGAAACTATTCACTTGTAAGAGATCTAATACACTCAATGGACTTCATGCTCTTGGACCTTGCTGGATCCGTGGAATTCAAGTTGAAGCTCGATCCTGAGGTGTCCACTCAGATACCTAGGTATTCGTTTGTCGATAGTCATCGAATACTTTGATCTTGTTCTGATAAATCCACTTTGTCACCTGGAGAGGAGGTTGTTGCCTGTTGTTCATGTGACCAAGTTGGGCGCTTGTGAAGTAAACAAGCTAATCAACGCATCGCCTTTTATCACTCCATCAACTTCCCCCCCCCCATTTACTCTCTACTCCGCAGTCTTCGAATTCAACTCCAAAATCAAGTTGACCAGATCCTTTCACCATGGGTACTCGGGGTCTTGATATCGTTCGCTACCGTGGACGTTATTACGCTCGCTATCACCAGTTCGATAGTTACTACGAAAGCCTTGGCAAGAACGTGGTCGCAAGCATCCCTGCTGACCCTGAGAAATATCAGAGTAAGTTCAAAATGATCTTGTTCCTGGCGTGATACTTACAGTTAGCAGAATGGCTTGAGAAGATGCGAGCTTTCTATGAGCAGCTAGAGAAACAGCTTGACAAAGACGTCTATGAGATTCGCGATGGCGAGAAGCCTAACAAAGAAGCGTTTATGGATCTGGAGTCAATCCCTACCGAGATCCCACGACTGAACAATATCTTCATTGAATACATCTACGTCATTGACCTCGACCAGGAGGTTCTTACCATGAACCACTCTATCCACTGGAAACTCAACAATATCCCGCGTGATGACCTATGGATGAAAGCCATCAAAAATAGCATCTATTACGGCGAGCATACCGTTTCCCCAGATATTTGTCCCGAGGAACATTTAGCTTCGGTAGCCCTGGAGCTTCCCGAAGCGAAGTGGGAGTTCGAATATGACTTTCGCATGGTAAACCCAAGAACCAGCATCAACGAGCCCCGAAAGGTCTTTCTCACGCAAGTTCTGGCTAGTATTCTGAGCGAGTACGAGCTGGAGCTCATTCAGCTTGGCAGAAGATGGGCCCCTGATTCATTCCCATTCCGGGAGTTGATCTTTGCCATCGTCTCAATTGCATCAGGAGCGTCCAAATTCTCCTGTTTGCCCAAGCAGAAGTGTCACCCTCTGAAATGCTACCGTTGGGAATGCAAGAATAGGCACATACCAAGAAACGGCGGCTGGCTTGATGAAGAGTGGGCTGGCGAAAGCGCCCCTTGGCTAATATTTAGTTCCGCGTGTCATCGACCCGGGGAGCCTGCAGGGGCATCTCCTGTGGAAACGATGTATTGGCTGGGGAATGTGGTTGTGAACTTGACCCTCGTAGTAGATGGTGATGCTATCATGAAAGCAGCTAAGTGGGGGATCGGCCAAGGGCGCACGCACTTTCAGGTCGTCGTCATCTCACTCTTTGATGTTGCCTTTGCAGAGGTCTTGCTCGGCAATGACAAGAAACCATTCCTCAAAGTCAGCGATGCCATAAATCTCTGGCCTCTTCGTCCAGAATACAGTCAGTGCACGCACCCACGCGAGCGACCAGAAGCAAAGCCGGGCATGAAGGTTCACGATCGCTATCGGCAATTTCGTGTACGTGCAGGAGAGAGAGGTACACCAGAACAACTACGATCTCTATTTCCTGGCCTGATCGCATTGGTCAACTTCTTTGAAGTCGCTGGAAACAGAGCTGCAGCAGCAAGTACGACTGGCGTTTTTCCGGTGGAGCTATATGCTCGCGTCATGGACTTTGTCGACTATGATACTTGGAAGGCTTCTCTGCTGGCATCACCAATGACTCGAGCCCCTTGTCTTCGCAGATACAAGCTTGATGACCTGATGACCATCGTGGGTGGGCCTTTTGTGCGCCTGCAGGATGCTTACACTGGCCGACGACGCGAAAGAATACGCATTTTATCCTTCGACTTCGAGGATACGCAGACAGGTGAGATCCTACCGCTGGCGTGTTATTTGAACACCAACGATGAACGCTCAATCCAAGAATGGACGTGGATGCCCCTCATTGGCAGCAATCGAAAAGCACTTATGGCGGATGTAACTATCCAGTTTCAGCCTGTACTGGAAATTCCACTCGAAGATGAAGGCTCTGACAATATCGAGGCTAGTGATGATGAGGGGTCTGATAGCAGGTCGTATGTTTTTAGCCGTGATCAGGATGAAAACGATGAAAACGAGATGGCTCCTGTCCTCTGGCGTGATGAAGTTGACCAAAATGACAATGACAATGAGGATGAGGATGAGAATGAGAATGAGGATGATAACAACAGCAGCACTGAAAACAATCACGAGGCTAATGAAAATGATAACGATGACAATCTCGCTGCACTGACGAGCGATGTGAGAATGTGATAAATGGTGGTGAAGATTCAATTACATCAGAAAATCCCCGAGCTGACTTCTTAAAATTTTTACTCGCAATATCATTAGTGTTCAATAGTCGTTTAATTCTATGAAGTTATGAAGCCGCTAGGCCCCAAAGTACATGTGCCCTGAAGAGTGAACTGATGATATTCGCACGAGAGCATTGAAACCTAGAATATCGTCCTTTGGTACAACATTTGAGTGGATGAAAACTAACTAACTACCAGCATGGAGCTTCAAGCTGATGCATGTGTCTTAGCAGCGTCGATAAGTCTCTATAGAGGCCATCAAAGTCCTGCGCAAGTTTTCAATCCCATTAGCCAATGTAAACACACTGGCTCACATGATATGAGTGATGCTTATCGTCAGCTGTTGGTTAGGTAGCTATGGGAGCCACTGGCAATGCCCACATATGCACACATGTATCATGATGCAAATGTGGATTGGTCCCTCAAGGCTCCAAGGTCCCCCAAGCTATACGCTTCTATACGATTGGGTTATCAACAGCAACCTGAGTTACCTGACCTCAGAAGGGTCAACACCTCCGCATGCACGGAACATACTCGGAGCTCCTGATACTTGCTATCTCGTCATCAAAAGGCAATGACATGTCATAAAACAGGGGTTTACCTTGGCATTCCTGCGGCTCTTCGCTTACAGCTCCGAGGTCGTTAAGAAATCCTGACCTCGTGGAGTCAACATTTGAAGATGAAACACTCCGTGTTATAAATCCTGACCTCAGTTCTATGAATACCTCAGAATAGCTCATATATCCCGTCCAGGGATGTAGATCTATTCCCAGTACTCCGTGCGGGCCAATTAGATGGTTTCATGTTGCGCAAGAGGCAAACTTTTAGGTCGACCAACGCCCCGTTTAGGTATACATGATGCTATTACGAATTATCGTGCTTGCAGTGGCAACATCCATTGGAAGGTAAATACATGCTCCACTAGGCCTCAGATGAGACAAGAGATCAAGTTTAAGTGCATTTTCCAGTCTGAAGCTACCAATTGCAAGCAATATCAAATTGATACTGGAGCCACCTCGAACCTGGAAGATTCGGTTAATTTGCGTAACCGAGGCTTCAGAGCTCAGATTTTGTTGAAATCAATTCAAATTCTGGAGCTATCTTTGTTAGACCCACTAGCACAGACCTTGACTTTATTTTAGTTATTTTAAGATCAATTCAAGTTTTTTATATCTTTGTCATATTCTAATGTTTTTTGTAGATCAGGCCTCCCTTGTGCCGCACCCGCATCAATGTCAACCAGTTGACTTTTAATATAGTTTAGATGACCGGCTTGAACTTCAATGTATTCATCGGTACATGAAAACGAAGTTTACGAAAAAGAACATGAATGAAAATGTTGAGGTAGGCTGACGTTTGAGCCTAATACCGTCCGCAATGTTTGGGGCCGGTGGCGATTGAATCTCGCATTCCGAAAATAGGCTATACGATAAATGTGGATTCGATCCTCAACGATAGCATTGCGGGGAGTTTCAGGATGCGGCCTCGTGGGAGTTCGTTTCAGAAATACTAGAAAACTGTAAAATAATGAACTTAGCTACTTTAATAGTATCCCATATACACTTGAATTTTGCTATATAAGGTTTAGGCTGATCATTGGTCTCAGGCACTAGACGCACGTCCCCCACTGTATATTCCCCCTCCATTTATGAAGTACATCTACTCAGTACTAGTACAAAGTAACATTATTCCGGCCCCCGGGGCCTCAACAATATCAAATTTGTTTAGTAAAGTTGAATTATATCCAATCAATTTTCTTTATTGCCATGTGGGCTTATGTGTGCGGCATCACATTGCATGAATATTCCCGGAATTTTCCCTCAAAATCCCGCTCATCTCCCCCCTCATGTCCCTACTAATCGCGTGGCAAAGTCACTATTGCAAGCCTTGATACCTCATATACTGTGGATCACTGCAGATAGGGACCACGACCTTGCCGATCTCCGTTGGTCCATGCGTTTGCTACCGTCTTGGCTTGTAGTTAAATATATGCATTGCGGGCTTCGTATAAACGGGGGATTTCTCATGCAAAAAGAAACAAAACCCCTGATGATCACTTGATTTTTATCTTTCACTTTTTCCAAGCATAGTATTGACACACATTATGGTGAGACAGCAACCCGGACTAGCTTGTGAAGAATGTCGTCGTCGCAAAGCACGATGTGATCGGGTACGTCCTCAGTGTGGTGTATGCTCCGATTCAGGTCGGAAATGTGTATTTGTGGACAAGAGGTCACCTAGAGGGCCAAAGAAAGGTCAGCTTAAGGAACTCAGATCTCGTGTGGGTGAGTTATCTCCCTTCATATACTCCCCAAAGATGATATAGTAATGGCTGACGCGTAGGGAACCTCTCAGCAATAATTGAGAACCAGCTGGCCAGCCAGACTCGATCGAATAGTGTAGACTCCCAGATCCTTGAGTCTGTTGAGGCGAGTCCAGAGTATGAGATGCCAGGTGATCTCCGGGCATACAGTGCAGGTGCAAGTGGGTTGGATGCCGACGCGTTGCAAAGGTCTGAGTTTGCTTCAAGCGCAGAGCGCTCCATCTCCATCTCAGATGAACAAATTGATCGAAGGTTGTCGGCTGTATCAGCTGGGTATGTACCTAGCACTTGGTCAAATGATGGAGTGTTTTCACCAAGTTCCAACCTTTACGATCTTCGTCCGGCTTCTGCTATGTCTGCATCATCTGTTAACATACCTGTAAATCGGAAACATTCCGGAGATGGTCTACAGATATCTGACCACATTCTGACAGAATTGTATGCAGTCCCCATGAAACGATAAGTGAAAGTGAGCTAATTATATACTGTAATAGAGATCTTATCTACTTTGACCGAGTGAACCCTATGGTGCCTATGATTAATAGAGATCACTATTTCACATGGGTCAACAGAGACAATATCTCGCCTACTCGTGTCTGTTTACGGTTAGCAATGCGAGCTGTCTCTGCTGCCATGTCATCTGAATTCGGTGAAATATCCGAAGTCCTATATCTACGGACTCGCCAGATGCTTGAAATCCAGGAAATGCAGGGATCAGCTGGATTGCCATGGATGACCAGGCCCAGAAGTCCCCGAAACTGGATAGATTATGAACTGATCCAAGCGTGGATTCTCCTTGCCCACTATGAGTTCTTCCGGAAATTTGAGCAGGAGGCACTTCTCACTTGTGGCCATGCCTTCACTCTGCTTCAACTCTCCGGTATATTCAATGTTGATATGCAAACGATGCAAATTGGTCTAGTATCTTCCCCACCTGAGTACCCAACGCCGAGATCCTTTGTACCTGGTCCTTCTCCTGCAACGCAGATGACCAATGGTCAGAATAGGAGTTGGGTCGAAGTAGAGGAAATGAGACGGACTATCTGGGCCGCGTTTGTTCTTGATCGACTTTCCAGCATGTTGAATCATCGACCCCCAATGCTTCAAGAAGAAGTCGTAAGTCAAAGAAAAGCTTTTATTGACGCCCCGAAGATAGTTGCTGATTGATCTTCCCAGATTTATGCCCGCCTCCCAATGCCCGAGGCTGATTTTCAGACTGGTCAACGACCGGTACTCATGGGTTTCCTTTCGGACGTCATGAGTAATAATGAGAACTATATCACACTTCCCCCTTTCTCTCAATGCATTGCATTATCAAGTCTCTTCGGCCGTTGCATAAGTCATCGACGCCTCTCACAGTCCGTCTCTCCTCCAGGTTCCGAGATAGAATCACAGGGATTCTGGGCTCGGCACCAATGGTTAGCGACAGCTGCCGGGGCTATCACGAAGACAAGGCTACAAGATCAAATGCCCCATGATTCCAAATCCGCGGAGCCAAATTATGATACCATGATCTTTTTCAACCATGTTCTAGCCTATAGTACATGCGTACTGCTAAGCGAGACAGCCGAAGAAAGACCCTGGCAAACACTGGACGACCAAATGGTTTCGTTAACCTATAAACAGACTGCATACCAGGCGGCAAACGAGGTTGTCTCCTTGGTGCAGAATCTACCTCAAATGGCTTTTATCAAGATGCATGTCTTTCTTGCGAGTGCAATATGCATTGTTGCGAGATTCCTCAGCGCTCCTACCACACAGCTTGTTTGCTCCGAGGGAAGTGGACAGGAAAGTGTTAAGAGCTTACTATTTGCCCTGAGATATCTTGGTGGCATTAGTAATATGGCACGAGATATTTTGACGAAGCTTGAGGCGGAGATTGCGTTGACGATGCCTGCGTCAGTGCAGATGGCGACTTGACCCACGTTCAGGCCCGGGTTATTCCTGAGTCAGTACAAGAGTGATTATTCTGCTGGAACAGGAGTCACGAGTACAGATCTTTTTTGTTTAGTATTCTTTTTTGAGCTTCAAGTTTATATCCAATATTGTAGCCAACAGTTGATTTATTGCACAATACCACTTTGTTGAATTCGATAATCCATACCTAGCGTGTTTTCTAATCAGGGTTTCAATTATTGTCGTACAACAAGAGCGTAGTGATCAAAATTGCACTATTGGCTCGTTTTGATAGGGGTTTACCTAGATTATAGTTGTTTTGCTGTGTCATGTCTGTATAGGGCCACCCCGGTGGACAGTACTATAAAAAGACAACATTTGGACCACAACAAGAATCACCAGGAGTCAAAGTCTGGCATTCAATGTCCCAAGGAGCAAGCGTTCTCTCTCTAGATCATAGAGCTACGCATCTCTAGTCAGGAGAATAGATATAACATGTTGTGACGTTATCTAGCTATAGATGGGGCTATCAGTCAAACTGACATATTCAATTTATGACAATGTTAAAGGCTTCAGCTGTTCAAAAAGAATAGATTCAAGGTCCATAGAAACAATAAAATTCTCAGTAGCTGACTCGTGCTATAGACGCGTGTGTCATTTGTTTGTTCACGTCGATTGTTTACATTGAAAGTCGTGACCACTTTTTTCTTCGCCCATCTCTCACTTACTTCCCACACTTCCCTCCTCACCCTCTTCTCTTCCCTTCATCCCCACCCCTTCCAATTATCTTTTCTATTGTTCGATAGTTACAATTCCATTCTTATCGTTTGTCCAGACTCTTATTCCACATTGATTACCCATTTTACCAATCCAATTGACACCGCAACCATGAGTGCCATGACCAACATGAACCTCTTCAACGTGCCCTACAAGCCAGCTTGTGCCACCAAGCCTCCTGGTTGGGGTGAGCTCCCAGTTGAGCCGTGGCTGGTTGTAGGTTACTCACGGCCCCGCTTAAAAAAAAACTTACTGACCATCTCACAGCGCCGCTGGAACAAGAATTCCGCTGAGCCCGCCGCCGAGCAGCGCGCCCGGCTCATTCCAGAGTACCTCTCGCTGCCCACTATTCCTCGCGGATTGTGGGATCCTGTCGACAGTAGCTTCCGCCACTTAACCATCGAGGATATTAACAAGGTCCTCAAGCCGTGGCGCCCTCAGGAAGTTCGCGGCGTGGCCAACGCGCTCTGGACGGCCCGAAACTACTACCCTCCTCTGGTTCGAAGCTACTATGAGCCCAACAATCACGAGCACAACATGCTCATGGACCTCTGGGTCTCGATGGGTCACTACTTCCAGGCTGAGAAGGAGTGGATTGTCATCAACGACCCCGTGTACTACCCCGGCGGTACCGACCAGATGGCCGACTGGAAGAACATCTTCCTTACTCTCCCTGAGCTCGCCGGCCCTGCAATCAATCGCTCGGAAACCGATAGCATTCGTTATGACAACGTTCCACCTAAGGCCGAGTATCGCCGCGACCTTTTCAAGGCTCAGTTGGCTGTCAACAAGTACCTGAAGCCTCACCTCTGGTACAAAGACAAGGTTCACATGATTGAATCTTGCGCCGCACACATCCACCGGGCTATGTGCTACAAGCCCCTCATCATCGTGGATAGGCAGGCTTTCGAAACCGGGTACCCCCTTCTGGTCTACATGGACTACTTCGGAGATGTCATCCGCCAGACTCGTTTCGATTTGAACGAGGAGACACTCCTGCAGGTCATTGAAGACTGGCTTCCAAACCCTCTGTCCACAAAGGACACCAGTCTCCTCACTCCCTGGATGTGGTACCAGAGTGAGGTGAGCACCAAGTACAAGGTGCAGGACCCAAAGAACCTCTGGTTGTACGAGGTGACCGATGTTGACCTTGAGGATCCTACTGAAGAGGATAGCCTCAGCGGAGGGGAGGTTGTTGGCCTAGATCAGATTGAGATTGCCTTGCAGGCTTGATTGAAGAAAGCTTGCTCACTTTTTTCTTTCTTTTCTCTTTCTTTTATATTTCTTTTATATTTCTTTTATACCCTCATTTGGCTTTTTCTTTTCTTTTTTTTCTCACTTTCATTCCTTTTTCTTTCCTTTGTCTTGTCCCTCCTTTTTTTCTTTTGTTTTTGTGCTTTAGCATGGCGTTTGGCGTTTTGGCATTCGGGTTTGCTTTTGGGCCTCTAAATTGTGCTCTGGCCCTGTGGTTTTTGTTTTTGTTTTTGTTTTTGCTTTTGCTTTTCTCCTTGGATGGTGGTGGGATGGAGACTGATATCTAATACTTTCAAATACAAATGGCTTTCAGCTGCCAGTGTGATCCAAGTATCCTAAGATCTACTACTAGTAAGCCTCACTACATCCATGAAATAAAGTGTATAGAATCCATACTGCTCTTAGTTCAGCTCTGGAGGGTATCAACATCGAAGTCCCAAGTATACATGTAAAAAGCGGACAGTGAACTGCATCTTACGTAGTTTATTGATCTAGAATACATACATATCCAAAAGGATTTGCCAGCATAAGCCGATGCCATTTCAACGAAAGATTTAGAAAAGTATCAAGAGAAAAGATGAAAATGGGGAAGGCTCAAAATGCAAGATGCAATCAAGAAAACGAAAGAAAAAGAAGGTATATATGCATGAAGAAGAGAAAAGAAAGAAAAAAGTCCCAACCAAAGGATCATTACAGTACAGAAGCAGATCCAGCATGCTGGACTGGCCTGCCAAACCCTAAGATAGCTGAGAAAGAGTAAGGGGAGCGGGAAGTGTAGATCGGGGCAAGGGATGAGAGACTTGAGAATCATCAAGGGGATCGTGGAGGGTGCAAAGGCAACTGTTTGGACACATGTGCGATGCAATGAGATGGGGAGATTTGTTGTAGATCATTGGGGATGAACAAATCGTTTTAGAAGAAGAAAAATGAGAGAGAAAAGAAAGATTAGAGAGTCATGAAACTCTCCTTTTGTTTTATGTGGAGATGCTTGAGCGAGTTCATGGCCACCAGCCCATGCGTTTATAGCTGTCCACCATTTCGCGGATACTGTCGGCATCAAACTTTTCATGGTCCGGCTTCCAACCCGTTGTCTTCTCGAAGTACGAGCCATCAATCGACATATCCTGGTCCTTGAGAACATCACGCTCAAGGAAAGGTCCGATAGGACCAGGTCGAACGATGTTGCTCTTTTCAACTAGATCCGCCCATTCTTGCAGACTGACCTCGTTCATATCATCGACCACATCATCCAGCTTCATCTTTGCTAATTGAGAGGCGAGCGAACCAAGGAACGAGACCTTAAGGTTAAACACTTCAGCCAGAGCGTTGGCCACGTGTTGCTGCTGTGTATCATTGTGATCAACGACATTAAAGGCGACCGGCATGTCGGGGTCCTTGAACAGCTCCGGGATGGTCGGGTCAGTCCTGTCGAGCTTACCCAGGCTGGCACGCCACTCCGCAGCACGCCAAAGGGCACTGGCAGCGTCCTTGACATGCAGTGTGTTGACCTTGACATCCTTTGTGTAGAGCAATTCGAGATCCTGACCCAATTCCAGGTGCACGCGAGCCAAACAGATCGCCATGGCGAAGTAACCAGGGTTGTATTCACCGTAGACATGGGGCAAGCGTAGAGCGCAGTACTGCAAATCAGGGATCTTGAGCAGTTCCTCAGCGGCCTTCAATTTCCACTTGGCTAGCTTGTGCCACGGTTGCATCTTGTCGGTCTCCTTGCGCGGAGAGGATCCACTCTTGTAAACGTGTGCGGTGGAAGTCTCGACGTATGCGCTGATACCACGACGGGCACACTCCTTGCCGAGAGTGATACTGAGACCACAGCTTCGTACTTCGTAGACATCATCGGGTTGGGAATGACGGGTTTCTCCGCCACAGTTGATCACGTAGTCGAATTGTTCGCCATTAGCTCGATCGAAAATGCGCGGGAGGTGTTCTAATTGAGAGATTTTATTAAAACCGGTTTTTGCCTTTTTTTTTCTCTCTCTTTGTTCCTTGATTTATATTCTTTGTTCTCTTCCTATCCATTGTTTCTGGTGTTTAGGAGGGCGCCACTTACGTTCACGACTGGCATCGGCCTGGACGAACTTGTCTTTGGAACAAGCCTCCTTGAATTCGGGGGCTAACCAAGCCAGCTCTGGAAGGACTTTATCGACCAAACGAACCTCAGACGCAAGCTTGTTCTCATGGATATAGCGCGCCAAGTGCCGGCCGATGAATCCTATGAACTAGCGTTAGCGGAACACAACATAGCTTATGGGGTATTCTTTTTTTTATGAGTGCACACCAAGACCACCGATAATCAGGACTGAAGGTTTCTTATCGGCCATGATTAAGAAATAATTGGGAATCCAATAAATAAATCAAAAAAGAGAACCCCCCTAAAAAGCCCAAAGGGTGAACGCGCGAAAAGAGAGGAGGAATGAGAGAAAGGAGGGGGAAAGGGAAGGGAGGGAAAGAGAGTCAGTCCCCACTCAATGCTTTAGAAAATTCGCGAAGATCTTTCCATTCCTCTCCATTTTTATTTTTTTTCATCCGCCTAGCGACGCCGTTGATCTATAGTTTCTCAGGTGGATATCAAAATTAATTATCATCATAAAAAAATAAAAGGGATCGGAACATTTGAAGGGCGGACTTGCGTGTTTCTACTAGTAACCATGGTTCTGGTATCGATCGCCCCGAGATCCAAGTAAATTGATCTGGGGGGGGGCTTAAGGTCCAGATCACAGTGGATTCTTACTGAAGAAAAAAAGGAAAAAGAAAATTAATAATAACAATAATAATAATAATAATACAAACTAGAAGATAAAAGAAATAAGGAATAACAACACTTCAGGGCAAAAGAATAAAAGTAAAAAAGGTCACAGTATGTGACTGCCCTGTATCAAATCTTTTAGTTCAGGGTTGCAGGAATCGACATTTCAAATACACCCAGCTTCTCTTGCATAGCCCACGCATGGTTCACGAGGATCATCAGTGCAACAAAATCATTATCGTTCAGACAGTTGAAGAGATGATGCTTATCGGCTGACCAAGGGATACTGATAATAGCATACTGACGGTGATTCGGAGCCAAAACATAGAAATCAATTCCATGAGGAGTCACTTGGGTTGACATGCACTTCTCAGCGAACTGCTTGATCGTATCAGGGGAACTGATAGTCTGGAACAGAACACGAACGGCATCCGGCGGGCTGCAGGTCTTCTTGACCTGGAAATGATTGGCAATCATCTGGACTCGGCGAACAGGGCTGGAGTTTGCAACAACTAGATTTATATCAATGTGAGTTCAACATTTTCAGCTCTTCAATTGGGGATCTGACTGTTATCCGCAGTATGGGAATCATCATTCTGGGAGGCGATGTTCGGGAATTCATGATTCTTCGTTCCTGCCAGTTCATTTGGAGTGGACTTGTCACTCGTTGCTGCATTAGTCGATGCATCGGAACCATCCTGCTGGGTCGCGCTAGTCTGTGAGAGCATTAGTAGCAGAATCACCGAGGCCATTATGTGCACTGTCATTTTTGACCAAGTGGATACACGGTACTCACCATAAAATGAGTCGTAATCCGGACATTATTATGGGCTTCTGCCATCCTCTGGATCAGTACAGCCAGACCCTTCTCCAGGCTATGTTATCGTCAGTTAACTCTCAGGGGATGAGGCGGAGTGAGGAACGACATACGCTTGCTCATTCTCGGGGAAGAAACAGCAATCATCATGCATCACTCGATCCTCGAGAAGATACTTGGCCCGGTTCTCTTCATTGCCCCAATACTGGTGGCCGTGATCCTTGAGGAAGACCTTGGCACAGGTGAGTCGGTGGAGATCATCTTGGAGCTCAATCCAGGAGGGACGGTTCTCAATTTTCTTGGTGAGCTGCTGGCAAAACTCATGCCAGTGCTCAGTCTTGATGTCAAAAAAGTCACGAAAGACTTCCAGGTCGCTGGTGCTGGTCAAGGCACCGCTGCTCACCAGGTTTGTGAGGTGCTTGGTTTTGTTTTCATGGCGTGTGGGTGCCATGTTGAAGAAAGGGTTCAGGAGAGGGTTCAAGAGAGGATTCAAGAGGGGGCTCGAAAGATGGTTCGAGAGATAGTTGGGGAGACGATTGGAGAGATGGTTGGAGATGGAGGGGGGTTCGGACGTAAAGAGAGAGGAGGAATAATCGGACGTGAAGGTGATAGGACGGATGAGAAGTGAGATGGGACGAGATGAGAAGTCACGATGGAAGCCTGGATTGAAGTGAGAGCTATCTATGCCTGAATTTAAAACAAACAAATCCACTTGGGCAGTTCAATGACCTGCTTATCACTTGTTTTCGAAACAACTCTCAGATAGATTTCAATTAAGCTATAACTTTATAATGAATGATATAACAGGACCTTGAAAAACACCCAAGTTTTATTCCAATAAAAAGGTATATTCACGCTATTGGAAATTCACAGACAACACACATGCATATTCAACTAAGTTTAGTAAGTCAACTCAGATCCCATCATTCTGCACCAAGGTAACGCAAAGAATTCTTCAATTCTTTGATCGCAGTGTTGACATCGTCAAATGTCAGTGCAGATACGGCCCATCGGGCATGTTTTTGAGCAAGAGCGATAGAATTATCATCTACTGAATGAGATGGCTGGCTTGAGGTAGAAGGCACTGAAGGTACAGGAGCAGGAGCGAATGATGACGGTGCAGGGGACGCTGCTGCCGCTGCAGGGGCGGGAATGTGTGCACTAGCGGTTGATGTATCGTAGAATGAGGCGGGATCAGGACTGGCGCTAGATAGGTTTGAGGGTGGCGGAGGGAAAGATTGAAAGGTGTTGGTTGGAGGACTTGTCGAAGATTTGGTGAATCCAGGTGTATCAGGTAGCTGAGGAATAGAGGATGAGTTCCCAATTGTGCCTGGGGTAGAAGGAAGCTCCAGGCCTCCAGAGTGGTCGATATCCATCCTCTGTGGAGGAGAGCCAGGTGCATTGAGAGGGACAGAGGGGATTTCTAGTGGAGCGCCAGAAGGAGGCAATGAAGATGTTCGGGATGGATGTAAGGATTCGTCCAGTGAAGATTGATGAGCCATATGTCGTCCAAGACGGTCGGCCTCGTCAGGAACTTCCTCAACAGATGCTTGTCTGGGCTTAGAGGCCTGCTCTGCCACTGATTCATCAAAGGCCTGTATATCTGAGCTTTCAATCTGAGCTTCACCCTCCTCTTCTTCCTTTGGAGCTGGGTTTGTTGCATTCGGATCTTCGCCGGCTTTGATCGCTTTTGCAATGCGGATTGCATGGTATTTCGCAAATTTGATGCGCCCGGCGATTTCCGGATCTAACTCTCCCCAGTTTTCGCACAGCTCGAGGAAAGTTGCTGCAGCTTGAAAAGTATCGCCTGTCTGTCTAGAGCCAATGTATAAGTATCATGTGTATGAAGCAAGCTACTCCATTAGAACGTGAAGCTCACTTAGTGACCTTGTTGGCAGTCATAGCTGCTTCGGCACGATTAAAGACCTCCAATCCAAACTGCTCCACATATGCGCTCGCTGCGATGACATCGGTAACTGTTTCATTGTCCGGGTTATCGGTTTTGAACTATTTCCCTTGTCAGTCGGTATCGAGCGGGGGAGGGGTTGGAAAGTCCGACGAACTTGTTCGAGTTTATCCACCAGGTCTGTGGTGTATAATTTGGTTTCGTCATCAGAGACATGTAGCCCTCTCTCAATGATTTGGTTCACAATGTAGAAGTTGCCTGTCTGTGTTTAGCTTGGGACCTTGGTCGCGGTGCCTGGGCAATACTTACACCAGTAAGCAATGACTGGCTTGACCTTCTCGATTTGGGCCGCGCGTAAGACAAATCGCCCAATATCGGCAGATCGTAGACTGGCAGGGATGTTTGCCATTGTGGAATTGTTATTGTTATTCAGGAGGCCTGGAGGGTTGAAAGTGGGGAAAGCAGTGCAGGCCAGATGACGTTTGGAGCTCGGGATAATCCCACCGCCCGTGCGGAGATAAAGAGGCTTATCGGCATACTATTATATAAAGCTAGTGTGACTATACCATAGGCAAGGACTGTGAAATGTAGTTTCTTATTACCAGAATTTCTAGGTAAGAGGTTGTTTTCAAGCATCTTGCACAATCCAGTCGCCAATTTCCACTCGTTCTTCGGCGAGTGCTTCCACTTCAAAATGATCTTCCACTTGACCACCAGGACCTCCGATTCGTTCAACAACTATCCACACTCTACTCCGTGGATCATGACTCGGTGATAAGTCAAAATCATCGATTCGAACTCCCGATGCAGCATCACAGTGAGACCCATCCTCAGACGCGGCAAGAGTCTCTTTGTAGGGTCCTTGTCCACGCTCCACGGTCATCAATACAGGTGAAGGTGCGACAGAGCGCGAACCAATAGTCGATCGTTTATTTCTTGCGATCAGCTTGATGCGAGTCAGGCGTGATACATTCAGTGATGCCAACATGCGGTCCTTTCCTGGAAGTAAAACTCCCACCCTAGATAGGGTTACTCGGCGACCAGCAGATTCAGAAGCCAAGGGCTGTATCACACAAGGAATGTCAGACGATACCCAGAGAGTGAAGCGCCCAAGCTGATCCGGGGCAAAAGTCGAGCAAACGATAGTATACACTCCCTTTTCGAGGGATCTCGTTTCAGCTAGTGCACATCCTCGACGGTAATCACCGCTCTCCGCAATCATATCCCGACTTCGCACTCTCGAGACTCGTTGCCCATTAGACCAGAAAAGCTTGACATGTGTTGCAAGTTCGGGATGACTCGCTTCAAGGAGAATGGATACATCAGTTCTTTCTGAGACTTGGAGGCTGAATTGTGGATTACACGAGTATCGAGCCGACTCCGCATTGCCGCCAGCGGTCGAGGGAGTCCAGGAGCCACTTGCTTTCTTCAAGCAAATATGTTTGTCTCGAGCTGGTGCGAGCGAAACTGGAGAGCTGGACAATGCGGAAAGGGTGAAGTTCTGACTGGCTGATGGCAGAGATTGCTCTGACACTACCACTGTGTAAGTTGTTCGTGGAGGCATATCGAGTCTCATGAGCGTATTTGGAGAATCCACATATGGTCCACGATGGAGTGCTCCATCGCTAAGAGAGACCCGTTTGCCATTCGCTTGGAATATGTAAATGCTGATAAAACCTGTTCCTTCACCTTGTTCGGCCTCGGAATTGGTAAGGTGGTCTGATTTGAAGTGCTTTCCCAAAAGAAGCCATACTTTGCCGCCAGCATCGCTGTGGACCGAAAACTGCGGATTTTTGACGAAGCATCCAGCAATGACACGGTCCTGTGAAAGGTCCCAGGTGAAATGAATGTCCTCACGGTATCTGAATAGGGCCGGGTTCCAATTAAGGTAGAGGTTCTCGAAATTCTGCAATACTTGCTCGCAGTCCATCCAGAATGTTCCTGGTGAGAGGAGCGAGTGTGATGATGAATGCTCCTTCGAATCAGCCCTGGTAATCTGGGCTGCCGGTTCTGCACCAGCCCAGGGGTTTTTCAATAAGAACTGGCGGCGTCCGCTGATTTCTTTCATGTCCAAGATCGCATAGTCGTGTTCGCTCACCAATCCTAGACCTTGCTGTTCAAGCTCTGTCAACTTCCCCGTGCCAATAGTAAGCACCACATCTCCACCTGAAAATGATGGGTATAGCCTGCCCCATATCTCATCAGAGGTAGCATCATCATGGTGCAAGAAAACCTGCTCCGGGATCCAGCCAGTGAGCACCCAGAGATCTGTCCCCGAGTTACTTCCAGGAAAGTCATAACCTCCACGGATCTTCAAGTACGCCTTTTCCACCAGGGCCGGCCATAGGAAGTTGGGGTTGTTACGATCAATGACGTGCAATGATCGTTCAGTATTGGAAGATGGAAGCCGATCATCAATAACAACTTTTCGGAAACTCCCATTGAAATAGAAAGAGAATATGTATTTTCCTGAAGGCGACAACTTCGGTATCCTTGAATCATTTTCGCATGGATACATTAATGGTGAAGCGTGCTAGAATCGTCAGTCTCCCCAAACTTCCAGCAGAGATAGATAACATACCGTACCCAAGCCACGCTCCGATCGCGAAGTCGTGGCGCAAAGACTGGCAACGACAGAACAATCCGTTAAGACATCTTGCACGAGATCGACTGTGTTTGTAACGGCCATGAGAGGTTCAACCTTGGAGGCTGTCTGCTCAGTCTCCTCCCCCGCATTTAGTAAAGCTAATGGCCTCTTCCATCCTGCAAAAATATTATATTGGCATTTTGAGAGATGCAAATCTGGCGAGTCCCTGATGAATTGTCAGTCAAGGTTCTCATAATCAGTGTATTCTCAACGCATACGTATAAGGCTGGCCCTCGTGAGCTAGGAATTCCACAGCAGAAGGTGGGGACCCCCATGGCGGGAAAATAAAGCCGTTGATCTTCGCGTCCTCGAGCAAAATGATTTCTTCGCGCGTGGTAAGTCGTCGCTTGGATGTGGGGGGCCGCAACACAGGAAATGTTTTTGGGCGGGCGGCCGATTGCCAATCTTGAGCAGTCTTGATCTTCTCAGCCCTTGTCAAAAGTTCCTTGCATTTGGAATCTATAATCTTTTTGTCGTCTGTGGATGCCAGGCGCAAGGCTTTCATGTAAAGCTCCACGGCATCAATGGCGGCATCAAGTGCCGCCTTTTGAGAGGTCGCGCTAGCGATCTCACCCTCGGCCCTCTAACTGCTGGTTAGTCTGGGAGAACATGAATGATTATAGAAACGTCAGTTACCCTTGCTTGGGAAATATGAGAGTTCTGGGTCCCACTTGGTCGAGACATTTCAGATGGAATGACTCGGTTCGAGTCCTTGGTGGTTGGAAACTACTGTACCGACTGTACGACCTCGGCCCACCTCAATAAAACGCGATCCGCTAGTCGAAAGTAGTGGATACCCCACTAAACTGAACCAAAAGCTCAATCCCCAGTACTCTCATCAAGAATTGATTGATTGTTACACGCTGTCTTAAGAATTTATGCGCAGGCGTGAGAAGGAAGCAGACAGATTACAGCTTATTCTCTATTGAGCGTCGAGGTGGTTTGCCTGAGCTCTACTATTATGCGAGACGATTCAAAGTATAATAGTCCTCATCCAAGAAGATAGATGCTATAACTAGAAATCTTAGGTCATCAACGACCCATTGGATAATATGAATTCTGGAGGCATTAAGTAACAATCTAAGCAGCAACTTGACTACCGAACACCTGTTCCCCGACCTCTTCCCCGACCTCTTACCGGACCTCTTCCACGGCCTGCATTCGTAGCTGCCAATCGACGTGCACGCTCTTCCTCAACACCATCCAGTACTTGTTTCGGCGTCTCCCCCGCTGCGTTGACCACTTCTTCGGAGGCGCCAGAATCTGACAGGATTTGAATGATAAATCCCGCTTGTAATGCAGTGCTTGCCTGAGACGTTCGTTTATCTCCTCGCGATTTCCAGGTTCTTCCATTCTCTTGATTATTGTGCCCTTCATCGCTTCATGGAGAGGGGTATTCCCCTTTAGGTCGACAGCATTAACATCTGCACCACGAAGCACGAAGTGGCGAATAGCGTCAACTTGATCCAGATGCCTCACTAGGTAGTGAAGCGCCGTGCAACCTAAGTCATCTTTTTCGTTGATATGAAGATGATCCAGCATCCGGTCAACCCCGGATGAGGTAAGGATAGATTCCAGCCAACTAATGCTGCATAGTTTTTGCAAAACATTTCGTCCAAGATTATCACATGCTCGTAGATCGGCTCCATTTTTGAGCAGGATCTTTAGTATCTCTGATACAATTTCTAGATCACCGGGAACAAATTGATGTTGCTCCAATGCCTCGCCAAGAGCGATGGCACCAACATTGTTCCGGAAGTTTAGTGTGTCGGGAAGCTGATTAGTGTGTAGAAGGAGTTTGATTGCCCCAATATTCGCCCCATGACCCGTGTTGTTGTGGAGAGCGTAATGGAAGACAGTGGCGCCATGCCGCTCACGCGTGTAAACAGAATCTGGTTTGATATCTAGGAGCAATTTAAGAGTGCCGTTCATCCGTGACGATATGTCATCTGAGTTGGCTGAGTCGGCATAATTGCTTGAAATACCGGTCAAGGCCCAGTGGAGAGGGTGCCGGCCGTAGCTATCGAGCCCAACTACCATATCCGCTGCCTCGACCTCGCCACGATGATCGATGAGAGCCCGGATAGCTTCAACGTTCCAGGACAGGGCGGCAATATGCAATGCGGTTACATTATGTGCGTGTGTTATCTCGAATAAAGGCCCGCCTGTCCAGTTCTGGCGGCCGTGCACGTCCGCGCCCTTGGCAATTAGTCGCGATACCAATTCATAACCTGCGTAGGAGACCGCGTCGCCAAGCACAGTTCCTCTCGGCATCGGAACACAGTCTGATTCATCCTGCTCGTCTGCTTCGTACCACTCATCATAGAGATTGGTCTCCAGAGAACAGTCATTGTCCAAAAGCCAGCTGATAAATGACTCAATGCGCTTGCAATGCTGATGCGCCGTTTGACTGTCTGCAGGCTTGGCCTCTAACGCCGAATTGCCAGCTTCTTTGAGCGCCTCAGCCGCTCGTAATAGAGCTGTTTGACCCTCGAAGTCGTGGTCGTGCAATTTCCCCAGCGGCGGATCATGGTCCATTAACCACAATACCATTTCTCGGTTAGCAGTCGCACAAGCCTCTATAACGGGAGAGTGGAAGCGTTTGAGGTAGTCCTCTAGGGTCTCTATGAGCTCTGAATCGGAAAGATAGATCCGAAAAAGCTCACGCAGGACATCAAAGCTGTCACTCTGAATAGCAATGTGGAACGGGTTGCTGTCATCAAACTCGTATGCTTTACAGAAGACTCTGGTGTGGGCGCACTCGTTGTACGAGTTCAAAGCCGTCAGTTCATTTCGTCTAATTATTGTGCAAAGCAGACCCTGGTCGGAGTACTCATATATAGGTGATCCATCTAAGTCGTGGAACACGGGTAATGGGTTCGAACGATAATGTGGACGATGGAAGTGGGCATATGCCATCATGCACCGTGAATCTGTGATGAATCTGATGATGCACGGTAAGATCGGCGAAGAGGAGGGGCATGAAAGTACAGCTAAAGCGGAATAGTGGGGAATTTGGAAAAGAAAAAAGGACGGTTTCAAACTTGATGTCTCTATAAGAATCTACCAAGGAGCTAATCCATTATAGACCAGTAAGCGTCTCGTCAACAAACGATTGACTCTGGTACTACACACGATGTTTCCCAGGTGGCATTTTGCACTCATGCCCAGGTGAGTCATGTTTCATGAGAAGTATTAACAGAGTGAGATGATTATTAGGATCAGCGGCCTATGAACCTTGGAAATTTCATAGAGAGAAGGGGGAGATATCACATGATACTCGTAAGTCTTACTCTTACTAGTACATATGCTCAGGTGATATTTCCTATCTGAACCCCGCATGTTCGACCCGTGGACCTGTTAGTCCCTCGATCCTCTTCCAAGGTTTGTCACAACATTTGAATTACAAGAATGAGTAACACAATATCATTCGGTCATTCTAATCAGGGAGTGCAATCGGGAATTAACACTGGCACTATAAATACTCACTTCAATATCCACGCAGGTAGTGTTCATGGTTTTCCAACTTTGATGACTCCACTAACGCGAAGTATCTAGACCCTTTAGACAAACTTCCAATCGCGCTTGGGGCTGAGTTGGATTCGTATGTGGACCAGCATGAACCTGTATGTCTTCCAGGTACTCGAACCGATCTACTCCACAACATTAAAGAGTGGTCCGTGTCACCGCACGCAAAATGTATCTTTTGGTTGAATGGCATGGCCGGAACAGGGAAGTCAACCATTTCCCGAACAGTCGCAAGATCTTTAGAAAAGAGTCTACTGTTAGTGAGCTTTTTCTTCAAGAAAGGTGAGGGTGATCGAGGCAATGCCACCAAACTCTTTCCCACAATTTCCAGGCGATTAGCGATTTCCATTCCCGATCTGGCCGTGGGCCTTAGGGAAGCACTCTCTATTGATCCCGATATCCCAATGAGATCACTGAGAGAACAATTTAAAAGACTCCTGCTTCAACCTTTGCAAGGCTTACAGACAGCGAGCTCCCAGATCCCGGCAATAGTCTTGATCATAGATGCTCTGGATGAATGCGAAAATGACAATGATATACGCCTTATACTTCAACTTCTACCGCAGGTGCAGCAGATCACTGCTATTCAACTTCGTATTTTCTTAACGAGCCGGCCTGAAATGCCAATTCGCCTTGGGTTTTCAAAGATGGCAAATCATGACTATCAAGATATTGCTCTCCATGAGATCCCTGATGAAGTTACTTCGCATGACATATCTATTTTTCTCAAAGACCGGTTCAAGAAGATTCAAGATGAGAAACATGTTCCTACTAGTTGGCCTGGGGAGGACATGATTCAATCTCTTGTTGAAATCTCCGTTCCATTATTTATCTCAGCAGCAACTATATGCCGATTCATAGAGTTGAAACTCAATCCTATGAGATGTCTTGCTGATCTTATGAAAGATCAAACCAAGTATGTCACCAAAATGGACAAGACATATCTACCAATTCTCATGCGACTTCTACATGGACAAGAAGACGAGGAAGATGCCAGTGAGGTTCTTCAATTGTTCCATCAAGTGATTGGCCTTATAATTCTTCTTGCTATCCCACTTTCTGTCAATGCACTTTCAAGACTTCTTGAGCTTGAGGCAGAGGTTTTAACAAATCTACTAGATCAGTTTCAATCTGTTCTCAGTCTGCCAAGTGACCAGAATATTCCTGTTCGAATCCTTCATCTTTCATTCAGAGATTTTCTGCTTCAAACTAGCAGCGAATTCTCCGTGAATGAGGAGCATACTCATAGAGAGATCATGATTCGTTGCCTTACTTATATGCGTCTGAAACTGAAGAAAAACATCTGCAACCTTGAAAGCGCTGGAACTGAAAGAACTGAAATCGACCCGGTGTTGACCACTCAGTGTCTACAGCCAGAGCTACATTATTCCTGTCGGTACTGGATTCACCATCTGGAATACTGTACTGATCAAGGCCACATGCTTAACCAGGCACTCCTGTTTCTTGAAGAACACTTCCTTCATTGGATAGAAGCAATGAGTTTGCTAGGTATTGTATCAGAAGTTGTTGAGGTGATCGACATCCTTCGAAAAATTGCAGAAGTAAGCCTTTTCTATGAATTCTTCTAAACAGTTGTCACTGATATTTACGAAAGAAGGTTAACCACCATTCACCAATCCTTGATTTTATACATGATGCAAAGCGATTCGTTCTCAAGAACTATCAGATAGTCGACAAAGCACCCCTTCAACTTTATTGTGCAGGGCTAGTGTTTGCACCTGAGACTGCGATCATTCGCCAAATATTTCAAGCAGAGCTTCCTTCTTGGATAGAACATTCCCAGAAAGTTGAGAAACAATGGAGCGCAGAATTACAAACACTCGAGGGCCATTCAGGTAAGGTTCTCTCAGTGGCCTTCTCGCCTGACGGCCGGCTGCTGGCATCTGGTTCTGCTGATAAGACTGTGCGTCTCTGGGACCCAATAACAGGTGCCTTGCAGCAGACGTTTGATGGCCATTCCGGTGAGGTTCTCTCAGTGGTCTTCTCCCCCGACGGCCGGTTGCTGGCATCTGGTTCTGCTGATAAGACTGTGCATCTCTGGGACCCAATAACAGGCGCCCTAAATCAGACACTCGAGGGCCATTCAGGCGGGGTTCTCTCAGTTGCATTCTCGCCCAACAGCAGGCTATTGGCATCGGGCTCTCGTGGCAAGACCGTACTACTCTGGAATATCATAACAGGTACTTCACGACAGGTGCTTGAAAATAATTCTATGTGCATTGACTCGGTGGCTTTCTCTCCCGATGGTCAGTTTCTTGCGTGTGGCTGTGGGGATCAGCAAATACGACATGGGGGATCAGTGCTACTCTGGGACCTGACAGCAGATACTCTAGAACGAAAATTTGACTTGTATTCGGCTGGGGCTGGAATGGTTGCTTTTTCGCCTGACGGCGCTTTACTTGCATCTGGTTCTGAGGGCGAAGCTGTACGGCTCTGGGATTTAGCCACATGTACACTGCAGCAGAGCATTGACGGAAATTTACTGGGGGACAATGTAGTGGCTTTCTCTCCTGATAGCCGACTGCTTGCGTCTGGTACTAGTGATGGGGCCCATATAATTGATGCTGTTCGACTCTTGAACCCAGCTACAGGCGAACTACAGCAGATGCTCAAGGGCCACTCTGATGTGATCTACTCAGTAGCCTTTTCACCTGATGGCCGCCTGCTTGCATCTGGCTCTGCAGATCAGACTATACGGCTCTGGGATTTAACCATGGACGCATTCCAGAGGACTCTTACAGGTCATCAGGAATTGGTAAGTTCGGTAGTGTTCTCACCTGATGGATATTTCTTGGCATCCTGCTCTGATCAACGTATATGCCTCTGGGACCGAGCAACGGGTACACTGCAGCGGATACTTGAAGGCCATACAGAAGCCGTCGAGTCCATTTCTTTCTCACCTAACAGCTGTCTGCTCGTTTCTGGCTCTCTTGACAAGACACTACGCTTCTGGGACCCAGCCACAGGTAAACATCAGCAGACACTCGATATTCATGAAATTTCGAACTTGAATGATCCAATTGTTTTCTCACCAGATAGTCAGCTAGTACTACTCTACAGTAAGAAAATCATACAGCTATGGAATATAGCTACAGGTTCACTACAGCAGACACTCGAGAGCTCCCGGCCAGGTAGGCCTAAGTCATTGCTCTTTTCACCTGATAGCCATCAGGTAGCATCTGGTTGGGTGAATCACATTGTACAAGTCTGGGATCTAGCTCAAGGCACATTGAAGTACACACTTGAAGGCCATTCATCCGGGGTAACCTCGGTTGCATTCTCATTCGATGGCCGCCTGCTTGCATCCAGCTCTCACGATGGTACCGTGCGTCTCTGGGATCTAGCCACAGGTGCATTGGAGCAAACACTCCAAGTTTCTCCAGCCACGATTGATACAATGGCCTTCTCGCCTGATGGTCAGCTTCTAGTAGCTGCTGGCCGTCGGCGTAGGACCATAAAGCTGTGGAATCTGGCCAAGGGTGTATTACAGCAGACACTTGAGGGCCATTTAGATGGGATTCTTTCATTGGTCTTCCCCCCTGATGGCCAGCTACTGGCATCAATCTCCATTGGTCGAACTGTTCACCTTTGGAATTTGGACACCGGCAAATTACAGCAGTCACTTGCAGACGATTCAGCTGATTCTGGCTCACGAGTCTTCGAGGCCGACAGCCTTCCACTAGCCTTTTCACCGGACAGCCAGATACTAGCATATGGGTCTCGGGATCACGCTGTGCATCTCTGGAACCCAGCCACGGGTACACTGCAGCGGACTTTCAGGGGTCATTCAGACATTATCACCTCAATAGTGTTTTCACCTAATGGTGAGCTACTGGCATCTAGCTCTGCGGATCAGACCGTATGTCTATGGAATATAAGTACAGGTGCGCTACACCAGACGCTCAGGAGTGCCTCGGGTGCAATTCGCTCAGTGGCTTTCGCAGCCGACAGCCAGCTAGTAATATCGGGCTCTCAGAATCAGAGTATACAGCTCTGGGACCTGGATACAGATACACTACAGCAAGCACTGGAAGACCATCCATCCAAGTACCATACAATGGCTTTCTCATCTAGTACTGACAGCATGCTGTTAGCATCTGGTTCTGAAACTTATACTGTGCACATCTGGAATATAGCCAAAGGCATTTTACATCAGACACTTGAAGGCCATTCAGCTAAGGTTAGTGCAATAGCTTTCTCGCCTGATAGCCAGCTCCTGGCTTCTGCCTCTTCCGACAATACGGTACGACTGTGGGACTTGTCTACCGGCGCGGTGCAACAGATACTCAAGGACCGTCTTCATGCAAATTGTTCCAAGCTTGAATCATTAGCCTTCTCACCTGATAGCCAGCTACTGGCGTTCTCATCTAGTGATAGGACTATAACGCTATGGCACATGGCTACAGACGCACTAACGCAGACGCGCCCGCTTCATCAAATTCCCCAAAATATTAGTTTCTCTCAGGATGGGCTGTATCTGACTACCAGTGCGGGTATTCTCCATGTTCAGTCTCAGTTTGATAATTCCATACCTCGTTCACACCAGACACTGGAAATATTCATCGACAATGAGAACTGGATATGGAGGAATAAGGAGAAGGCTGTATGGCTTCCGCCTGAGTTTCGGCCTACATGTTCTGCAGCTCATGGCAGCACGCTTGCTTTAGGGCATCACTCTGGAAATGTTTCTTTTATCAGATTTGTCTCTTAGTCTTCTCATATTTCAGTCTTATCTTAGATGACTCCTCTCTTAGAACCAACATTTGAAACATAGTTCACATACGACATCAATTGATATGTTCCAAGGTTGTCCAATACTAATTAAGAGCGGGATTCTAATAGGCTTCAAATGTGCTGATGGCGATGATGCATATGTGAATCGCCTGTTGTTGTCTGCGCTATCAGGCCGCTTTAAGTGTAAGGTATGTAAAACCTGAAATTCCTATTTGTATTCCAAGGTTATGATACCTAATGCTCAGATATTCCAGGTACTCAGTATACAATCTCATGCCTACTATGTAGTAGTAGTAGTGCCTCATTTGAGGTCTGTCTCATCCGATAATGAAAGAATGAGACCGGAAAGAGGATACCCGAAGCGACCCATCCTTATTCCATAGACTCAGCCTATTTCCAAGGATTCAAGCAAGAATAAGATCTGATAATTTTTGAAGAATCCACTTTGTGGGCACAGGAGCCCTGGAGCGCGGTGAAACGGTTGCTGACTCACCCATTCAGTGGACCTCGGCTCGTTCGTCACCGCGCAGCGCCGAGGTTTGCGGCCCCAGGAATCTTGTGGTAGACCGGTAATCAAGGTCATGATCTTCGGGAGTCATCGGTTACCATGTACTGAATTTGACTTTTCCTGAGATCTTTTGTGATTCCCAGTTCTTGCCCGTGTTCATCTCAACTCGCCAACATTCCATCTCACCGGTCTTCGGCACAAGCGACGTCTTAGGTCCATAGAGGCCCCGCTCGGTTTCCCCTTTCGCTCATTTCGATCCTGATCTTTTTTTTTCGCTCGTCTCTCTTCGCTCGGTGTCTTGGTTTTGATTTCATACATACACTATGTCAGGTCAATCGAAAGCTGCACGCCTTTCCCCATGGGGCAGTGCGGTTGCAGGTGCAACTGGTGCGGTGTTGGCCAATTCGATTGTATACCCATTGGATCTGTGAGGAGAAGCCCCCACTCATTAGCCTAAACTTGGAATTGGTTTTTGTTGAGAAAATCGTGGTCAACTAACGTTACGACAATGTGAACAGTGTCAAGACGAAATTACAAGTCCAAGTAAAGCAGAAGGGAGCTGAGGCATCCGAGGATGACGAACACTATGAATCGACCATTGACGCGATCACCAAGATTGTGGAGAAGGAAGGACTCACCGGCTTGTACTCTGGCATTGCAGGCTCACTTCTCGGTGTCGCCTCCACCAACTTCGCCTATTTCTACTGGTACAGCGTTGTTCGCACTCTGTACATGGCTTCCAACAAATCACCCAAGCCTCCCGGAACCGCCATCGAGCTGAGCCTTGGCGCAGTTGCTGGCGCGGTAGCTCAGATCTTCACTATTCCAGTTTCTGTCATTACTACACGACAGCAGACGCAACCTAAGAGCGAGAAGAAGGGTCTGATTGAGACAGGTCGGGAAGTTGTTGAGAGCGAAGATGGCTGGACTGGACTGTGGCGAGGCCTGAAGGCCAGTTTGATTCTGGTTGTCAACCCTGCGATTACATACGGCGCATATCAGCGATTAAAGGATGTCTTCTTCCCAGGCAAGGCCAACCTGAAGCCCTGGGAAGCGTTCTGTGAGTATTGGAGTCTTGTCCCTCTTGTAATTCCTCTGTGCACATACTGATGGTAGTAGTCCTTGGTGCTATGTCCAAAGCCCTTGCAACAATCGCTACTCAGCCCCTGATTGTTGCCAAGGTTGGCTTGCAATCACGTCCCCCACCAGCTCGCAAGGGCAAGCCCTTCAAGACCTTTGGTGAGGTTATGAGGTATATTATTGAGAATGAGGGCGTTATGTCTCTTTTCAAGGGTATTGGACCCCAGATCACGAAGGGTCTTTTGGTACAAGGTCTACTCATGATGACCAAGGAACGGTACGTTTCGCCATTCTCTCCCAAGTGTTGTTTAATATGATCTAACGATAATCTCAGTATGGAACTGGCCTTCCTCGTCCTTTTTGCCTCCATCGCCAAAATGAGAAAGAACAAGCTCAAGAAGGTTGCAGACTCTGTTGTGGATAAGGCCACAACTAGCCTGCCTGCAACTCTGAAATAGAGTGCTTGTTCAAGTTGGTTTATGCCTTTCTATATGCTTTGATTTCCCTCTTCTCCTTTATAGCGTGATGGTTTTCTATTTCCTATTCTGTATTGTGGTCAATCAGTCTAGACGGTCTTTTTTGCGTGTGAAGATTCAAGTTCATGATCACAGATGGGTGGCAGCTTTTTCCAAGGAACTTTCATCTTGATAGATTTCATTGTATATATCCTTTAAATTTTGGAACAGCTCGGTTTTTTCAGGTTGATTTTATGATTGGTCTATGTAACCTTCAAGCTGTTAGACATCACTATCTTAATGCTCTTCGAGGCTGAAGAGGTCATTTGTAGAGTAAGGTGCTTTGGCAGGACCCGCAATGTATACAATCACGTATCTGCGGCAACGATCACTGACCGACAACCTTCCCGATTCCCCGCGGTGATCACCTCCCCTACATCCTCCACCTCTCACCAACAATAAGAAATTTCACCCTTTCTCCTCAAGTGCTATTGCAGGGGTATGGGTCGATATGAGATGGCCGCCATGGAGTTCCAAGTCACCCAATGACGACACACAACAAAACACCAGCTCCGCAAGCTCATCCTCCACGTCCACATCCACACCCCAGTCTCCAAAGAACCCTCTCGACTGGTCGGCTTTCATAGAGCTCAGAACTCTCATTCCTACCGTCCTACTTACGACCGGTATCCTGCTCGGTGTTCGTCTTCACCGTAGCTACCTCCGTCGAGTCCCCGACGCGCCTAGCATCTCAACCTCCTGGCTCCGTCGTCGCAGCGTATTTGGGAAGGTGACCAGCGTCGGCGATGGCGATAATTTCAGAATTTATCATACACCCGGTGGAAGGTTAGCTGGTTGGGGCTGGTTACCATGGAAGAAGGTTCCAACTACGAAGAAAGAGCTGAAGGATAAAACGGTATGTTCTACAGAGACCAGTCTTGAGATTCCTCCTAGTCTTAGCTCTGCACAGCTCTGGATGTTCCTTGAATTTTCACTTGCAAAGATGAGATTTGCTAATTCGTTGCCCTTTGTCTTCATAGATTCATATCCGTTTAGCTGGTGTAGACGCTCCCGAGCTGGCGCATTTCGGTCGTCCTGAACAACCTTTCGCCCGAGAGGCTCACACCTGGCTCACATCATACCTAACCAATCGGCGGATTCGCGCATCTGTTCATCGACATGATCAGTATAATCGTGTCGTCGCGAGTGTTTCCGTACGACGTGCATTTGATTTCCCGCCATTTCGACGACGAGATGTTTCATATGAGATGTTGAAACGCGGACTTGCAACTGTGTATGAGGCGAAGGTTGGTGCTGAGTTTGGGGGTGAGGCTATGGAAAAGAAGTATCGACGGGCAGAATGGTGGGCTAAGAAGAGATCTAAAGGCCTATGGAAAGACTACAAGCGCATTGGGTCTGATTGGGAGAGTCCCAGAGAGTATAAGACTCGCATGGGAATGGGAGATCTGGGGGATAAGAGTCCTACTTCGGGAAAGACGAAATAAGCTGACTTCGGTATTGTACACTGATGTATATGTATGCATGATGAGATATGACTACTTGTGTATATGGGAACTTGAACTTTTAAACCAAAGAAATGATTGTTTGATCCAGGCCGTCAACTTGAATTTTCATGAGACCTAGTTGGAGAGTATGACTATAGTACACGAAATCATAACTGTACAGTATTGCGCTCCAGCCGGGCTTGGGAGCTATCAGGGTATAATAATGCCCGAAGTAAAGAAAACCACAACTGCGAAGCACACACGAAATGGTATTTCGCAATGCTAAGAATGGAAAGAATATAGAAAATACCGTTATCGGAAGAGAAATCTATCTCAAGCTCTGTCTAGCAGAACCGTCGCTCAACCTCCGCAAACAGTTGCGGTGAAATCTCGTCACTGCTGTTTCCTTCAACGCGCCAAAGGCAACCGCGACGATCGTAATGCTCAAGCAGGGCTCGGCTTGTTTCCTCGAACTTGCGCAGGCGTTGCTTCCATGTATCGATGGAATCGTCCTGTCGCTGGGTGAGTGGTTCACCGGTGACATCGTCCTTGCCGGGAACCTTGGGCGCATGGAAGTCTGTGTTGTATACACGACCGGAGGGCTCATGAACCCAGCGCGAGGCAATCCGAGAGAGAATTACTGAGGGGGAGTAACAAGGTGTACGACGAAGTTGACGGGAACGAGGGTATCCAAGCTTGTTGCTTGAGGAGCGGTACGAGGGAATCCATCGAGGATAAAAGAAGCGGTGGGAGATAGTGTTAAGGATTCGCGAGCTGAGGATGATGTAGAGATTGAAGAGGACGATTGTGTCGATGGGGTAAGCCAGCCCTTGGATTTCAGTTCGGAGGAGATGAGGTTGAGTATCATTGAGTCGGGGACAAGGTTGCCAGACTGCATTGCAGCCTCAGCTTCAACACCTATTTTTTATAGCAATTAGCATGCCATTGGCACTTCACGCAACTTCAATATGATGCCGGCGATCTTCAAAACTCACCAAGAGGTGTCCTTCGGCGCACATTCTCTCTGAGAAGGTCTCCGGAGCTAATAGAGGCCAGCTGCGGAAATCGAGAAAGCAAACGCTCAGACTGCGTGCCTTTTCCGACCCCGGGCGCTCCAATGAGAATAACCCGAGCAGCTTTCTGGAGCTGCCTGCTGTGCGACATCCTCGAAATCTGAAGTTTAGAGAACGTGATATGGTGTTGTGGTTTCTCGTGACTCGTCTATAAAATTGTAGAGGTGCGTGCGTTCCTGGAACTGCCGCGTAGATGACAGGATGACGAGGAATGTTGAGTCTGCGGAAAGTACGGAGTAGATCAGAGGGGCTATCGATGCATCACCAACTTGAAGGAACTCAACAACTGAGGGTAAGTACCACCTGGGCAGCAGAGAACCAATTAATAATTGATTAGCGCTTATTACCTACCCCCGAGTCCATTCCCCGTTAATTCCGTGGGGTATATAAGGTCTCCGGGTTCTCTATCCTTGGTCCCCGGTGAACCAGTACTCCGCAGGAGAATATTTGGAAGTACTCCGTAAACCTCGAGTCGTTATGGAGATTTATATCTATCAGTGTATCTATACTCCGTACATGCACGAGCAAAACAAGTGGAGAATTTCGGCTTTTACATAGAACTCGGACCAATTTATCACATGCGTTTGACTTGTGACTAAATGCAGCGTTGTTAAATGGACACCCCTATCTAAATTGGGCTTAGCCTATGCACTGTCGTACATACATCAGGATTAGTGGTGCCTTGATTATAAGGTATCATCACACGTGACTCCGGGTCGCGTGAAGCGCGTCGCGTCGTAAATTAGTGATGCGATAAGCCATCCCAGTCCAACTAGTGAAAGAGGCATACCACTTCTGGGTAAAGTCGACATCATGATTCGACAGGACATTAACAGAATCGACCCAAAGCGTCGAGCAACGATTGATCACAAGAAGAGACAGTTTGCTACGCCTACCTACAAGCAACAAGACTACCCACATCGGTTGAATCTGTACGACACGCCGCCAACGGCAGAGATCACCCTCGAGCAGTTTGAACAATGGGCCATTGATCGCTTGAGAAGTAATATCATCAGACGTGCCGGATCTTATACTTCATACTAATGGTCCTTATATAGTCCTTGCCGAGATTGAGGCATGCTCATATCGCAACAAGACCCCCGCGGAGACTGCTTCACACATTACTCCTCTTCTCCAGAAATACCTTCCTCTATCCTCTAATACCTCTTCTCCAAACGGTGCCGCAGACCAGCGTCTGAAAAATGAACGTCAAAAAGATCACTACTCACACTTTATCCTCCGGTTGGCTTTCTCGGCCACGGAGGATCTCCGTCGACGATTTGCTCGTGCGGAGACCATGCTCTTCCGCTACCGCTTCCAACAAGATGATTCACGAGAGCGACGAGCATTTATTGACGGGTTGAACCTGGATTGGGAGCCCGTTAGCGACGAAGAAAGGGCCGAGGTGGCTGAGAACTTGCTCAGCTCGACACCGGGACTGCGTCGACTGGACGAGGAAACATGGTACAAGGTTGACTGGGAAAAGGTTCCGGAGTTGGTAGAACGACGCGCAGTGTTTGTAAAGAGAGGGAAAGCCTATGTTCCTGGCAGAGAACAACTTGCTATGATCATGGCTGAGTTCACTGCCCGTCTAGAACGAGCACTGGAGGTATGTCTGAACCTCAATTGAAGAATTTGAGAAATTGACAAGCCTTGCTAACCATGTCGATTTCTACAATAGCTTACTAGCCGCGCCCTGCCTCGATTAGACGAGGATGACCGCCTGACTCCCATTCTGAACCACCTTTCCAAGAACTTCGGTAGCGCCGACTCCGTGTTCTCCGAGGGTGAGGGACATGTCGATGGAGGAGCAATCACAGCCAGTTCCATTGACCAACTCTCTCAACATTTCCCGCTTTGCATGCGCAGCTTGCATATCAACCTACGCAAGAACAACCACCTGAAGCACTTCGGGCGATTGCAGTACACATTGTTCCTTAAAGGAATTGGTCTTTCATTGGAAGAGTGTATCCTGTTTTGGCGTCAGTCCTTCAAGGGAAAGACGGATGACGAGTTCAATTCCCAATATAAGTACAATATCCGTCACGCCTACGGAGACGTTGGTGGTGACGCCCGCCGAGGTCGAGGATACCCGCCTTATTCATGCCAGAAAATCCTGGGCGATAATAACGTGGGCATCGGTCAAACACACGGCTGTCCGTACCGCCATTACTCCGTCGATAATTTGGTTGGACTGCTTCAGTCAACGGGTGTGCACGATAAAGGCGTTTTGCGCGAGGTGCGGGACGATGTCGGCAAGCAAAGATATCACATTGCCTGCAACCGAGTTTTCGAATGGTCTCACAGGAACGAGATCAAGAAGGTCAAGGATGATGGAACATGGAGCCAAGCCGATCTGGATACCATCGTACATCCTAACGTCTATTTCAAGCGCAGTTACTTACTGAAGCAGCTGGCTAAGCCACCAGGTCGAGACTAATCTTACTCTTATCCTCTTGCAAGGTTTATTTTTCTTCCTCTTTTCTTCTTGTGAAATTGTTTAATGATGTTATGTTGGCCCTCCATCCTGTTTTGAGGTCACTCAATGGGCGTTGTCGGCGTGAAGAATTTGTACAGTTTGTTCCGGAGAAGCATCTAGGTAGGATTGCGTTTTATTTTTCAAGGCACGATAGCATAAGCAAAGATTCTTCATTCCCAAATTCTTCATCTCAATTGTGTAAAGTAAAAAAGATAATATATTATAAGGGATGTCTGTGACCACAGCTGATTCCCAGTAAATCCGAAAGGATCAGAATGACCTTTCAAAACCAGGTGCCCAGCAACGGGTCAAGTCGATCTCCGCTCGACGCGAAAACAACTTCAATCATGGAAAGATAGAAGCTGTCGATAATAATGTGAATTTTTTAGTCGGCGTGAATAATTAAAAGAGAAAAAGAAAGAAAAAGAAATTTTGCGGGAGAATTTAATCATGTTTGTTCGGGAAGCGGTAGCGACCATTAGCGCTGCAACCTGGCCTTAATGGGGGGAGAGCCACTCCCTCACACAACTCCCTCCACCAGTTCGATCATCTCCCCGAAAGCTGACGTCGGGGTTTTTGTTATTGGGATAAGGGTTAACTCCGGTGTGGTCTTTTGATCTGGAGTCCTCTTGGTATAGTCCCTACACCGAGATATTGGCTTCTTTATTTGCTCTATCTTAAACACCCCTCCCCTTGATCAATACCGAACCCCGAATCCACCCATCCACTACCTCACTTCTCATTATGGATTTTGAGGCCCTGAAGGATCAATGGAGCGATGTGGAGGAGCGCGATGGTATCCGGCTGAGTTGGAACACTTTCCCGAGCTCTCGCATGGTGTGTAAATAATGGAGCCCTGCTCTATATCATCCCCCTCAATATCACGTTCGTCCCACTAAACCCCGGATTTAGGAAGCCTCCCGCCTAGTCGTTCCCATTGCTGCTGTTTACACGCCTCTTAAGGAGAAGCCCGATTCACCATTGCTTCAATATGAGCCTGTTACTTGCAAGCAACCCTGTCGGGCTGTTCTCAACCCATATGCGTATGTGTGCCCGCATTATTGACGCATCCCGGAACGTGCATGAAGCTGACCCTGTCGCCCAGTACTGTCGATATTCGCGCGCGTATCTGGATCTGTCCTTTCTGTCTGATGCGCAATCCTTTGCCTCCTCATTATAAGGATATCACCGAAAACACGATACCCCCCCGAGCTCCACCCCCAGAGCACCACGATCGAGTACCAATTGGCACGCCCGGCTCCGGCCCCGCCAATCTTCCTTTTTGTTGTCGACACTTGCCAGGAGGATGACAGTCTGCAGGCAGTCAAGGATTCGCTTATCATGAGCTTGTCTCTACTGCCTCCCAATGCGCTGGTCGGTCTGATCACATACGGAACTATGGTAGGCGCAACACCTTTTTCTTCCTCTGAGATATTGAGAATTATGTGTACTGACAGCTGGTATGTATAGGCCCAAGTGCATGAAATCGGCTACACCGAGTGCGCTAAGTCTTATGTGTTCCGCGGTAACAAGGACTACACTGCCAAGCAAGTCCAGGAGATGCTGGGTCTCGCCCACGGTGTTCGCCCCGGTGTCCCACAACAACAACAACCAGCTCGCGCCCCTCTCCCTCCCGCGGCGCGATTCCTCCTCCCCGTTCAGCAGGCCGAGTTCCAGATCACAAATATCCTTGAGCAGTTGCAACATGACCCCTGGCCCGTAGCCAACGATAAGCGTCCTTTGCGTTGTACTGGTGTGGCTCTGAGTGTTGCGGTTGGCTTGTTAGAAAGCTCCTTCCAGAATGCCGGCGCTCGTATCATGAACTTCGTCAGTGGTGCTGCTACTGAAGGTCCTGGTCATGTTGTTTCGCCTGAGTTAAAGGAACCTATCCGTTCACACCACGACATTGACCGTGATAACATTAAATATTACAAGAAGGCCGTCAAGGTGAGATTTGCAATGGCTTATTCATTATTTTCTTTTTCACTGCTAACATTCATTCCAGTTCTATGACAACCTCGCCAAGCGCGCTGCCAACAACGGGCATATTGTTGATATTTTCGCGGGATGTCTTGACCAAGTTGGTCTTTTGGAAATGAAGAACCTCTCCAACTACACAGGTGGTCACATGCTTTTGACGGATAGCTTTACCTCATCTCAGTTCAAGCAGTCATTTATTCGAGTCTTTGACAAGGATGCCAATGATAACCTTCTGATGGGCTTTAACGCCTCATTGGAGGTCCTCACAACCAAGGAGCTGAAGGTAACCGGTCTTATTGGTCACGCAATCTCTCTCAACAAAAAGTCGAGTTCCGTTGGTGAGACCGAGTGTGGTATTGGAAACACCTGCGCCTGGAAGATGTGCAGCATTGATCCATCATCAAGCTATGGTATCTACTTTGAGATTGCCAACCAGGGCGGTCCAGCTGCTCAGCAGCCTGGTCCTCAAAGAGGTATGATGCAGTTCTTGACATACTACCAGCACTCATCTGGGCATTACCACCTCCGCGTGACCACTACTGCCCGACCACTGAGCGGCCCCGCTGGTGATCCGACATTGGCACAGTCCTTTGACCAAGAGGCTGCGGCGGTGCTCATGGCCCGAATTGCCGTTTTCAAGGCGGAGGTCGACGATGGCCCAGACGTTCTCCGATGGGTTGATCGCATGTTGATCAGGCTTTGCTCTCGTTTTGCCGACTACCGAAAGGATGACCCAACATCATTCCGACTGGAGAAGAACTTTACTCTCTACCCTCAGTTTATGTTCCACTTGCGTCGAAGCCAATTCTTGCAGGTGTTCAACAACTCTCCCGATGAGACTGCATTTTACCGCCACGTCTTGAACCACGAGGATGCTGGTGACTCCCTCGTCATGATTCAACCTACTTTGGACTCCTACTCCCTGGAGGTGGAAGGCAGCCAGCCTGTGTTGCTGGACTCTGCATCCATTCAACCCCAACACATCCTGCTCCTCGACACTTTCTTCCACATTCTTATCTTCCACGGAGAGACAATTGCCGAGTGGCGGAAAGCTGGCTACCATGAGCAAGAGGGTTATGAGAACCTTAAGGCTCTTCTGGAACAGCCCAAGGAAGACGCTAGAGTTCGTTTCATCCTTCATACCTACTGATTTATTAACCGTACTAACTGTATATTACAGGAACTCATTTCCGACCGATTCCCTCTGCCCCGTTTCATTGTTTGTGATGCCGGCGGTTCACAAGCCCGTTTCCTTCTGTCGAAGCTGAACCCATCAACCACCCATACCTCTGGAGGTTATGGTGGTGGAGTATCGTCGCAAACTATCTTCACCGACGACGTCTCTTTGCAGACGTTCATGGATCACCTGATGAAGTGAGTTTCACCAGTGAACTTCTGTTTCCGAGCATACACTAATTATTCAATAGGCTTGCGGTATCTGGTACCAGCTAGTAATTTACGAGATGATAGCCATGAGAGCAAAGGGCGGTCTTTGACCCCTCGGGTCTTGTGTATCTTTAGCGGTGATTTAAATTTTTCATTTTTGCTTCGATATAGTAGTAGATTGAATGGATTGATACCAGTGTCCAATCAAATAGAACTTCGTACGTACAAAATAAACTACCTGCACGTACTCCGTACATACTGACCCATCTCAATCCACCATAGACCCACCAGTAGAGGATCAACAGATTACCCGAACCGGCAAAGATCTCAACCAATTTGTATCACGTGATATCCTCTGGGTCTCGGGGCTAGCCCTACTTCCCTAATTTGGTCAGCTCGCTTACTAGCCGCTGCGTAGTAAGCAAGTTGTGGATCCCCCTGCCGTCGGGGATATCTTTCACTTTCGAGTTTCTCAAATTTTCTTCTTTCTTTCTCATCCATCCTCTCGACAACCTAAGGCAGATTGACTACCTTTCGCACTCGCCATGCGTAAGTATCATCACCTGGGTATTTTACTCAACGGCGACTAATGTAAAATTCTACTTATAGCTCCCAAGTTCGATCCCAATGAGGTGAAGGTCATCCACCTGCGTGTGACTGGTGGTGAAGTCGGTGCCCAGTCCGCTCTTGCTCCCAAGATCGGTCCCCTGGGTCTGTCTCCCAAGAAGATCGGTGAAGACATTGCCAAGAACACTGGTGACTGGAAGGGTCTCCGTGTTACTGTCAAGCTCACCATCCAGAACCGTCAGGCTGCTGTCTCCGTTGTTCCCTCCGCCTCTTCCCTGGTTATCAAGGCCCTCAAGGAGCCTCCTCGTGACCGCAAGAAGGAGAAGAACATCAAGCACTCCAAGTCCATCCCCTTCGATGACATTGTTGAGATCGCCCGCCAGATGAAGCACCGCTCCATGGCCAAGTCTCTCCAGGGTGTTGTTCTCGAGATCCTCGGTACTGCTTTCTCCGTCGGCTGCCAGGTCGATGGTCGCAGCCCCAAGGACGTCTCTGACGACGTCAAGGCTGGCGAGATTGACGGTATGTTCAATTCTTTTTTCCTCGATGTGAAGATCTTTTTCTAACTTTTACACAGTTCCTGAGGAGTAAATTATCCTCTCGAATGGAGAGAGGTGATTTCTGCTTTGTGACGACTTGGACTCTTGCGTAACAGCGGCCCTAGTTTTACAGAATACGAATATTGCCTCGAACAAAAAAAACTTACATGTTCATGAGTCATGACTTGATACCATTTTCTTTTTTGCGCTCTTATGCGAGTGTTCGAAATGAACCATTGGATTACTCGCATCGTTTTCTCCCGTTCGTATTATTAACTCATTCCTCCTTTCCAATTCTTTCACGCATTTCTCTCGCTGCATTTCCAATGGCGACGAGTATGCTGGAATCTCCTTAGAGATCATGGCGCAAGCCCCATTTTTCGTTTCGGAACACCTCACAACACTCTGGCCCTTACCGTTCCTTCCTTGCGAGGATTGAACAATTTTACCATGTGGTTTAGGCTTATTTTAAGTGAGGGAGAGCAAATGACCCATTACTCATCGCGGTATCCTTGGGAATTGGCCTAGTGTCAAGACCCGTGGGTGCAGTGATCCATATTTCGGGTCTACATCTCAAGATTCAGATCTTGTCATGTAGAGAATGTAGTTCATCGTAATGGAAGATTAGCTTCACCTCAAGCTTGGACCTGTTCATCTTGAAAAAAATTGAAAAAGAAAATGATAATGAAAAAAACTTTTTACCAAATCTATGAAATCTCTGCTCCACCTGGGCACTCCGTATTTGTTTCTCCTTTCCATGACAAATTTAGCTCTCCGTTTGTACAAGATGCGGCTGACCGCATTGCCTTGATTTCGCGCAACCATGAAATCCGTATTTGCGTATGATATGCCTCCTGTTTCATAATCTGATATTGATCTGCTGGCTGCTGCATGATTCGGCTATCGACGCTGAATCCATGTACCATGTACTCCGTACATGAGCTTGAATATCTGTTGATCATCGTGGTTCCGTGGGTCTGGTCCTGAGTTTCCACAAATCATCAGAATTACTCCGTCATTGATAGACATTCAGATGGGTACGTGCTGGAGCTCTCCACCGCTATATTCAAATGATCAAATGTTGATGTTTAAGCTTGTTTATAATAGATGATATAAATGCACGTCCACCGGGCACATCCATACTAGGTGGCAACTTGAATACTTATGGTCCTATAGTAGTAACTTCCCGTCCCAAGCCTGGGGACATAGCTATGAATCCGATATATATATCCATTTCATCTCAACTTGAACTTGAGTTCTGTAATCAAGTTCAATATATTAAACATCTTTCCAGGATTCTGAAACACCAACGGTCGTCAACATGGTAATAATATTCCAGCCTCAACCCTTGGAAACCGTGTGAGACCTGTGGCTGATTCCAATGTTGGGCGCCTGTTCACCGGGCTACACAACCTTGGAACAAATACGACCAGGAAAAAAGAAAGATGGAAAAGAGATGAAAAATCAGAAATTAATATAAATTAAATCAAATTAAATCAAATCAGAAAATATAAAATATACATAAATCGAAGCTATCTGTTTTGCCAGTGCTCAAGTGGTTCAAGTGGAAGATTATCATCCGTCTCATTCTACCTAACAACAACTGAGTCACTGTAGTGCTGTTAGCCGAACTAATATTTCTACCTACTATCATCTAGTCGACACATGTGCAGGGAGTACGTGTCCCTGTCTTTGAAATGTTGTACCTGGTTTTCCCTTCACGCCCCCAGTGGAGACCTGCACACCGAAGAGTTGGCCCTACTCGCCCCAGTGCCCACGGACCCGTCTCCACCCCGACGATCATTGCTAGTTGGCTATGATAGCACATAGCGGGTGATGTTCGTTGGCCCGGAGTTTGGTGGAGACAAAGAAGAGAAAATCATCGAAACAGATTTTTAATTTCCTGTTTGTTTACTCTTACGGTGCGTATATCAGATGATACTGTATTTTGGGATTAAATGATCAGATGAATGCTTAAGTACTTTAGGGCTACCTGTGAATAGTACCTACTAGTGTATAGGTGTCAAGTTCAGTAGGACCAGTATACGGCGTACTCCGGAAATCAGTTTCGGGGAATATTGACAGTTGGACAAATCAAGTCTCTTTTTTCATATTTGTAAATGATTCAAATGATTTATTTTTCTCTCTTTAAGACCTTCAAACCGGTACATCCGTACCTATGTTGAGTTCCGCCCTGTACCACCCGACCCGCATGCCAGTGGACGTTGTGCAGGGAAGGATGCAACAGATTTCAGGTGGTGGGGGAGAGAGTTTGCCGATCGTCAGCAATAATTTCAATATTCCATTCTTTTTGATTTGAATAAGTTGACTTAAATTTGTATATTCACAGAGGTATGTTGAAGTTCCAGTATTTTCAGGGCATCTGGGCATATTTGTATAATGAACATCAAGTTATATCCATATACATTGCTTCAGGTAGATTATATGGGGCTTGGAACCACCGTGCCAGGTTTATACGAGCAACTGGGTAATCCTAAAAAAAGAAAATGAAATCAAATCACTCTGAACCCCCCCTGTCATATTCAATGATTAAATAGATTTAAAAAAGCGCCCAGGGGATTCGGGAAATCCTTACCAGCAACCCCAGAGTTGACCGGGATAGGAAAATGATCGTACATTGATGAGGCGGCCAGCAAACATGGATGAAGTGGCTGGTGATCAGTGAGATATATGGGTACATACTTCAGTACTCCGTATATTCAATATACTCATTCTCTGGGAGTACTCTGTCCCAACTTGACGCGATAGTCTTAACCTCCTAGAATACGGAATACATCCGTGTGATTAATATCAGTGGGCCCATAATGTTGTACTCGAAATCACAGCGCGTAGACCAGAACAGAGAGGGCTCGACTCGATCATCACAGCGGGGCGTCACCGATCCATGACTAGTCGCCTGGGTGGAACCAATGGGCCACTGACGTTGGCCGCGGGATGGAGACTGCATGGCCAGAGAGAGGGTTCAGCCGTTGGATCGAGTGGGTCGGTGGAGCTGAGAGGAGGAGAGAAGAAGAAAGGGGGGAAAGGGAATAAGGAAGGGAATAAAGTGATGAGAGGGTAGAGATTATTCTTTTTTTTTTATTAAAAGAGATATATAGTATATAACAGGAATAGTATATAGAGTGAAGAGCATTTTCTTATTTATTATTATTATTTATGATTTAGTAGGATACACGCATCCTTCATATTACATTTCCCCCACTTGGCTTGGCTTGGATGCCCCATAGTGGAATTAGTGGATTTTGAGTGGACTTAGGTGGACTTTACTCTTTTTACATTCTAACACCTCGGACTCTTTTTCACTCCTTCATCTTTCTCTTTTCCCTTTCCCATCATTTTAATACTTGCCAAGATCGAGGGACTTTCACCCTTCTCTCCCTTGCATCATCCGAGTTCAATCTACATTTTGCATATCATCTCATCGCGTGGATCCGAAATCCCTCGATGACGATACTACGACTTTGCTGAATTTTTGATTCAGCCTCGCTTTTCCCACTTCTGCGAAGCCACATAATGCGGTGTCGGAAACGTTACAAGGACGATGCTTGCTGATTGATTTGTGAATCTTCTTTGTGGTGGATTTCGCCTCGGTGAACCTACACCCCCCCTGTTTCGTTTCTTCGACCGCCCGCTCCAACGAGAGAAAGAGAGGGGACTGTGGTGGTCGAGGAGGTGAGGAATCGTGAAGAAAAAGACACCGAAAAAAAAGAGAAAAAAACATCCAACCCCCCCTTCCCCCCCTCCCCAAAAAAAAACAAGGTGCTTCTTCAAAAAGCCCTCAAACCAAAAAAGAGACCAAAAGAAACCAAATCATCATCCCAACAAATTCCTACCAAGTTTAAAAAAACTCGACTATCACGATGTTTCCAACTGTCGCACTATTCCCTCCGGTTCAGCCGCACCATCACCTTAACCACTATCCCGCCCATGATGCTCTTCACCAGCCCCCGTACGACCTGAATGACCCGACCTTCCCCGCTCGTAATGACCCCACTAAACCCTCCTTCAACTCCATATCCCGATCGCGTCTTCAATTACCACACCCTGTACAACGCATCGACTCTCGCGATTCAGCATCTAGTTCCAACAGCTCGGCTAGGGAACATGCCCTGCGAAGGAAGACGCCAAACGGAACCTTAGCGGCCGGTTACGATGGCACACCTGGTGAATCTACCATTCAACCCGCTACAAAACACATCCTAGTCTCGCCCATGGACTCGAACCAGTTCCTCTCGCAGCAAGGTTTTCAGACGGATATCTGGCAACAAGCCACCCTCGACCCATCGACCTCGAAACACATGAACTTTCCTCCCATCTTCAAGAACGAGGCAGGCAACCCGATCGCAGCGGGGGAGGTCGTGCAGGATGTGAACGGGACCAGCTGGGTGCGCCCTGTAAATTACCCGCCAGGAATCGACTCGGTCCTCAATCAGAACCTGCCATTGCAAGCTCCCCAGCGAATTCTTTTTCATAATGGTTCCTATATTCCGACGGTTCTTCCAGCAAGCCTTCAACAATGCATGGGACCAACGGCATCCGCTGGCACTGGCCCCTTTGGCCCATATTGGCCCGACGGTGCATATATTCCCTACCGACCCGTGGCCTTTCGTGAGCCTCGCTTCGAATCCCCAAGCCCAAACCCGAACGGGCAGTTCTATGATCTCAATCAACCGGCTTTCAATCAGCAGCCCCAAATACCTATTGGAAATCAAATAGAGACGGGCCTAGCATGGGGCCAACCACAGCATGGAATTCCCAGTCAGGAATCTATGATGAAGACTCACTTCCCTCCGCGTCACTCAGAACAGCTACCTTACCACGCCCGAGCGAGTCGACCATTATCATCCTACTCGTCGAATGCTCTCCATAATGAACCCATGACATGGAACAACAACCGACCCGCTGTACCAAGTTTTCAGGCTCCTGGACCAGCTGTGCCGGTGAATGTAGAATTCAAGGAGAAGATCTTGTCTTGGGCCCATGGTGTTTACGTCGATCTTCTTGCAACGATTCATCAAGCTCGTCGGAATAGCCTATCGAACAGCGGGACAGACGGCCAAAACTCACGATTCATGAAACCCAGCATCTACCCCAAGCCGCCTCGACAACCGGGGCTTGATTTTTCACAGAACCCTCCTCCCTCTTCCATCTCCCGCCATAACAGTTACCCATCCAGCCAGTATGATTTACAACGACAGAAACTCGGTCTCTTGTCAGCGAGAATGACCGATTCCCATTCAAATAATTTACAGAGTCAGGTCCATAATCGACGGCCGTCATTAAATCAGTTTCCTCAGCAGCACCGATCGTCAGAATCACGGATCCGGGATGCTGCACGACTTGCTGCAGCACCTCATCGTCCTGCTTCTCTTCTCAATGAAGGGTCCCCGGTTGCGAACGGTATATCTGCTTTGGAAATGCTATCTTACTTGTGCCATGAAAGCCATTGGGAGTGGATTGATGGCATGCTACTTGGAGGATGCCTTGCTTATGGACTTGGCGATTACCATAAAGCTTTGCGTTGGTATTCTAGAATTATTGCCCGTGATTCGACGTGAGTATAATTACCCCTGTCTCAACAATAACAATTATACTGACCAATTGTACCAGTCATGTCGAGGCAATATCTAACTTGGCGGCAACTCTATTGGCGCTTGATCGACGTGAGGAAGCTCAGCAGAATTGGCTGCGGGCTGTCAAACTACGTCCAAGCTTTTTTGAAGCCGTTGAACATTTGATAGGTCTTTTGTGTAGCAGCCATCGAGGCAAAGAAGCGGTTCAGCTTATTGAATTTGTTCAAACCTCGTTGCGTCATCCGAAAGATGGTGACTGTTTCAAAACAGATGAGCATGCCAGTGAATCGGAGAGTGATGGAGAGAGCAATGTCTCTGACGTGTGCATGTACGACAAGGCATCCTTTGATTATGAAGATGACGTGGGACGTGTGCAGAACCTAAACTTGGGCTCTCCAGACGCCGCCACGCCTCTTGGCTTCGCGACTAGTGGATATGCTATCCCCGGTTCAGATAACGGGCGGATGCTAGCGTTGATCCATGCCAAGGGCAATATGCTCTATGCACTTGGCGATAACGCTGGTGCTGCTGCCGCCTTTGAGGATGCAGTCTTGATCGCCGCTGGGAGGAGGCGGCATGGTATTCAAAGCCTGATCAAGCAGATATTTTCTGCCTTCTCCCAGGGGTCGTCAGGCTCTGGATACCAGCCCGATGAGGGGAATGAGAGTGTTCTGTTATATCCCGACAGAGCACTGCAGACCTCGAAGCTGGTATTCAAGGCGGCTAATGGCACCCCGCCCGGCCTCAAGTATGTCTCCGAAGGCATTTCGCGAAATGCAGCTATCTCAACCACGAGTAATTCTTTGCTCTCTTTGGCAAAGATTTACCAGGATGGTATGGCGACTGTGTCATCTGGGGCACCGCGATCCACTCCTGGCGTACGGGATATTTTGGCTCTTTACTACCTATCACTCTCATTGCAGCCGAGTCCGTCTACCGCAAATAATGTTGGTATTCTGCTTGCTGGTATTCAGAACAATCCTCCGGCTCGAGGACTTGTGCGTCCCAATGGTGAGAGCCAGCACCCGGAGATCCCTGGTGTTATCCCTGGTAGTGGCATCTCCTTGGCTCTGGCTTATTACAATTATGGATTGCATCTTGATTCCCGTCATGCGCATCTGTATACTAATCTTGGTAGCCTTCTCAAGGATATTGGTCAATTGCAGGCTGCTATCAAGATGTATGAGCAAGCTGTCCAATGCGACGGCAATTTCGATATTGCCTTGGCCAACCTGGCGAATGCCGTCAAGGATGCTGGCCGAGTCAATGATGCAATCACCTACTACAAACGCGCTGTCAAGGTAAATCCAGAGTTTGCTGAGGCCGTTTGTGGTTTGGCGAATGCTCTAAACTCGGTCTGCAACTGGGTTGGCCGAGGTGGTATTGTGAATGGCCGCGGGTTCCATGATCGATGGCATGTGGACGAGAAAGGTATGCTTCGCGATGCCCAGAGTAATGACACTGGTGCTGGGTGGATTAAGCGGGTTGTGGATATCGTTGATCGGCAGCTTCGTGAGGGTGAATACTGGGGTCGGGGCTTATTGACGCAAGGCACAGCCGAGCAACTTATTATTCAGTTGGCGACAGCGCTGGATTCGAATTTGCTTTCGACCAATCGGAGAACCTCCCTTACCAAGATTCTTCAGTCATGGGCTGGACAGAAATGGGAAGGCTCTCGTATTGTTCGACTTGTTGAAAGGGCCATCCGGGCAATCACATGGCAATGGTATCAGGATCGTTATGTCCGTAGTCAAGATTACCCTGTCACTAAGTATCGTCGGCCTCAACTTCCAGCTGCTCTAAGCGCACCAAATGCTCCAACCGTTCTGCCCTTTCATACTTTCACTTGCCCTCTGTCCGCGAAGCAGATCCGCCAGATCTCGCAGCGCAATGGTCTTCGAATCTCAACTTCGACGCTTCGACTGCCTTGGCTTCCTGCCACAGTTTACCGACCTCCAGCACCGCCAAATCCAGCTCTACGCGTTGGCTACGTGTCATCGGACTTTAACAATCACCCTCTAGCCCATCTCATGCAGTCAGTGTTTGGGTTGCACAACCCGAACAAGGTGACAGCTTACTGTTATGCCACTACCGCGAGCGACAAATCCGTCCACCGCCAACAGATCGAGCTAGAAGCGCCTGTTTTCCATGACGCGAGTGGATGGTCTGTTGATCGCCTGGTCCAGCAGATTGTCGATGATGGCATTCACATTCTTATTAACTTGAACGGCTATACTCGAGGTGCTCGCAACGAAGTCTTTGCTGCTCGCCCTGCGCCCATCCACATGTCTTTCATGGGCTTTGCCGGAACTCTTGGTGCAGAGTGGTGTGACTATATCCTTGCTGATCAGATCTCGATTCCCCCAGAGACTTTGAGTCCGGCTCGTCGCACTACACGCATTGAGGATCGTATTCTTGAAGAGGACAATGGCGAAGATCTGGAAAACTGGGTTTATGGGGAGAAAATTGTCTTTACTCGTGACACATTCTTCTGCTGCGATCATCGACAGAGTGCTCCCGATGCTGGGGAGAGACAGCTCTCTTGGGATGAGGAACAAGCGCGACGCTGGAGGATGCGCAAAGAATTGTTTCCTAAGCTTAAAGATGATACTATCATTCTTGGGAACTTCAATCAGCTGTACAAGGTAAGCCTTTCCACTCCCCCATCTTCTTTACGCATTGCTAATCTCTGTTAGATTGAACCAACCACATTCCGAACCTGGTTGCGTATTTTAGCATGTATTCCCAATGCAGTTCTCTGGCTGCTTCGTTTCCCCGAAACCGGCGAACAAAATCTACGAGACATCGCCAAAGCATGGGCTGGCGAAAAGACAGCGGCACGAATTATTTTCACCGACGTGGCACCGAAGAACACACACATTGCACGAGCGAAAGTTCTGGACCTGTTCCTCGATACCCCCGAGTGTAATGCACATACCACGGCCACAGATGTTCTATGGAGCGGTACTCCGTTGCTCACCTTGCCACGCTACAAGTATAAGATGTGCTCGCGAATGGCGAGTAGTATCCTCTCGAGCGCACTTCCAAATAACGAAGCGGGCCAACGTGCTCGGGAGGAATTGATCGCCTCCTCGGATGAGGATTACGAGACCAAGGCCATTCGGCTCTGCATGGATCTACAGTATGTACCTGGTGGTGGAGGACGAGCCACGGGACGACTGGCGGATATGCGACAGATGCTGTTTTTGCAGCGATACACGAATAAGCTCTTTGACACGGCGCGCTGGGTGCGTGACCTTGAAGACGCCTACGAAGCTGTGTGGGCGCAATGGGTGAATGGCGAAGAAGGCGATATCTGGTTATGATGTGCACAGCGATTATATACCCCTTGAGCGATTTTGATTTTGTTTGCATCTGGGACATCTACGTTTTTGATCTTGATCTTATTTTTTTTCTTCTTATTTTCAATGTTGGTTCTAATGTTGGGTCTGGGATGTTTCTTTCTATCTTTGCATTTCAGCTAGACATTATTCTTTGTACACGTATGGTCTGTATGGTCTCTGGTTCCAGGGTTGGAACATGCACGAATATTCATTTCGATAGATTGGTTGGACTTGCCGTGAATACATTCATTTAATCTGTGTTGCATTCTAAATTCAAGTTTCCCAGGCCATAACCCTGTATTTCCACGGAGATACTCATCGAGAATTGAACTCCGCAAAACTTGAAAACTCAATGATCAACATCCTCCTGGTCATACCAAGACTAAGACCCAACCACGAACCCTCATCCCTGTCATAACTGTAAATAGTAACTATTAAAGCACGAGCATTCTCGTAATGCATTACCTCTCTAGTATTTTCTAGCAAATAACCTTGGAATCAAACCCCAACATTGAATCCCGAGAACCGGGATAGGAGAGGTGATCTGCAAGTAGCCTGTAAATCAGTTGCATAACCGTTCAATGAAATCTAGCCCAAATTGATATCAGACTAGTACTCCGTAAGCCACGAGGTCCGCCTCACTTAAGTTCAGGGTAAGTTTGGAACCTTGGAAGCTTGGGCACTGACATCTGGACTCAAAATTTGGACAAAGAGCGGTGGACTCTTTGGTCTTAGCTCTAGACTATTCAGGTTTGAGTTAACCGCCCGGCTTCCACTTTCCTCTCCGTATTTGATTTGAGATTTAGATTTCAGATTAAGAGAATCCAGATGTTCGGAATCGAAGATTACCCCTGTCGAGCATGCTCCGTTTCCGTGTCCGGGCCGTCTCCGTGTTTGTACATGGATGTACAGCTTACTCCTTACGAAGTACGGGTTACAGGATGATATATTGGCAAGAATTTGAAGTTTGAATGCTCGTGTTTGTTTTGGAATATCGGGGAGAATGATTTGGCATATGCTCATACTGTACCCCGTACTTCGTACAGAATAAACTGGAATGTTTCATGTACGGAGTACCTAGGTAGTTTGATGCAATTCAAATGTTTGTCCAACGTCATCCCGACCCAGAACCGAGGTTCATGTCTGAATGTTTGACAGGGATGACATGAACAAAGAATCCCAATTGCGTGGTTCATCGGACAAGGTACTCAAGTCTCAGAGACAATCTTTCCATAGTAGGTTAGCTTTTAGTGTTATTTCATACTTCATCCTTTTAGAGTAAGTGCTCGAGGTTCCATGGACCTGGAAATGAAAGATCTCAAAATTGGACTTGAACTTGAATCATTGAATTTGTGGATTTCCTCCAGGGCTTTTCCCTTTCCATTCCAAGATTATCATCTGGAATCCGACAGACGGGTACCTCAACACGCTAGATCAAAATGGGATTAGTGGTTCGATTACACCGAGATCCTCCGTACACCAATGAAAGGCGAATAGGAATGATTTTGGGATGATTTTGGGGCGATTTGTTCGATACCTGTATTGAGAATTTGATTTGAGTTTTTGTGCATGTATCTGATCACTCCATGTAAGACATACTAGCACTCGAGTAGTCCGATAGTTCTAGATTCTAGATTCTACCCAAGTGTTTAGATCTTCATTGTAGTACATACACTACTAATCCACCGTGGAATTTGAAATTCTAGTACTAGTAAGAATAGTGTTGGTTCATATTAGCGAGATATCCCTACGTCATTCCTTCATCCACACACAGATCCATAAGGGTAAGACCTCGCGTCAAGAATACTCGGGCGAGAGGATGTCGATCGCTCCCGGTGGCTTGGGACCTAACGGCGAACTTGTTCTCTCATCACTGGGAACCTTGAAACAAATCGTGACGGTTTGAATCCGTTGAACCAATGTGAAGCTTGGATCGGGTCATTCCCCTGATCCATTCGTAGGGTTACCATGGTTTTACGCGCATGTACATGGCATCGGGAACATGATAGGCATACACTATGTATGCTACAGACAGTGTATTCTGAATTTTACGTATAGCGTATAGGCTGAGACGGGAAAGGGAAACGCCACTCTATGCCGCTGACCGTTTCATCCCCTTTTTTTGAATTCAAATGTTCCTTACGGGGTACATTACATTACATGTACATGTACATGTACAGTGACGGGTCATAAGTATTTGCACCCCCCTAAAGTCCCGCTTTCTCACCGCCCATACCGCCTTCCTAATTCACGTATCAGAAATCACGCTAAATTAGTCGTATATACTCACGCGTTCAATTATCATTATTCCTAACCCCTATTCTTATTCAATTCACTAAATCTATCAACGTCTGTCAATATTGCCTGACATGGCCCGTTCAGCAGAGCTTACACCTGCTATACGTGAGCGTATATGTGAGCTCCACGCTATCAAATGGGGATATAAACGTATTCAGAAGCGTTACCCCTATATTCCACTATCAACAATTCGATATACAATCAAAAAAGAGCATGAACGACGAGATGGTGTCTCTAAGGCACGCTCTGGTCGCCCAAAAAAGCTCTCGGATACTGAGAAAGATCGAATTCTTGAGGCTATTCATGGTAATCCAAAGATCACACGTGAAGATCTTCTCGCTGAGGTTGATCATAAGGTTAAAATACGTTCAATTCAACGCCTTTTGAACCCCGAGAATCTTCGAAAGTGGCGCTGTAGCTGGCGGCTATATTTGACGGAGAAAAATGCTATAAAACAACTTCGATGGGCCTATCGATATCGACACTTTACACCTAAAGATTAGGCCCGAGTATTTTGGTCTGATGAGTGTACAGTTGAACGTGGAATTAGTATTTGTTAAGAATGGACTTTTACTTGTCCAAAAGATCAACCAAAAGAGGGTCAAGTTCAAGGGCTACCCCAACATAGAAAGCAAGTTAAGCAGATGTTTTAGGCAGCATTTTCAGGAGCTGTACGATATACTGGATTAATCCCTCTCTTTGGTGATCCAGATTCTAAAAGAGGAGGAGTCAATCGCTTTGTTATTAAGGATCTATATCGTCAAATTCTACCTACTCTAATAGTAAATGAAGATGCTATATTCTAGCATGATAACGCACCAACACATACTGCTCATGTTGTTCGAGATGCTTTAGAGGAGATGAATATCGAGGTTATGGAATGGCCACCTCATTCACCGGACCTAAATCCTATCGAGAACCTATGGGCCTTACTTAAAGCAGCAATTTACAAACTTCGACCTGATCTAATCCATATGAGAAATGAAAAATGAAAAATGAAACAAAGGCGATTTTAGTCGAAACAGCGCAACAGGCCTGGGATGAGCTTGATCTGAGCCATTTGAGCCATCTTTCGGAGACCATGCCGCACCGTGTCGAAGCAATTATTGAATCTCTAGGGTGGTATACCCCATATTAGGTAGTAATTGACGCAACTTCCGAAGTTTTTGACCGGCAGAATATTACAGAAGTAGGGGGGTGTGGGGCCAGGGGGTGCAAATACTTATGACCCGTCACTGTACATACACATTCAGATGTGTCTATGTACTCGATCTTGGCCGGTTTCTTGGAACCCGTTTGCCCGTGCCGGTTGTTGGTCATGGCTACTTAGTGTCAAACTTATTTTTCAGTTTTATCCTTATTTTAGATATAGAATATCAAATATAAAATATAAAATAAATAAATAAATTATCACCATATTCTCGGGTTCTAATTCTTTGTCAAACATCTGGGTTCCGAGGGTTCACCAACGTGCTGGGTTTCCAATAATCTGGGTTCTTTGTTCTATCCCAATAGTCTGGATGATTTTGGAACTCCATTTCTTTTCTTTTTTTCTTTTTTTTTTAAAAAAAAAAACAAAAAATTAATCTATTTTATTTTATTTTATCCCGTCTTGGATCCACCGTTCCGGGTCTTTTTATCTGATGTCCCGTGTGTACATTATTCCAAATCACTTGTCACTAAACGCTTTTAGGCTCTTACTGTCCGGAGTAAGCACTCTGTCACGGGCCATCGGTGTACTAACCATTTTGAGTAGGTAGTGAGGCAATGCCATTTGTTGTTTTACTTCGATCTTAATTCTCTTAATATATTGACAGCACTTGAGAGTACGAAGTACCAGGTACTACCTGGGCAACACTTGGGTACTAGTAAAACTTGAACTTGAAATGGCTGGCTGATGAGTGTCCATACAGTCCGTAGCTAACTACTGGGTGGCGGTTAACGCCGCCAGCTGGGCAGCTGAGGCTCCATTTTTATTATTATTTTTATTATTATTTTTATTTTATTTTATTATTTTCTCATGGTGTGTAGGGCAAATCTTGATCTTTGCGTTTTTATTGATTCGCACAACCTTGGAAGGAGATTTGATTTCATCTTTCAAATGCCATTTTCAGCTCCTCAACTTGAGTGCTAGGGATACACATTGATCTGATTTAGGGGCAAATTCATGAGGTCACTCTTCCCCAATATGAGATCCACTCCACTCAAGTGCTGTTACTGAATTAGCCATTTATCCCTGGAGGCAAAACCAAGGTAACTCTACTCCAAGTGCTGTCAGGTGTACTCAAGTACCAGTGGACCTGTACAGCAATTGGAAGTACTCGATATAGATGAAACAAAAAGAAATAAAACTTATTCAAACCCAAATACTACGGAAAGCACGAACACCTCCACGATCCTAGCCCCGCCGTTCATTCCGTCAGACGTGACCAGTCCAATCGATGCATCAGGTCATTGGCTCTTAACACTGGGGACCCACAGGAAGAGAAGAAGGGGGGCGCGCCACTCACGCGCAGATGGTGTTGCATCGGTCGCATCGGTCAGCGATCGGGGCGTTATGGTTGGTGACAGGACCGTTGGGGATGATTCTCTAATGCAGGTCTGACGAACCTATACGTTTAGTTTACTGTAGTAACTGACAGATAATATTTTAATTTTTTTACTTCCAAGGTTTCAAGTTTGAATACTACTAGTGTGAACATTTTGAATAATCAATAGTCTCTCGTATAATCCCTGGAATAATCATACTCATAGTAATACTAATATTTGATGGAATTATTCAAATGAATTGTTTATGGTTATTTCTAATCGCTGACAGTGCATGATGACCGGGGATCCTGGAATCCCCAATGCATCGTACCTATGTCCAGTAGACATGCATCTAGATTAAACAAAGAACCAAGCTCCTGGGATTCCCATCCCTTTCGTCACTGTGCAGCCAAGGCCAAGCTAGAGCTGGATGAAAAAGGCGCCATGCATGAGTGCGGATCACTCGAGGCCTTTCGCTTCATGGGGTATCCCTTGCGTGTCCTCGTGAGTCGTTTTTATTCTGGGGCTTGTCTTAACCGGAATTTCATGACTCTGTACATGAGTCAGAATTATTGAGACTTGAAACGATTCAAATATTAATAGGAGTATTATTATGCAGTCAACTGGAGTACTCAATAGTCACATTCTAACTTCCCATGGTTCCTGATCATAGTTCATCTGACAGTAAACTTTGTAGATTGCACAACATGAAAACTATGTCAGGGAACATCAGATAAATGTGAATCGTTGTGCATGTGGACATCTGTATGGTGTACAACTCATCTCATTCAAGTTACGATTGATCCGATCCATGATTCTATGTGTCTCTAGGCACAGAGTACTCCGATAGCTCTAGGTGTCCAGCTATTGACTAGTCCCTGGAGAGTATCTCCGTCTCTTTGTACCGGGGTCACAGGGTGTACTTAGTACTTTCGTACTAGTAGTACGGAGGTTGGTGACTAGGGCCTGCATTGAATAGATTGGCCTCGGCGCCACCGCCCTTGTACTCCATCAGCCCGTCTCTGATCCCGACGAATAACCGGTAAATTGGTGTGGTGATTCAAGGTTAGTGCTAGCTACTCGACTCTGTAGCCCGTGCCCTGTAGTTTGGATAAGCGAGAGCGAGAATACAAAAGTCCGAGCTACTACTAAGACTGCCTAGTGATCCTAGTAATCCTAGTGAATTCTAACTAGAATAGAATGGAAAATGAACCTTGGAACTCTTATCAAGTCGTAACACTGAATCAATTCGCAATGAGGGGTATTATAAAACATTACTCCATACAATGTTGATCTCACACAAAATTCCAGAGAAAATCAATACCATTTCTGATTTTTTTTTTAAAAAAAAATTTATTTGGTTTTCCTCCATCTCTTTAGTAAAACCCCCCTAGAACATACCCATGTCCTATACATCCAAAATCATGGTAGAATATTGAAATCCCCGGGAAAAAAATAAAATAAAAATAAAAATAAAGATCCCCACATTAACCGAAAAAACACCCGTGTTTTTTGATGATCCAAACCATGGTAATACACATTATCGGTACAAAGGAAAGATAGCCATGAAAAGGAAATAAAAAGCGAGTGTAGGGCTTTTGAAACATGTACAACTTTGCAGGGTGATAAGCCCACGCGAGAGGGGGGGAATAGAAAAATGTCCAAAGAAATAATAGAAACATAAGAACAGAATCAAGGAAAAGGTCGTACAATCATAAATAGACAAAGAGAAAAAGAAATAGGAAAATCTCAAACTAAACCTGGAAGGTCTAATTCAAGAGGTTGTTCACACCCATACGGGTATCACGAGAAGGTTCTGGCTGGTAAACCTTGGGATATTCCATGGGTTGATGCCATGAAGCCAACGTAGGTTGATGCGCCATCCACCTTTGTTTGGAGGCGATGTCTGAAAGTGACTCCAAAGAGCGCGCGGGATAACTGGGGGAATTATCCACCACTTGTACTGTGACGCTTGGTCGACGGATCTCGTATTGTGATCGCACATCCACCGGTAAAGGTAGCATTGTGGGTGAAGGAAGAGTGCGAGGAGAAGAGGAGCAGACGGAGTTGTGATCGGAAACCATGGAAGGAGGCTCGGAGGAGGTAGCATTGGAGATTTCAGAGAAAGCAGGAGATGTCAAGGGAGTTTCAATGGGACGGTTGATGGAAGGTAGAGTGTAGATCGGGGAAAGATGGCGTGTGGTAGTAGAAGCAGTGGTAGCAGTAGATTCACGGCGAGAATGAGAATAGGAATCGATGGATTCAGTATCGGCCCATGGGCGAGTACTGAAACGAGGACGAGATGGGCTGACCACTGAAGCGCGGGTATATGGTGCCTCTACTCGGCCACTGAATGTTCGAGATGCGGTTGTAGGAGTGGAAATTCCGCGGCGCTTTCGGTTCATGCTACCATTCCACCAGTTCTTGACGGCGTTGTCGCTCCGGTTTCCCAAACGGCGGGCAATCTCAGCCCAGCGCTTTCCCATCTCATTCACCAGGCGCTCGATCAATAACCCCTCATCTGCGGAGATGGGTTCCCGATTCAATGAAGGCTTCAGGTTTTGGTGGAAACGTTCCCGACATTGTTTTGGTGAGCGGTAGTGCATGTGTTGAGAGATTCGAACCCAGTTGTTAGGGCCTTGTTCACGGACCAGCTGCATGAGCAGTTGATCTTCTTCTGGGACCCAAGGTCCACGGCGGTGAGAGGGAGCCATGGTATGTTTCAAAGTTGTGAAGAGTTGAAGGAGTTGAAGAGTCGATATAATAAGGGTAAGGGACTCTGATATTTAAAGTTGGGATGTTTGAGGGTATAAAAAGGTTGAAGGTCGAGGGGAGGGGTATCTGATATAAGGAGAAGATTTAAGCCACTAACAGCAGCACGGCGAGAATTATATCTGCACCCAGGGGGACGGGTCCAACGAAAATGACCAGCTCCACCCGCACACGCTATGGGAAGAAGATCACGATCCAAGATCTCGGAGCTGACAGTTCGGAACAATACTGTGGTATTACGGTATTTATTCTTTATTAAATTGTTTATTTTTTTATTTTTTATTTTTTAATGTATTTTTTGGATTATCTCCATACACCATACCTAAATAGTACACTATCTGATTCAAACTTTTAGGCTTTTAGAAATTGAATAGACAAGCAATTAAGAAAAGATTAAAGATTAAAGATGAAAGACATGAATGAGAAACAATACTTTGTATCTGTATACTTATTCAAAGGTTCAAGTCATTGCTGAAGACAATTCAAATCGTAGAGTTTAAGGTCAAAAGCAACATACTAGTGATCAGGATTCTGACCAAGATAATAAATAAAAAATAAAAATAAAATAAAATAAAATATTCAGTAAATAAATAATAAAATAATAAACATTTGAATATATTAAAAAGAAAAAAGAAAAAAAAAGCTCCGGCGATCGCCCAGTACGACCCGGGAATTCGGGCTGAGGAAATACCGTAATGATCGGAGGGATCGACCCTGAGCCCCGTTACTGGAATTCCAAATCATTGCTCGCGCTAAAAAGGAAGCTATTTTTTAACCAGGTCTGAGCGTTCGTGGATACGTGCAGAATATCCCAAAGCGCTGGTTCAATGCGGGTGAAAAAGCAAAAGGATCTGGGCCTAAACATATAAACCATAAAACATTAGAATCTCATTCTTCTAGAAATTATCTTAAAAGGGGGTGTGGGTTATAAGATTATTATCCATGGAACTGAACTACCCCAACTATACCCCCATCACATAAGAACCATGGATATTCAGATTACATTCAAATAAAATAAAATAAAATATAGATATTCATATTACTAAATTAATTAAAATAAGAATAAGTTAAAAGCTGAGTCCAAGTCCAAGCGCCGTACTATTGCCCCCTGACAGGACGGGATTCTCTCAATTCCTCCACCGGAGTAGATGTCCACTAGGGCACTAAAAGGGGGGGATCGAAAGAGAGGCGCGGTTAGGGTGATTCCCTCCCCTCAGCCAGCCATGCACGACACTCACTCCCTCGATCATGTTCGATCCATGATCAATCGATCATCAAAGCCTAATGATTGGTTCGATCGGCGGCTCTTCATCAACATCTTGCGTGAGATCTCCACTATGGTGGATCCTGGCATGAGGTGGAGTCTGATCGTGACAAATTCCCTATACCCGGGTCATGTTGAAGACCATTGGAATATGGGGAAGTGATCCCAATCATATTTTAATCTAAAAGAAGATAATCTGGAATAATGGGAGATCTCATAACGGTCACTCCGTAATCTCGCAGCTTGACTCCAACTTTCCCCCTTTTTTTTTAATTTTTAATTTATATTTCTTTTTTTACCCTTTTTCCCCTGTTCCCCGGAGCTTTGAGCCCCTAGGCGCCCCGAACAAGTCCGACGTTGTGGTGCCTGACGGGGAGGAATGTGGATCGAGCGTTGCACACCCATTCCCATGGAAAGTTCTCTGTACGGAGTGCATAGTACTTTGTCTATACCTTGCAGCCATCAACTTCTCCCCCCCTTGATGAATCAGGTTTTTATACTAACGTCCCTTGATGCCCAGTATGAGTGTCTAGGTCTAGGTCTAGGTATGATGCAGGCGCTTGGATGTTCAGTAATGCAGTACTCGTAGTAACTTGAAGTAAGTCACGTAGCATCATGATCTCTACGAGTACGAAGTACGGTGTACATAGTAAAGGTGTACGAGATAGCCCAAAAAAGACAAAATTCTCAGAATCTCAGATTTCCAATTTACTTTACATGCATGGACCACCTGCCACCTGTCACGGAGTGCGACTGGGGCGATCCCCGGGGAGGACGTGACGTGATAAAAATTAGATAAAATAAAATCAAAACGTAAAATGAAATATAGAATAAAAAAATACTGATTTCTCTTTATGGAAGATCGGGGACGATCACTCGGCTGCAAGCTGCGTGAAATGGCTTAACCCCTGGTCAATCAATCTATTTCCCGTCTCGATTTTTTTTTATTCCGCCTCACTGTCAGCACTGTGGAAAGTATCTCCGGGAATATTCTTCCAAGATTGTCAATAGTAAAGTCTCACACATCACATTTCGTCTCTTTCTCCTCGATTGAGTCTAGAGGGATCGCCCTTGTGTGGACATTTCCCCGTTCGGCGTACTGCAGGACCTTTCCCCACAGTGGAAACCGTTGAGCATGCCGTCGCAAGCCACACCTTTTTTTGCTTTTTTCTCTCTCTCTTTTTTTTCAGTTTTATCCTCGTATCACCCACTCTCTTGGCCCACTGTGACGAACCTCTTCCATGAATCATGATTGGTCCCAAATAGGTATTTGTCATTGTGAAGTGGGACTTGCTGATTTGGGTAAGGATGTGCTGGGCGGTTAATGACAGTCAAGTAATCTTAAACAATTTAATCTATTCCAGACGGTCTATCTGTTTTAATGGGGGTTAACGGGGTAAAATGAAGGGGGTCTACGTCAACCACTCCATGAGGTCCAGTGGTTTATACGGAGTAAAGACTAAATAGAATAGGTACTTACTCCATAATTATTCTGTTACTAAATCAGTGGAGCTGAATTTAAGGAGTTACTAGTAATGTACTCCGTAGTAATGATAAACCCCTTTTTGTCCATTAGATTTGACTTTATAGAAACTTGAATTCAGAATATTTGAATATGGCTCGGACTTTCTATTACAGTTTGTTCTATTGAGATAAAAGCTCCTCGTGTGGACCGATCGGATTTCCATAATCCTGGAAAAACAAGAAAGCCGTTGTCAAGAACCCGTCCTCCTGGGATGCAACATCGACTAGGGTATACCCGAGATATGACCTGTCATTCTTACTTGATCTCCACCAATCATACACCTAAAAAGTATTTGAGATAAATCCCTGTCGACCTGCAGGGATCACCGCTGATCGCGCCCGTGCACGTTCAGAAATTCTCCCCTGCCGTCCCCCTGTATAGTGGGCACCATATTCTACCCTAAAAGACATTAATATAAACATTAATAAACATTAATAAAAAAAATTTAAAAAAAATTCCGAGAATGAAGGTCACTAGTTCAATGTAACATTTGAACTTGATCCAGGTATCTGGGAATGGACACTCCGGTGACAAAGAATAAATTCAAAATCCAGATTCCTTAAATAAATCAATAGTCCAAAGTTAGACCAAAGGAAGCCGAAAGGAATTAAAATCCAAAAATATAAAGTGGACCGAACGGTTTCGCATCCGCCACTGTTTCCTGACTGTCGGGCCTGCGTGGCGTGAAGGGGTCCAAGCGTTTGAGCTCTAGGTGAGATTCGAATGAGGCACTCAAGGGTCATATGAGCTCAATCTTATATCAAAGTTGATATAATCAATATTAGGATGAATATGAAGTCCGATTATTCATAAGATGAAATGAGTTCAGATTAACCGACTCATACACTCATACACTCATACTACATACTGCATACTACTCCCTACTGCTTTATTGTCACCCGAGTCTATACTAGTACAGATGTTCACATATATCCATGATATTTTCAAGAGAACTAAACCCCGGAGCTCCCCGACTCGGGAAACACGCGATATCATAGATTGTATTCTGAACTATGTACCAGGATGAATTCCAATCTAAAAAGAACATTTAAATATTTTGAAACAATATGAATAAATCCCCTTCAAACGAATGAGATTTTGAAGTTCTCATAGTCCCCGGGTTACTATTGGTCCGTGCCTCGGGGTTTACTTCGGGGACCATTTGACCATATGGTGCCCGATGTGAGTAGCCGTTATAGTACCAGTTGACACGCTATTGACTGGGATCATGATTTCTAGGATTTAGGATTGTGATTCCAAGGTTGAGAGATGGGATTAGGATTATTCCTCGACCTTGAATCAACGGAATTTACCTGGGATGGGTCCTTGATTACTACATTGTTTGGATTCATCTAGACCAGTTGATCTGACCTCTCACAACTTGAATTATTGGTTCATTTCTGCAGTGGCGACGGAGTGTACCAAGTGTACAGAGTGTACGGAGTACGAACAGTGCAGATGTGGTATGAGATGTGGCAGTCTGCATGGATCCACTTGACCGTTATGCTTGACAACGAAAATCCGATTCATATTAACTTTTTCAATGGGAATCTTCTTTCAAGTTATCAAATATGCTTATCCCAGGGTGCCCAGATGCCCAGGTGCCCAGATGCCCGTATATGCCGTCACTTACTGACTCAGTTATACCTCCGTTATTCCTTCACAATTTTCTCCCTAAACCTGTGCCCAGGTGGGCACCTGGCATCCATGGATCATGAATGTATGTTACCGTTACCCAAGACTCGGAACTTGAATTTCCATTTTACATCCTGCTTTGTATGTATGTACTCGTACGCCTTACCTTACTTATCTTACCAGTGCAAGGGAGATCCTCAGATCCCGGAACTACCCCGAAATGTGTACAGTACAACGGCCAACACCCCTAATCTGGAGTAACGAGCATGAAATTCTAAATCCTCATCCCTTGTCATATTGGCATAAAGAGGGGCGGTTCAACCGTTCTGGATTTTAGCGATGGAGAACGGGCCAGTGCCCCGCTTAAAGGTCCTAGCACCGTCACGCAGCACGATGACTGGTTGTACTTTGCTCAACGGACGGGTTTGACAGCGGTCCCACGAACCAGTTCGCTTGAATGTTCTCGATCTGGATGAGTTTTTTAATTAATTTTTTTTGTCTTTTTTTTCTTGTTGATTTTGGTGGCGTTCGGATGACCATTAACATCCGATGGGCGGCACAGACAAGGTTCACCGGTCAAGATACCTCATTTTGACAGTTTGTGGCAGAGGGTGGATAAAGTTAAAAAAAAATCAGGCGGGAACTATTGTATTCTTCGTATTGAATATCCTGGTTTCTGGGGATACTTGGGTAATCAGACGGGAGTATGGAGTACGGAGTATAGACTCATTACTAGTAGTCTGTGATTGTGAATGACACACTCAAAGTGCTGACCAAGGAGTAAGTACTGATTCAGCTTTGACAGTAGGAACATCTGGACTAAACGAGTTCAATGCTGTCAACATGTCCACCCGGACGGCAGACTTGGCTCATCTAGGTATTCTATTGTGTCTATCAACGGGGTCTTTACCGTGGTTTCGTCCAACCAAGTTGGCTTTCCGCTGCCGGCCCAACCCTATCTACCCGGTTCAAACTCAATCGGGGCTTCAATGTTCTTCCCGTACGAACTTTTCTCTTGGAATTCCATGCGAGAGTATCTAGTAAATGCCAGTGTTCATGGCTATATCATTTGTACTTATTACTCAACAGATGCCCAGGTGGATAGTACATGGATATCCTAGAAAAAAAAGACAACTTCAAAAGCCGCTCCAAACTCCGAACCTGTAAGAACTTGAACTTGAACTTGAAAGATTAAGGGGTAAGATCAAAGGATCGATCGGAATTTCAGCCGTTAGACGAGGGATTCTGTTCTGGTTCCAAGGTTCTAGTTCTGGTTACCGCCAGGTTCAACCTTGGAACCCGTTGAAACTCCCGAGCCATGGGGCCGTTCTGGACAGATGAGAAACTATTGTTTCATAATGTACTCCAGGTACTCCATACTTACCGAGTCAGGTGTATGATGTATTTAGATCTGTACCTGTGCGCACTCCTGATGAAAGGGGGTGGTGGCGCGCAAGGCGAACAGGTGGAAACAGTGGAGTTGAAAGCGGAGTGGACGGCAAAGTCATAGCAATTCCACGGCATAGCGATTTCAAGTTCCTTTCTTGTATGGATACATTCAAGTTTGTACGTTTGGATATTCTTTGTAAGAAGGAAATAAATTAATAAAATCATTTTTCATGTATTTTTTGGTCTGGTGTCCATCTCATTAAGCGATATGCTCGTACCGAATATATTAATACCAAGAGAGGCGGAAAGCAGCCGAATACGTTGAATACAACATCCATGAACGGAGTATTCTACCCTAGTTAGGTAGGTCTTTTAAGTCTGGCCCCCTTACACCCACTCTGTTGGAGCCGCAGTGTGCCGCAGGTTCAGGGGGGGCCCTGACGCTTCGTCTTTCAGAAATGTCTCCTCCAGGTATAGTGTCGGGCCGCTAAACTCGTGGCTGAGTATTTTGTAGCTGGATTGAATACCAAGTGCGCGCGCAACAAAGAAAAAAAATGAATGAGGATGTTCGGAGTCGCCGTAAGTTTTGGAAAAATCCCAAGGTTCTGGTTGCGCTAGTTGAATGTTGGGCTCGATAAATTCAGATGTCATCAGGTTTGCCGTGCTCAACGGGTCCCACAACGGTACCAACGCCTCGGGGTAGCTGAGAACTTGAATGATGCAATTCGGGTAGGCCGAGGAAAAGCGCCCTGTCAACTGGATAATTGGATGAAGTTGTTCGTTTACTTGATTGGGGTAATCACATGATCACAACACATTGGGATTAGCGTAGGGCTTGAATCTAGGGCATCATCAAATCATAGTCAACTGGTGATATCTCTCATTCCAACTTTGCAATATTGGAATATTTGAATATTAGCTTCAAATATTTTATAGTTCCTGAATCTGCAGTCACTCGCAAAAAACCAGTTTTAATGTATCAATTCTCCCATAGGGTTTCTGTTCAATGTCGTGTTACCATCTTCCTCCAATCATGGTATTTCTCGTGATGCTCTTTCATCTGAATACATCTGAGCCATCAAGTTGAAATCATCTCGTACAGACAAAACCACCATTTAGTCTTTAGTCTGAATTAATTAATTATGACCAAATTCAGAAGACCAAATTCAGAAGTGCCTGAAATTTCAAACGTTCAATTTCCTCATACGCAAGCCACATCACCCCTATCTCACCGGTTATGCTTGACCCATATATCGAACGCCTCAGTGGCGTGCATCCCTGTAAGCCACACCAGTCAAATTGCAGCATAACCGAAAGGTCATGCCACCACATGATTCAATGCTGTGCATCATGCTGGGGCAAGATGACACTGCACATGGAGAAAAAGCTCCCCCCCCCCTTAGCTCGTGGATAATGTCATTCCAGGAACCGCTGAAGCTGAGACCGAAACGAGGGCGTTGATGCAAGGGATGCATGAGTTGGCAGGGGCAGCCGATCAGAAGATCATCGTACTTATGCAAGGCTTAGGTGTTTAGGTTTGCGTTTTGACGTTATTGCTTTTTATTTTTTTAATTTTTTTCCTGCTCTCTTATTCCAGTTTCATGACTTCGAAGGTTGGTTTGTGTCGCTTGTCATACTCTAGTTTACTTCCAAGGTTCTCGTGTTGGGTTTTTCCAGGTGTCCCCTGGAATATTTGGCACTTCCCCCTTGACAATATTTCTCTTAACTTATCACTATAGATCAATTGGAAATACTTCATATCTGTAAAATCAGGTCTATCCCTGGTACCAGGTTCACGGATACCATGCACCATGTGGCCCGTAACAGGGAACTTGCAGTTAAACCCAGGTTCTAACGGGACTCGGTTACTGGCATCCAAACAGATAACCCCTTCAACACATGCTCATGCAGGTAATCGTCTCATCTGCAGTGCCCAGGTGAGCTTTCCCCAATTTCTGGTAGATCTTGGGAACGTGTTTCGGTTGTTGGACATTTTCAGGGATCTTACCGTTGAGGATACTAAACCCCTGGCCTGAAGCTTCTTACAGGCACCTGGCAACATTGGATGAAATTGTAATATTTACCATGCTGGTGCCTGGCTGTATTGGTGTACTGGAATAAGCAAAACCCGTTGATTCATGTAGTGGGTTGAGTTTAATTTGTCATTCGTTTGCACTACACACCATGCCAACTTTCTAATATACGGATCAAAGTGAGGCAAGAACAAGCGATTTATAATACATGACAAATTTATGCATTTAGAAGGCAACAATTGAATGATTGTCTCATCAATTCATGGCATCATTTATCAGCTGAGGCGGGAGTCTCGATGAATCTATGAATCCGTGGGAAGATTTGCCGAAGAGCTGAATTTGATAATGAGCAATGGCACTATAAGCACTTGAGCTGAAAATAGCCACTGAGAAATGATGACTGGTTGGCCTCAGCTTTCGAGACAAGTGACCTCAGATACAAACAGCCTTGATTTCGTCTACCTGTCTTAGAATAGACTGCGGATCCTGCGGAGCTGTCTCAAGTCCAGCACACTTCTAGTATACGCGATGTTACAGTCAGATAAGTGCTCAGGTGAAAAAAGGACTTGCTGGGCTTCATGTCATATGTCATGGTACAGTTCAAGTTGAACATCGAGGTCTGAACACTGAGCTTGGACCATGCATGGAGCTTCAGAAAGATTTATCTGCTACATGGGGTTGTACAATACAGTTTTAGTTATTCTTTCCATTAGAGTTTGTCCCTCGCCGTTACGAATCCATAGCTGATTATTACCCTCACTGTAAAGATCAACAGGTTTCGACGTACTCCATACAGCACTCAAGACTCTCGGAGTCGGGGAACAATGAAGGTTCACATGAATGAAAGCGGAAGGTTCAAATGTTGGCTGGTGTTATTGGTCACCAGTCAAAATAAATCCAGACCAATTTCAAGCTGAGCGACAAGTATTAGATCAATGAATTAGCCTACTGATATCAACTGAAATCTTGCTAGACTGCCAAACTCCCGACAAATCCACTCTCACCTCATCTTGAGTTGACGCGAAAGAATACTGGCATAGTCTCAATCGGACAATCTACTTCAACTGTGCTTCCACCTTCAAATACCTTTGGAATACATTCTGGTCGCATACTGGCCTTCCCCCATAATGTCCAATAGGCTCCGACTGGTAGATAGACACTTTGCTTGCGCTTTCCAGGCTCCAAGACAGGTGCAATCAAATAGCGAGATCCAAACATATAAGCCGTTTCAACATCCCAAGCCTTCTCATCTTGAGGAAATTCGTAAAATAGTGTGCGCATAACAGGTGTCCCCTTCTCATGAGCTTCCTTCATTAAGCTCCGAGTATACTCACGGAGCTCTTCACGGATTCCAATAAATCTCTTACAGATCTCGTAAACTTCATCCCCATACGACCAAATCTCATTATCTGCTCCGCTCGCAGTCGGTAGTCCTTCAGGCTTTGGTTCGCGGTCTCCATGTAGTCGCATCACAGGGCAAAATGCACCCCACTGGAACCAGCGGGTAAACAATTCCCGGAAGTCAGGGTCATCTGGATTGCCCCCGTGAAAGCCTCCAATATCAGTTGTCCACCAGGGAATTCCAGCAAGGCCCATATTTAGACCAGCTGCCAATTGGTTCCGGAAAGAGCTCCAAGAGGACGCGATGTCACCACTCCAGACAAGAGCTCCGTACTTCTGGCTTCCTGCCCAGGCGCAGCGCAGCAAATTCACGATGTTTTCTTGTCCGTCCTCTTGCATTCCCTCGTAAAAGCCACGCGCATATTCCTTAGGGAAGATGTTGCCAATCTGGAGATTACTGCCAGCATGATACCGGTAGATATCGAAGTCGTAGATCGAATACTCTGGCTCCGCTTCGTCTAGCCAGAACACTTTGATACCACGTTGGTAATAGTTCTTCTTCACTTTGCTCCAGACGAATTTGCGTGCCTCTGGATTAGTAGCGTCGAAGTGGGTGATGTCCCCGTCGCACTGCATTGCCACTCGTAGCCCACGATCGTGTCGGATTAAAAGTCCACGCTCTAACATTTCGGGATAGTTCTCAGATGCATTCTCAACTGTAGGCCAGATGGAAACCATAAGCTCTACCTTGAGTTCCTTGAGCTCCTTGATCATGGCATCTGGATGGAGCGAATCAGTTGGAATTTGGCAATCGCAATAAAACTTCTGGGTCAAGACTTACCAGGGTCCGGCCAAAACTCCGCATCAAAGCTCCATTCACCTTGATGTTTCCAATGGAAGAAATCAATTACAATCAAATCAAGAGGAACCTCACGACGGCGATATTCTCGTGCCACGTTGAGTAGTTGCTCCTGATTCCAGTAGCGAAGCTTGCATTGCCAGAACCCGAGTCCATACTCTGGCATCATGGGAACATACCCCGTCACGCTTGCATAAGCTTCTTCGATCTGCGCTGGAGTATCTCCAGCTACGATCCAATAGTCGAGAGCCTTTGTAGAGTACGCCTCGAAGCTCATCACGTTTCTTCCAAACACTGCTCGTCCAATTCCTGGATTATTCCATAAAAGCCCGTATCCACGCGATGAGATAGCAAATGGGACACTGGCTTGAGAATTGCGATGCGCGAGCTCCAGATCAGTCCCCTTAAGATTCAAGTATGGCTGTTGGTATTGACCCATTCCGAAGATTTTCTCTTTGGGATCCAGAGATTCAAATCGTGCCGTTAGGTGGAAGTCTCCACCCAAAATAGGACGTAGTTCTCTGGCTTCGATTTCCAAGGCACTGCATTTTTCATCGAGAGGATCTCGTCGATTGCGGGCGTATTCATCCACGAGCTTGATTCCCTTTGAGTTGTTGATTATGAGTTTGCCCCGTGGGGAAACTGTCGCTTTGATATTTCCATTTGTGATTGTTTTGGCTTGGCTATCTAGACTTTCAAAGATTGGTGGAGGACTCTCTGGCTTTGAGCTGAGTGCCCAGTCCTCTGTCGGCATGGATGCCAGCTTGGTTGCTTGGATGCGGAATGCATTTTCGCCCCATGGTTGGATCCATAGTAGGTGGTCGTCGAAACGAAAGGTGAGTTTGTCACCATCTGTGTACAACATAGTTTAATGCTTTCAATGCTATAGCTATATGAGTAGTTGGACGAGTTGATGTTGGCAGTCGAAAAGGGCAGAAATTGAAGTGAGATTTGCTACCTTAAAGAGGGGAAGTCCGTTCGCCTGATTCAAAACCCGAACTCAGTTATGCATAACATACTGATGGCCAACCAGAAGTTTCTTTTGAGGGGTAGTTCGGTTTTTTTTAATAAGTCCAAATTCGTCAATATGGATTTATTCCAAGGGTTTGAGCTCGTTGCTCGAATTTCTCCAGGACAGCCCTTTGTTGAGATCAGGTGTAGACCATCTGATCCTCCGTGAGATATCACCTTTCTCCCGACACACTAAACAGAACACATTCCATCCCCCACTCAGGTACTCATCCTTTGCACCTCAAAAATCCAACCGTCCTCATAAGAGTGGCCCGGTTTAATGGAAGTCTTCGCGATCAATTAATCGACGAAACGGGACGTGGTGCAGATTTTGGTTGAGGGAACCGATGTGATGGAGAATTATAAAAATCATTACCTGGGCATAGAAGAGGGAACCCCCATTTTATTGTCTCGACCCTCAGTGTGAACAGAGATACCATTGGAATCCTGGAAGGGATGTGACCTCGAAATAATTACCTGGTACTTCCCCAGGTAACTGGTCTTGTCCTAAGCATAGGGTTGCTCTTTCCAACTCAGGAGTTCAAAACACTCAATACTCATACCATCTTGACGCCCAATTAATCTTCAAAGGTTAGAATCATTGCAGGCACATCTCATCTATCACTGACAACATGACTAGCAATCACGAAGTTACGCTTCCTGTCCTTGGCGGCTATACTACCTTCGAAAATGCTATGAATCAGGAGAAAAACATGCTCCATGAGTTTGACCGTGCGAGGAATATGGACAATTTGTTGACATCATTTGAAGACAATCGCAGAGAAATTGAGAAGACTGCCGCATACCATCTGCGTCTATCTTCATCGATGACCTGCAAGCTTGCACCTTCAAAAGAATGGCTCAATGGGAGTTTCAATGTTTGCATGCCAGTCTATGTCAAAGGACCAGATGGAATCCCCGAGCCCGAATCGCATGCGATTATTAGATTCCCCATGCCTTTTGAGTTAGGAGAACCCGGGTACCCTGGCAATGTCAATGAAAAGCTTCGTTGCGAGGTGGCAACTTTCATATGGATACGAGAGAATTGTCCTGATGTCCCGATTCCTCATCTATTGGGGTTTGGACTTGTTGGTGGTCAGTCGGTATGTTGAATTCATTTCCTTTCCATGTTTTGCTGATCGAGAAATAAAAAACTCATCGTTCATAGTTCACGACGCCTGAAAATGTCCCATTCATAACCAGAATGTGTTGGTATCTCAAAAGATACATTTGGTGGCTCTGTCGCTATCCTCTTCCTTGCAATTTTGTCCCTCATGGTCGATCAACTATGCTAGAGACCGGATACCTAGTGATGGAGAATGTTGGCAGCTCAGAGGTGAAAGAGCTATTGGAAACGTGGTCCAAAGAGCATCATAATCAAGAAAAAAGAACCAATCTCTTCCGCGGCTTATCTCAGATTATCCTCTCTTTAAGCCAGATACCACTTCCCCGGATAGGATCATTCACTCTGGACTCGGACGGAGTTTTGCGACTCTCCAACCGCCCACTGACGCTTCGAGTTCATGCTCTAGAAAGCGATGGTATCCCCACCAATATCAGTCGCACAATGACTTACCCAGCATCAGACGGGTATTATAATGATATTCTAGCATATCATGACAATCGCATTATACACCAACGAAACTCTATTTACGGCAAGCGTGATGCCCGAGTACAAGTGGCAAGACTGACTATGATGCGAGCTGTCTTGCATTCTTTCATCAATCGTGATCTTCGAGATGGACCCTTCTTATTCAGACTTACAGATCTCCGTCCGAGTAACATCTTTGTGGACAGTGACTGGAATATCAAATTTATTATTGACCTCGAATGGGCATGTTCACTCCCGGCTGAGATGTTACGTGTGCCATTCTGGGTGAGTGCCCGCTCTTTGGACGGCGTATACGACGAGCACATCTCTCTTTTCAACGAGAGATATCAGGAGTTCTTGGATATTCTCGAGGAAGAGGAGAAATTGCGACCGCCGATAAATGGTGTCAGCTCATTCCGTGCCGATCTCATGCGGACAGGGTTTCGAACTGGGAATAATTGGTATTTTGAAGCACTGGAAAGGCCCAGCGTGCTGTTCAATATGTTTGAGCAGCATATTCATCCAATATTTGTACCGGAGCAGGGTATATCCTCAGGATTTGGACGGCTCATCTCAAGGTATTGGTCTCCTGATACATGGGAATTTATTGCCAAGAAGCTGGAGGATCAACGAAAATACGAAAGAGAATTGTGTCAGCAGTTTGGGAGATATGTTGAACCGCTTGAAGAGACTCGGAGTTCGCATGTTAGAAATCGGTCCAGCGCATAGGGCTTGTAGCACATGAGTGCTAGTATTATTATTATTATGTTCAACCCCTTAAAGTTGTTTTCAACCGTGCACTAGAAGCTCAATTCTACTTATCGTACCCAGGTGTCTATAGGGATATACCAAGTACCTATAGGAGTATCTAGAGGGGTATGATAATATTGAACTGTTGTATGATCTTGGAAGTTGCATATGGGGATAAAGAAGAAAAATAGACGTATGCCTCATTTCCTCGATTAAATAACATCACAAACTCAGGATAGTTATCATTATGTCGGTCTCGAATATTCTCAATATGAATCCAGCCAATTCCTCAGTGTGAATAATAAAGCTTCATCCCAGAATCCCAAAATGCCTGGGAGCATCCAAGCAGACTAATCCCATGTACTACGTAACCCTTGACTATAACCATTTCTGTTTCAACGTTACCATAATGCAATATGTATAGTATTTGAATATCTCTTCGCCATTGATCAATTGACTCCCGTTATATCTCTATATATCAAATTATTTACCTATATCATACACTACTTATGATCAACTCTGAAGAATGCAGTGCCCGTATTCGTCCCCCACACGCTAAACCCAACTAGGCGAAGGCGGGAAAGCTCAACATCCTGGTTTTCTCTCCCTCTTCAAGTTCCACTACACTCTATTATTGATCACTTGAATTTCAATTATATTTACAACATGGCAGCTACTACAGGCTTTGCCAATCAGGCTCCTGCCGATATGGACATGGATATGGACCTTGATCTGGGCCCGGAGCCTGAGATGCCGGAACCTGAGCTCCTCCAGACCGTGAGTGCCTCAAGCTCAAGATTCCGCGTAACAAATGCTAACTCAGACTGTCATTGGATTAAAGGAGCCGATCATTCAAGAGAATCCTATCGATCCACTTGCGGAAGAAGCTATGTACGAAAAAGTTCACGTTCGTGGGGTGGACGAATTGACCACCGATGACATCAAGCAATTCGCAATTAGTCACTTTGATCAAGAGAGGCCCTCGCGCGTTGAATGGATTGATGATACTTCTGCCAATATTATCTACTCTTCTAGCGACGTGGGTCTTCAAGCCCTCACTGCGCTGACCCAGGTCGGCGAGGAAGAAGACGTCTCTGCCCTCCCTCCTTTGCGCCTCCGCTCAGGCAAGCTCCTCGCATCCCACCCCGACTCTGTTTTACTAGTCCGATCTGCCGTAAAGTCAGACCGCAAGCAAGCCCGTGCCTACGAAAAGAGCCGTTTCTACCTCATGCATCCAGAACACGACCCCCGCGAGCAGCTGCGCCAGGAGCTCTCAGACAGAAGACGACACGGTGACAGTGGGGATGGTGATTACAAGCGCCGCCGATTTGATGACCGGGAATTGCGTCGCCGACGTGACAGAGACGGTGACGACCTTTTCAGCGCCAATATGTACGATGATCAGCCTGACAGCTATTCCGATCCCGAGCGTGACCGTTCCGGTCGGAGAGGCGGGGCACCCCGCGAATTATTCCCCGATGATGGTCGTGGCTCTGGACGATTGCGCAACCGCAGTGCCTCCCCCGGCCGAGACACTCTTGAAGAAGCCACCCGAGCCGACCAAACCGATTCCCGCAGACGATTCCGCGAGCGCTCACCTCGCCTCGGTCGCGGTGACAATAAAGGCAAAGAGCTTTTCCCATCTGGTGACGCTGGCGCGCGTGAGCTGTTCCCCAACAAACCCGCTTCGAGCTATATTCCGAAAGAATTGTTCCCTGCCAAAGCCAGTGGCCACCGTCGATCCGACGCTTTCGACGCTGCTGATGAGACCCCGGACCTTTTGCGTCGCAGGATTTCTGTTCCCGTCGCCGATGGAAACCAGCGAAACCGCGAGCTTTTCCCCGATGAAGATCAAGGCGCCGCTATGCGTGGAGTAGCCTCAGGAGACAACTCAGGTTTCTCTATTCGTGGTGCAGCCTCCTCCCCTGGTATTTCGATCAAGGGTCGCGGCGGTGCATCGGTCCGTGAACTGTTCCCATCTAAGTTTGACGGTGATGCTGGTGGATCCAATGCCGGGAAGGAGCTTTTCTCTGATACATTGCAAGGTCGTGGAGGACGTCGCCGCAGAGCAGAGGATATGTTTGGTAATTGATGTGGTCTATACCTGTACGTTTCAAGTGCATGCGTGATCAAGCGTTTTCGTTTCAAGCATTGTTCTAAGATGGCGTTTTACGAAAATTTGATTAAGGGAATACCCCTGTTTTCGGTTACAATCAATGATCTCATCTTTATTCTCATTCTCATTCTCATATGCATATGAATATGTATAATTGACTAATTCAAAATGTTCAATATTCGGCCTCGGAGTAATATCAGTAATCATATAGTAGAGGTGTTCTTGATGTATCAAATCTTTCTCTTATTCGTTCCCCTTACCTCCCAACGACCCACAATAACAGGGTCAACTGTGGTTCTCAACAAATCATCATCATTGATACTCCATGTGGGGGCTATTTTCGTTGATTTGTAACTTTTTCCATTCAATAAACCCCGGCTGAGACGCCATAAGACGCGCATTGTCGACAATCGGACTCGGCGTTTCCCCTGAAGAAAGAAAAACTCGAATCATTCCTACTCAGTACTTTTACATTGATATACCAAACAATTTGTGAATACTAGATTCCCCCTATACCCCCACGATGGCACCGAAACCAGTCCCATTCCCAGGCTTCACGCCCTTATCGAACCGAGTCTATCTTCGTAATGGACACGAAAAGACAAAACCCGCACCAGCAGATGAGCCAACAACTATAGTCATCTTTGGCTGGGGAGATGGAATGCCCAAACACGTTTCCAAGTACAGCGACGGTTTCGCAGAACTGTACCCCTGCGCCAGGCTCCTCGTCGTTTTATCGGGTACCTTCCAAGCCTCGAATCAGCGTCTAGATGATCGAGTCAAAGCTATGATGCCTCTTGTGGATACCATTTTCCCAAATCCTACAGGAAGCGATCCTGCCGTTCCAGAACGCGTCTTGTTACACGCTATGTCGAATACTGGAGGAATCTTCTTAGCTGCTTCTTTTGTCGCTTACCAGAAACGTCATGGTACTGATAAGACCTTTCCTCATGAACTCCTTGTCTGTGATTCTACCCCTGGTAGTCTGGACTTCGCATCGCAGGTTGGTCGTTGGTCACATGCTATGGCAGTGGGAACTGGGAAACATTTCCCTTGGCCTGTTTTCGTGACTCAGGCTTTGTGGTATGCTTTTCTCTGGGGCAATTGGGCTTGGGAACGTTTGCATGGTGCTGAACCCTCGGGTGTTTGGGCTGTGCGTATTTGTTTGGATCATTCCATTTGCTCCACTGATCCTACCCGACTTTATCTTTATTCTAAAGAGGATGAGATTATTTGGTGGGAGGATTTGGAGACCAATGTTGCCAATGTTAAGGCTTCTGGATATCCTGTGGAATTGGAGATGTTTGAGGGTTCGCCGCATGTTGGTCATATGAGGATGCATTCGGAGCAATATTGGAATAGAATTTCTAGTTGTTGGAAGGCAGCTATCGAGAAATAGAGGGAAGTGTACATTAGAGCTATATAGATGGATTTATAAAGGAGTTTGGATATACCTGTCTTGTGGGTGTACAGAGTCCGTAGTAATCACAAAAGATTCTTGAGAATAATTGTTTATTACCTATATCTACAGCTCGGAACTTGAAAGATCACACTTTCCATACAATCAACCTCTTATCAAATCCACCACTAACCACCCATTCTTCCCGGATGGATTCCCCCTCTTTACCAGCTACATCCACGTAACCAGCCCAAATAGTCCGCACCTTATAACCGAGCTCATGACCATCCTTCAAAACAGTCATAAGCTTACCCGTCTTCGCCTCAATACCTCTCACCAGACCATCATCACCGTTGACCCAAACTCCCGATCCATCGGGTCTCCATGCAACCTGCGGCGTCGAGTATGCTGTCTGCGGCGCAAACGTATTCGCCTGAAGCAAGATGGCTGTGTCCTCGCGATTCTGAAGCGCCAAAGCAGCCATAGCCTGCGTCGCTTGTGTCAATGCTGAATCTGGACCCGGTATCTCAGGGCCACCTGGTAGATGCGCAGATGGAAAAAGAAGTCGGACGATCATCACTTTCATATGGGGAAGTGCGGACGTAGCAATTGCTAACAATCCAGGATCTCGTGGACTAAGTGCCATATGAGCTGGAGAGAATGCTACCCAGGCATTCGAGTGAGGTGCGAGATTTTGTTGTCCGAGGAGAGGAAGCTCGGGAGATGATGATGAGACTTGATAGTAGAATATATGGGTGGAATCGCGACGAGATACGAGCAAGAGTAGCTCGCCGGAATCGATATGGGGTACGAAAACAAGGGACTCTGGGTTGGTAGGTAGCTTGATGCGTGCGACGGGTTCACCAAGGACTGGTGACGAGTCTGTGGCCATGTCCTCATCTGGGATCTCAATTCGGTATAAGAAGACAGTCGCGTCCCAGCCTGCTGTTGCAATCCAGAATCTTCGAATACCGTTCTCACTTCCTTCTTCGTGGGCAACGACTTTGACTGCATACTTTGCGTGATCCTTTCTGCTATCTAGAATGTGCGATCTATGTTGAAGGAGAAGATAACCGGACATATTGGTCATCAGAATGTATCGACCTTGAAGGATCGATGTGAGTGAAAGAACCGGTGAATCCGATAGACCAGAGAAAGAGACCAGAGAAGCATGATCCGGCTTAGTATCAAGTAAATGAATTTGCTTATCAGCTCCAGTTGACGCAAGTAAAGGTAGTGCTGACGTTTTCACATCTGCACCATCACTTGAATACTGCCATGGTTCAACTGAGGCAGCAAGAATATTTGAAGATGTGGGAGTCTGGATCACCGTCGGTTTAGACGGGGCTTAACGGACATCAGCAACCACTTCTGTGCAGCCAGCAGACGCATGACCCGACCTAGGAATCAATCTTACCTGGAACAGTCCACATATCATCATCTTTCGTATCTTCGCCATATCGCTCAAAATTAGCGCTGTGGTCGAAGGCCTTCTTCTCTTCAAGAAGACTCTGTATGGTCAAATTTTGGGCATCGTCGCCTGAACTCTGCCCGCGTCGACAGGGAGACCAGCTTCACGAAGGAAGGCCTGGAGAGTCTCTGTGTAATTGTTTGTGCGCAGGAACTGCGCAACTATGGCGCTTGCTAGCGCATCTATTGATGGAGTTGGAGCCATGAGGTCTGGTCCGTCTGGAGTGCAGTCAAAAGTGAAGTGGGGCTAGATGTGATATGGATCAAGTGGATCACGCGAGGGCGCTCACAAACACCACCCACCATTCAAGTTCAAATGTTGAAGTTATTCCAATGTAGGCCATTGTTCCAAGGTTCAAACTCAAGTGCTCTTTTTGTACTCGGGAGTCTCTTTTCTTCCATGTTTTATTTTTTGGTCTATGGGTATATATTAGCCTCATAATTACATCATGATACTTTCAAGAAGCTAGTATCTCCGACTATTCCAATATTTTATTATTCAACCTTCACATATACACTGGCAGATCTAAGTCAGCTCCACCATCGAACAGTATCCTTTCCTACATATAAGCCCTGAAGCTATATTCCAGCACTTGAGTCATTCAAAATGCTTCAGCCTTCGCCTAGATGGGACTCTGATAACCAATAATTATATATTTAAAGAAGTATGCTTCAGACTCTACGAATTACTTTCTGATGCGGATGCGATCTGCTTCGCCTTATGCTGGAAAAAGATGTATGATTATTTCCTCCAGGGCTCTTGTTCCATAAGGCCCGGGGGTACCCAGATCTCTCAGCTTCTTCCACGTGAAAAACGGACTTTACTATGTCCCAATGCGAACAAAAGGCCAAGAAATGCATTACTGCTCCGACTTGAGAACAACTTGAAACTTGAATGGTGGAGGTATTGCGCTAGATGCTGGAATCTTCATCCTCGCCCGAGACGGTCGCGACTTTTTTTTATACCACGACTCTGTCTGAGATGCGATATCTCTCGTCGATTCCCGCACTCGCTCTGTACGTGTAAAAGAAGATGGGATCTACGACATCTTGAGGAAGTTTCTGTTTGCCCATGTCTCTCTATCACATTCCATGAGAAGATATATTTAATGGAAACATGCGCATTCCCTTTAAAATTTGGAGCTGGTTTTTTTCCCCGAGTTACACCACCCAGACTTGAAGGCTCTCCAATATAAATGGGCCCGGGATCCGGGCCGAAGATTAATAGCACCCGCCGGCAATCTCTATCATAAATGCACCTTTACCGATCATCCATCTGTCAATGTTGAGATCGAAACTAGCATACTCCTTCTAGCATATTCCTTCAACTTGACAATGATATCCATGACAAAAAGCATGTGAATCTACACGTGCGAAGCCGATGTGAATTTATTGTATCACCTACAAAAGAGAGTACCGGTGTCTCGTGGATTCAAAGTCACTCTCCACGCACACACGAGGATGTTGCTATCTGGCTTCAAAAGTTTTTGATAAAGCTGGGTCAAGTTTTGATGTCCTGAGTGGCCACTTTAGCAAAAACTTCTGTTCATTCTCCTATGGCTGGGATAATTGCAAAAAAAATCGGAAGCTGGAGAGGGATTGCGCTCCTTACACGTCTCTTGGGAGAGAAATCTAGGAATTCGACAAAAATGGGTTGAAAACGATCTACGTGACTGTCTTCGTCAGTATAAGTGATTTAGCTGGAGTCTGTGGATTCGCTCTTCAAATAGCTATGCGGGGTTCCAAGGTTAGTGATCTCCAGGTTAAATTGATGAATTTCCAAACCCACCTGGGCAGGTACATATGGTATGTAAGTTGAGAACTTGAACTTCACAGAGTACCTTGCTGTCATAATATTGCACTTACCCACCGCTAGGGCTGGGCAGGTATCCCAACATTGAATGTTGTGTCTATTCATGACTTCAAGTTGAACGATGTTCTAGGTCAGCACTAGAAACTATCTAGATATATAGCTGTTACTACTATCAAGCCATGGAATTTAAGTTGTTTCAAGTTACTACTAGTACCCAGCTTAATACCTACTAGGTAGACTCTTCAATAGATACTATACATAGTATCGCACCTATACCTAGGTAGTAGGAGCCTTAGGTACGATCCATGGATACATGTATCATACCTATACTACTATAATACTAATCCATACCACACACTATGTAGGTACAACACACACCAAAGACCACTGGCATAGGCTATTTTGTACTTCTGTTACTAGGTAGATTGAAGTATTTCATCTCGAGTCTCTTTTCATCTGAAAGTTTGTTGGGAACTTGGAAATATAGGAATACGTACTGCGATGGAGAAGCGAGGCGATGCCGGCATCAAGGCTCAAAGGATCCAAGACGAACTGATCCGTGGAGATCTGAATTCGGAAGACACACTTTGGGAATGACGTGATCATGAGGAGTACACAATATCTGCCGGTTGCTTCGAGCATCTGTACATAGTACATGGTATACTGCCATGTTCAAGTTTGGTCCACTTGATGTTCCTGTTTCCTGATCCTAACATGATCTTGGAAATCTCCAGGGCTCCTCTGTACTCGTGATTTGATCTCTTTAAGAGCGGTTATTGTCCAGTTTAGTACAAATTGAAGTAGGAAGAATTGAGAATTGTTCAGGTCTGATGGAAGAAATGTCATGGAGCGGCCGCTCCATTCCGACATTCCGATGTATTCAAAACTCAAAGCTAGCTAATGGATAGCTACTAAGTAACTATATCTTACGAAAATGTAGCCGTCCACCATAGCACCCTCTCAACCATCGATAGATTTGAGAGGGTGATAATAAAAGACAGGGGCTTGGGATCTTGTCTTGGCACGTAATAGAAAATCCTTCAGCAAGCGCGCATGGAAGAGCACGTTGCTGTACACACATATGCCGTGAAATGAAATGAAAATATCGAGAGAACACTAGAGAAAAAGAACTGCAAGTCAACCCGAAGGTTGAGTACGAGGAGAGTAACGGTCAATCACATGGCAAGCAAGCAAGAAATGGGGGGAAGAATTGCTGTTCCACTTTGGGACTGGTACCGCTGCATGGATATCGAATTTAAGCCTGTTGATTTCTGTAATATCGAACAACCCCGGACGTGCTAGCGCGCAAGGAACAAGCAGAAACCAGGCCTATTCGACAACGGTCCGTTCTTTGATCATCGCACGTTATTGTATCCCCGTGTCCTTGCGCACTGTATTCCCCCCACAGTTTTTCAATTTTTTCCCATTCCGTTCGACATTTAAGCGGACTCACGCTTGCCCTCCTTGCGCTCCTTCTGCAGGGGCTGTTAGTAACTGTATGATCCGATGGTAGCCTTTTGCTGGCAGGTCAACGTACCAGGGCCTTGGCGGTGCCGTGCAGGGCGTGACGGTGGTTGCGGCGGAACTTGGCGTCAACACCACGGAGAGAGGGGTAACGGTTGGTCTTGGGCTTCTTGATACTGTAGAGCGATGGCATGTCAGTGAGTCCGTTCGAGTCTGGTTATTTGGCGGAGACGAGTGTAGATCGTAGTAGGAGGCGGGTTGCCCAACCGGCTTGAACGAAGGTTCCAATATGTATCCATTCGGTTTCCATTTCTTTCCCCATGTTCAAGCCAAACCGGTTGCCCGCATCCTCCTCCTAGAATCGTCCACTCGTGGTCGGGAAAGGTCGAATCTTCGCAGTCGGTGGTTCAGGGGGGGTACGAACCCGTTACGGTGAGCCTTCTGGCTGCGGTGGTGCTGGGACGCGTTCTTGGACTCTGTGGAGCGCTAGGTCAGCGATCGGAATTTCTTGTAGAAAATTGATTGGCGTCGACAAGACGAAAAATCCGGGGGCGACATACTGGCCATCTTGACGAATGTTGTCGCTGATTGACGTGGACGGGATGGGGAGAGTAAGAGGAGAGCACTTCAAAACCCAGATGGAGACTCGGCTAGGGCTTGCTTCTTTGTGTGGGATCTCGCTTACCGCCGACCGCCGGGCGGTGCACGGACTTAGACCCCATCTATAGTACAGAGTATGGAGAATGGAGTATATGTTTAGCTACGTCAGTTTTAGATCAATCTATTGGGAAATTGAGAGGTCTTCTATTGAGCCTTTTTGAATTACGGTTCGTTGTTTTCTGAATTATGATCCATCTTCATGGCGTGGATTTTTGTGAACATGGTCTTCCTGGTAAGCAACTGGACAATAAAATCTTAAATACACGTGATAATGACATAATCACAAAGGCACGTGACTCCATGGATCTTGAAGTGTGATGCTGGAGTTCATGTCGAGTCACATATCTACCATCAACACACCACCGGGTCTAATAAGAAAGAATGGAATGGTATTTCCTGAGATCTCACATTCAATCTCAAGGAAGAATATTGAAAATCCGACTGTTGCTCACATACCCGAAAGAGCTTCCGATATCACGACAAGAAATCAGCCACTAATAATCTAAAGAAACAGACATCTCAGAAACGATATACAGATAGCAGAACAAAATGTCCCTTCAGTCTCAGTCAAAGTGCTCAATATCAAATGTAGTTGTAGGTCTGTAAACAGTAGACTGACATGCCGGGTGGACGCACCACGTGATCCGCACTAGGGAACAACCGGCGTTCCGACTTCGACCTTTGCAACGCCAACTTCAAGAGGGATCACCCCGAGTCTTTGCATCCTCCCACCCCATTGTCACCATGAACTCCTTCCGCTTTGCTCGTTCCGCTCTGCGGGCTCGCCCCTCCATGTTCAGCGCTCCTGTCCAGCGCCGTGGATACGCCGAGGCTGTCGCCGACAAGATCAAGCTGTCCTTGACCCTGCCTCACCAGGTATGTCGAACTCCGACCCGGGGCAAATCTCCGTAGCTTGATAGGTCCCCGGACTAACATATATCTCTTTAATAGACCATCTACCGCTCCACTGGAGTGTGCGTTACCACTCTACCGCCTATTTCCACTGCTCCCTGAATACTGACGAACTTTGCGACCACAGTACCCAGGTCAACATCCCCGCCGCCTCCGGTGAGATGGGTGTCCTCGCCAACCACGTTCCCGCTATCGAGCAGCTGAAGCCCGGTCTCGTTGAGATTGTTGAGGAGGGTGGTGCTACCAAGCAGTACTTCCGTACGTGCGATTCGCGTTCCCGCAAATCCAATTGAAGAAAAAAAAGCGACGAACATAGCCGCTAACCAGAACTTTTTTTTTTCTTGGAAACAGTGTCCGGTGGTTTCGCCGTTGTCCAGCCTGACTCCCAGCTGAGCATCAACGCCGTTGAGGGTTTCCCTCTGGAGGACTTCAGCGCTGAGGTAGGCCGCGTTTCCGTTGTAGATATGGAAACATCGAATGCTAATCTTTGATATCTGAAATGTAGGCCATCCGCTCTCAGATTGCTGAGGCCCAGAAGATCGCCAACGGCAGCGGCAGCGAGCAGGACATTGCTGAGGCTAAGATTGAGCTTGAGGTATGGTCTCTCCTTGAATTGAACTTGATAATGACCATCTACTAATCTTAATATGAACAGGTTCTGGAGACCCTGCAGGCCCATGTCAAATAGATGTACATATCCACTCGCGCAACACCCCCTTTGAACCTGTAGAATTATAGCAAATTCGTTTGCTCATTTGCATTCCCAACTGCTCCTTCCTTATATTTGTGTTTCTTGGTAGACGACCATGAGTGGCACCTTCCGTCTAAGACTTTTGAATTTCCTAATCTGGCATCTCCTGTTTGACTTCCTTTTATCTCCTTCCATGAAAGAGAGTAACTTGACTTCTCATCCATCTCTTCCAATTTCTTAGACATGCAATCGATGAAATCTCCCCAAGGTCCCACTGATCCTCGCGTGACAATGACTGACTCCCCAGTGGGTGGTTTACTTTCTCCTTCTTTTGCCTCCGTCCTTGCATTTGATGAACCTGACGATCCAGCATACCAGGATCTCCAGGGTCTCGAAGAGGAAGACCACGGCAAACACAACATCGGCCTGCATGGCTCGGTTGGATCCGGTAACTCTGGCATCCAAGAGAAGGATCTCCAGGGCCTTGGAGATGAAGACCACGACAAGCACACCGGCTTGCATGACTCAGTTGCATCAAATAGCTCTGGCATCCAGGAGAGGAATTACTCAGAGGGCATTGAAAAGCAACCTCACTTTCCTCGACTAGAGCTGGATGCTGCGATGGATGAGTACCATGCCCTGGACGGGCCTGCAGATCAGTTTAATCCGCAAAACACCACCCCCGTGTCAAACGGTGGTGGCAATCATCCTGCTAGCTATGATCGCCAGCGCTACAAAGCTGAGAACATACGCACCAGCTCTGCTCCACAAGCGTCACCAGTCAAACTTGACTGGCTTGAAGAGAATGGCCAGATCGACCGTGAAGATGATGGAAACAGCAAGACCACTTCCCCCAAGCGCCGCCTCTCCGTTTCCGATCAGCTCCAGTCGGCTTCACGTTCACCAAACACGCCAGTAAAGAACGACACTTTGCCACTACCAACGCCTCCTGTCGTCAAATTCGAGGCTCCCCAGTCTTTTGAAAGATATGTGCGGTTCTCTCCAGATAACCCTTCGCAGTTTCTGCCTCCTCGCTCACCCCATCGCCCTCTCCCTTCCGTGGAACGAAAGCAGGATTATATTTCGTTGCATCGACTGCACAAGCAGCAAGAGAAGTGGAGAGGCCGTTCCCAGCGTGAACGAATCTCTCCACGTCGCAGTCCAACCAAAATTCAAGCTTCAACCTTGAACCGGCAACCGGATATTCACTTCCTTTCGATACCAAAGCCTGATACTCGCCAGCGTGTCACTCGCTCCGAAGGAAACTTGTCCACATCGGATCAAACAGTCGACACCGCAAGACAGGAAGCAGCGCATGGGCGACCTGGGCGAGTCTATGACCTAGTTGTCCTCAATCTAGGATTGTACCGATCTCAATACCCTCAGGGCTCTCGATGGGCCTTTTGGCGAGTCCGAATGTGCCCTACCTTTATACCAGCTCGCAGTCTGACTGAGGACGCGCAAGACACGAGACACATCGTTTATCGTTTGCCAGCTGAGGACTTGATTCTGCACTTTGTGATTGTTGTCCCATATTTCATTGTGCGCATCCCCGTCGTTACCCTGGCCAAGGCTGGTCGGCTGGCAAACTCGCGTGCGGGAATTTCGTTCCTCGATGTGGTCAGAATTATCTGGGCTCTTGTGGCCGCGTTCATCAACTTTGTACTTCGCAAGATTTGTGGAATGGAGTTTGGATTTTACGGCAAGGTCCAAACCGAATATCCAGATCAAAGTCAAACTCGCGCACGCCCGGTTTAGCTACTTTAAAGCTCTCTTGAAAATGCCCAAATCTGTATTCCTACTGGTCCTCACATTGATATTGCTATTCTTCACCTCTTTGGCAGTCTTGTCTATTTCCTATCCAGCGTTGGATACCTTTTAATTGCGCAGTTCTTGACACACGATTCATCCTGTACTACTTGCATGACATAAACCCAATTAACTCCGAGTCTTACAATCAATTATTTCCTACATAGGTACTACTAGTAGTAGTGATCAATTGTTTCATGTTGTAGTAATCGTGTAATGATTTGAACCGTGCTACATACTAGTAATAGCACACTACCTACCTAGGTAGGTACTTCAAGTTGACATCTGTAACTTTAAGTACCAGTTAACATAGAAGCTTCAACATTTGAACTTGAAGTTAGATCCATTTCTGTACACAACAATTCATTCATTTTATTTGGTACAGCTTAATATATACAAAAACACCGCACTAACACCATCATTAATGCAAAGTAACGCCAAGGATCCCGGCATCAGCTCTATTTTTTACGGCCCTCAGTGCCCTTCTTAATCACCTTCTGTCTCTTGGAGTCAATCTCCTTGTCGTAGATCTCACGAGCAGTCTCGCCCTTCTTGCGCTTCGATGACTTGCTCTTCACACTGACTGTAGAAGCACCACCGCCGCGGATCTGCTTTTCAGCATCGTCCCAGGATGTGGAACCGTTATCAATTGCGTATCTGGAGACTAGAAATCAGTTATTGTTCATTCGGGACCGTGTCAAGGTGTGGAATGACAACTTACTTGTCCAAAGGCAAGGCATCGATGAGAGCCCGTTGCTTCTCGCGCAACTCTGCGTTCACCTGCTTACCACCCTCAGCAAGCTCATCCTCGATGGAAATGTCGAGTGGCTTGAATCGGTCCTCAATGATATCGTCATCATGAGCACCGCCAGAAGGTGCGGAGACAGGAGCCTGCTCGACGATGGTCTCGGCCACAGCACCCTCAATCAATCCACGGAAGTGAGTGGAAATCTTGCGGATGATCTTCAGGAACATGGCGAGGAGCTGGGAGGAAGGAAGACTCAATTCCTTCTCCAAGTCATCCAGGCTCTTACGCTGCAGACCAATGCCCAGAAGAATGGACTGTTGCACGCCGGAAAGACTGACCTTACCAGCCAGGCGGTTGGCAAAATAGTACTCGGCAATGAGAGGAACCATGTCGAGAATGACGTGGTAGTCCAGAAGGTTGTTGGCGTAGCTATCCAGACGCTTCAAGTCAAATGGAGAGAAAGCAACATCGAGATCAGCCTTCTTCAAGATGCGCAGCACAGCAGCGGTATCGAGTTTAGCACCAGCATTGGCAGATTCGCAGATGCTAAGAGAGAGCACAGACGGGAATTGGCGGAATTGATATGAGAGAAGGGAAATGAATCGGCGATGGAAATCTCTGGAGAAAGATCCCAACCAGCTGGCATCATTTGTACCGGCCGTCAGAGTGCGGAGCATAACGCATGAGTGCTCGCCAGTCAGATCGTTGGGGGTTTGACGAAGGTAGACTGGGACGAATGAACCGCGCTTCCAGAACTTGTGGAGGGTAGGTGTAAGGCCGTAGCTAACACCAACGTAGTCAAGGGCATCAGGGCGTCGCTCGGTCAGTTTACCGAACAGGGGAGGCATGGTACGAATATCCCGAACGTGAACATTGTCATCAAGAAGATTCGAGTTGGCAAGCTCCTCGTCAGTAACACGAACCATCTCCTCCTGGGGGGCAATCATGTCCTCGTCCAGGCTAGTGAACTTGCCCTCAAAGAAGTCAACCAGCAACTCCATAGCTCTTGAACCGTAACCCATTCCAGTGTACTCAGGGTTTGTGGCAATACGGACAATTCGGGCACCCGAAAGACCAGCAAAGTCCTCATCCTGGAACTGCTGGCTGACCAACCAGGGAATGAGATCACCGCCAGCACGCTGACCACGGCTGAGGCTGTTAAGAACACTCTGTCTGCTGATGCGACCCTCAAGGGCAACTTGAATGACGCAAAGGGGCTCGGGAAGCTTGGTAGCTTCTTCATCGATCGGAGGAACAAGGACATAGAGCTGGTGCGCAGGCGCATCACTCATGAGCTGCAGATCATTGGGCGTGTTCTTGTAGTGACTGGCAACATAAAGAGCCATCATCTGTTGCAAGAACTTCTCTGAAACAGGGTGGAATGAGAACAGTGTGTCCCGGTTGACCTGGAGCAGCTGACACTTTGAAGGGTGTGGGCAGCCCTGTGTGTTCATGTGAGACTTGGGGAGAGTGGCATCCAAGCAAAGAACCTTGTTCAGCCACTTCTCAACTGAATCACCGGGGGCATAACGAATGGGCTCAGCAAGGGTAATCTCTCTCAAAGATCGACCAGTAAGGTTCTTGTCTGCACCCTTGGCAGCCTTTCCAGTGCTGCGGTCTGCCACATCGGTATCGTCTGACTTCATACCACCACGAGCCTGCTCTCGAAGCTGTTGGATAAGCTTCAGAGAAAGGGAACGTCCGGTACCTTCGTAACCGTTGATGGTGGAAGCCATGAAGACCAAGTAAGGGCCCATCAGCTTGCGGACCAGGGGGAGGGGAATAGCGGCAGCCTCATCGATGACCAAGAGCTCAGCTTGTCCAAGAACGTGAGCATCCTGGGGCTGAATGTACTGGATGGTCTGGCGGTGGTTGCGATGAATGTTGACTCGGACGATAGCCTTGTTGAAGTCAGGGTTGGTCGACTGGAGAATGGTGTAATCAACGTGGTCCAAGTAGCCGAGCGCATCGAATCCCTTGAACACAAATTCAAACAGTGTCTTCAAGTTTTCAGGGCTTGGTGAAGTGATGAAAATGTTGCTATATCCGTGAGCAACGGCTGCTGCGATCGCAACACCGAGGGCGGCAGACTTTCCTCGTCCTCGTCCTGCGGTCAAAGTAACGGTGCTCTTCAATGTCTTCTCAGCGATAGCATCGGCAAATGTCAAAAGCGCCTTAGCTTGATCCACGGTCTTCGCCAGATTAACCAGCGGACCAACAGGCTTAGCATCTGCCAAGCTCTCCTTAATTTCCTTCAGCTCCTTCTTTGGGCCTGAAGCAGACTCGTCGGTGGATTCGGGTGGAGGAAGAGGCTTCACGCTCTTGCCACCAGAAATTGGCAGTACATTCAACTCATCGTCAACTACCAAGCATGAATCGCAGCTACCCAGAGAAAGGATGAAGCGCTCGTTGAAACGAGCAACAACGTCGTCGTGCGCCTCGGTGCGGTATCGCGAGTGAATGTCCATGGACATGGTATACAACTGCTTCAAACTGTTCATGCTCTTAAGCAGTAGCAAAACCATACCACCACCCTCGACTGTCTCGACTGTACGCGCTAGAAGGTTCGGGGTCATGCTCTCAAAGTCTTGCAAGATTACTGTTCCGTATGTGTTTCCGAGAATCTTCTCAGTTTCCTTGTAGTAGACATAGCGAATCTGGTTGAGTGTGATGAACAACTCGAAGGGATCTTCCTCATTGGCCTCACGAATTCCGTGCTTGACCTCCTTTTTGATCTTCGCCTCACGCTTCTTGCGGTGACTAGTAAAGCCCAGCAGATCCTTCTTGTAAGCCCATAGCACAGACTTGTTCTGCTTGACGTCCACACTGGACAAGATATAGTGAAGATGAACAATCACATCCTTGGCACGGTCTCCGACAATGACGAAGAAGCTGCGCTTCTTTTCTTGCACACCATTTCGAATGAGGGCGGGGATACGCGAGTCAATCGCTTTGCGCGGCATTGTGAGGGTGCGGAGCTGGCCGCAAAGAAATTCGAAGGGATTCGATCGCGGGAGAAAACCGATAGAGAATACGTCCGATATTAAGGAGGGGAAGTATCCAATCCCTCAATTAAAGAATATTTGAGATGTTGAGATTTGTATCTGAGACTCGAAATGCCTCCGCCTATATCCCAAATTGGATAGGAAAAAAAAATCATATTGCACAGCCACACCGCCTGCTCTTTTCTTTTTCTGACATACTTCACCGCCAAATAGCTTCAGCTATGGAGTCACATGACTGGTCCTCATTCGATAAGTCACATGACATGCCATAGTGGAGTCAATTCCTTCCTAATGCGGAATCAATCTGGGCACTTGCGCATTAAGCTCAGACTCCACCTTCACACGAGTTATACGATGGAGCGAGGTCCTACTGTTACATGCCTGCTTTGCTTCACTCTGTACTTGGCGAACCAATTTATTGAGTAGACTATAAATGGTCTATTTATGTCATTTTCTCGAGAAAAAAAAACCATCTCCCAGCACACAATATGTACATACACGCGAAGTATGATAGGCTGCTCGGACTACATGAGTGGATCATACGGGAGCCAAGTCCTGCTTCTGCGCGCCGATCGTCCCGGCATATCTTGCTGTCTTGGACGAAAATGCTACAGGGTGCAGCTCTTATCATTGGCTGATGTTATAACAAGGGGCCATGGTTACGTGCTCAACAACCAAAAATCCAGTGAACCACACTCAAACCTGGTCAAAATCGTAGCTGGTCCACATTGGCTCCGTCAATCCCCTGATCCCCCCCACCTGGCATTCAGGGTCCCTGGTCCCATCACCATGTCTTGGCCGGATTCTCCTTGTGTCTTCATACACCTGGACAGTACTGACTTTGCGCTTCACTGCTGTCTTCCAAATTTCGCTATGGCCAGTGATCTTATCTTATTAGATCGCTAGATTATTCGGATGTACAATGGTCCCATTCACAGCCGACACTGGTCTTAAAGTAGCTGTGGGGTAAGTAGCATATCGAGTCTTCCTCAGTAGAGGTTCAAAATCCTGACGGGACATTCTTTCTAGGGTCTTCTTTATAAGCGCTTTCCTGTTGGCAGCTACTTACGATGCCACCTTCGCCTTCGGTGAGCTGCACAACTATACACTAGTACAACTCATAAACTAACTCCGATCAGACCGCCCTGTCAGCACTATCGTCTTGACCTGTTTCCTTACGGGAACAGTGCTCCTGATCATTGTACGATTCGTTTCTTCAGCGACTGCGATAGCAAACCCTACAGCTAAACGATCGAGAGCTCCTCTTGCCGACCAATTTGAGCTCGCATCACCATCTTCGTCGCGCTCGTCTTCTCCGACGCATTCCTCTTTTTCATCGCCAATTTTGGATGAGCCCACCCCGCCGATCTGGTCTGGATACTGGTACAAGATTGGTCTTCTCCTGAGTATTTGCTTTGTTCGCCTTGAACTCTTTCGTCGAGTCAGCCTCAATAATGAATGTGTGCCGGCTGGATTTTCGGTAGGTCCCACTGTAACCCCGATGTTAAAGCTCATTACTAACGTATTTTCGGCACTAGTACATCATACCTCTTCTAGTTTCCATATATGACTTCTGGTGTGACAAACGATTGCAGGCGAAGCAAGAATATGTGTACTCTAAACGGTTCCAGAGTAAACCAATTCAAGCGGCTTACGCAGCCTGCCGGCGATGCCTGCATTCTTTGACACAAAGCCGCGCCAGAGGAATCATTGCTGCTAGTTTGATCAGCCTTGGAGGCTATTCAGGAGCCTCATTTCTGTATGGGAGCCGGTCGACCTACATCTGCCCGATCGTTTCCAGAACCGCATCTCATATCCGGATAATCAGAATAGTCAGTGCTATAATCGATTCGCTTATTTTGATGGGGGTCGCCAACCTAAGCGGATATGGCGCCGAAAAAGCCGAATCAAGGAGGAAGCGGACGCTTGTATCTTTGGGGGGAGGTCTACTCGTAAGTTCAAAGGGTTGAACTTGTGAACGATTGGATTGATATCTAATGAGGCCTCGCCGTAGCTTTTCGCCCTGATTTGGGGAATAACCGGGCATTTCATCTATAAGAATCACCCCGAGCATATCCAGCCCTTCTTGGACGCAAGGTATATACGCGGTGCATTTGGTCAAGCTATGTTGGTTGTTCTTTTGATTATCTCGGCTTGGCAGATGGTAAGTGATACTCATTTTGCAACTTTCAGTAATTGACATGCACTAACGACTGCAGCTGCCATCATTTGGTATTCTTGGGATATCGATCCTGGGTGGCTTCATATTCCTATATTTTCCCGCCGCTGCTACGCTTTTATTTCGACAAATGCCCTTTCCCTTCATCTCGTTGAGCCATGCAGTTTTCCCCTTCATCGCCTCCACGACAGGAGTGGTGCTTTTCGTCCTGTCGCGCATGTTTTTGGACGAAGAATCAAAATCGCTCTACCGAATGAATGTTACTCTTCAGGTGATATTCATTATTTTGGGGCTTGCCGCTCTGATCTTTGCATCGAACAAACACCAATTTTCTCACGCACATCCAATTGATATTCTCGTCCAGAAAGCAACAATGGAGTTTGATCGGTATGCAGCGCAGGCGGGTGCCAGTACATCTCTGAAAGCTGCCGCTGCGGAGTATCGAAGTCGATATCACCAGCATCCCCCACCGTAAGTGTCCAATTCTGATTTCATGACACCCTCACTAATAATGTTCAGTGGTTTTGACAAATGGTATGAGTACGCGATCAACCGGTCCTCCGTGATAATTGACGATTTTGACGACCTGCACAAAAATCTATTGCCGTTTCGATCTGTCCCCCCTCATGAATTGCGCGTCATGACACAAAAGTTAGCTACCAATCCATTCAACGATCTTGGTGCTATTAGTATTCGTGATGGCAGGCCAAGAGTTCAAGAGGGTATTAAACCGACACATGCGTGGATGATGAAAGCGGCAGCTGAAATGATCGAAAAGTTCTCTGAACACCTCCCAGACATGGACCTGGTTTTTAACTTGAATGATGAGCCCAGAGTCGCTGTGCCATGGGAGAAGATCTGGCCCTATAAGCGTACTGCAAAGAAAATGGAATATCACTTCGACCCCCACTCGAAGATTATGAATACCTGGTCTGCGAATCGAGGCGATGGGTGGGGTCCTATCGAGCCAGCTGATCAGACACATGAAACTGTTTTCACGGACGGATCATCAAGAGCCATTTTCGATCCATACATTAGTACTATTTGTCCTCCCTCATCTCCGGCACGCACTCACCGTGTATGGAATCGCCACGACATATGCTTGAGCTGTACACATCCCCATTCGATGGCCCAGTTCCCCAAGAGCTTTGATCTTGCTTCTGACATCTGTCACCAGCCTGATCTGGCTTTTCTTCACGGGCTTCTGATATCTCCAGCGTCCTTTAAAGTCTCCCAGGAGCTAGTTCCGATATTCAGTCAGAGTGCGGTGAAGGGATTTAGCGACATTCTTTTCCCTAGCCCGTGGAACTATATCGATAAAGTGAAATACGACCCTAGCCCTGCACATCCAGATACAAGTTTTGACACGAAAGACAATTCAATCTACTGGGCTGGTAGTACTTCTGAAGGTTTCAGCCATCACGGAGAATGGAAGGGCATGCCGCGCCAACGATTCGTGCATCTTGTCAACAACAACACCGACAATCAAGTCTCTGTGCTTTTGCCACATGGTCCGAATTACAAATATGAGATTATGAACGGGAATGATCCTATAGAAAAGCTAGGTCTCCGCGCAAATGTGCATCTCGTCGACCCGATCACCCGCTGTGATGACTGCGATGAACAAAAACAGGAAATGGGAACTGTTTCCTGGGTTGACTTTCAGGACCACTGGTCTTATCGATTTCTTTTCGACCTCGATGGTGCAGGATTCAGTGGTCGATTCTTACCCTTCCTGCAGAGTCATAGCTTGCCTTTCAAAACTGGTCTCTTCCGTCAATGGTATGACTCCCGTATCATATCTTGGTTCCATTTTGTACCAGTCGATATTCGCCTACACGGTTTCTGGAGCACACTAGCATATTTTGCCGGCGTTTCAGACTCAAATGTCAACGAGGATGAGCCTCAGCGGGATCCTTCGAGAGGTGCAACACAGATGGATGCACATCTTGAGCAAGGATGGTGGATTGGAGAGCAAGGTCGAAAGTGGACCGAGATTGCCCTCCGAAAAGAAGATATGGAGATTTACTTTTTCAGACTTCTACTCGAATGGGCTCGTCTGACCGACGATCAAAGAGAGTCATTAGGATTTATGACATGATTTACGCACTTTTAATTCTTGAACTTGAACTTTACTCTTCCAATCTACTTTTAACTTGAAATGTTTACATGCAAAAATGGGACATACTACCTATCCTAAATCATACATAACTGTCGAAGCTTCTAGGTATGGTGAAGGAGAAAATCAAAGCATTTCGTGCAATAATTTCAAATTATTCTGCTTCAATAGCCAGAAATCCAGAATTGAACCAACAAGATTGGAATTTTCCGAGTCCCCAGCAAAGAAATTCCTATGACCAGCCACCAACCGAACAGGAAGTGGCGCATCTAGTGTGCACATTGGCAGCAAGGGAGAAACTTCGCCCACGAGGAACTACAATCTCGAGCACCTGAGGAGAGACCGGTCATATTCAAAATTGAAATCAGGAATGTGAATATCGGGCATATCAATTTAAGCTATATCACACTGGCATCAAAATTCCAACAACTATGCACCATGCCGTGCCCCTGTCATGATATTACTTTTTTTTCTCAACGCCTAGCTTTTCTCTCCAACCAGGGTATCATTTGCAAATTCTGGAAAATGGTTAATAAGAATGGTCAACCCGCAACAAGAAGTAATCTTGAACACAAAGATAGTACTTACGGTCCACTGCAGTTGTCTTGAACTTCCTAGCTGGCACCTTGTTTTCGAACAACAAATCGATCTCGCCAAAGGTAAGGTCTTTCGTTTCAGGAAGTCTAAACCAACACCATATGTTGCACAGCAAGTTTGTGCCAGCATAGAAAAATCCTGCTTTGGCTCCCCAGTTCCAGGCTATAAAATACCACATATCAGAATGAATCCTTGGAAACTCTGTCATCACATGAAAACTTACCAGTTGATGAAACCATCCTAGGGGTAATGACATTGTGAACAATGCCTGTTAAGTTGTACACGAATCGTCCGATGGTAATCGTTTTATATCGCAATCGCCCAGATGGAGTCTCAGCAACAATGGGGTAACAGGAGGGTCCTATGGTGATCATATTGATAAGGGTAGATATGACCAGTAGGATTCCAACTGCCATTGAACTGTTCTCCACAAAACCGAGGCCACCGATAATCATCAGGCAAACGAACATAAGTGTCATACCGCCCATGTAAAGTGTGGCTCGACCGACGTAGGGGAACATGAGCCAGCAGATGATGCCACCGATGATATAGCACGAAGATAGCGCAATGTTGACGTCGAAAGCCTGAAGTTCACTAAATCCAGCATCTTCAAGGAACTCCACAGCATAACCAAGCAGGGTGTTACCACACAGAAGTTGAGCAGCCCAAACAACGCAGTTCTGTGTCAAAAAGTCAGCATATATGTCCTATACTATACACTTGGTTGAGACTATCAATCACTCACGATTTCAGTTCGTCGCAAGTTGGTGCCTCGAAAACAGTCCAAGAAGCTCGCATTCTCCGTATCGGCTCTTTCCAACTCGGTGGTATACATGATATAGGCGAGTGTCATATCCACCTCCTGTTCCTTCTCAGGTGTATCCTCGCGAAGACGAAGCAAGGAATTACGTGCCAGCTCAGTCTTGCCTCTTCGCACTGCATTCCAAGGCGATTCAGGTGCCAAGAATGCACAAATGAACAGTGGAACTGGCCAGACCCATTGGATTATGAATGGTAGTCTCCAGCCGAGGTCACCCTCAAGATTTGCCACGGCACGAACGACACCAGCTGAAAGAAGGATGCCTCCTCCCCAACACATGCATACCCAAGCAGTGACATATGGACGGACGATGGTTGGTACAACTTCGGAGGCGTATGTGGTGCTTAGAGTCTGTATTTCTCAGATCAGGGTGAGATCAGGATGATGAAACTCTAGGTTAACTCACTTGAAAGACACCCCAAGGGATACCACACATTGCCTCACCAAAAGCCAGCACAGAGAGGGATGTAGAAAACACTGGAATAAAAATCGCAACTGCCATCCAGGCCATGAAGAACATCAGAGTCGGCCGACATCCGAAGCGATCCTGTGCCCACGAATTGACGATTAAACCAGCAAGTTGCCCAACCATTGAAGAATTGGAAAGACCCGATTGCCAGGATGCAGGAATGGTTTTTAGACCAGTGGTCTGGTTGACGACTCCGAACCGTTGCTTGAATTGAGTTTGGCCATAGAAGGAAGTGATAATCACTAGATCATAGCCCTCCATGACCAGACTCATTGAAAGAAGCATTGACCAGATAACAGCTTTTCTGTACTTCTTCACCGCTTGCCAGACTGTGAGCTGACGATCCGCTATATCACTTGCCTGAGCACGCGCAACAAGCTCGGGAACAGATACATTCTCGACCTCGATCCCCTCCATCTTGGGGACAACCTTTTGAGTCTCCATGATTCGAAGATGATATCTGTGAAATATGAGGGTATAACTGGAGTCACACGCTTGACTCCTGTGTGTTGCCCAAGTGGCAGCTCGTGAAGGTGTTATTGAAATTTGTATGTATACCTATGACCCTACCACGACCTTCCAGGAAGGATATGCAAATGTGCGCATTATAAGAGCTTTATATGGGGTTAACAATGATCTAGCTCCTCTCTCAAAAGGGTAGATTCGCGAGACCGCCTTGTTGGCACCGGAGCTTGCATACATACTGCGGAATGGAATGCGGGGCCCCGCAGCCCGCTGGGGTAATCCGGGAGACCAATAGTAATGACGAAAAAGTGGCGCGTCAAGCTTTCTAGGTGATAGTCACGGGTTAGATGGGATCCGGAAATCTCGTAGCTTTGAGTGTTCGGCTATTTGAGAGGTTCTGCTAATCCAATCATAGAGATGCGTTTTGTCTCTCTCCATAAGTCTCATCCCCGCAGGCATCGGGAGATTTAACTCGAATGTTGACCTTGAAGTTGATATTGACAAGTCGATTTACACTGGCAATATTTTCTAGGTCTCTTTTTCTTTGTTTGATTAAAATAGTTAAGACTAGTGGATGCACCGTTAATAGATTGAGCCATTTCAACATGAACATGCGAGAAATCAAAATTTCAAGCCCAAGTTACCAGGCAGCACCTCATATCATTATGAAGGAAAGAATTTGAGAATTATTCGTAGATGTATTGCTTTTGTGTAGTAGTACTAGTACGACGAACATATGAGCTTCAAGTTAGCTGGTATTTTGACATGTCGTAGAATGTAAAAGACTTGTGGCGTGATGCTCCGTGGGAATCTTCCCCTTTGAGCAATTATCCGGTGGAACACCACCAGTTGACATGAAGTTTTCAAGTTCAAGTTAGGCTAATCCTTATCAGGGCCTAAAAGGCTTACCCCAGAATCTCTGAACGACTCAAAAGATGGATATGAACCGTAAACCAAGTAGGGACCTCAGTTGTCAGAGTGATATGGGGACCTATAACAGCCACACGGCCAAAGCCCATTTTTCTATAAAGAACTTGAATCCCTTATGATATAAAATCTTTAATAATATAAGATAAGTCTAAAGTAAGAGATAGTTCAAGGAACTTGAAGAGATGGTTAATTTGAAAGTGAGAGATAGCTGAAATAAGAGATAGCTAAATTATATATATGTAAGAAGCCTAATTCAAAGTTTGTTACTTATTATTGTAAATTCTAGTTTAGCACGAACAAGTTGTCAGTAGCAGTCACCCAACTTACCCCCTTATGGTGGTGCACATGTGGACCTGAACTCCTTATGGATAGCTACATTTCAGACCGCCTAAGCTACCCCCCATAACCCACTGGCAGTTTTGACAGGCTAATCCTATTCAATACTAACCTCACTGGGCCGTAGGGCCCACATCCCCCATCACAACTTCCACGACCTGCCTCGAATATAGCGTCTCAACCTTACACATCTGGAAGGTTAGACGTGACTACCCTGAAACGAACCACCTTGAACTTATTTGAGACTGCTTGAAATCTAAACTGAATCGAAAATCTTGAAGCTGGTATGGCTGTACTTTAAGTTACTATTCCACCTGGGTAAGGTTATGTGCCCCCCTTGTATGATTCCAAGGTTAACACATCCCTCTCAAGGTTGAAGACTCGAACTTAGTTTGACCATCCACGTTCTTTCATCTCCAAGTTTCCGTTTCCATCCTCTTGTGATCCTTGTGATCCTTTTCTCCAATTTGGGAGTATCTGTGGGTGTGTGCATAGATTCGATGGCTACAAACAGCCCACCCGATTACCAGAAACTCTGGTTGGAGGCAAAGCAGAAACAAGAAAATGCCGAAGAGAGAGCAAGACGTGCCGAAGAGGACGCAAGACAAAAAAAAATGAGCTCGTTCGACCGACCACTTTCATGGAGCTCTTGTCACATTGCCACAATCTCTTTTTACTCGGGTTGAAAGTTGCGTCGCTATCTAAGTCGACCCAAGGTTCGGTAAATAATCCCAATAAAAAGCTTTGTCCAATCAGGCTGCGTCCTTGGACTGAATGCAACGCTCAACAACAGGATGTGTACGACAGAGTATGTCACTATTTACAACCTACTATTGAGGGTGAGGTCGCTCCACACTTATTCCACTCCTTGAATACCATTCAAGAAAATACCCCGAGATATGTTGGGCGACCTATCAGCAGTGAAAAAGGTCTTGAAAATTATGAGAAGAACTGCGTGGAAGGCCACGTAGGCAGTGTTATCTCAGAACTGTGCCAGATCCCAGCTGCTAAGACGGAGTTTATGCTTGGTAAAGGAGTTTACTTTGACGACCATCCGAACGCCTTGACTGAAACTCACCAAGCCGAAGCAATAGATCAGTCAAAAATCACGCGAACCCAAACCAGATCATTTTTGCATCCGCGAATTCGATGACGGGACAAACAATCTTATCCTTGTCGCCGAATACAAGCCACCTCATAAGCTCTCAGTGGAAAATCTTCGGGCTGGACTTCAGCCGATGGAGCTTTACGAGCAGGTAGTCAAACGAAACACAATACCTACAGAGCCAACGGAGAAATTACAGTATAATGCAGAAATTTTGACGGCTTCCGCTCTTGTCCAAACTTACGATGCCATGATCGAAAGGGTCGTGAATATGGTGTGTTAACCAATAATATGGCTCGAGTTCTCCTATGGGTGCCCTCTGATGACCCAGCCACCCTATTCTATCACCTATGTGATCCAAATAGCGAAATGGTCGACCGTGAGCAGCATAGTTTGCAACAGCCGATAATTTCCATCGCTAGGCTGCTTTGCTTGTGCTTGATGGGCATTAGCTCCCCAACACGGTATCAAGAATGGCGAGATTTTGCCGCCTCTCAGACCAAACACTGGGAAACTAGCTTTAATAGGGCTCATTCTTCAATTCCATTAGAAGAACTACATGCCTGTTCGAAAGTCTGGTTACACTTTTTGCGTAGAACTTTAATTTTCCAACCCACCAACTTCAAAAATTCATAACACCGCCAAAATGAGAGCTTTCGGCACCGTTATTAGTGGAAATCGACCACGAAATACAGAGCTTTCGACTGAAACTCGGTGTGCAATTATTACCGCTGTTAAATTAGGTCAAAAACCAGCTCATATTGCGCGTGATCTTCAGGTTAGTCGTATGACCGTGTATCGCACGATGAAACGGTTCGAGGAAGTCAACAACATGAAGTCGCGTCCTCGTTCAGGGCGCCCCCGCTCAATTAACGATCGAACTACGCGTTATGTTTATCGGATGTGTCGCAGGTTCCCTAGGTTAAGCTGGGCGGCCTTAATTGCCGAGACAGGTATAAGCATCTCAAGGTCAACTGTCTATCGATGTTTACGCCAATACAAAATCCATAAATGGAAATCCCGCCGTCGAATCCCATTAAAGAAAGAAGATGTACGGCAAAGACTAAATTTTACACGCCAATGGCAACACTCTCAATGAATTAGAGCGATTAGCATTCAGCGACGAATGCTCCGTTCAAAGACGCTCAAATTCAACAACTCAATGGGTGTTTCGGCTTGCTTCAGAGGCTTATCGACGTGATTTAGTGAATCTGACTAATCATGGCCATGATATTGCGCAAATGGTTTGGGGTGCTATTTGGATTGGTGGCCGTACTGATCTAGTGATTATGAAGCGTGATTCTGAAGCCCCTCGTGGTGGATACTCGGCTAGATCTTACCAATGGGCTCTCGAAGAAGCTTTTTTACATCACTATACACCAGATATGATCTTTCAGCAAGATAATGCCAGGTCTCATACCGCGGAGACTACACAAGAATTTTTTATGGCTCATGGAATACACGTCATGGATTGGCCTGCCTGTTCACCGGATTTAAACCCAATTGAGGTCTGCTGGTTCCTGCTAAAACGCGAGGTTTTAAAATTACGCCCTGACCTACGTCACACTGGACGTTCCTTAGTGGCCTGGACTGAATTTCATGCTTTATTAAAGCGTGCTTGGTGGAATATTCCACAAGAAACCATCGATAGCTTAATCCGGTCATTTACTAAGCGTTGTAAGGCGGTCTACAACGTACGGGGATATTACACTAAATATTAGTGTATGGATGGAAGGAATATCTATTCAACTGCATTGCCATAGAATATTGAATTAAAATATTACAAACTGGATTTTTAAGAATTTCTTTAGTGTAGTGGTTAGTTTTTTCGGCCGGAAACTTTTATATGGAGTGTAACCAGACTTTTGACCTATTATGTACAACAATCTTTTCTTCGGTCTGATAGCTCTACAGGATACGAAACATCTTCCCCACTGGAGCTATCAATTACAGATCGTCGGGTAAAAAAAAGGTCTCAGACTCAAGCTGGCTGCACCCCTTCAAACGCTGCTCGACAACGTACACCTTCACCTGATTCATCAGGCTCGGACTCAAACCAAGCGACGGCACGAAAGCGAGGCTTCAGCCAAGTCGCATCATCCCCATCTACTCAACGAGTGGCTCGCCAGAGAGAAAGTAGTAATAATCAAAACAATCAGGCACGACATCGCGAGGCTCAATTCTGCTCCCAGCGCTGTTTAATGGGCCTACAGGCTGGGGATAACCTAGACGAGGCATGTCCAAACGTGAAACTTCACTGACGGGGTCAAACTGATTGCACTAAGCATCTCATCACTTCAGAGAATCTGGTACTCTGTCTCAAAGCAGAATTCGATGAAAAAATTGATAGATGTATACCAATTGGTGGATGTGGATCATACGGGGCACAGTTTATACTGACATATTTGGAGTACGGCTATACGGTCATTGGGAAGGGTACCACATCGGATCTGTGGGATCGCGTTTCTCGTGAAGTACAGGTATACCAAATCTTACGGAAAGCTCAAGGATCAGCAGTTCCCGTTTCCCTAGGGACGATTGATTTAGCGAAGACATATCATCTCGATGGAGCTGGGCCAATCAGACATATGCTCGTAATGGGCTTTGCAGGTGAACGCACCGCAACTATGGATCTTACACCAGAGCTTTGACGGGAGATTAAAAGATCAAATAAGGAGATTGAATCTTTGGGTATAATTCATGATGACCTGCGCCGTGAAAATGTTCTTTGGTGTGAGGAGCTTAAACGGGCATTGATAATCGACTTCCATGGCGCTACATTGAAATCTCGACCGTCTCTGCAGCAATCAAAAACAAAGCGGCGATTTGGTAATACAGAGAAGAGTGATGCAAAACGTCTCCGAGTGTGAGTCAAATTTCATAACGTATAATCTTTTTTTTTCTCAGTCACTTACTATAATATGATACGATTCAATGTCCATAACTTGAACTATCATTCGTTTTAATATCAACATTGAATTGAATCCTGATCTTTTGTGTAGATATCTAATATCCATTTTTATATTCTGGATTCAGCTCAAAATTCCCACTGGCAGTATTCATTTTGTTTTCCTACCATCAATATTAAAACATGACACTACTACCTAGGGGATTGCGCCTTCATTGGCGGTTATAATGCCAGTCCACCAGCCCAAGAGCTCATTTATGTATTGAAAGGGTACTACATGTGCATTGAGCTGAAGAAATGTCTTTACCTATTTACACTATTTACTTTTAAATTCGAAGCAGGTCATTTTACTCTTTTTTCTTCAATATGCGCGTTTTGAAAATTTGATGCTTCATTTCCACTTCGTACTGAGATGGGCTGTGTATAATCTTCTTTTTTTTTCACTGCTCCTCTGCAGCCTTCTGAGCTGCCAACTGAGTACTGGTCAGCTTGCTTCACGTCAAGTTTTTCCTTCTTCTTCATCCGGTTAATCTTTCTTGAAGCAAGTCGCAAGTCCACTGTTTTTTGTGGCGGATGCTGCCTCGTTATTGATCCTCATGTATATGAGCAACGGCACTTGATGGTTGACTCCGATGATGCTGTACAATCCACGGCGTCTTTAGTTCGCCGACAACCTTTCCTTCCTGAACTTCCTTGCGCGGCTCTATGGTTGTCCTAGGCTTCACTTTTTTTTCGGATTACCTTGGCGGTAATATTTGTGAACTTGAATGGGATTACCAACAAGATCCCTGAGGCTGGCTTAATGGTTGATGGGAGATCGATTAAGGGATCCTCATTATGATTGCTCAGCCACCATCATGATACACTCATGCCGGGATACCTCATAAATCCTTTGAGCGTATCTGTTTTAAACAGCCAAAATATTGCACATGTTCTTGAAAGAGCATCCCGTATTTACCACCCAGCCCCGATCCAACTTACCTTAGTACTATTGTTGAAGCCAACGCCAACACAAATCTCCAAGTCCACTACACAGTAATCCACCGTGACTGGCCTAGTACAGACTCAGTCCAATACCCCCAAACACTCCTACTACTCATAGGAGTCAGAGCCAGCTCCAACTTGGATTAAAGCTCAACTGGCTTCACCAACTCCGGGTCATTCCAACTCCACATTAAGTCACTCGAAACTCCCCACTAAGTCACGGTCGCTAAAAGTCCTCCGCGATATTGAACTGTGCATTGAACTTGCCCCAATTGAACATTGGGTCTTCGCCAAGTCGCTTAAGCTCCAAAGGTCCGTGTGGTCAACCTAGCGCAGGCTTTAATCTCCCTCTGAGTCCTGATCATGAAGCCCAGAACTCTACTACAATTCTGAGCAAGAAGAGAAGAAGATACTCTGATATCTTCAACTCAAAACCAGATATAGATCATCCTTCAGGTGTAACAGGCCCTCTACCATCGTCAACTCTTCCAGAGGAAAAATCCACCTCAGGTCACCGGCATGAGAGAAACCAAAGCACATTGGTGACCCGAGGCTTCGTAGTGCTAGTTACCTTATGTAGCGTAGAATTCCAGATCAGGTTTCTGCTCTCTTTCTTGTCACCCAACACTTCAATGTCCGAGCTACTAAAGGTCACACGAGCTTTTTTCTTAGAAAGAAAGGAAGAAAGAAAGGAAGAAAAAAGCTTTTTTATTTCAACTTTCATTGGGACAGAAGCAAAAGCATTTCTTTTCCTTTGGTCCAAGTATCGCCAAATCTCAGATGACAGCATCTTCCAGGATTTTTGTGGAAAGAATTAGGAGTCCAAGCCACAGGTAACAGTCCGTGATCCCCTTGTTGGAGCGGCATGGTGAATCCAGGTTCACTATCCAGGATTGGAGGTAGCTAGTATCAAGCTAGCGTTCCACCCTGCCAAGGCAAGGTGCCTTTCATAAACTGGCACCTAGTATAGTTTATCTCGGAGTATCACCACTGGCAGACCTGGGGGGGGGGGGACGTATGTGATGACTGGGATAATTTTAAAGTTGGTTAGCTAGCTTTCATATTTGCATGGTTTTCCGGCCATGACGGTATGAAGGATACCGTTGTTGGGTAGAGCTACTCCGAAGGTTCCCATTTGCAGTTTCTTATCACGCTCTATCGTCTTCTAGTGCTCCATCATCTTCTAGTAAAGTAAGAGTGTCTCTTTTTCACCAGCCTTTTGTCTGCCTTATCCACCCCCTCTTTTAATTTTATTGGGTTCGCTGCGCTCAGCGTGACAAGGGGATCGATCGCCGTTGACTTGTAATGGGTTGCTGCCAAATGACACCACTCAAGGAATAGGGAGGCACTAAGTGGGCCGCAAAGTCCCAGGTGATTGTTATTAAACAGGAGCAGGGAGTTGTCCGAATCGGTGGCTGTTGAAGGAGCGGAGGCTATGATCTATCTCATGCAATGTCTGTGGTGAGCATAATGTTGTTCCCTTGGGCTTGTGTGGCTTGCTGTAGTTCGGACTTTCTGACGATAAGGTATTTAAGGCATCAGAAATGAGGGGCATTGGCTATGACTTCATAACCTAAGCTGTGGCTTACTTCCCAAAGTCAATCGAGAATGTATAGTTGTATAATATTGACATGTCTTCTAAGAGCAGCTTTCCTGGGGAAGGTCTCTTCACGTCCAGGGTCTTCACAGTGGAATGTCTTTGCAATATGAACAGAATCAACATGCACCCTGAGACCAGCTTTTTTGATAAATTTCTCTTCATATCATATCCAGAATGTTCATAGAAGAATCTCTATCCAAGATGGACAGAATTGATATGATCCCTGAGATAACCTGAGACGTGGAATTCCTTTGTACATCCAGTGTATTCGCAAGGGAAAGTCTTTCCAAGATGGACAATATCAAAATGTCTTTTAAGAGCATATTCCCTGGGTGAATGTTTCTTTACATTCAGAAATACTCAAATGCAAGTATTGTTTCCCGGTGGACACTGGCATGCAACTTAGCATTTTTTCCATTGGTGAATGTCCGTTGACACCCTTGACGATCACGGTATTTGTAAGAATTCCATAGATAGCCTTGATAACCTTTAGTTGTAGATATCCCCTTGAACCGGTTCCGAATATTTTCTTGCAACTGAGCAGATGATAATTTGCCGGTAGACTTTTGTAGGATGAAGGTTGATCGATCCTTGTTGGGTATGATGAGACACCGTTTATTTCCAGGGTCAAGTCAGATAGGAAGGATGACCATGATATTCCTAGCTCAGAACTGGCTTGTTGCCTTCTTGTTCATTAAGATGATCCAATGGAAGCTTGGGAAGTCATAATGACTGTTTCAAGAAAATATTACTTTTGCTGATATGAGAGAAGGTAGGAGTTAAGGCTTTACCAGCTTTTACTTCTATGTTGATTGTATCATTGATTATATCATCGATTGCTCTATAAATTCTTTGTTATAATCTCTCTCTGTTCACATCCAGCACACATCATGATGCATATTCAGAAGTCGCCTGGCAATATTTCCTCTTTTTTGTATCTACTCCTCTCACATCTTTTCCATTTTCTGTTATCTCCTTACCACATGTGCATTATATGACGCCAAAGGTACATACACCTTCAATATTTATCAACTTAATACTTCTCTTTCTTTCTTACTTTGATTAACTTCTTTTTCTTATGATTATTATAGCGGTGAGGATTTAGTCTACATCCTGCTGCCCAACTTTTCACTATTATAAATTACCTCCCCTCAACCTTGAGAAACTTAACTCCTTCAAGACCTCGAGTTCTTCAATCTGCCGTTACCGTCACCGCTGTATTGCCTACCTCGCCAAGAATGAGTCTATATATGAGAGGGCTTACTGTTCACCGGGACCGATTGGAAACCTTGGAACAACAGTTGAGTGGCTAAAAATGCGTTGCAGCTGCCAATATTAACTGAGGACTTGGTCAAAGAAGACTTTTACGAAAAAAGCAAGATAACATGGCATCTTTGAGGACGATCCTCACTTTGAATCTGTCTTATCAAGACGCCTCCCTCCTGGCTCCAGTCCAGAAGATAACAGTCGCGAGCGACAGCAGCAGAAGGCAAAAGAAGGCAAAATCACTGCAACAGCCAAAAGGGACCCTCCCGCAAAGTTAGTGAAATTCAACAATGGCAGACTTGGTCTTTGCGGGCACAAAAGAGACATCAGTCAAAATCAACCTAAAGGCTGCTTGGAGAAGTTTAAAGGAAAAAAGTACCCTAATGGTCCAGCTTGGAGTGCAACATTGCACCTTCAATGTCAAAATTAGGTGTCTGCCTGTCTGATAATATCCTCTTTCATGCTAGGATCTTGGAGCGACTTCGAAATTTGCCTCCTGGCCGTTGGAATTTGACAGTGCTGGCGTCATTTCCTATAAATTACCACCGATTGTAATCTTCCTGAAAAGGCTACCCTGGAGACTTATTTCTGGAGGATCTGTTGTCCCTGAGGACAGGAAACAATGCCAAAGATGTATCATTGTTCACGATCAACAACGGTAGACTGGGTATCCCAAGTTTATATGTCTCTGATTTTAGAAAGGCTCTGGACGAATGGATTAACGACCCTACTTGCCCAGATGATGATGATGAATCTTCGTTGGCAAAAAGAGTTGATGCGACTGCATTGCTCAAGGACTATAACCTCCTTTTGACTGATATGACCTTTTGACTGATATGACCTTTTGACTGATATGACAACGATATTCCGTCAACAAGATCTTACCGTCGACCAGCGTGAATGGGCCAATGACTGGGATGAAGTTGTCAGCCAGGATAGGCCAAACTTAACCGTGGATTACCTGAGAGAATTTAATTCTAACTGGACAATCTATCAAAATCAGGGACCAGCAACAGCCGCCAGAATTGTTTTATGCAACCTAAACCTGATGTGGGCGAGGCTTGAGGTTTCAAAAAATCACCCCAGCTGTGGGGGCGACTTGTGTGAACTAGATGAAGATATCTGTTCCCCTGAAGATGAAATTGATAATCCATACTCAGATGAAAGAGGTGGTGACTCTTCTGATCATGAGGAGCTTAAGCGAAGGTTTACCGCCGAACTATGGAAACATCTATTCAAGCTGTTGGCGTGTATAATTGCTATGTCCTTGGTCTGGTATATATGTCTATCAGAAGATATTTTGATTGATTATGTGTGGAAGATTCCTCACTACAGGCACAAATGACAATCTCACGAGATGTACAAACTACGAATGGAACGAGCCAGTGACAGTGATGCTGGTGGGAGAGCTAAAACACCCCTGGACAGACGAATTTGGCCATTATCAAAGAAAAGAAGACAAGCTGAGCTTGCAAATATGAATTCGTCCAGATGTCTCAGCAGATTTAACGGGTTTGGGAAATCATATCGTTACCTATTTCGAGTTTCTTCTGAAATAGTCTCCAGAGATTCACAATCGAGATTCTTCTCAAAAATTCTATGCCAGCAGTCCCATTTCCTGAAAGTTAGAAAATACCTAAGAAATAACATTCTGAGAGCCCATCTATTTCTATTTCTACCAATTTCGTTTTTCATCAAATTCCATATAGACTAACTCACCTAGGCAGCTTGTAGCCTCGGCTAGGCCCGATAATGTTGGGGGCCACATGGGTCCTAGTGGCCACGTTCATCGGTATTAATTAACAAAATCCAGATCTTATGTCAGTCTGACCCTCTATGATTGCGTGTCTGGACTAGTATATTTCACGTTTTGAGGTTCGGAGTCTTGTTGATCATGATGTTGGCCAATCAACGATAGATCTTGACTCTTAAACAGATAAGGAGCTGCATATCGCGATTCTTTTAATTATGGCGCCATCGAACTGCACGTAGTGTAACTCGTATACAGAATATGGCGTCAACAAAGGAAAAAAAAATAATTACTTTTCAAAGACGTGAAAAGATCTAATCTTCTTTCACTTCTCATCTGAAAACCAAAAAAAACCCTGCATGCATGCTTCTTTTACTCTCCTTCGTGTTATCGTTATCGTGATCGTCTGAACCCTCGTTATCGTTATCGTTATCTACACCCTTGTTACGACTCACGACTCACGATGAATACCACGTTGGAGGAAAGTTATGAGAAGAAGGAGTCCCCTTTCGCGTTGGGGACTGAGGTCGACGGAGCAAGCTCATTTGAAACAATTGAGGCTCTGGTCGCAGAGGGTAAGTGATCGATCAAATTTTCATACCTAAACCCCCCCCCTTGAATCGATCTGCTAACCACGAATTCGTCGGAATAGATCATGAACATGAAATCGCGCTACGAACCATGTCCTGGCAGAAGACTGCTGTTCTTCTAGCTGGTGACCAGGTCTGTCTTGCGATTATGGCACAATCTTGGTCCTTCTCCGTTCTCGGCTGGGTACCAGGCATTATTACCACAGTTCTCTGTGGTATCTTGTTCTGGGTGACCTCGATTACTATGCATAAGTTTATCATGAAGTACCCTCAGATCAAAGATATCTGTATGCGACAGTTCTCGAATCCACTCCTCGAAATAAGACCAAACGCTAACAAATGATTTTCTGTATAGGTGATTTCGGATACTATGCTTTCGGACAGAGCAAAATCGCCTACGTCTTCTCGTCGTTCATGCTGCTCGCGAACAATATCCTCTTGATTGGTTTCCATGTCCTGACTGGAGCCAAAGTTCTCAATACTCTGTCTGGTCATACTTTGTGTACGGCGATTTTCTCTGTCATTGTGGCCATAATGGGTATTGTGATGTCTGCACCTCAAACCCTGCGCCATGTCAGTTTCATGTCTATGTTCTCATGTAAGTGGAGCCCCAGAGCCTATAGGAAGGAAGGAAGACTTACTAACATACGCCATTTTTAGCCGCCTGTATGGGCATCGCCATTCTCCTCTTCCTCATCTTTGCAGGCATCGAAAAGGCCCCGCTGTACGGATACAGTGGTGATTATCCAACCGATGGACCTGTCAAAACATACGCATTCCCACAGCCTGGAACAACATGGGTTGATTGCATGAACGCCGTGCTGAACATCACATTCCTCTGGGTGCCCCAGATCCTCTTCCCATCTTTTATCGCCGAGATGGAACGGCCACAGGATTTCCCCAAAGCCCTGGCTGTGCTTGCAGCTATCTCTACAATCCTCTTCATCGTACCCCCAGCAATTGGCTTCCGCTACCTCGGTCAATATGCCACAGCCCCTGCCTTTGGAAGTCTCGGTGTTGTGTCATACAAAAAGGCTTCCTTCGGCTTCGTCATTGTGCCAACGTTGATCATTGGCGTCATCTATGCGAATGTTACCGCGAAGTTCATTTACAAGAAGATTATGGGCAAGTCTAGACACGCTCACAGTAACACCGTAATTGGCTGGGGTGTTTGGTTTCTGGTCATGTTGGTCATCTGGGCCATTGCTTTCATCTTTTCGGAAGTTGTCCCTAGTATGGGCGACTTCCTGTCCTTGCTCAGCGCAGCCTTTGATTCATTCTTCGGCTTCATCTTCTTCGCTGTTGCTTATTGGCAGTTGAACAAGGGAAAGCTGTTTTCCAGCCTTGGGCAGACGGCGATGACGCTGCTCAATGTCTTCATCTTAATTGTAGGCCTCTTTATACTGGGGCCTGGCTTGTATGCTGCCGTTGAGGCCATTATTGCCGATTACTCCGGAAGTGTGACTCCGGCATTTACCTGTGCCAACTCGGCTCTATAGAGAGGGTGAGCGCTGGATTAAGAGCGCTGGCATTTAATTGATTTTACTTTTAGCTCACGGATGATAGCCGTGCTTTATTAATCAAAATACTATCTTTGTCCACGGAGAAGTTCTAAAAAGTTCGAAGTAAGAAAAAGCAATGGTCTCAGTTCAATTTAGTGAAGAGTACTAACTAGGAAATATCAATGTAATCTATCATGGTCTTCACTGTGTGCTTAGTATCGGATTAGTCACTGCGCAAGTGGAAAGCTCACCTGGTAACTTTCCAGCGCTCTAAAGGTTTCGAATAACCCGGCGGCAAAGGGGGCAAGTAGAGGATAGGCGAAGCCAAATAGTGATACAGTTCTCATGATAGATATGCTCACAAGGAAGAGTGAGAGTAGAGGAGTTCAGCTCAACATTCTCGGTGCAGATAGAACAAGTCGGATGCTCGGCAATGATATCAGCATCGGCAGGCTGTCGAGGAAGAAGGTCGAGGCAATGCTCACAAATAGGATCCGGGGCATCATGGCCATTGCCAGTGGGTAGGCCCCAGACAACAGGGCGCCACTCAATAGGATCGTTAGGGCCCGAACGAGTATGGATAGGGTGACCAATCTCTGCAGCAACCTGCTGGTCAACCATATCAAAATTATTAGTAACCCATTCAATAAAAGTGGTGGGTTGGTGGTTCTCATCATCCATGGGGTATTGGAGTACATGCGCGGGAAGCTCAAACATGATTCCACCGAATTGTTGATCTAGGGCAGCGACAACTTCAGTTGCAATCTCGGGTGCAATGACGTTGAGGGTGTCAATTAGACGCTGCAGCTCAGGACTATACGCGGAGTCAGCCATTGTGTTGGTAGTTTGAAATATTGATTCTGATGATTGTATGTTTGCGAGGGAATCTTGTACAGAATTGATGGCTTAGGGACTGTAGACTAGGATGTTAGCCCCGGAAATGAGGTAATTGTATAAAATGCCAGTGGTTTGGATGGATGATTCTTGAGATTGATTTCTGATTGCTGTTGAGACTGTTGAGACTGTTTGTGTTGATGATTCTGAATCCAGGACTCGGATTTGAAGGCCTATTATATAGGCACAGTGCCCATTGTTCGAGGATAAATCTATTATATCTATTTTTTATAATTAAATGGTTCTTTAATCACCAAAAGGTCTTTGTGTATGAACAATCGAGTCCTCAAGGAGAATAGCTCGAGCTTTGTCTCGAGTCCATTGTATGTTTGATATCCGTTCCCAGGATAGTACAGAGCCAAAGGGAACCATATTTTAAGCATCAAGAAGAATGCTCTTCTGGCCTCCATCAATGAGGACAATAGTGCAATACAAGGAGCTAAATTTGAACATTGAACCTGATTGTTCTTGGTAAAGATTCTGCGCTTTAATTAGATTTTTACTATTCCAAGGCCTGAGGTCATTTCAAGTTATTTTCAATCAATGACTATGATAGCTCAACAATGAGCTTCATACTGGGCTTAAATATGTCTTTACAAAGGGATATTCATGTACCATGGACACTACTGAATCTAATTTGAGAGGATCTAAATAAGTGGGAACGAGATGAGTCAATAGGTGATCGAGTAATTGGATGAGTGCCCATGTGAGAGATCGAATTAGAGATGAAACAAGCACCTGAAATCCTTAAAATAGATACTACCGCTAATCTCTTTATTTTCCCTTCTTCCAAATGCTTCAATATTCCTTGACATCCAGTTCGCGCGGCATTGTAGCAGTGAAATTGGGAAAGGTATCTATTCAGCACTCAACATTTGAAGTGCTTAGCCAGGAATCTCGGTCCAGTAGACAACGTGACACTACAGTCATGTTCACATCAAGTACTCAGTAATTAGTATGTACTGGTGACTGGTGACATACCCCTCTTTGCATGTAAGTACCTACTGGGTTACCTATGTACTAGTAAGCCCTGGAGGGGCTACGTGTATTATTAGATATTTGGACCTACTTGAAGGGAAGACTAGCTGCCACCTGGAAAAGGTCTAGTCTACGTTCAAGTTCAAGTTGAATGGCTGATATAAATGGAATAAATCTGGCGCAACAGGGCGTCGCAGTTCTGGGGTTAAGTCCCCCCTAATACCTTACATAAACTCTGCTTTAGTCGAGAAAATCAAAGTCCACCATTTCCCCTGTTCATATCTGAGTATTTAAGAAAAGAGGGGAAATAAGGAGAGCAATGGCGGGAACACATCATGATGGTCCAACCACGAAAAACCTGAAGCTTCTATCTCCCATCGCAATTCTGACCAGCGGAGTAGGTAGTGATGCTTTGTTCTTTTTTCACAGCTCATTTTCTAAAATTTCTCTGTTGCTAAGAATCATACCCATCCATGACCAGAAAAGCCACGAGTCCCTAACTTGGAAATGACGACTTTCAAGCCTTCTTCGGTCGCGATCGATGTCCTAACAGCTACAGCTTCCTATCTCCGTGGCCTGCTAGAATCTAGTGCGGCGACAAGTGTTGAGCTTGTGGAAATTTATTTAACTCAAATCGAAAAACACAACAGGCAAGGAGCAAAGCTTCATGCTATGATCTCAGTTGTGGATCGGAGTAGGCTTGCACAGATAGCACAAAAGCTTGACGACGAAAGGGCAGCAGGTCATATCCGAGGACCTTTACATTTGTTGTCAAGGTCTGTTGAAGTGGTTTCCTGGGAAGGTTCGGACAATTTGAATGGTCGCTGATCAAATGCATAAACTTGAATATCACCAGGATAGTATATGCACCGGTCCTGAATTCAACCTCCCCACTACGTGTGGCGCGATCGCTTTCAAAAAATCCGTTGCATCCAGAAATGCACCATGCGTTGAAAAGGTTGTGTGCTTCTCCTAATTGGAATCCACAAAAGCTGATCTAGTTCAAGAGTTCATTACCACCGGCGCAATACTCCTCGGGAAAACGAATCTGTCCGTTATGGCAGGTATGAAGGGGGGTGGTTGCATAACGGGATGGTCTGAGGTCGAAGGGTTTGTCGTGCCCTTGTTCCGCGTGGGATCGCTCCTAATTCTTCTTTCTTCGCATTTTTAGTCAGACGTAGTCAGCGTATGTGAAAGGAGGAATCGCACCAGGTGACACTTTTCTAGGTCACAGTGTAAGTTCATAGCAGCCCCGCTGAATGAGCATGTTCCACTCGCAATGGCAGCTAATAAAAAAGACACCGGGTGGTTCTTCATCTGGAAGTGCAGTAGCTATATCCGCTGGGTTTGCTTCCATCTCGCTTGGAACGGAAACGGACGGTTCCATTATGGCCCTAGCTGATCGTGCGTCACTTTGTGGGTTGAAAGTCACGCCCGGTCTCTTTTCCACCCAGGGGACATTGCCATGGACACCATTCTCAGATTCGGTTGGTCCCTTGGCCAAGTCCAGTGAAGACATTTCTGACATGCTTTCCGTTTGGCATGGCAGTAAAGACTATAGCCAGTTCCTTATTTCAACTTGGTTGCCCTTGAGGGTTGGATTCCTTCATCCTGGTCAATGGATGTCTTTTGCTGCCGCCTGAAGATCTTTAAAAGGCTATCTTGAGCAGGTTATCGCGGAGATAGAGGTAGCTATTGGAAGAATCTCGCAGTATGGAGGTGTCGTGAAGAAATGGGTGAATCTTCGTCGCTTCGGAGCCGATGGCGACGACAGCAGTTTGCAAAAGGTCGGCTGGCATGACTACGCAGCGGGGTTTAGGGAATTCATTTCCCACAACTTTAATGACTCCTCAATCCAAACACTAAAAGACCTCGTTGATTTCAACAATCAGCATGCCAACCGAGTGCTTACTCCTAGCTGCCCGAAGCAGGACAAACTAATTAGTGCCATAGAGCACCAAGATAAAGTGTCTTTGTCTTAATATGAGTATAGCTGGAAAAACCTCCGACAAACAAATCGTGACGCAGTGGAGGCGACTATGAGAGAAAATGGCATTGATCTCATAATCGGCGCACCCACTGGAAGATTTCCCACAATCGCTGCGGCTGCAGGATGTCCTTCTGTCACTTTGCCATTGGGTTATTCAAAGCAGAATGAAAGACCATTGGGACTCATGGCTCTCGCACAGCCTAACAGGGGGGGATTTACTGGTGAGCGTCGCGAGCGCCTGGGAAGCCACATTCGGATCGCCCAAACCACCTCAGCTCTCAGGAGATGAGCTGTCAAGAATTTGAGTGGCCCAGGGTAGATCACACTTCGGGGCTGAAGATATTGCAATTTAATGGCCTCTGATTCCTCTAGGGTACTCCTTACTTCGTTCTGAAAGGATCTTCTATTGGCGATTTTACCAGTAGCATCCATTGAATAGACCCATGAATTAAGTATTTCATTTTTAAACATTTGAATCATAATTTGAAGAATTACGAGTATCATTTACAAAAATGCTAAGATGGAACTTGAATTACCTCTGATGCCCATCACCGTCCAAAATGTCCAGAGCCGTAGTAAATCAGGTCAATCATGCCAGTGAACACTGGAGTTTGGTAACACATCATGATGTACATAGGGATTAAGTTAGAAAAAGAAATCAGAGCCGCTGCCTGTCCACGGGTGGCACATTATTCCAAGTACTTGAGGTTACTACCAATCGTTTTACCTACTAGTATGTACCTACCTACCTACTATTGGTGGTACTAATAGTAGTAATTGATTGATATACATCCATAGTACCTAGGTAGTACCTATATAGTATCAGGCACCGGGTGGGGTACAGCTTCCGCAATGCCCAGATTAACCTAGGTGCTTCCAGTATACTGATATTTCATTTTGGAATCAACTCTTCTATACAGTGCTGGATTTTTTTTCGTCCTACTCTGTTTGAATCTAGGTAGATTCGGATATAGGCCAAGGAGCACATACCCCTGTCAACCCCCGCCCTCTCTCCCCGCACTTTGACTTCTGATTTCCCATTAGATTCATGCGCCAGGAATCTGTCAGTCAACGCTAGGGCGCATTGCACGCGAAATCATCGAAAATCGCCGATTATTGAATCAATAGATCAGTCATGGCAACTATTGAGGAAGATTTTGAAGCAAGAGATAATGTTCTCACGATCGTTAACTCGAAATACTTGGTGTCTTGTCCATATACAGTGAGCAGAGAAGGTCTTTCCCCTGACGTTTCTTTATCTAAGCAAATCGAAAGGCCATTAGCCAACTAGTGCAACGAAAGAAATGCCTTGTCACTGTTTTCAGTCTCTCGCCTTCCGATTCAATGATAACTGTTGATTGGATTGAACGAGTTATCAAAGATTATCAAAACTTGGATGACGTTTTTCACGTCAACTTTCTCACGGGTGTGATTTTTTATGGAGCCCTGGAAAGTGAGATGGAAATTTCAGATGAGGCTCGAACGTGCCTTACCACACTAGGTCACGAATGGATCCAGTGTATAGAGCCATCTGAAACAACGCAAGAGCTGCTGCCAGGTCCTTAAATGCTGTTCGATGGCCAATTGCACGATTTTTGGAAAGTTATGGTTGATTGCAACGGCACATTCATGAGTACATTGAGACCGAACTCTAGGTAAGTGAGTTGGGCGTTACGAATTCTAATATGAGTTTTTGAGCTACCAACTGTCCCCATGCAGTGGAAGTCAGTTCGAGCCCCTTCTCGTAAAGGGTAATGACGATATATCACTCAGCGTTGCTCTACCCTCTCGACTGAGGGCTTATTCTGTTCCAAATCCCTCGCCAATATCCGGGTGGCGTATAGTGGTCAAAGACAATACTCATATCAAGGGCATCAAGTCCTCTGTTGGCAATCGCGCGTTCTACGATACATATGGCCCACAACAAGAGACAGCTACTTGCATACAACGTCTAGTTGAGCAAGGTGCCGTTGTTCTAGGGAAACCCAAGATGACTTCCTTCGGGAACTGGGAGGAGCCGGTTGAATACGTAGATTACCAGGCCCCATGGAATGCTCGAGCAGATGGTTATCAGTCTCCTGGGGGAAGCAGTTCAGGAAGTGCATCTGCCATATCTGCTTATGACCGGGTTGATATTGCGCTTGGGACTGACAGTAAGGATCTGGATCTCTTTCATAACCACGCCGGGGAAAAGGCTGATATATTCAAGCTTGGGGAAGTATCACCCGCCGAGCGCTTTAGTGTGGATGCTTTGGACTCCGCCCTAGTCTGGGTGCAGTCTCTAAAGCAGGAGTTGAACCTTATGTTAGGTCTAAAACCCTATCAGAATCTGATTACTTAGTGCCTGAGCGAGCTAATGATTCTCAAGCTCATAGGACACGCCAGGGCTTCTTGGTCGAGATATAGAAAAATGCAGAGAGTTTGCTAGCGCGTGGCTGAAAGACGACGTGCTCATAAAGAAACCAAATGTGAGCCTGTATATAGCAAGCATGCATGCATTGATCAACTGCTAAAATTTCAAGCAGCCTTTCTCGGCTATAATTTGGCCGACCGATTTTTGGAGCGTCATTCATCCCAATCAATGCCGATTGGCACGCAACTTCATGAAGGATAGAACTCTTAGGTTGGAACCCTGGGATATCTCAGTTGAGGATGCCTGGAGAGATCAGCCCCCAGATGAGGCAGGTGGTCTTCCACTTGCTGATTTCATCAATCCAGTAAGCAGAGACCCCCCTAATACGAAGCAAAATACTCATAGTCATCAGGCCACCGCTAGCTTGGCATGTGATGTTTATCATAACTCATCCGATTTTCGGGAGCAACACAGGAAGAAGTTTAAGCGTGAGCCGTTCACGACATTTCCTAATAGACGATTATGGTATGGATTAACAGGTCTTGTTAGGCATTTTTAACTAACCCAAAATAGGGAGGTTGGTAAAACAATTTCTGAAGAAGAGCGTGATAGTGGATTCAAGGACATTGAAGCCTACGCACGTTGGTTCAACGAAATCATTCTGAAGGAAAGCCGAGCCAATGCACTCATGATCCTCCCTCTAGAAAGCATGTGTCCTAGATACCGTGATGAGGCTCCAAGGTTGGTTCGGATTCCATATTGAAATTCCGATAGCGACTAACCCTCAAATCCTCAGTTTTGAGCGCCCGCCACAGCAGGGTATCAATACTCTTGCTTTAGCCCCTGTGCTAAAAGCACCAGCGCTTGCTGTACCCAGTAGGAAAATTTATCATCATCAGATCGAGAATTGAGAGCTGACTAGCTCTATAGTTGCGGAGATTTCCTATAAATCGAGGATTTCGCAGATCACGGAAAGACTTCCCTTTGCCGTTTGCATTGTGTCCCCTCCAGGTATTTCAACCATCTACTTCTTATTAGCTCCGCTGACCTTTTCAATTCATAGGAACCGATCTTGTTCTTCTAGACTGTGTCAGAGATGTTCTCATTGCTAGTGGTCGGCCGACTGTAGTGAAAACGGGTCAATCCATGATTTAAGGTATAAAAACTTGAAACATTGGATATACACCTGGGCTTTTCGGCTTTTCGGTTCATTTGGATATTGATGTACTCAATAGCACCTGAGTGGCACGGCTCAGAGTCGAAGGCATAAAAGTTGAAGGAGAATGGACAGATAAACAGTAACATTTGAACTTAATAACAATGGCATATCGCCTAAACTCCGCCCAATAAATCGACATAATACATTAATATCTAAGTTCAAGTTTTTTTCCGCCCCCGTAACATCCATGCATTACACTTCGACCCCATCCCAGCTATGCCGCGATCCTACTAGTATTAGGTAGGCGCCGAAGTTGACAACATCTCTAATGACTGCCTCCGCTGTCCCGATCCATCAACTACAAGAGGCTTTCGATCAGCACCCCTCCTAGGCAGAGCATCCGGTGCAGGGTGACCACAATTGATGACTGCGTTCACCTTTTCCTGTAAACCGAACTCAGAAAGACCTTGCACAAGATCATCCTCGACAACGGTCGCCCCATCCCAACTTCCACTACGCGCAACAATCGGTCGGGTATCCGTCTTCACGCGGATCTGCATCCCCATAAATGTCATATTGTTCAGCATCGTCACGGCTCGTCGCGCCTCATCCGCATTGCGCATAATCGCTGAACCGTGCGTCTGCGCTTCGTTCTCATTTGCATCTGCTGTCACGGTCACATTGCACTGCTCGACTGTTCCGGCACCCGACAGAAGGCGGGTTAGGTCTGCGGTCGTGGTCGATGCGCTCAGGCTCTTGATATACACTGCGCGTTCAGCTAGATCGCCCATTCCTGTAAAAACTTCGTCTTGGTTGCTCCATGGTTTTCGTGGATGAGGACTTGGATACCCGTCTTTGTTACAATCTGGTAAAGATTGGATGGGAGAGACGGGGTACATAGGCATCATGTTCCAGCCTGGAGAATCGAACATTGAGCAGTGCATCATAGGGGAGGGTGGGAAGCATGGCATTGGTTGGGACATTGGATCCGGCAACATGGGCATGAATGGTTGTGGCATTGGAATTGGGCCCATCATTTGTCCGAAATCGGGGTATGGGTATGTTGGACTTGGGGAATGGACTGATCTGTGGAGATATGAGCTCATGGTCTTGCACTAAAAAATAACGCATTCAAACTCGAGGGTGGCTTACTCGGGTGAGATGGGTGATGGCGGTAAAGTCATGTTACCGTGTGATCGAGAAGGAGTCGAATGACCAGACACGTAGCCCTGGATCATGGCTGGTGGACTTCGAGTAGGTCCAGCAATGGGTTTCGTGGGTGCACTGGTACGTGCTAGAGTAACGACCAGACTTTGACCTTCCCATCCGTTGGTTGATAACCGGTCTGCATGTGCGGTCAGAATTGAATACCCCAGGAATTGAAATCGCGGGGAGGCGCATACGATAAGTTCTCCATGCTTCATCTTCGTTCTTCACGATAATTTGACCTAGTCCGGTAGGAAACCCGTGGTTATCATCGTATACAACGGCTTGTCGGATGTGAAGTGCGGTTTGGCGGACTAGATCTTTCAGTTCTTGCCAGCGGCAGTGTGCTGGAATCTTTATCTCGTGTTAGATATCAAAGAGATTTTGACTGATATCTGAGGGTGTGGTAAGCTTACCCCCTGGAGAAACACGACGAATTCATCATCTGTCCTACGAGATCTCGGACTGCGTCCCTTCTCCCGACCAGAAATAGGCATGATTGCAGGTGATTTTGATATCCAAGCTTCAAAGATATCTCACTGTGTACTCGGATGCAAGTAGCCGTTTAGGATGGAAGTTCAGGTAGATCTTGGCGATAGTATCTTCGTGTAGTGGAATTCGATCAGATGTTGCGAAAGTATCGGGGCTTGACCAGTCCAAGATAGAAGGTCCAGTCGGAACTAAAATGATAACAATGCCTTTCTAAAAGTCCTGTATCTACAAAGAAAAAGATTTGAATTAGCTTTGCAAGTATGCCAAGGACCTAGGCTGGGAATTCCCAAACGAATATCTGAGCATCACGATCAAGTCTGATCTTTCCGCGGGTTGCGCGGATACCGACATCATCAAGCATAGAAAAGACATTCTCCGAAGTGACCAGTGCCCTGACCTAGGTACGCAAGGAAGTCAACTTACCGATTTGGATTTTTCTTTTCTCTCTTTGGGCTGACTTCTGTTCTTAGGCGCGATGCAGGACAACGAATTGGTCAGACCGACACATGCGACCTTGCGGAAAGAAAGGAAATCAAATAAAAGATTGAACCACGAGTAGATACCGGGGCTAAGTAGATGTTAAAGGACACAAGATAGAAGAGGAAAGACTCTGGATGCTTCACAAAAGACGAGCCCCATTGTAGATGAGCGGCGTAGAAACTAGTGGATAAAGAGGATAATACATGGCAAAGTCGGAGGTGACATGGAGACCCAGATGCATGAGCCAACACATGATCAAGGCCGCAGAGATAGTTCATGAACCAATGGAGATGGGATCTACCTCTTCGAGTGAGATGCTGAGATATGTCATTTTCTTCACCAAATCGAGTGGACCAAGCTCAGCTCCTCCTGTCTGCCAAATGCAATAAATCAACTTTCCCGTACCACCCCGCCGGAAATAGTTCCACTCCAGGAACATCATCTGTCATCTTGTTTTCTTTCTTTCTTTGCTTTTTTCTCAAGAGAAAACTTTATCGTCTTTATCATTGAATTGGTGCAGTTTTGCCGCTCCTGTGCTACCCATAGGTTGAATATATGGGATAGTCTCTCCTTAGAACGTGGGGGAAAAAAGAAAAAAGATAAAAGAAAAAGATTAAAAAAAGATAGAGAAGAAACAGGATAGAGGAGATAGTGCACGGAGCTCAAATAGTAAGATCTTCAAGTGTTAGATGCAGCTAGTATCCAGGTTACACCGCTAGATCGAGATCGGACATGGAATATCCCTTTGATAATCCATGTATGAGGGTCTCTCGGAACCTGTGGAGTCGCGGGAGCGGCCCATACCGTATCGATCACATTGACCACTTGCAGAAAGTTGATGAGGGTTGTCCTAGGTGATATTCAACAAATCTATTCTGGTCGTTTTGAGTATGAGTTGAATAGAATTTTCACTTTCATCCTATGAACTTGAAGCTGAGTGAAAATCATAGGGTATAATCGAACACATAAACTTTTCGATCGAAGATCATCCCCCAGAACTACTTGGTCCTAGCATGAACCCTGTGAACCTAAGCAATCAGAATGCGCGCCATTCCGAACTCAAGTGCTGTCAAGAGTAATTTTGTTGATGTTTTTGTTTTTTTCCCTTAGGATCGTCCGCGATTATTGATTCGGGATGCGTTACTGGAGCACCGAAGTACCTGCAGCGGCATTTAGTCATGATCGTGGCTGGCTGCGAGTGCGTTTAGTGATTTCTGGTGACTTGATTTATCTCGATTTATGCTCCATGCGACAGAGTACATCGAGCTGAGTTCGAGTCTCCACAGAACAGTGCTTTTATACCAGTTGACATGTATACATGTCAAATACGGTGTACTCCGTACCCAGTACATAGTCCCCAAGTCGTCATTTCGGAACCTTTTCATCGTCTTCATTGCATACACTCTAGACTGATGGTCTGTACTGATGTTCTGGGCCCATCGACACGGCAAGTCCGCTGTAACTTGAAGTAATCTTGTAATCGCAATATCTCTGGTGGCGGAAAAAGTAGTCCCTTTCCCTTCGTCACACTGCAGCTGCCCCTCTATTTTGGGGAAATCTGTCGGAGCCGAGCGATTTGTGAATGCATTTCAACCACGTAAATATTCCTTTTTAGGGGCCTTTCAGCCCTGGGATTGTATGTGCTGTACTCTGTAGGCCCCGCTGGGGGCATTTTTCAGGGATCGACACTTGGGATTTTCTGGTTCGGTGTTGATCCGAAGATCCCCGGGATGGACTTTCTTTTTTTCTTCTTTTGTAGGGTTTTTGTGGCTTTCAACAAGACTTCATAAGTGATACACAGCTCGGGGGTATGTGTGACATCCCTGACATCCCTTCGATGTATCTCCGTCCTTTTATTGAGATTTGAAGGTTTCTAGTGGAACAGGGGGTGAAGGTGGAGTAGACACGCGATGAGGGAGTAACATGACAGTGAACAGGTGGAGCTCTATGGACTTTTGTGGCGTAGAATTCTGAAACAGGGGGGGGAAATTATTTGCAAGCTACACAATTATTTCTTTTCTTTTTTTTTCTCTAATTTTGGTCTTATAAGTTATGCACATGTTGATTCCCAATTTGAAGCGGATTGGTGCTGGTGAATTGGTCAACTGGTCAACTGATCAGGTGGTGTACACTGTAAGGAGTAAAGAACAGATCACCCATCATATAATTTGAATAGGCACAAAGTACAAAGTACATGAAGCACAATGAACTTGAAAAGAATATTAAGGTCATAACTTCGTATTCATTAACTAGAATCTAGGAACAGTTCTAGGGTCATAAAGTCGCAAATGATGGCTCAGAAAGATGCAGGGACGCTCAAAAAAAACATGATTTAGACCAATAGAAAATAGTCTGGGTACTAATACAGCAGGCCACACCCAGTCAAGGTTTTCCTCGCTTTTTCCCATTTTCCGCTGATAGTGTAATTTTCCCGCTCGGTCTGCTGACTGCGAAGAGTGTGGTATGATTTCGAAATCGCGAAACAAGTTATCCGGGTCACCAGGGACCGAGATGAGCATGAGCATGAGCATGACGAAAGGAAAGGACCGTGCCCGCACAGGCCTTTCTAGGCCGTTCCGTAGCCCTGCGCGTTGCGCATTGTGAAATGAAGGGATTTGGTTTTTAAGAAAACCAAGTGATATTATATCTTCCTTTTTTCGATGTTTGGGTTGGTAATGGACCAGGCAATTGGGGTTCCAAGGTTGTGTTGTGGTGGTTGAATGATTCTCTCCCCGGGTGGAGTCGGCTTTCTCCCGGGAGTAGGCATTGTTTGGATCTCAGCGGCCAAATCCCACTTTCGAGGCACATCGATTACAGTAATATGAGTTCATACCGAATTGAACTGCACTGCTAGGGTTGGAAGCGACATTGAGAGATTGTTGACATCGTGAACACCGAACAATACCGAGGGCCACAGTAGGTGATGGAGATGTGGGATAATTGACCCCGGTGGGTGGAGAGATAGAAAGAGGAGAACTCATAGTTGCAAGTTTCAGGGTTGTAGAAGAAACTTGGAATCTTGGAAGTGGATATAGGTTGATAGAAGCACTTTTAATGTTCAAGTTGAGTACTCTGTATACTGCGTAGAGGTTGCTCAGGTGTTGTGTGTAAAGATGATCATTTGGTTCGGGGAAATGGGTGGCGAACAAAGGGGGTTTTATGGGTTAAATGGAGTCTGCCTACCACTCCATAAATGAACACTTGAGGGAAATAAAACCACAATTTTTGGTCTAATAATTAAACATTTTCCCAAAAGAAAAAGAGCCCCTCGGACCCCATGCCATTGCTAGTGCGAACGATAGTGTGATTCATTTGGGCCCCAGTAGCTTAATCACCTTGAAATACAACCCCAATTTCCCACTAACCAAGCTATATGAAATAGTTGAAGAAGTATAAATCCCACAGGTTTTTTTTAAAGATAATTTATCAATCAAGTTTGAAATTTGAATTCTTGTAGTGTACGACATAGTCCTGGAATGTTTAAGCCACCTTGTCGTCACACTCCATCTGCACCTAAGTACCCCGTTGGCGTCACCGATATGGAGTTCATTCACACCTTGTGGGACTCTCCACCAAAAATAAACAATTCGGAATAATATCTTTTGTGCAAATCACTAGTACGTATTCTTTTTTTTTTCTGATATTTTTTTCCGATACGAAACTCCTTCCCCCCGATCGAATCCATCGAGGTCTATGTTTGATCGTCCGCCCCCAAGCCTTATCCCAGGGGCTATGTGATCCCCTGGCCCCGAAGCTGAGGGGCTGAAACGAATATTTGAAGTGAGCTCATACAAAGTGGCTTTGTCTAATTCGGATTTCAGTGGAAAGACTCCACGTCTTTTTCTTCCCGTGTCAATAAGCGATTGTTTCGTTCTTCCCCATCGTCCCCATCGTCTCCATTGGGGATCCGCTGCAAGATGGTGTCATAGCCAGTCGTGAGATGCATGCGGCCTAACGGGGGGCCAAGAGACAACACCTTGTCTCCATATCGAACAAATGAGAAGTGAAGGAGGGGGGCAGCTAGACTGGAATGAGTCGTGCCGCCGTGGGAGAAGGGTGATCCTCTCCACTTTCGGGATTCCACCATCCCTCAATAACCATTTTGACGTGTTGTTAATATGACGATGCGAGAAGAAATGCCGAGCAGTCGACGTCATTTTTTCATCAGTGGCATTTACATATTCCTTGAAGTTGTAAAGTCTGTAATGTACAAGAAGGATCGTCTCTATATTGGTGACTATTTCAGGTTGTTGGGTAGATTTGTCGCACATGTGGAGGGGTGATTGTCCTAGTCCCATAGCTCAGTGGGACCATGGTTCAGATTAATCGATTAATCGGATTTGTAGATTAGGCGATCAGTATTCATTTTTGGACGGAGAAGTCCGTATGTTCAGCATTATTTTATCCAATTTGGGGGTTTTTTGCGAAGGTCAGGGATTCAAGGGCTGAAACGATGGACCCGCGCTTATATCCGCTAAAGTACAGTCAGCGGAATAAGCATAATCAATGGATCTGAATAAAAACCTTTCTTAAAATATCACGAGTTTGATTGAGAGTACCGAGTACATTAGTACGGAGTACATACTCTAGAGTAAGTACGAAGTAGAGGATGCGGTGATAATGTAGTTATACGAGGTGATCCCGTATTCAGGCGTTAAGGCCACCGAAATCCAGAACTATCAGAGCCAAATATGGACACCGTATAGGGGCTGAGTTGGACTATATAGATTGTGTCAATATTGAAATAGTCAAACACTCAGATTTGAATTACATATACAAATTATTTGAAATAAAATTATGAATTACAAACTATTCAACACAATTGCATAGAATTCATGTATACTGCCGATAAGTCATGGTGGAGCCTCGGAACATCCTGTCAACAAAAGTAGACAAAGCCACTTCGCACTACATACTACACTGTAGCAGGTCACGAATGTGGCTGGGCAAGTGAATCCTTAATCATGCCCATTCCTACCCGTTCTGTCTCACTGCGTGAGCCCAGGAAGGTCGGTCTCCATGATCCTCTGTGGCTCGGGCATTCCGATGGCTAATCCACTCCAGACCTCCAATATTGCGCGCCCCACGCCTACAGGATCTAAGGCGCCGGTTCGCCCGACCACTGCGTCAACCACTTCTTCGGCCGACAGCGCTTCGCTGAGTGACTATGCCAGCAATCGTGGTCGCACTCTACTGCCTCAACGCACCAATCTCAGTCGGGATGATGTGAGTGAAGGACAGACGCGACTTCCACCCCCCGAGACCAAGCAGTCGCGAGAGGAGACATCGCCTCAACGACGACAAAGGATCGGTCTAGATGGAAAGAGCCATGGCATCCCATCCTCCAGGCCTGCTACCACGGCCACGGCCACAGCCGCGACAAGGACAACGACGACCACTGGTGCCGCTGTGCCTACCCGTCGCCAAAGTCTCTTGCGCCCTGCAACATTGAACCTCTCGTCGACTCGCAGCAATGTCTCAGCGCCGTCAAAGACGACAACCCCAAGTGTCACGCCGCCATCCCCGCGTAAACCTTCGATGCGTCCACCCATGCAGTCCTCTGCGCCGAGACCTCCTTCCCCAAAGAAGAGCGATATGCCCCCTCCACGTTCCACTCGCTCGGCCTCCTTAAGACAACCGCTCAACACAGCAAATGGGTCAACACCTGCAGCACGAGGCCATACCCGACACCGGAGCCAGATGACGCCGTCGAGTGCAAAACCTACTCAATCAGAATCGGCTCAAAAACCGCGGCCGGGCTTTTCAACCTATCAGCAACACTACTCCCCCAAGAAACCGATCGCCAAACCTCCCACGCCTACTCCCGCGGAAACACCTTCCTCAAACGGCTCCTTGATCTCTACATCCTGGCCAGATATTGCTGCATTGCAGACCGAACTACTTCAACTTAGTCTGTTTCATTCTAATTCACTGGAGAGACACTCTGAATGGAAATCTGAGTCTGAGGCGCAACTACGCAAGAAATACGATGGCGTTTCAGGGCAATATCGATCTTTGATGGGAGATGAGCAGATGCATCAGCATCAACTCAATGTACAGGCCCTGGACTACTGGGCGCAGAATTGTCGTGAACATCATGGCCCGCATGGGTTCCCGGAACAAATACAGATCTTATCACAGGTCTTGCAAGAGGTCACTGACTTGACTGGGATAAATGGAAGATATACCCAAGAGGTCGCAGTATTCGAGGACTGGATTGACCAAGCGGAGAGTATCCGAAATAACCGTGAGAGATCTCGAATTCTCGATGGTACAGGTTTCATCGATCCCTTGAGTGAAGATTGGAAAGAGCAAGTCCAACATTTACATGCTAAATTGGAGTTATGCTCCAGACAACTGCAGACACTAGATATATTAGGATTTGGGGAGGTTGAACGACTTGAACAATCGGCTCTTACTCGTGTTGCTCAGAGCTTAATGGAATCAATTAAACTCATGTTACAAGAGATTCGTGCTATGCGCAGTCTTGAGTCTGATATTGTTTCTGCGGAGAGAGAGACTGTTAGTCAATTGGCAACTCAATTGGCTAGTTTTCCGCCCGACAGACCTGCAGTGCGAGTTGGTATCTGGAGTGTGTGATTGTACCCTGGACTGAGGTATACTGTGTGCTTGTATTCAGCCGCATCATGAAAGCGACGTTCTAGATCTTCTAGTTTGAAATGATATGTCTCATTAAGATAGTAATATCCACATTTGCACGTACCTAAATTTAGTATGAGCTCAATTTGTTGCCTGGTGCATTGACGTTCAGGCACTATTTCATTTTTAGATTTTAGGTTGCATGATTACTCCAAGTACGTTACAGCTGAACGGCCCCAAAACTCCCAAGGTCCGAGTCTGGGGCCAGCTTGAGCCTTGACATCCGGAGCACTTGAGGTTTCATACAAAAGCAAATTCATCTCAGTGCACATGTGGAAACTTGAATCCGAGGTCGCCATTTTACTGGCCTGATAAAAGTGCTAATCTTTTCTGATATCAGATAATTGAAATGAGCCACACAAGCGCAAAGCGCGCCATTGCCAGTAGTAGTAACCCGTGGCTGGTTTCCACTCCACTACCAGTGGCACACATAGTGGCACTCCAAGCTCCAATTATATCGCGGGCTATTGGTATCTATTGCGCCATGCTAATCTTGGAAAACACGCACAGATTTAGCGGCTCGCACTAAGCAAGAACTCCGAACTAGTATCTCAAGCACATTGGTCTGTCAGATCGGCGATGAGGGGTTTTTGTTAGAAACAAATTGGACTCCACATTGGTATAAAGTACAAGGTACACAGTACCTACGCAGGCCAATCAAGTTCATTCCGTTCAATTCCATCCACGCAGCTGCATGCGTATACACTTGCTTCAAGAGGATGAATCTCCGTTTTAACATTTCAAACCTTTGGAAGGCTGGAGATACTTGAACTTATCAGCTGCGTCGGCTGCTCCATGGCTTGAACTTTCAATGCCGCTACTTGAAGTCCTCGGTAGTAATCTACTCAAGGGATTTGACGATTTTCGTCAATATTAGGATTATATATTATTATTAGTCTTTAGTTAGACGAAAAGGGCAACAATAGTGACTCCATCCGTATAGAACAGATAAGTTGACCTCTAAAGAAGAGACAGCCGAAAGCGCTAGAGCGATAGAACGTTCAACAAAGAGCAGCTTGAGGTTTCTTTAAGATGACCGACGTGGCGAAGCAAGATCGGGTTGGGAATGGCGAAATGAGAGATGCGCCATTGGAGCGATAAGGGCTGGAGGCTGAAGGAGCCGCAATTTCAAGGTTTGGAATCACGTTTCGAATGCGTGGTACAGAAAGGAGCAAATGAAGTGGCATAGCTAGATATTCTAGCGGTTTTTCTCTATTATTTTTTCGTAGATTCGAGTCCAAGGTTTGACTTTGAGTGGGAGTTGTTCCATTCGTTCTCATTCCTATCGGCTCATGTCGAGGTGCGGATATATCGTCATTCAAGTTGTTAGATATTTCAAGTTTCCAGTAAGAGACCGTTCGATTGGAACAGAACAAAGAGTATGAACTTGAAGCTTGCAAGGTGAAATATGTTCAAGTTGAAGACACTGATCGCTGATTATTTGCATGACTTGAGCACCATGACTGTTTGAAAATACTTTATCTGGTAGAATGCACGTTCACCGCGCCATTTTCGGTTCTCAAATGCCTCGTCCGCTCCAAGTCATTTGGAGGAGCTTCAGTTTCATTCAGTAATCTTTCAAAAGAGCGATGTAGGTCTGAAATTCGTAGGAGTGGACTTCTGCTACGTTTCTGGGAGGATGGTTGGATGGTCGGTTGGATGGTCGGTTGTGGGATCTGATCCACACTGGGATCATTGGTATTATCGACATGGATCGTTGTTTGGGCATTTTTAATCCAAATCTCACGATCATATTTCCTTTTCGAAAGGAGTCTTGATGAAACTTCGATAATTTTGGAGGGGTAAGATGCGTTTCTGGGAGTAGCATTAATACGACTCAAATTCAAGGTGGAGGTGCTCACTGGTGAACCTGGCCTGCATAGATCATGACATTTAATATAAGAAGCATCGTCGACTTCATTCTCTCCAAGTTGACCTTCAGCGTCTCCAACTCCGTGCCACGGAATGCGGTAGTAATCATGTATGCTGTACGGCGCAGTCGACTTTGTTCGGCTTCTCGTTCTTGCCTCTCGACTCAAAAACTAATTTGCTTTCTTCGATGACTTTTTCGACTGTTTCAAAGGCGCTCTTTGATGCGGTTTTCAAATCCTTATCTTGTTCCAGGATCTTGGCGAGCTCCTTCAAAATAGTACATATGAGAGTCACTTCGCTGGAGAGGCCCTTCATAGACTCATTCGCAGCTTTGGCCGCGCGATAAAAAGAGGAAAGTTTGCGTGATGCTGTTGTCCCAAGTTCAACAATCTCGAGGATAGTGGCAACAGTTGCGAGTACCTCCATAGTGCACTACGGGTATTCAATAGAGTTGATCTTTGCTTGGCGAGGGTCGATCAGAACTTGAAACTTGGCAAGCATACTCCTGGGGACGAAACTTTGGAGTCTAATGTACTGATTGGTTCCCAGCAAGGAAAGGAGTATCCCACAAATTTCAAGTTAGTACCGAGACGGGACGTTGGACAAGATTTCATCTGGGCAGGGGATGGGAGGCCCAAGGCAGTGCATGCATGCGTGAGGTACGAGGCACTAGCAGGGCAAACGTATGCTTATGACTCATGAGAGACAAGAAAGGTACTTGCCACACTCTGGGAAAAGCGGAAAACATGCCTTGAGTTGAGGCTGTTCCCAGGCGTTATAGAGATTAAACTCACCTTGGTGTGCAGCGTTTGCAGTGTGCACTTCGGGAGTATAATGACTCGAAACTGATCTATTTAAAACTGGCCTCTTATGGACCGCATATGTACTAACCGGGGTAGATATATAGTAAGATACCTGGGTAGCTACCAGGTGGACAAGCCAGGGTGAGCACTATGGCTGACGACTATAATTAGACCTCAATTAAGAAATGAAAGAGAGAGATATGTATGTTGATTGAAGTGGAAATCGTAGTATCTTGATAAGATAAGAGATGTTCTGCCTCAAGGCATAATTGATATATTAGATAAGCAGGTCTGGACCCGGATGAGTCAGCAACGTCATTCCCCTTTGGATGGACAAAAGTGCCGACTCTTAACCGGTTCTCTGTTCACTTGACGTGTGATTACCCTCTCTAATTTCCATATGAGCTTCTCCGCTGATAACTTCCAATTTATATCCCGGACTTTTACCCAGTTCACTGTTTTACCTTGCTCCCAGCTATTGCTATAGCTTGTAACCACTCACCCCTCGGCTAACCCCGTTACCTGACGTCATCTACAATCCCTCGTCGCATTGACGCATTGACCAAAAAAAAGTAGTGAAAAGACGACAAGAGTCCACCCACTACGCGATTCTACCGCGGTTATCTTATCTCATAATGATCTCCAGTCGCCCCTTGTGAAACTTCCATCTTCGGCAATCGCACTGATCAGCCGCCATGAGAGACTTACTTTATGACCGCCTCTGGCGCCGGGAATGCGGGGAGCTGTCTGCGCGTGCCGGGCTCCGGGACATCTATGGCTCTAAAGAGTGGGTCAACGATCTTGACATAGTGAATGAGCTTGGTGGACATACAGGTTGCGTAAATGCCCTCAGGTATGATCATTATACGCGTGCGGATGCCATTTCCATGCCCTCAGTCTGGCTGGCAGGCCCGCCGATCTTCCCCTCATTGATGCGTTGTCACCATCACGCTAACCGCCTCGCAGTTGGTCTCGTTCAGGACGTCTTCTGGCCTCAGGCTCAGATGATCAACATTTGAATATCTACTCTTATCAACCTGAATCCTCCGATGCTCCATTCGCGCTGCACACCACCGTCCATACGGGTCACAAAGCCAACATTTTCTCCGTCAAGTTTATGCCCCACTCGAACGACGGGACCCTGGTTACATGCGCAGGCGATTCGCAAGTGCGTGTCTTCGATATCGAATATGCTGGCAGAAATGCGAATTCCGCATCTACTTCGGCATTTGCGGCTTCAGCGCGGAGTCGCCGGTTTAATAGTTTCTTTGACGGAGCCCGGTACCTGAGTGAGGGTAATACAAATGCTCGCGTCTATCGAAGTCATGCCGACCGCGTGAAACGCATCGTCACCGAATCATCTCCTTACCTATTCCTGACATGTTCTGAGGATGGTGAAGTTCGACAATGGGACTTACGCCAACCATCTTCCGCATACCCTGCGCCCAATGGGGGACAGGGCTTCATGGCGTACAGGCCTGGCCTGGTACATGATGACTCGAATGTTCCGCCACCGCTGATATCCTACAAGAGATACAGCCTAGACTTAAACTCCATTTCTTGCTCTCCTTCTCAACCACACTATATCGCACTTGGTGGTGCGCACGTGCATTGCTTTTTACACGATCGGCGTATGCTTGGTCGTGACATGACATCTGAGAGAGGAACGCCCAGTGGGTCAACACCCCGCGCGGGAAGTGTCGATGATGAACTCATGGGAAAGGCAACTCGTTGTGTTCGACGTTTTGCACCTTGTGGAAAGAGTCGCATGCGAGATCTCGATGACGGGCATATCACTGCGTGTAAAATCAGCGATGCAAACCCAGATGAGATGGTAGTAAGCTGGTCCGGAGACCACATTTACAGTTTCGATCTTGTTCACAGCGCGGATGCACGGAACATTTCATCCGAGGAGAGGAGCTCTATCTCAAAGACTGGCAAGAAAATCTCCAAAAATGGAACGCGCGACCGAAAGCGAAAGCGGCCAAAACCTATGTCCATGTCCTCTCAAGAAAGTGGCGATCGTCATCGATCTCGACGTCGATCTAATGACCCAGATAGATTCAGAGTCCAGTTTGAGAATGGAGAGACATCGGATATTCCTATCCCGGGATTGGACGAGGAAGGTGAACTGCCTGAAGATTTCCTCGAGCGAGCCAGATACTCGGTGTTGAATGAAGCACAGCGGCTTAGCAGAGATATTGCAAAAGCACTGGTTCAAATGCGACAGGCTTTATTTACACTGGAGGAATCCGTTCGAGACGCAGCGGAAGAAGCAGAGCAAAATGATCTTACCCCTTACGCGGAGTCATTCGCGACCGCATTGACCCTCGCTTCCACAATGCTGCCGAAGATGGACTCTGTCATTCGAGACTGGAGGTATCCGATGAACCCATCTAATGAAACTGTTCAATTTCAGCAAACGCTTCGCCGTAATCGGCAGGCGTCCTGGAGATTCATACAAGCTGCAGGCACTCTGTCACGCATCTTGATGAACTTATCAAATAACGTAGAGGGAGACGACCCAGCCACATATTCGGATTTCCAGAGTATCACATCTGCACCAAGCGAGGATGGATCAATCGAGCGAGAGGCCCAGTTTGGCTATGATTTTCTCAAGGCTATCCTACTATGGCTGCAGGGCGGCCGACAGGCCCTTCTGGCCGGATTCAAGAGCGGATCAGAGCCCCGAAGACAAAATGGTCGCTTTCCTATCTCAGAAGATGCAGATGAGGATGCAATTGATGGAATTCTGATTCCTTACCTTCATGGCCTAGCAGAGGAAACTCCTATCGTCAATGTGGACGCTTCACCCTACGAGCATGACAGTACTCGCATTCTATTCCAGACTCAATACGCAGCCGTGACCGCTTTCAGCAATGCCGTCAAGTTGCCATTGGAAGATCTTGGAACTACAGCGGCTCTGATTGATAAGCGTCGCGTTTCTAACCCTTCGTCCCAGGTTCGATCTTTGGATCGAGCCTCTGCCTTCAGATTTTGGATTTTGCGAGTCGGCAGAGGCATTTTGATGACTGCTGGAACAGGCGTTAACTATGCATTTGTCAATCGTGCCTTTGGTGGACTCCAGCCTGAAATCGATGAAGATGGCGACCTAGAGCTGGAGAGATATCTCGAAGAGTCTCAACGGGACATTGATCCCGATGAGCCAGATGAGCAGATCCGGGCGATCAACCTAGTGAGAAGTCGCCTCCCAAGACACAAGCGCGAGAATAAAATAAACGGCGACAATGAGACGTCCTCCGCAACCCGCGAGGATACTAATATCAGTGAGTCCGGTGTGCCCTCGGAAACTGGCGATGAAAGCGACGAGGTCACCGGTGAACAGGAGGAATCCAGTGGCAGCGATGACGAGGATGAAGATGATTCTAGTGATTCAGATGGCTGGGATTTTGACATGGATGATGATGATGGTGGTGATAGCGAAGAGTCAGATGTCGGAATCCCTGTTACACTGCAACGTGGAGGGAGCAAGCATCGCCGAGGAGACGTTGAGATTGACGCACCTTTCTCGCCTCATACAAGAACTTATCGTGGACATTGCAACATCAAAACCGTGAAGGATGTGAATTTCTTCGGTCTCAATGATGAGTATGTGGTAAGTGGCAGTGATTCGGGACATTTATTCATCTGGGAACGAAAAACTGCAAATCTGGTGAATATTTTAGAGGGCGACAGCGAGGTGGTCAACGTGATCCAAGGTGAGTCTTTTTCTTTTGCTATTTATGGCTTCACGATCATCAGCTCAATATGTAATACAGGTCATCCATACGAGCCTACGATGGCTGTTTCTGGTATCGACAATACCATCAAAATCTTCAGTCCAGACCAGAACGCCCAAGAGCTAGCCAGACAAGGGGTTAACATTTTAGACCCTGATAATGCAGCAAACAGCCTGGGTTCTGCAGGGCGCGCCGTAGGTGGACTTCAGAGTCGGAAACGAATCCAGGACAGTTACCGCATCATGTCCCAGAATGATGTCGACCGCCGTGGCGGCATGAGTGAGGCGTACATCACAGTAAGTGGGATCCTGGGAATCGTACGAAGATACCCATACAGCAGATACTAATATCTGCACATAGAGGGAGTATGCTCGCTCGTCTTGCAGCCACACTCCGAGGTCGACAGGGCCTTGCAGGAGGTGCAGCAGTTGAGGGCCTCGGAGCCACGGGGGATGATGAGCGCGCTACTATTGTCCTCGATGACAATTGCTCGGTACGTAACTGCATTTTGTAGGCTGGCCTATCTGATGAAAGCTGACTTGTCTATGAAAAGGTGATGTGATCTTGATCTTATTTTCTTTCTGAATGACCTGCGACAGTTTCATTATGTTCTTGCTATCGTTAATAATGGCCAGAATGATTGGGGGATTGCATCCAGGCGCGAGGGTCTTTTTTTCAGTGGGTTTCATCAACAGAGATTAGGTCTAAGAATGACATTATCATGAAGAGAATATTAAATTGCGCCTTGAACTGACTGCGTCCAGGTACTAGTATGTGTCTATCTAGACATTAATATTTATGGATGTAGTGATGAGTGCTACCAGTATGTGGCTCAACATCCCAAGGGTTTGTACTAGTAGTAATAAGTAGCAATGAGTGATATTGAATCAATTCTACAAAACGTCAAGTCCTTTTCTTTCATCTTTATCCTGGAGTCGATCTCTATAGTACTCGATCTCTATAGTACTCCTCAGGACATAGTGACAATGAAATAGGGCTACCCCGCCGATCCACCTAAGCCGGTCAATGCCCCACATTGTAAATGGAAATTCTCAAGATTTCAGAACTTGAATGTTAGAATCATCTTGAACCAATTCACCTCTCCAATATGGCGTCTCAATTATTGCAGTCGCGATCGGATAAAACCAATCAACTTTATCAAGATCCACACAATCCTCATCTTTACCTCGAACGAGCTCGCCTCCATGAACAACTTGGCTTCCCCGATCTCGCCGCCGCAGACGCTTACCGTGCGCTCTCTCTACTCGAGTCCGTAGTAGACCCCGATGGATGCGAATTTCATGCCAAACGAAAGGTCGAGACCGGAGAAAATACATTCACTCAATCCGTCGATCAGACCGAGAATGAAGCTGAAGACGACGAGGATGAGGACGAGGACGAGGACGAAGATGAAGATGACGGAACTACTCCAGTAACTCTGGAAGAATATAATACCCTTATCGGAGCAGTCTATGCTATTCTCGTGCGCGGTCTTGTAGACTGTGGCTGCTATCGCGATGCATATGAATTTGGTGTTCGTGGTCTCGCACTCCTGCGTGAGCTATCCGCAGACAACGTCGACACACCCGCCTCAACCATGTTGCAGACACAAATGGATATCGTCAAGAATATCTACATCTCTCGTACTTCTAAGACCGGCGTGGAGCTGCAAGATATCGATTCCGCGGTTCTCCCCGCGCAGGGCTACGCTCGTCGTGTCCTCTATCCCTGGAATGAACATGAACCGGATCGCCGCGCACCGGAGGAACTTGAATTCCTCAATAAACGACTAGCTGAAATTGCACCAAAGTGTGAGGTTCGTGCGGTCGCTTTACCCGCTCTTCATGCCTCAACGGGAGAAGATACTGGTGAAGTCTCTGTGCAATTGGGTCTTTTCGCGAAAGAGGATATCGCTCCGAGTGAAATCATCCTCCGCGAGTCTTCTCTTCTTACTGCTACCAATCGTCTTCATGATGACCTCTGCGATGCTTGTAATGCTCCCTTACCTGACCTCTCGGCTGAGGATCCTCCTGTTGCCTGTGAAGGTGACTGCGCGGATACCGTCTTCTGTAGTCAGGCGTGCCATGATACTGCGCAAGAGGTTTACCATGATGCGGTCTGTGGATTGGAAGATGGGTTAGAATCTATTGGTAAGGATATTCCTGATCCTAAGGATAAGGCGGATTATCTTTACTTGCTTCTTCTGGGTCGTGCGTTGGCGATGTCTGCGACTCAGGATGTGCATGCGTTGGAGTTACCCGAGGTCAAGTATATCTGGGGAGATTTCCATGACTTTGATATTGAGAGTCTTACGGACTCTGAGTCAGACAAGGATGTCAAGTCTCTGCCTTTCTCGTTCCAGTTGAATATCTTGCAACCTATGCGCTTTCTCGAGGAAATGGAGATCGATCCTTATGTTTCGCTTCCGCGCTATGATACTTGGGTTTTGAATACTCTCTACGCGAAGTTCCGTGGTACTGCGTCTGGTCGTCTATCTACTTGGGATGGAGGTCCAGAGCTTTGTGCTGTGCATCCTCTTTGGTGTCTTGCCAATCATTCTTGCGATCCTAATGTGCGTTGGGAATGGGGTGGTGAGATTACCTTCAGTGCACGAGGCGACGAGGAGACGGCTGTTTGGTCGAGGACGAAGCCGAATGGAGCTATCGAAATGAAGGATCTCAAGCCTGGAGGTATTGCGAAGGATGCGGAAATCTTGAATCATTACTGTGATATTGGATTGCCGGTCAAGGAGCGTAGGGAATGGGCGAGTGGTGCTTTGGGTGGGATGTGCCGATGTGATCGATGTGCATGGGAGGCGTTGGAGGTGGATTGATTAGTTTGGTCTACGAGATGGATGAAAAGTTGAAGTATATATAGTAGATGGCAGGAGTTAAGGAGAACTGTGTCATTTAGATACCCATTAGACATGATTGGATTGATGGCCATATCCATGGATGCATGACGGATCTTGGCACTGGGTGGATTTTGTTAAAAAAGACCAGTGAGGATATAGAAAAAAAAGGAGAAATGAACAGATAAAGTACACCATTTGGAAATCATTCCCATTCCTAGCACGAAACCCGACTTCATAAAGAGATCCCTTGCAATTTACTACAAGCATAGCATACCATCGGGAGAAAGTTATGGTTGCTCGACGTCAAAGAAAAGAATAAGAAAAGACGATATGACATATCACTTGGCTTGATAGATTAACCACGACGAGGGGGAGTCCGTGAGTAAGATCTCCCTCGCGAGACATCTCGTTTTCTTGGGGGAGTTCGAGATGGCGAACGGGAATAAGACTTTTCGCGTCGACGGGGAGGAGATGCAGACACAGACGGAAGCTTGTCATTCTTCGGTGCTGCTCCACGGCGAGGTGGGGTCACCGAACGAGAGACTGATCGCGAATAGCTGCGTCGTCGGCGTGGAGGTGTAACAGACCGAGACACTGATCGGCGAGCCCGGTATGGGCTACGGCTTGAAGTACGAGAGCCAGAACGAGCCTTAGTACGGCGGGGTGGTGTGCGAGATGCAGAACGCGAGCGCGAGCGATCCGACGGCGAGCGGGATCGGCTGTAAGAAGCATCGCGGCGGCTGCGACGAGGTGGGGACCGAGATCGCGAGGGGGTGTAGCTCCGGCCGCGCGAAGATGGTGTGATGGAACGAGAGTAGGACCGACCACGGCCCCTTGAAGGAGATCGGGAGTATGAGCGGGAGCGAGAGCGTGAAGGAGAACGCGAGGATCGAGGGGTGCATGTGGAGCACGATGCTGGGTGAGATCGAAGGGATGGAGAACGGGATGGAGATCTTGCAGCAGGCAATGCTGGCAGAGTAGGCTTGGGCATATTCTTGAGATGCTCACGCATATCCTCCGTCAAAACACCCATACCAATACTGGTGAAGTAGTTGATAGAGAAACGAGTGTGACGGGGGTTCTCTGTAGGGAACAAGCCCTCAAAGCTTGGTCGCAGAATCTCGTCTCTGAAGCGAGACTGCAATGTAGGTAGACCCATATGTTCACCCAGATCTTGGAATAAGATCTTAACAAAGATACGGCTGCTGGAAGTCGTCTCCTCTTCGTTCATATGGACCACTGACAGAACATGCCAACCAATGGCGTCGTTGCTGATCATATGTCCGAAGAAGCGTGCAATGTTGCGTAGACGGTTGGTCTCGTATCTGTGGATAGTATCGTAGTATTTGGCAAATGCAGCTTCGAAAAGATCAGACCACAGGCGATTGATCTTAGCAAATCTCTCTCCGATCAATCCGTAGAATTTCGAAAATGTGCGTTCTTGGGAGCAACACTCAATGATCATCGAGGGCAGTTCGGGCTCCAATCCTGCAGGGAGGTTGATCTTCATCAACTTGTGACAACATTCTTCGAAATCAATACTTGACATGATCGTCAGGTAGATAGTTCGGCGCAGGTTGACCAAGTCCGTATTGCTCTGGTCCTTGATATCCATCTTTTGTTCCTCTCCATCAGACTCCTCGTCGGAGCTTTCGTCCTCATCTCCGTCCTCGTCCTCCTCATCGCTATCCTCACCAAGAATCTCCGCCTTAAGTTTCTTGTACGCGTCTTCATGCTGTTCCCATTCCGAGTCGAATTTAAAAATGTTGAGTGTGTCTTTGGTCTCAAGTTCATCGTCCAAGCCAACACGGTGCGTAATCTGGTCCTCGTCTTCCACAAGGTCAAGCTCTTCCTTGACAGCGGGATTATCTTTGTAACGGTCCTTGCGGACTTGGAAGAGCACCTCAATCATGTACTGCACTCGCTTGTCGATATCCGCTTCGTGGAGGATGTTACGGAATTGGTCGAACACTGCGTGGGCGATCGGGGGGTTCATTTCCTCTAGATGCTGGCCGACTTCTCGGGTGAGTCCTACTGCAATTTCCACACTGTCATCGGTAGGCTTGTGAAGGAGCAGCAGCAAGATTTGAGCCGCAAGCATCTCGTGGGCCACCTGGGTATTGCACAGATGCGCGATAAAGGTCGTCGATGAAATACAGACTGCCTTGTCATTTCGCTTGAATGCTTTGCGGAATTGGGTGATCAGTCGAGACAGCAGCAGATCTCCGACTTGGGGCAGCTTGGTGTTGACAATGGCGGTCATCGCTGCATAAATGGGGGTAAAGGGTAAACTAGCGGCCTGCGCCTTCATGATCGAGCGACAGAACAAGCCCCGACCGCGAACCAAGTTTTCTCCGAAAAGCTCAGGAACAATGAACTTGATGTTAGATACATTGATCTTATTGATCAGACCATTGATGGACTTTTTCAATGCCTCCCAAGCCATCCGCTGATATTCTTTGCTGGTCTTATCTGTGATCTGAGCCTGCAGGGCGCGCAGTCGTGCTGGGGGAATATAAGTTCCACCAGATCGCATGTTCAAGAGTTTTTCATATTCTGCCTTCGCCGACGCCTGCTTTTCTTCCTCGGTCATTGGCTTGCGGGCAGCTTCTTGCCGTTCATGTTCGCGTACACGCTCCGCGAGCTGGCGCTCGCGATCGATCGCACGAGCTGAGTCAGGGCGTGGAACATCAGCATCATTTCTGGATGAGTCTCCTGGAGGCGAGCGACGACGATTCGGGGAGGGCGATCTCGATGGAGGGGACCGCTTTCGTGAAGCTGCACCTGGTGATAGGACACCTGGGGGAGGAGTAGGCACTCGCACCGCTGACTGGAGGATATCACCGTCTTCCATGGTGGGAGGCCGAAAAGAATCCGAATATAAATTCGGATTAAAGAGGCCGGGAGATACCTCAGGGAGAAGTGTGGGGGAGGATAAAGTGGAAGGGAAGGTGTAGCTTATTGAAGTACTTTTAGTCCATAGCAATTCCCGATTCCAGCAGAAAAGTTGAGGTCACGTGCACATTGGCCAAGTCGCGCCCCATGTTAATACGTGGAGCTTCAGAACATTATAACAATATCCAGGGTGACCACTCTCTTTCCCTCCCCCCGGATTTCCTTGCTTTTAAGCGACCACTCCTTTGATAACAATGGTATGGAGATCACTTTGGAATTGTTATTTTCATTGCGATGCATCTTATTAACCTATGAAACTATAGCTGGGCCAACTCGTGGGTTCCGCCATGCTCTTGGCTGCTACTGCAATCTTTCTCTACTATACTGCCTGGACCCTGTTGATGGTATACACTTCTCTCTCTCTCTCTCTCTCCTATTGGGTTCAATTCAGTTTCTCTTGCTAACTTCTCTGGTATAGCCCTTTGTGGACCCAGGCCACCCACTCCATGACCTCTTCCCTCCCCGTGTTTGGGCCATCCGTATCCCCGTTATTCTTGCCCTGCTTGGCTCGGCTGTGGTGGGCACATTCATAAGCATTGTTATGATCAACAGCAACAAAAAGAAGGCAGCCAAGGCCAAGGCTGCTGCGAAGAAGAAGACTTGATCGCAATACGCAATACACAATCAGGGGGATCTCCATCTACCTCGGTCTGCCCCACATGGGCCTGTATCATCATCTTACCACCAGGTGTCAGTTCTGTCTTTGTCTTATCTAATAGAACCAAATCAAAACAATTCTTTTTTTCTTTCATTCCTGCGCCTATGACTCTTAGTTACTTGGGCATCCTCACTGCTTGTTTGTGTTTATGTGTCCTCAGTCTATAACCCTGGGCAGATATAAGCTGATATTACATGCACAGCGCAGGGACCCTGGAAGAAACGTGGGGAGAGGCGTGATACTATTGGCATATGGATGCGCGATCGGGGCCCAGAACGGAATATCGGTAACCGCGAATGATCAGTGATCAGCGTATGTTCATGCTGCTTTTCAAAGTTTAGATCGCGTCACTGTTTGGCCCCGTGACTCTTATTCTCCACCAGTATTATGATTCCTTCTCCTTGAATTCTTTTTGTTTCAGTGTCTTATAATAGGTCTAGCAGAATGTGGGACAAGAACTATTGTCCCATACTATTTCCAAGTAAAACACCGGTTATGATCAGTATGATGGATCATATGCATTCCATGGTACGAAAGTGGCCAAGCTTAGATAAGGCTGCAGTCAAATACCTAAACACGATAGGCAGATTCCAGAAAAAAAAGAAATGAATGAAAGAAGTAAAACCTTGGGAAAAGATGACCATGGCGGGGACCCTAACAGTGTAATAGTGGTAATAATGTAATACCTGTATCCTCCACTGTAATGAGGGGATGACGGGGTCATGGGTGAGTAGTCACTTCCCCGGGGAATGACGGCCATTCTGACTCAGGTACCGCATTTGCCGATTTTCCCCCTCCTCTTATCACTGATACTCCAACTCTCAATCATACACATCTTTCCAAGTTTAACAATATCACTTTCGAACTGGTTTCTTTCTCTAATTTCAATAAGCACTGACTGGATTTAAATATCCAGTGAGTGCTGTGTTACCTTTCTATCTCTATCTACCCCCTATCGCTCTTATCAAAGCTTCCCCGCGTATCCAGGAGCGACCTCCGCTCTAGATACGCCCCGTTTACGCAACAACCTCAACTTCACCACATTCCCCTATACTTATCTTCAAATCACTACAATATGTGAGTCTAACTACCTCAAACTACATAACTTCACCCCTATGGAACTATTTCCCAACAAAAACGAAGGCCTAGGAACTAATCTGACTGGTGGCACCTAGACCTGAACCCCTCCTTTTGTACTGCCCAAGCCTTCTTCTTCACTGTTCGATCTGCAGCAGACTGCTCACCCTGCCCGTTCTCAGACCTACTGAAAGGTCTTGGGAGCGGCTTCCCCTGTGCTTAAAATCTTCAGTGCCTTCTCAGGCACCCCTCTTGTTTTATGCCCCCGGCCGCACCTGACGATTTGATCCGCCAGCATAGTCGGTCGCTTGAAGACGATCCACCCTTCGGTACTGATCAAACCCGCATTATTTCGGAGCATGAGTCAAGTGGAAAGAGTAAGAAGAAGAAGAATAGTAAGAAGGCCAAGGCGGCCAAGGTTGTAGCAGAAAGCCCTCCAGATGATGTGGACAATACGTATGAAATATCCCGCGTTCCCCTTTAAAGTCCCTCTCAAATGGTTATGAAATTCAGTACTAACTAATGACTTCCAGGATTCAACCACTAGAGCCTAAATTGGTGGAGCCATCGTCCTGTCCAGAGCCTACTCTGGGTCATCATGTTCCGCCCCCCGTTACTTCGCCCGTTCTGGACGCACTTGGGGCAATTGAAGGCAACGACGAACACGATTTCACATGTCGCACTGATACGTGGGCTAAATCGGTGCCTTATGGGAAAAGTCCCCCCCACAGATTTGATAGATGGCGATCTTCCTCATGATTCGCCTCTGAACTTTCCCACTATTCAAGCACGGGGTGGCTTTAGTCAACCTTCTTCTGCATCTCCGCCAACCCAGATTCGTCCTTTCAGCTACAGTAGTGGCTACCGAAGCAATATGAACTCAAGACAGCAGTCTATTGACCGACGGAAGAGTCACTCATATGGAAGTCCCATGAGTAACATGGCACCTTTGCCCCATCTCCCCCAGGCGCACTTCTATGGAGCCCCGGAGATTGACCTTCCAGCTGCCCATCCTCGCTCTACTACAGATGGCACATATTCATTCTGTGCATTTGATACTCTGCCGAATCCGTCCAAGGCATCACGGGGTGCTTTGAATGTTCTGGTGATAGGAACAGACGGAAGTGTGGAAGTTCAGGCGATTGAGGATCATGGCACTCGTTTAGTTGGTCAGATCACCGGCCTTAATGGACGTGTTCTGGAAGCCAAGATTTTGCCTGGTCACGTTGGCATGGAGTCACCTGTCTCACCTCAGCCTCACGTGGTGGTGATTGTTCATGGGCCATTGGTACCGAATGACGACGAGGAGCACCCGGTCTCCTCTGCGGGCTCGGAGATCAATGAGGTACCTCCATCTATGACTCGTGGTCGCTCAAGTGATCGACGCCCTGGCAGGGAGGAAAAGTTCTACCAAACCCGCGTGGAAGTATATTCTCTTCGGTCAGGGACTCATGCTGCAACTCTATTTACCAGCAAAGCGATCCCCTGTCTTGAGAATATTCCTGGGCTTCCATCTTTTGCACCAGCACCGGTCGGTAGCCTAAAGTTACTGGTTAGTGGAAACCATGTTGTCGTGGCCTCCGGGGTCAGTGGCGAGGTCTACGTTTATCGCCAGACTTCTTCCGTGACATATCAATGTCTTGGAAAGGTTTGGACGAATGTACAGGCTGGCGAAAAACGACGATATTCTACCTCGTCTAACTCAACTGACCCAGATGGGTCTCACAACGAGCTACCCCGCACTACCTTGGCCGAGCGTCCAATATTGGCTTTGCAGGGAAGATGGCTCGCAGTGGTCCCTCCATCTGCCTCACAAAGAGTATCGATTCAGGGGCTGGTCCCTTCCGGTTTGATGCACAGTAGGGCTCAAGGCTATGAGGCCCGGAACCCGCCTACCATCCCGTCGGTGAACTGTGGGACAGATGTGGGAGATGGGGAAAGCCTTTTCGATAAAGTCGCGCGAGGTGTCACGCAAGAATTAGTTAAAGGCGCTCGCTGGATGGGCGACCAGGGAATGCAAGCGTGGAATTCGTATTGGAACAACCAACAGTCTACTGGCACTCCTCCTCAGCGGCCAACCCGGGGCACTGATTCTCCCATCTCGGGATATAGCCTTTTCCCGCCAACTCATGCTCAGGACACTCAATCTACCTCATCCCCCGAACCTGACACCGTCTCTATCATCGATCTTAAGCGGTTTGACGATGGCATGGATCCAAAGACCGCATCTCTTCACCCTCTGTCAACCTTCCAAGTGCCCAACGGCTGCAGCTTTCTCTCAATTTCTCCAAATGGGTTAATGCTCTTCACTGCCAGTAAGAAGGGCGACGTTCAATATGTTTGGGATCTCATGCAACTCAAGAATTGTCGAGCCATGGCTTTCATGACTGATAATCTGGCTGATCAAAACTCCAGTGTGCGGCAGATTGCAAGATATGCTCGTTTGACTACGTCTAGTATTGTCGATGTGATCTGGACTGCGCCCGTGGGTGACCGGCTTGCTGTTATTACACGCAAGGGCACCATCCATGTCTTTGACCTACCTCGAAGTGCATTTCAATGGCCACCTTTCCGTCGTGTACGCTCTTCTGCCAAGAAGTCGCCCACGATTGACCCGACTAATGATGATATCGCAGGGCAGCCGAGTGGGGGCAACCCTCTGTCGGCGGCTATCAAGCTAGTTGGAGGCAGGACGCAGCCATTCTTTTCAGCTGTGCGAGGCCGCGTTCCATCCACTAGTAGCACTTCATTTCCCAACATTAGTTCCTTTGCCCTGCCTACAGCTGCTACCATTAAAGGTGGAAAGGTTGTTGCAACGGGACTTGGAAAGTCCATGGGTGCTGCGGCTACTGGAACTGTTCATACCTTGCGACATGCGGGAGAGAACCGGTTACATCTGATGGGACTGGCGAGAGATCCAGCATCTCATCGTGTAGTTTGGATCTGCAACAAGGGTTCGATCTACTTGGGAGTGGTCGATGAGGGAGACTTCAAATTGTACCGCCTTAAGCGTGGTGCAACTAGCCATAAGCACCGGCAAATCCACACCGTGTTTGGCGGGAAAGAGAAGCAATACAAGTTACCCGCCATTTTGCACAATCCATGCGGACCGGCACCGCTTATGCCATACGACCCAGAACTTGTAGTCCAGGGGGCTTTATTATTACCATCCGCCAGTGCACATCCATCTAATATGAGTCGACCTCTCTGTCAGCCTCTCTCTCAAGCTGAGATTGAGACAAATACTCCTTACCAGCCCTTCCATACTGACCAGCGAGTTGGTTTGCATGTTTATTCCTCCCAGGGAGGTAAACATGATCTGAGTTTAGCAGCTCCGAGTGGTCAGTGGGTTTTCGGAGGTGAAATTCCGACCACCAAAGTGCATGTGCGGTCCTACAGTAATACAAGTGAAGACGCGACAGATGATCAAGACGATGCTGGAGCCATTCACGGCCATTCAATCGGTGCTGGTGGAGACATGGAGAACCTGATTAGTCTGGCCAACAGTACTGGTCACATTGAAGAGGTTGTTATCACCACCCGACGCAAGAAGAAGTCATCGGCGCCTCTTAAGGCCGATGATGGCTTCTTTGAGGATGATTGTGAAGTCCTAGACTTTGCTCGAGATCGGGTTTGATCCATCTCCATTCCTTTCCATGAATTCTTTTTTACTTACTATATCTTTACTCCGTCTACTTGACTTTTTTTCCTTTTCTGTGATCTAGAATTTCTGTTTACGCACACGGCGTTGGAGAACCGCACCGGAGTTCTTTATTATTCTTGACCTTCCCTGCTCGGCCATATCATACCTATGAAATTGCATCAGATTAATCCAAATCTATGGATTATCTGCCTATTGTCGTCCCTTTATCGATTGCGTCTCTTCCAACTTGCTTACACAGAAACTGAAATACCCAAACCTGTACTTATTTTCGCTTGCATTGTGATAGACTGGAGGCTTTATGATCTGCTCACACTAGGATCTTCCTCTCGCTTTTTTCCGCTCTCCATGCTACAGTTGACCACTTCTTTTCTGGTTGCTTCGTTCATTTGATCTTTCTTTCTTTTTTGTCTTTTTGGAGGCAAGCTCTTAAATTGTTTCGGGCTTTTCACTCGCTCTAGGCTGGGAACTACTAGCTACGCATATCAATACAAGATTGAAGTCCCATATGGGCCTCAAAATTCAACATAGATAGTTTGATTATACTAGTAATTGTTTCAACAACAACATCTGAAGCATTTTTCTATTCTTTTCAAGTAGATTCGACCATCTCCTCTTCCCACCAACTCTTAAAAACATTCAATCTCTCAGTTCGAGCGCGTGCCATCTTCCTCCCCGTCTCCGTCTTCATCATTCCCTTCAACTTCTCCAACTTATCTCCAAAATGCTCAATCGCATTATCCATCACCCATCCACTCCCTCCCGCAAACTTCTTCCCCTGTGCACCGAGGAAAGTAAAGCACCGTCCAATCCCAATAGCACCTATGGCATCCAATCGATCCGCATCCTGCACAATCGCCAACTCGCCAAATCCTTCCTCATCAATCAACCGCCGAATAACGGCGGGATCCTTGCATTCAGTTGAATACGAAACATGCGATACAATAGTCTGTACCCTGATCGCTAACTCCACAGGAGCTCCTTGTTGCAGTAAAGCATGTTGCACCATCGTCTTGGGATCCAGTGACTCATCTCCCTCTGTCGTTATGTTTGGCAGGTACTTTCTATCACCGATGTCATGGAGTAGCGCCGCTAGCTTAACCACTGCACCGGAGTAAGAGGCCTCAGGGTGTAACTTTTGTTCTGCAGATAGGATCCTCATGGCGAGATTGACTACCCGGTGCACGTGTGGTGGGTTGTGAGAGGGGTCGTGGCCTGACATGCAGGTGTTCACAAAGTCAAACATAGAGCTATATAGCTTTTGGAATTCCTCTGTTGTCTCTGACATGGTGATTGCTGCCATCTTGGTGTTGCGATTCTCAAGTTCAAGTTCTTTTGGCTTGAATTGGTAATTGATGTATTTCTCAGACAATTTAGTGTAGGATTGAAATTTCCAGATCTTCTGGAATTTTGAGAAATGACCACGAGGTTGGGACGAATAGAATAATATTTATTTGTCAACTTGACGATATATTTGTGGAGCAAAATGAGTTTCCCCGCGTCAAATCTCGAACCCTTGAACGCGTTGGCGGTGAGGTTCGCGGTAGTCAAGACTATGTTTTGTCCCCTGCATCAACCCTGCAACCTTAGTGCATTTTGAAATTTTACACAACACTTATGGGTTTAATTTACAGCTTTATGTGGAGAGGCCTGTGGGGTAAGTAAGATCTACAGATTTAAAAGTTGTTGATCGACGCGATGCATGTTTCTTTTTGTTTAGATTGAAATGTGGATGTCTACAAACTTCCGAATCCAGACTTACAGAAGGAAGAGGTACTTTTCAAAATTTCATTGCCGGCCTATGAATCGGAGATTTGTGAAATAAGATCACAGAAGTAAGAATGGAAGATAACAGAATAAAAAGGCTCGGCGAAAGGCTCAATGGCCAAGTTGAAGGTCCAGACTAGAAGTGGACAAAGACCTGTCATGGAAGACTAGGTGCAGATTTGTGGGAGTCGTTCACAGAACAAAGGCTGCAAAGACCAGAGCGAGCAGACCAGCACCAGAGGCACCAGTCTGAAGGTTGGTAGCAGCGTTTGTGGTGTGCTTAGCCTCAGAGCTGGTAGCAGAACCACTGGTCTTGGACTCCTCGTTGGTAGCTATAGTGTGGTTAGTATACACTTGGATGGTCTTATGCAAGGGAACTGAAGATTTGGTCACATACTCTTAGAGCCGGAAGCAGTGGTTACCATAGCAGTCTGAGTACCAGACTGAGTAGCACCGGCGTGAGTCTCGCTGGCATGAGTGCCAGACTCAGTGGTGTGGGTACCAGTCATGGTAGTCTCAGAGTGAGTAGAACTGGTAGTAGAAGAGACATCGGCGGGGAAGAAGTGGGAGGCGTAGCAACTCTGCTCACAGTCCTCATACTTCTTGGTGTCGGCGGGAGTACCAGTACCCTGAGGGCAGGCGGCGACGCACTTGTTGGTATCGTTGGCCTGGCTATTGCTGGGGCAGGGGACGTGGTAGCACTTGGCGATGCAGCACACGTCCTTGTTGTTGCCTAGAGGGTAGAGTTCGTTAATGTTTAGATACGAGAGTCGAGATAATTATAAACAACTCACAGTTCTTGGCACACTGAGCCTCAGGGCTGATGACCACAGTGGTGGCCGGCGCCTCGGCGGTGGTGTTCTCTGCGGCTACGAGAGCCAGCAGGGCAAAGAAGACGACAAGCATGAACTTCATGGTTGAAAGGAGTGGGGAATGTAGATGGAACGACTGGGTGGGTTGGGAAACGAAGGAGTGGGAGAGTGAGGAAGGAGAGATGGGGAGGAAGAAAAGACGTGGACTAGGTGAGGCAACAATAAATACCATCTGATCTTTGCTCTCACATCAAACGCTCTCTACACTAATGTTATTATCTACAAACTGCCCCTCGTTGGACTTGTTGGACTCACTGTTATGAAATTAAGTACTAAGAGCTGTTCCTATTCGCCTTGTTTTATCTTAGAAAGCTTCTTCAATCTGTTATTCTCTATATCAATATACTTCAATTTGACAATCAGTTAGGAAATGATCCCCCTTGCTCCGCAACTAGATATCATCCAGGTCTTCAAGGGATCAGCACTACTGAGACCCTGCAGGTAAGTGGATCTGTCAAATCTGGAGGAAAATATATCATTTCTTTTTCATTGGTGGTGTAAAGGGAGGGTTTCAGCAGTATTTGGCACGGACATCCCCGAGTATGCAAGGGAATAGTGTGCAGGAGCCCTGGAGGCTAATTTGTTTTAATTTCATTCTCTATTAATGCTCCTATACTTTCTAAGTCGATACAAAGATTTTCAGGCACCCGGGTGAACATTTGAAGTATCTATGCACTTGTTACGCTGTTCAAGTTGATATCTAACTTGGGTCGACTCATGCCACATCCATCCATGTGCAGTGTGGAATGAATCAAGAAGCTAGTAGAGCTATATACACTCAGGTGCTTCAAGTTCAGTATAAATTCACCCAGGTACATACAGATGCAGGTACCAGCCAAATTGAAGCACTGGCATCTACCACACGTGCAAATTGTAACACACATGCAGTTAGTAGATGGTGGTACCTATTTAATTTAATTTTATGGCTGCACATGTCAATTAGTATTTCAATGATGCTCACCTTGCACAAGAGCGACATGTCAAATTTCAATATTCTCCGAGTAATTAGGCAACAAACTTACCGGAGTATTATATCCAGTGATAGGTAGTCTAACTTGAAATGGATGAAACACTGGCATCGAAATAGTACATAGTATGAACATTTCAAATGTTGAAGCCTGCCCAGGTGGAAACATTTTGAATAATGCGAGTGCACATGTGTATCCCAGTGCCAGTGTGGACTCGGAGTCCGTCCAATCCCCCGAAGACCTTGGGACCTTCAAGTTTCACGACTCGGAGCCCCAATGCATCGATATATATATCCATCTCCTTCAATTTGAGAATCTAAGATGGAAGCTCCGAGTCATGGCATTATGATGTGCACGTTCAACTTGAATTTCATCCATGGATATACTAATATACTATCACTTCAACTGAAAGTCATTTTTGCTTGCCAACTTCCAAGGTTGGCAAGTTCAAGTTGTGCTAATGGTAGATACATTATTGTATGTATGTACTAATGGATGTGTACGAGTAAACTGGTACCTAGGTAGTTCTATAAATGGAAGTACTACTTTCCAACCATCCAATGTTGGTTGTGCTAGTACTACCTAGGTAGTAATCAATCGAGTTCAAGTTCATGCCAGTGGCAGTGGCAGGATAAATATGTATAGTATCGATTAGTACTAGTACTAGTAGACGCCCAAATGCCAGTGCTTGAAACTTGAAGTTAACATCCAAACCCGATTGTTAAAAGTACATATATTTACTGATTAGTCGGCAAATTATATTCCTATCAAATGTTCAAGTATTCTCAACCTTGGAAGTGTATCAGAAAGTCAAGGCGAAACTGGATATTTGTATAGATGTTACTGCCACACCCACTCCAAAGTGGGGCACACGCACCTCCGCTCATCAACATCCGCCCGACAAGCATCATCAGTATACAGACAACATTTCTCCCCTAACCTCTACCATGGCTGATGCACAGTTTGACAGCGCGCTGTAAGTGCTTCAAAGCAATTCTCTCGTATCTCACAATGCTAAAATTGCACTCCATCCTCCTGTTGTCTTCGAGACCCAACCTCCGACTACAACCCCACCCCCAGTGCATGAAGAGCCCCCTCGAGCTGACCTCCTTCTTCCAGCGATCTCCTTCGGCGTTTAAACCCTCGCGATACCAAGAAAAACCTCCAAGCCATCACTACAATTGTCCCCGATCTGACCGAAGATCTCCTCTCCTCTGTCGATCAACCCCTGGAGATTCGCCGATGCAAACAGACGAACCGTGACTACCTGCTCTGTGATTATAACCGTGACGGTGACAGCTACCGGTCACCATGGAGCAATGAATTCGATCCCCCGCTTGAGGACGGCACAGTCCCTAGTGAGCGCGTACGCAAGTTAGAAATTGCAGCCAACGAGGCCTTCGATGTTTACCGGGAGCTCTACTACGAGGGCGGCGTTGGAAGCGTGTACTTCTGGGACTTGGATGATGGCTTTGCTGGTGTCATCCTTCTCAAGAAAGGTATGCATCAATTGATAAAATAGAAGTTTCTTTTCTGGAGTTTGGGCTGTGACTGATCATCTTCTCTGCAGGGGTAACCCCCGGTGCCCAGAGCTCGGGCGAGTGGGACAGCATCCACGTTTTCGAAGCGACCGACCGCGCTCGTATGTGCCACTACAAATTGACAAGTACTGTTATCCTTCATCTGGCCAGCGAGAGCCAGGCTCTGGGCGAGATGGACTTGAGCGGCAATATGACTCGCCAGGTCGAGGTGGATATGCCCGTCGAGTCGGATGCTAGCCATGTTGCGAACGTGGGACGACTCGTTGAAGATATGGAACTGAAGATGCGTAACCTGCTACGTATGTTTCCCAAATCACATCTCGAATGTGAGCTTTCTTGGAGACTTTTTCAGAGCTGACATATTCTTGAATCTTATAGAGGAGGTCTACTTTGGCAAGGCTAAGGATGTCGTTGGTGAGCTTCGGAGTAAGTGATCCATCTATACAATGGACTCGTGGCCATGGAAAACTGAACCAAGCTAATTTATATGACAGGTCTGGGATCCCTTTCCGAGACAAATCGGGACCGTGCAACACAACTTGAGATGATCAAGTCTATGCAGAAATAGAATTTCTTGCAATCTTCGCCGCATGCTTGAACTTGAATGGCTCTGGGAGCCTACAGTAGACATCCCTTTGATGTTACACTTTCTTATCTCTGCATAGCTTTATTTCTATGAATATGCCCTCTTAATTCATATGCAAACCAAGCTCCAAAGCATCTCTTAGCAAAGAACTGTCATTGTATTTCTCATTTGTAAATGTCATTAATTGGGTATCAGGCATAAATCAAAACATTTCTTGGTCCCACGTTTCCTGCGGCCCAGTGACAACTTGAATGATAGGAATTGTAGCCAGGGTTAGTCTACCTGCATGTCTTCAGGATCCCCATTTGGCTGATCGGTGTCCAACTGCTCAACAAATCGTCGTGCTGATGCCCAAAGTTCAGCTTCTTTGTCCTTCCCGACCGTGTCTTTTCGGCTATTCAGCCAGCTTATATCAAGTGGGTTGGCGGCACCTCCAGATCCTGGAACTCCGGTTCCTGTTGTGCTAGCCCCTGTCGTTTCGCCAGTGCGGGAATTGGAATCTGGTCCTAACACGGAAGCTTCTTCTAAGGCGTATACTTGGCGTCTGAGTCGTACGTCGATGGAGGATAGAAGAGCAAAATACTGTGCAGTGGCCTCTTTGAATTGTGTCTTGTGGGCTTGGAGAGAGCCATCATGGGTCGTAGAAGATGAATCGGGGGTTGCATTAGATAACGCCTGGATCGCAAGGCCAGCTGAATTGATGAGTTTTGCAACATCCTGCATATGCCAATTCTTAGTTAAAAGCTCCATCTTTAGCTCCAAAACTTTAACATTACCTGATCAATGTCATTTAATTGGCGGATTCGGTCTGCCGAGCTGAATGTGGCAGTAGAGTCAGAATTCTCCATGATTATGAGCTGAAAAGGATATTCAAATAAGACCGGCTTCCGCAGTGTGATTTGGTAGATTAGGAGTGTGAAAAGAATGTATACAGTATAGCTCTAGAAAGAATATGAAGCTTCCTGAGATGGAGTGAATGATTTGACTAAAAAGGGAGGGCGGTGAATGATAAGTGGGGCCTGAATCTGGGGGTTTCTGCCGAGTCATCAAACTTGCGCTGATCTAATATCAAATTCACGTCCACTCACTTTCTTCAAACAAACATCTTCAAACATCTTCAACTCTCTCTTTCTCCCCACCCCTCCTTCCCTTTCTCACCGCCTTCTTAATCTGTCCAACTTGTCCGAACCTCAAAACTATCAACTTATCACAATATCTACAATGTCTGCGCCTGGTGGCGGTGCTCCAAGCCCCGTCCCTAGAGGCGGCAGCATGGGTCCTGGGAACAACATGAATGCCCAGCAGCCTATTCCAGGTGGTGCTCCAATGCACCATCAGCCACCTACTCCAGGGCCACCCCCACCCTCCACTGGTGCTATGTCTCAGCAAAACCTTAACCAAATTGTGAGTGATATCTAGTAGTATACCTTTCCTGCAGTTCGAGTTTAGTTCCACATTGCCCAATTGGAGAGTATGCTCTCCAATATCTTGATTGTGCCTTGTGCCCACGATGCTGCCTTATTGCACAATGGAGTTGCCGTTACTATGGAAGTCCATTGCTTTCGCCTACCTGCCCTGGCTGCTGTCTGTTGTCAGTCGCCCTTTGCCACAAAGAATCCATCTTCTGGGGACCCCCAGACACCAGTTGATGATGCCCGTTAAAATGGCAGCTTATCACACAATGGCACTATAGTGGTCATGAAGTTTGCCTTTTGTTCTTCTTCGCATAATGGCCTGACTGTTGTCAAATCGCCTTTGGCCGCAAAGAACCCATCTTGTGGGGACCTCAGACACTGGTTGATGATGCGTGTTGTGGTCTATCATCATATGGATGGAGACAGAGAGGAAAATGTATGGAGAAGAACGTTCTGTCTAAAGAAATGGCCAGATTGTTTGATAACGTGATCATATCAATCCAGCGCTTGGCCTATCTTGGACTGGATGTTGTTTGCCCAGGTGGTTACCAAAATCATATGAAGGCTGCCTTCGCGTTTAAAAGTGACGCATACATGGTGCTGGGATCACTACTCTATGCTCTTTCTCCCTCAATCCTCCATCTTCATTTTCCATTTTTCAACCCACCAACCTCATTTTTCAACGTCCGATATTCATCTTTTTTCTATTTCAAACTGTGAACCACAAATCATGCCTCGCAAGAAGAAGTCTGCCAAGGGACACCCGAGAAACACGGGCCCTCGAAATCGCCATCGTTCTGCTGGTCAACCGGCCTCTACCTCTCAAATTGGTACTCTTGAAACTGGTGCTCCCGAAGTTGGTACTCCTGAACTTGGTACTTCTCAAGCTGGTCCTTCTCAACTTGGTACTTCTCCAGTCGGTACTCCTCCAGTCGGTTCTTCTCAACTTGGTCCTTCTCAACTTGGTACTTCGGGAACTCCTGAAGCTGGAACTCTTCAATCCAGCCTTCGTCGGTCCGCCCGTGCGCCTGTCCCACGCCAGCGTTACACGCCTCCACATAGCAGCACCCGTCGGAAGACCAGCGACCACGAGCGTGCCAGCTCTCCTCAGGATGCCGGGCATGCAAATGAAACTATTCCCCCCCCAACATGAGCGCCCCAGCGCCCGCAAATCCGCCCACAAATCCACCCCACGCGCATCTGCTGCAAATGAGCCCACTGTGCCAGTGGAAGACCCAAACTCCGATGAGGGAGTTGACGTCTCGATGCCGGATCAACCGATGCCGGATCAGAGATCTTTGGGGCCAACTCATAGAAATTTGTCCAATCGTGTAGCTAGCAACCCTCTCGCACATGTCGTCTGTTTGAACATATTTATACCCAATTCCATTTACTAACTAAATTGTCTACTACAGGTCATCGACTATCTAGCCAAGAAGGGCTACAGTCGCACTGAAGCTATGCTACGCATGGAGTCTGCCAACCAGGAGATTGACGGTCGCCCCCTCCCTCCTATGGGAGAAGACTCCCGCCCCAAATACAAGCTGGGATTCGGTAAGGACCCTTCTGAATACATTACATGTGATCGAACTCGTCTCTAATCCATCCTGTAGACTTACTCAAGACTTGGGTCGAAGACAATCTGGATTTGTACAAAGTGCGTTACCCTTAAACATGATGGCTTTATAAACAACTAGCTAACAATATTCAAGCCGGAGTTACGTCGTGTTCTGTGGCCCCTGTTTGTTTACTCTTTTCTCAACATGGTCACTTCGTTGTGGCAACAGGATGCGAAGCAATTCTTTGAGTCCAGCAAGAACATGTTCCTGCCGGAGCACACTGATGACATTCGCATTTTCGAGCCTATCAGCCTACCCGAGCACGTCCAGCACAACGACCTGGCTGTGCTTTACCGGAGCAACAAGTACCGTATTGTTCTCAGCACTCCCGCCTACCAAAATCTTCTTCAGTTTCTCGAAAGCAAAGAGAAAGAAGGTGGCTCCGTTATGAATGCCATTCTGAGCAGTTACTGCACGATCAAGACTTTGGAACGAGCTGCAGATGATAGATTCAGTTTTGCCACAATGCTGGGCCAGGGTGGCTCTGATCAATCTGTCCCTTTGGAGGACGAAGGTATTCCCGGTCATCATCCTGGTTCTGCTTACACCGGCGACAATCCAGCCATGGCCGGCACTTTGCCACGACTTCGACTTGGGAAATTGCCCATGGAGCCTACGCTGGAGGGGGATGTTCGTCATGAGTTGGCTGAAATGGATGCCAAGGAGCCGCCTCCACCCGGTCGTAACACCCTTGTGGAAGAATTTGAGCAAATGATCAAGCAAGAAGAGGACGAGGAGTCTCCCAGTCGAACTGATGTTCCATTTCCTATCTCCACTGCCCGTGATCTTGCTGTCGAGGTTCAAAAGGTTCGAGACCACCGTGATCGCTTCCGGATTCCCGCCCGCACTGGTGGTGTGGCCCCGGCGGTCAGTGTATGCATGTTCACTTTGCACAACACGTTCGACTCGTAAGTCTTCAAACCTTTTTATTTATTCGTTTATTTTACCTGGAAGATTCACTAACAAACATCTAGGGTGAATTGCGTTGACATCTCTGACGACAATACACTCATCGCAGCTGGCTTTGACCAGTCGTTCATTCGGGTATGGAGTCTCGATGGCAAGGCTATCAAACCAGCCTATCCGGAAATGGATGAGGATACACCTCCTGCTAACTCTCACCGTTTGATTGGTCACTCGGGTCCTGTCTTTGCCGTCGCTTTTCATTCCGCTGCAACTGGTGAAGAGAATGTGGATCGCGAATCGAAGGATTATTCTCCAACTAATCCTCGATGGTTGGTCTCAGCCTCCGAGGACAAGACCATTCGTCTATGGTTCCTTGATACATGGCAGTGCATTGTTGCTTACAAGGGTCATGATCGCCCCGTCTTCGATGTGCGATGGGGACCCTTCGGACATTACTTCGTTTCAGGCGGTAGCGATCGAGCTGCGCGTCTCTGGGTCTCGGATCATATTCGTCAACGCCGCATTTTTGTTGGTCATGACCAGGATGTAGACTGCGTCTGCTTCCACCCTAACTCGGCTTACGTCTTCACGGCTAGTAGTGACAAGTCAGTCCGCATGTGGGCTGTCACTACTGGAAATGCAGTGCGCATGTTTACCGGCCATACAGGCCCGATCACAGCACTTGAATGCAGTCCTAATGGCAAGATTCTTGCCTCAGCTGATACTCAGGGCTCCATTTTCTTGTGGGATCTGGCACCGGGTCGACTCTTGAAGCAAATGCGTGGTCATGGAAAAGGTGGCATCTGGTCCCTCAGCTTCAGCGCTGAGTCTACTGCTCTGGTTTCTGGTGGTGCAGATGGCACCGTGCGTGTTTGGGATGTGGCCGGTCCCCAGGATTCGACCCAAGGTCGCGTCGTCAATGATGGCGCTTCAATCTCGAAAATCGACGTCTCCAACACTGCCGCTGGTTCCTCTGGTCAGGCAAAGAAGAAGAAGGGTAAGGACGTCGTTGTTAGTCCCGATCAGATCAGTGCTTTCCCCACGAAGAAGACACCCGTCTACAAGGTGAAGTTCACTTCTATGAATCTGGTGGTTGCGGCTGGTGCCTATCTTCCATAGATCTATCGATCATTGATCTTTCATATTGTTACTCTCTTCGGCAAAAATACCCTGGCATTGCTTTTCTTCATTTTCTTTTGGCCCTTTGCGTCAAATTGCCTATCTTCCATAGATTTCTCACTCTTTTGTGACGGGATCTGGCGTTGGGGAACTTATGACTTGATCTTGGTGTTATGGTGGACGGTGGCGCGATTTCTGATTGAATTTTTTTTGTTTGTTTGTTTCGTTCTACAAAGCAAAGCCCTGAGCCCTTGTGTTCCCATCATACCTAGGTATCGATGGTGGCTACGTTTTGGATTTGGTTTCTCCTGACAGATTCGACTATGGGCTGCTAGCCATTTGAGGCTTCATGCGGCCCTCCTTGTTGAGTCATGAGTCCTTTGACTTGCCTGAGACCGAGACCGAAATTAGGTAGCCATGTGGTTTTAGTTTCTTTTGACAGATTCCACTAGGGGCTGCTGGCCATCTCAGGCCTCATGCGCCCCTCTGTGTTGAGTTAGTTGAGATTGAAACAGAGACTGAAGTTACGTGAGGTCGCTGTGTGGTTTTCACTTTTTTGTTTTGACTTTCCTTGTTTTTTAAAAAAAGAAATTACCAATTACTTCAATTTTTGAGTTCCTCCTTAACTTTCTAAGTACTCCTAGTCAATGATGATCATGATTCAAGTTATACTAACATTTGAAACTTGGAGGTCCTAGTTCAATCTTTTATCATAATCTACAAAGAGTCTCAAGGAAGTTGGTCACTACTAGTAAGATTTAATTACTGGCAGGGGAACTCTCTCAATTTGCCAATATTCACCAAGTGCTTCAAGTTTCATATGAAATTGCTATCTACTTCAGCTGCCCAATCATACCTGAAGCCCCAGCGCCTTTCTTCATTGCAGCAGCAGCTTGCATATCTGCTACTTTAGGGGGAAGTACTAAGGCGCTGCGGTCATTGCGTTTATAAAAGTCCGCAAGCACCTGAGCTGTCTTGATAGGCTGATCTTCTTGTACAAAGTGGCCCGCCTCGGGAAATACCTGGAGTTGGTATTTTCCTGTGAATGATATCAGTAAAGTAGGATGAAACCAGTCATGCTGTGGGATTTGTGTTACCTTGCATTTGACCGATCATAAGTTCTTTATCCAGTCTGTCGGTTCCAGCTAGAAGTAAGAGCTTTCCTCCTCTCGCTTCGAGAAATTTCTTGCTTAGGCCGATAAACCAGTTCTCCCAGAATGGTTTCGTTTCGGAAAGGTTAGTGCGCCAGACCCAGGGCCAGGAGGGATCACTGGGAGAGGTTTCTTCGTATATCAGGGAAGGAACAGAGGCACGAGCAGAATTAGTGTTTCGAATGGTTCGAGAGCGGGTGCTGTGTATTATGACAATTAGTATTGAATGAATGTATGCAGAGAATGAGCAAGAATGGGAGTGACTTACTGCCACTCGATTCCTGCTTCTAATGAAGGAAATCGCGTTGGTCGAGTTGACAGATATTTCTCCATGCTTTGGAGAGCATCCATGGCAGATCCTACATGTGCTGATTAGATGGAGAACAATAATGGTATTGGGGATATAACTCACCCTCCACAACATCCAACACAGCATATGCCAACAATTTCGGACCTAACTCCCCATTCTTAGCCACATCTGTGATGACAGCTCCTCCAAGACTGTGACCCACAAGTAGAATGTCTGGTAACTTGTCCCATTTCATTCGCTCTTGGGTCTGGCGAATTACGTGAACCACGTCTTTGCTGAGAGTTCCCAAAGTCAAATCCAGTTGAACTTGATCATTAGCTTCTACCTGTGCAGCGGCAGCAGTTGATGGTGTTTGTTGCTCCGTTTTGGTAGTGGTTGTTGTCGTGCGACCATGACCTCTTGCATCGATGGAGAGAATCCCGGCCTTCGGAAGGATCTTCCGGATCTCGTCTGCGCATGTTGCAAATGAAAGACCCGATGAGCCTGCTCCATGGTGCATGACAAAGAGTGGTCCTGAGTCCTTTGGTGAAGTAAGATACACGTGATGGAGGATGTGTAAACTGTCTGATTCTTGAGCTAGGAAGAGCTCCTGTTCAAAGAAATCTGTCCATGAACATGATTGGGATGACTGGCTGAGAATGAATTAGCCTTTGTATTCCGAGGTAATAATTTCAATATTTTAAAGTCTCGCATTAGGCATAATATAGAGTAGAGGAGGCTTTGAAGAGTTGATATAATATGGGAGATAAATTGGGCGGAGAGACCAACGTGTGTTTTGTTCGGGCAAATAGATGTCTTGTCGGGGACGGCATTAGCGTGCCGGTCGATGACAGCGACGAGGTTGACGAGCTATCGTCATCGTGACCCGGGTGATGGGCATACATCGCATCCGACATTGGTACGTCGGATGGAAATTTCGCCAATTTAGACTTGGCGAAGGATTTCTGGAGCTCGCTCATGGAGTGCGGGGTGGCCCGTCAATTGTACACCAGAATATCTTCAAGAGTTGGTGGTGCGTTTTGTTGATTCACAGAATGTCGGCCAAGCTAGGTTTACAGGAGGAAATCGAGAGAAATTATCTGGACCAGATAAGAGATGGATGCCCCTTGAATTATCAGAATGAATCCGAGTCATTGAAAGGAACTTGAACTAGCACTTGAGTTGATAGCTGGAGGTGGAGATTGATCTGCTGACTAATGGCCACCAGTTGAGTGCCCAGTTGAAGGATACATTTTGACTATTCTTCGAGAGACTTGATATAGAGAACAAGAAATTTAAAGTAATAGTACATCAAGTATGTGAATACTGCATGTGAGCTTGATCATACCTAGTCATATTTTACTTATATGGGGCTTCACGATTGCGGCTCAAGTGGCTCACCAGGCCAATCAGGGTGGACGACTGGAAGTAATACATGCACCATGAACATTGAAAATTACATGGAAAATACCCAGACTTGTAGGCACTGATTTTTGGCATTGAAATAAATTGGAATCGATACTTTATTATCCTTGAATTTCTTATGGAAGGGTGAAAGTGGCGGTGTCAGGGAGATCTCTGTATGTATGAGTGCCCGTGCGACAGTACTAGCAAAGACACTGGCGACGAAAATAGCAGTTGACATTTGGGACGATAGAAAATTTTAGGAGGAAAATGCTAATTAAATAAAGGGAATCTACTATGTTCAGCGAAAAAAAGAAATCAGTTTAGATCAATATATGGATATGCTGGAGAGTGTGATTGAGCATACTTTCTATACAACTGGGTATTCCCCCAAACTTGAAGCTGGGATTCCCCTTGGGTGTACTATTATGCACATGTGTACTACCTATTTGATCTCAAATATTAGAATCTTATTCTTATCTGTAAATTCTATGTACTAGTACTTGTTCTCATATTCATTGATATCTTGATAATAAATGTATGACGTCACTTCCATAGTCAAGTTATTCAATCTTGGCAGGTGATCTCCCCTTGATACTACTATATAGAACTGCATTCAAATGTTCTGGATTTCAAGTTTGCTATCAAGTCCTTCTATCCCACAGGAGTTGAAAAATAACCTGAATCCAAAATGACCTCTTTATGGGGACATTCAAAGGATGGCCCAGACAGAGCGGAGCAATCTACTCAAAGCACTGATCCAGAAGATGACGAGAATGCGAGCTTTCAAGAACCAACCGAGCGCACGAGATTGCTTCATCCAGAGCCTGACCATGGATTCTTAAGCCCAGATGACCCAGCTGTAAGTGGATCTACACTCTCTCCATCAGCACGATTTGAACATCATTGACATAAGGCATCAGGTATCACCTTACAATCTATGGACTGTACGCGCTTTACGCGGACTTTCGCTGGCTGCTTTGGCCATTAGCTTCGTATGGTGGACTTTCTTACTAGTTTCCATCTTCGTCAGTCCTCCGTTGATGCATCCTCGGGGATCAGGCTTCTTCGCCTTTTCATACACAACATTAGCAACTGGATATTTAGTCCTCGGCTTGCTATTTTTCTCTGTTCCATCAAAACCAGTAACTATTTGTGGCTGTGTTACCACCGTGTTTCTTTTGGTCAATATGATCATAATCTTGGCCGTGCCTCGAATTCGACTTGAAGAAGGCTGGGTTGGTATCGCGTCCGTCGTTTGGGCAACTGCGATTGCCTTGTATCGGATTATCCAGAATCGTGCTGTTGCATGGGGCAAACGAGAGGAAGAAGAGCGACTGACTGGACGGGAGGAAACACGCCGCTCGTTAAGAGAATGGTTGGTCGTACTTGTTCAGATGGTTGTTCTAGTCATTATGACTCTTGCGACCATTCTGTTCACTGCGACATTGACTCTCCGTTCTGGTGATGCATCACTAGAACCTACCGGTCATCGGTACTCCGTTCATGGTGATATCTATCAGGTACATCTCGCTTGCGTCGGAAATCGTACCGACGAGAACCCGCACGAGCCTACCATTCTGCTCGAAGGAGATTATGGACCTGTTGAGCATAGCTTGCAACCATTCGTCAACGACGCGTATCTGCACGGGGCTATAAGCCGATATTGTTATTGGGATCGTCCGGGAATCGGGTGGTCTGATAATGCGCCATCACCTCATTCAGCGGGAATGACGGTAGATGTTCTCTCCGAAGCGTTGGCTTTGGCAGGCGAGACCGGCCCCTGGGTTGTTTTTTCAGCGGGAATCGGCAGCCTATACTCTCGGCTCTTCGCAAGTCGCCATCTTCTAGAGGTCAGTGGTATCTTCCTCATCGACCCGTTACATGAAGCATATCTGGATGATGTTGGGAAACCCAATCGCGGATTCGTTCTTTGGCTCCGAGGTATACTTTCGCCTTTGGGTCTGGATCAACTGGCTGGGGCTTTGGTGCGTGGTCGCTCTCGTGAAGATCGAGTCATTGGACGCTCGGCATATCAATCTGGGAAGTTTATCAAGGCGAAATTGCAGGAAAATCTGGTGGCGGTTACCATGACTGCGGCGGAGGTACAATCTGCGCGTCATATCCAAATGGGAGACACTCCTGTGGTTGTGGTTAGTTCTGGGCAGGAGATGCAGAAAGACCCACGCTGGGCTGAAAGACAGGAGGATCTGTCTCATATTACCAATAAGCTTCTCTCATGGGATATTGTACATGATGCTCCTCATGAGGTATGGACAGATACAGAAGGTCGCCAGATTTTGGAGAGGAGACTTCGGGATATTGTGACGGAAAGCCAGCGCGGTGGCTTCAAGTTTGGTCAATCCTAGGCAGGTTTTATGATTCTTTGTTAGGTATCTAGTACTGCTACTATTAACTGGATGCTGGTGGCTCGGAGTTTACCGGTTATGTTCGACATCCATGGATGGCCACATATATGCACATTTAGGTTGAAATTCAGTCTTTAAAAATTGATATCCAATGGTAATTGACTAATAATCTGATTCCTGCGCACTAGCTGTCATCCTGTATAGACCTTAGATAGACCTCTTTTCCTACTTCCAAGGTTGGTCACAGTGGTTTTTCAAGTTTCCTCACCGTCTGGTAGAACCTTGGAGTACTCAGAGACCGTAGATTTACCACCTGCAATAGACTACTAGTATATTTTTCTTTTATTCATTACATCTAAACATGAGTATACCCCTCTTCATTCAGCGATGTCTTACTTTTGGATATCTCTTAACATCGGCTTTCTCTCACTTCAGATGTCCCTAGGGTCGCCGGTTACCTATATCCAATTATGTAGCAGTTAGCCTTCCCCTCCAGGTAATCATATAAGGTAACCCAGTAGGAGACCCAGTAGGTAACCATGTAGGTACTTACATCGATGCAAAGAGGTGTAGCTCATCACTCACCTGTATATGCTACTGACTCGGACTGAGCCCTGTACTTAAGTAGTATGTGAACATCCCTGTCCGAGAGGATGTAGACACATCCGAGTCTGGCCAAGCACTCACGTGGCGAGGACATACATTTCCCAATTTACATCATCGCTTTCAGGTTGTCTGAAATAGTATCCCATCTTCAATTTTGAATATCATGATCATAATTTAAAATATGCAGGCCCTATATGAGGGATACCGGACTATGACTGGAAGGAATGCCTTGCGACCAAAAACCACCGATCTAAATAAACTCCATCCCATTCATCCTCAATATCATAATACCATCGCTATTCGTTCACACAACAGTCGGGTTGAAAGGGTGAGATATTGGGAGAAATATTAATCGAGAATGGATGAGTCTAGCCTGCATCGATAAACAGGAACCCTAAGACAGCATAGGAGGCAAGCGGAAAACCGAGGAAAGAGGATCCATTTAGTGGTAGAAGAGACCGAATGGCAAGTACAAGCCCATTTATTTTAGACTAGTTCCCTTGAACCTTTTAGCAAGTTGTTCACCGTCGGACTTGGGGGACATGGAGCGGGGGGAATCGACAGCGGGTGATTGGGTCCGCCGCTCAGAATCCGCCGCTGTAGGCCAGGGCCGCTTAGGGGGGGCGCTCACCACTCTCTTGAAGAATCGTCATCAAGGTTGCCCACCCGGGGGTATTCAGTAGTTGGATTCCATCGGCGGGGGAGTGGGATGTGGCAACTCGGCAAAGGAGACCTTCTTCATCCTATTTTTTAATATATGTTAGTGACTTATCTGGCTTGTGATTTCGGGCTAAGTATGATAAGTCATCATCTACTTTGCACCAGAGAGACGAACCTTGCTGAATGTAGAAAGTCCATGCAGGAAGCACAAGAGATGAAAGTCTGAAATGCCCTGAATCGCTCTGTCTGGGTCGGTCGGGGACATAATCTTCTCGGCCACATGGCGTAACTCTTGACTCTCGCCGATGATCTCACGGTTGGCGATGGGGAAACGGGTGGTTGTGAAAAGAGGGTTGGACTCGGTTGGGAAACCGTGTGTGAGTGTTACCAGTAAGAAATCGACGGGGAAGCTTGGCTTTGCGTTTTCTTGTACACTAGCACCATGTTCGTTGATTCGACGGAAGAAAACCTCGGGGATGTATCTGGTTCTGCTCCCAACATCCTCATCCTCTTCGGACTGCACCAACATGACGGATGGGTCTGCAGATGGTTCGACGATATCCGCTCGAACCATCTCCGTCGCCGAAACTGTGGCCTGGTATGAACTGACTGCAATAGCTCCGGTGTCATCGCCACTAAGAACGCAGGTAACAAAGTCCGAGCCAAAACGTCCAGTTCGGCTCCACTTAGTTGCTTTAGGGTTTTGTGCCTGAAGGCGGGCAGCAAATGCAATTTCAAGAGAGGATAGGAAGTAGGAATCAATGTGACGCTTGCAGACCACAGTGCCATCTCCTTGGCCCGCATCGATGAGATCTGTGAAGATCACACCGACCTTCTGCAGCCCACACATCCGCGCCACTTCGTCCACCTCTTGTTCATTATGCCATTCATGAAGTGTGACGCCGTCGATTTCTCCGACTTGTGGGGGCTCGTAGATTGCCTGAACAACAGCCTTGACACCCAACGGCACTTCCTTGTATTCCTCGTATGTTCCGTAAAGAAATCCGAGTCGCTGGGAACCTGATTTGCGCCAGAAGTCCAATAATGAATTGATCAGGTCCGGTGTTGAGAACTCAACGTGATCAACCATGCGAAATTCCTGGGGTTGTAGACTGATGGCACTGGGTTGACATTTGGTGCAAATTCCATCGGGCCACGAAGGGTGTCTGGACGGGCAATCTTTCCGGACCCGATAGAAGGGCTCGCTTAGTGGAGGCATAAAGGAACTTTTGATCTCGGGCTTATTGGTGGCTGCGTTGATCTTGTGCAAGTAGGAGTGGAATGAAAGATGTTTGATCTTCTTCTCGGATAGATAATTGGCATCGTATGGTTCCAGAGGCATGCAATAGTCACACATGCCTTTCGGGCCATGCTTGCACATGCGTTGATCTTTGTTTCGTTTAATCTTGCCATCTGTCTTGTCAAGTAAATCGTCAAGCGGTGACTGTTTCACCACATCCCATGGGTTCTTGATATTGAGTGTAGGCGAGGTGGGTTGGGCACGAATAGGAATCGTCTGTTCTTGAGGCACCGGTGTGCCATTCAATCGACGCTCAGTGGGTGTTGCTTGTCCGTTCGGGTGGCCATTTTGCTGCGCTGTGCGGTCTTGATATCCCACGAAGAGCTTATCACCATGTCTGAGGAAGATATAATTTTAGCGACAAATTTAGACTGGCACCAAAGCACAACTACTACTGACTTCAAGCCAACCTGGCCAATGGGCACTCCACTTAGCGCTTGTAGCTCTCGCTCTTCCCCACCCGTACCTATTGGCTTATTTGAAAGGGTAAGGGATGCTGGTTCGGTATCTGATGGTAGATTCTCAAGGATCTAGAAACGCAATGATGTCAGAGCCAATGTTGGGGTATATATTGGTGGAATATATTGGTGGGTGGGTGCCTGTATATACCTTTTGTTGAAGAGTGGGAAAGAGATCGCTCGGGTTAACAGTGATACGGAACTGGCCGTTTCGACTCTCAAACCGAAGCAGAATAGGCCTGGCGGCCATGGTTGGTAGTTGCGTGAAAAGAAGAAAAAGAAGGTCGGAAGTTGATCGGAAATGAACCGGGGGTTTGGAAGGTATCTGATGAGTGTAGAGAGTAGTAGAAGCAGATAGAGCTGTGATGGAGCTTGTTCTGCAGTCACGTCACAGTTAGTGCTGGGCGGTGTACGGAGTATACGGCGGTGTATGTAGTGGGCGGTATGGTTATTAGATAACCATCGTTCCTATCTAAAGTTGTTGTAATTCTGTGTAATATTTGTATTTGAATTACACTAAGCCCCTCTACTTCCAGGAAAGGTGTCATTCATTTCTTAGGGAGTGATATACCGCAAAATTAAAGAAAAGTATTCACTTGGCTAGCTATAAACCTCTGTTAAATGGACACTCCGTATCACAATAAGCCTTAGATGTATGCAAGCACTTATATTTACATACTCAGCTGGGCTGTTAGTCGTATCTGTAGATGAATGGTTACCTACTCCTTTATGTATGAAATACCTACAGGGATACCTGCATGAGCATATAGATAATACAAAGAGGAATACCTAAGGGGTCAGTTAAGTGTGAAGTTGCACATGTGTTTGAGGAGGAAAATAGAAGTAGTTAGGTTTGAGGAAATTGAAGCTCCAAATTTCATTGAATATCTCTCCAGATTACCCTATTAATGAGTAAAATTCATAGACCCATATCATCATAATTGAAACGCCGTCTAGAACGCCTACCACCCAAAGCCACAGTTTAAGAAAAGTACAAAAGGTCAAATACAGCTATATTCCACCTAGAGCATGGTGCACTTGTTGGGCAAACCGCATGGTCCTTCCTTGTTCTTCTCCTTAACCGCTGGCTGGGTAGTTTGTTGCCCCTGTGACGGCGTAGTCTTCTCCTGAGTATCTCCCGTGGTGGGAGTGGTGTTCTCGGGTTTCGACTCGCCACTACCATGCAGTCACTGGTGGGCCTTGGCAACGGTCTCGTAGAAGGCCTTACCCTGAATCTCGGCAATCTCAAGCTCAAGAGCAGAGGGCTGGCGGGAACCATCGGGACCCTAGGTTAACTTGTTAGTAAGAAGGTCTAGAGATTCAAAGACAAGGAAGAGTTATTGATGCTTACAGCGAAGGTACCGGCACCCCAGGGGCTACCACCGTGGATCTCGGTGAGGTTGGCCAGCTGAGCGAAGCTGTGCTTGTAGCCCAGAGGGACGTAGACGAAGCCATGGTGAGCGAAGGTGCTCATGGAGGCGATAGCAGTGGACTCCTGACCACCACCGAGAGTACCGGTGGAGATGAACAGACCAGCGTACTTGCCAGCGTAGCCACCAGTGGCCCAGATGGAGCCAGAGGCATCCCAGAAGGTCTTCCACTGAGCGGGGAAGTTACCGTAACGGGTGGGAATACCGAACAGGATGGCATCGTACTGCAGAAGGTCGTTGGGCTCGGCAACGGGGTAGTCGGGCTTGGGAGGGGCGTGCATCTTGGTCAGGACCTCCTGGGGGAGAGTCTCGGCGATCCTAAATAGATTGTTAGTGGGGGGAATTCGGAGTCAATTGGATCTCAATAAGCATTGCTCACTGGAAGATGTCGGCCTGGCCACCAGCAGCCTCAATACCCTTCTTCTCAGCCTCGGCCAGCTTCTGGATGTGGCCGTACAGCGAGTACTATTGAAAAGGAGGGGTATGTTAGTCAATTGACCAGGTAGGCAGATCCAGGAATTTTAGATAATACGTACGAAGACGATAGCAACCTTGGGAGCCATTTTGAATTATGGTAGAAGGATGAAATTGAAGTGAGGTTCAAATGTTTGGATGATAAGCCAAAGTAGGCGGGGGAGACAAGGTAGCTTTATAGGAATTCAAGGTGCAATTGACCCCACCTCTCTCTCTAACGCATTTTTAATAAGTTCTTGGTAACTTCAGCGCCATACAGTGGAATCAGAGACACCATGGGCAACTAGTACCGATTAGCAAGCATATTAAAGCTTCACGCAACCGCATCAGTAATAGATTACATAGCGATGGAGTAGAATTATTGGTGGAAGAGTCTCCACTCGGCTTTACACGGGTTTAGTTTGGTCTGACAGATCTCTGACAAATGTCACAATAATCACTTTTGGGGGCTTAAAGGATGCTTCCAGGACTTGTTGGGTTAGACAACACGGAATTAACTATAAGTAAGAGTCTACTAAGATTTTGTTAATCAATCAATGCATAATTATTGAGAGATCTTCGTCTTATCTCGTCTTTTTACACCCCTATGATCTCAACCCCCCCCCCCTCTTTACCACCTACTTGTTAGTGATGTCATGGACTTGAGACTCGAGATTATACGGAATTTCCATTGCATTCTTAAGCACAAAAAATGTCTTGAAGCCAGCAAATGACGATTCCCCGCTATGGTAATGCAATACGACCTGAGAACGGTCCGGATATGCAGGCACGTAGGGTCTGGCCAATGAAGACAGTGAGTGGGGCATGGATTCTACGTAAATAATTGAAGCCCATTAAATAGTTTAGGTTAAAACCCAAAGATCAATTTGCATGGTACATGAGAAAACTGTTGATGATGATGAAAATCGGGGTATCGTGAAGTCCTATCCTTGAGGACCTGTAAACATGATGAAAGAACAAGCAGGAGAAATAGCAAAACAGATAAAAATGTAAACCCATGCCCCTCGCACCATGGAAATGCTGCTATGCAAAAATTGCAAAATGTAGTCCCCTTTTTCCCCTCCTTTTTTGTTATCCCCCCAGCATTAACCCCTGCCTCGACCACGGAATCGCCCTCGCATGAAGCCACCGCCACGTCCTCGTTCGTTGCGCCATTCACGCTCACGTTCCTTCTCTCGCTCCTGCTCTTCTCGAATGAGGGCCCGCTCATGCTCTAATTCTTCTTCCGTCTTCTCCGTTCGAATTGTAGGTCGAGGTAGATTCTCAGTCCAGCGGGGGTGGGCATCGGCACAGGCTTTGCCCTCAGGGCAAAATCCAGACAAATAGAATAGGCAAAGGCGGCGGCGAACGTGTCGCTTGGCACAGAGAGATCCAAGTTCACAGAATCCACGATCATAGTGCTCACAGGGTGGAAGACGAGCTTCTTCACGGACGTGTTGGTATAGGCAATCGTCGCCGTTGGGACAGTATCCGCTTCGTGAGAATGATTGACATTCTGGCATGCGTCGAAGGTTGTACTCGTGCAGATACTCGCACTTCAACCCCTTTTTGCAGAGTCCCTTGAGGAAATGTTTGCAGACCAAAGATCCGTGCGTTGTTGATGGTGCCAGGCCAGAGGCTGTAGTGGTGGATGTAGTAACGCGAGAAGGGGTAGGGTGTCGATCTGGGCAGGCTGGACCGAGGGGACAATGTCCTTCACCGTAAGCCTTACAGACAGGCACATCGCTTGCAAGGCCGAATCCGAAACTTTTGCGCAGGAAAGGAGTGAACGAGAAATCGTCGTAGCTTGGGTCGCGTGTGGACTCAGCGGAGAGGATGCGCGCAGCGGCGCTCTGGACCTCAGCTGTCATGATGGGTTGGGATATGATAAGATGAAGAAATTGTGTCCGCTGGATGAGAAATTATGAGATTTTTAGGGACACAATGAGGAGAGAAAGAGTAGCCTTTCAAACGCTCGCGATCAAGACATCAAGGCAACGGACTCGGAGGTGAATGCATTAATAATTCCATGTTTGAGATGTTTGCACTCTAGTGAATTGCTTAGTAATGAGCATCATTTGCGGAATCTTGGAACCTTGGAATCAACTGGACAACCTCCTATCTAATTCTGGAAGTCCTTACATTGATTGAAATATTCAAATTCACTCTGACATTTATAATACAGCTTGCCCAACTAACTATTCCAAAGAACAGCGCATCCCGAGTTGCTGATCCATCACATCATGCACCATTTGTTCCATTGAACGCCATCTCAGCCCCAAATCAACTTCAGACTTGCTACAATCGATTTGCACGAATGGGACACATGCCTCGCCCTTCATATCTCCTGTAATTTTTGAACCAGAGCTTGGATAGTCACGATGAACAATATCCGCAACCTCCTTCCATGTGGCTTTGTTTGGTGCAAGAAGATACTTCGACCCGTCCAGCACTTTACCATCCAAGGCCATCAGATGAGCGTCTACAACATCATCAATATGCACACAATTGAGGCTGGCATTCTGTGTGCTTTCCATAATTGCTTCCCAAAACCCACCATTGGATGAATTTTTGACATCTTCGGCCGTCATTTGCATGGGATTGTACCCAAATGTATAACCTGGGTAGAGCACCACCAGCCCATAGTGCGGGTTCTCGTTTTTCCAAAAATCCCAGGTGGCTTTATTGGATAATAATTTAGAAGCATGATAAATATTCAGGGCTGTTGCCGCCGGATTGCCTGGAATGGTAAAGTCCGCAGCTTCGTTTACCCCCAAATCCCAATCATTATCGTCTAGAATGGTCGTATGAGCTCACATACGAAACGGATGCGAATATTCCAAAACTCACCTTTCATAACGGTACCAGCAGGAACACCGGTCATAGGAACCAATGCAGCAAGCGACGAAGTGACCACCGCTTTCTTGATAGTCGGAACTCTGGTTGCTTCGCGTAGAATGGTGGTGGTGACGTTGACAGCTGGCGAAAAGTATTCTGTTTTGTCCACGCCACGGGGAAGAGGAGAGGCTATATGGATGATATAGTTCGCCCCATCCAACTTTCCTTCCAAAGCGGCCTCGTCTGCCAAATCTGGAACAAAGACAAACTGGACATGGTCGAGATATGCCGATAGCAGGGTTGTTAATCTCTCACATGGCTTTCGAAGGCATAATCGAAGTCGATATCCACGCCTTAAGGCTTCGAGGGCTGTAGCGCTGCCAATGTACCCAGATGCACCTGTGAGGAATATCAACTCCCTAGACATCATTGAGACTCTTGAGAGTGTGAAGATGAAGGCGGAAGATTAAAATGCCGGTGGATAATTTTGCCGATTCGGAGCTTGAGCCTCTGAAAGGATCAGGATTTCTCCAAAGTTTAAATATCAATGATGAATTCGTAGATCCGACCTCGGTAGTAGTCTCTAGATGTAGCTTTTGACACCAGGTGACCACTCCTGACATTACCTGAGTAGTATGAAGGGGTTCGATGCAAGGGCACCCGACTCTGATTAATAAATACTAGGTAGTATTAACTATAGTACTACTACTATTACCTACCTAGGTACTACATGACTTATTTACCTCCAGGGCTTGTACTTCGGGCCTACTACTTTGTAAATCCATTAATCAGAACACTGATAGTTCCTATCGCTTCAGGGCTGTGGAACGCAACTGGGGTAACCTGAATACGAAGATGTACCACTCGATTCATCCGAGTACGACCATAATACGACTCAAGAGTTGTTGGTAGGTAGCTAGCTAATACTTGTGGTAACTTGAATAATCGATCCGAATTTCAAACACTTGAGATCAAAGATCATTGACATACCTGAGATTGAACAATGCCCAAGCACTACAGGGGCATGGATGATATCACGATGCTGATACCCAGAAGCACATCCTCCACGGCTATGGATCCAGCACACAGATATCATATTTTCGTGTGTTCCAGATGTCTGCCAAAGTGCAAGCATCCTGATTAGGTATTCAGTGTCTGAGTTTTTCCCGCATGTGCAGGGCTCTCGTGTTCAAGTTTTGGTCCGGATTAGTCCTCTCAACGACTATCGATGCAGATGAAAGACATGTTTGCTAAGTTGGTTCGGATAAAAATTGACTAGCCATGATTCTATGATCAGGTCCCTTCAAGTTGTGAATTGGAATTGATTGTCGCATAGACCGCTGTTTGGGACACCGTACCTGTGACATGGATATACATACAACACTGAAGCCCATCGATACCTGAGGCAGATAGGTCCTCGTATCAATTCTTATTCAGGTATCGTGACGTTTTGTTGCCCAACTTCAAGGTCCAAAATTCAATAGAAATCATGGGCGGGGATCGGATAAAATCAACCATTTCAAGTCGATTTGGAAGGCATATGTGATTCATTTAATCCATCATGAGATTAGAAATCAGGACGCCAGGGTCGTCGAGGTGGTGTAGTAATAGGTTTTATGCATGGACACTACCTAGTATACTAGTCCTGCAAATAGAAGTGGTGACCATTATTATTATTTGAAAATACGTACTATTCACCGTGTACCATTAGTCCCAGTGTTTCGGTTCTTCACAACTTGCTGGTCGAGCGCCGAAGGATTTTGGATGCCTTATTCTCAGACCAAGTTCAAGTCCTAGTTCTAGATCGTATAGACGAACGACCAATTGAGTACTGCTCAGGTGACTTGCCCAGGTGGTACCTGATGACCTACCCAATTATTGATTCAGATCTTCAGATATCTCTAGTCGCTCAATCTTTCGAATTGTTGACATTACTCCGTAGAGAGCTTGCAAATGTGAGGGTTCAAGGCGGTAATAGCAGGATGGAAAAATCAAGGGGGCGTAATTTTAACAATCCGCAGAGGGCGCTTACTAGTCAAGGATCAACCAACAAGTTTACTATTGGTCATATGTGATTCGTCGATTGCGATTACGGGTGACTTGCTTGTCACTTGCATGAAACATTTCGCGGGGAAACAGTAAGGGGTTGACGCATGCCCCAGAGCACCGCCTCACCCTAGTCCATCTTGGGGCCAATCACACTCACTGCAGGCGATCCGAGCCTCGAGTCCAGAATAAAGAAGAATGTTAAGGAAAGAATCGGAGCGAGAAACAAACCAAAGAAAAAAAGCAAACATTCTTGAACCAACGTGGCGCTCATAACTCTAGTCAGTTCAGCCGGTCCACATTACGACTGGACGCCCCGTCAACTCAAACTGCGAAGGGCATATTCCACGATCTTGACGCAGGACCCGAGGACCCGCATCTCGCATCTTGTTTCCTTTTAGCCCATGAAGGGGAAAGGAGGTTGCCTGTGCAGATCTAGCGCTATGATCCGCAAAATTTGAACTCTCTATATTTGAAGAGTCTGGTGCATAACGACGATCCACGTGTCGGATCCAATTGGACAAATTGAAGGTCGTCTGATCAGGCTGACGAGGGGGACTGTGTTCAATCTCACCGCACGTCATAAGTGGAACAAACCAATACGCCCCAAAGGCGCCAGTAGGGAAGTGGAGCGAGATCTCCGTCTCGAGTGAGCACTTGCCAGATTGGCATTTGTCGTGGATTCTCATCAATTGGTTCCCTCGGACCTTTCTGTTGTTGTTGATCCTTGCAAAAGTGTCCATCATGCAAGAATAATAATATGCTGTAGTATTTTTGCCCCATCCAGATGCCTGGTCTAGGCCTAGCCTGTTATTCGCCCCCGCACTCAGAGAGGTCTGGCTGACTCTCGCGTTTCTCGGATGCATCCAACCTGCGGATCGTTCACACAGAGTGTGGGGTCATTGAAAATGGCAGCCTCCACTTTTTCGGTTCTTTAGTCTCCGGTGATGTGTGAATCTCAATCTCAATCTCCGATGAAGGATTCAAACAAAGCTCATCCAATCGTTAGAGTCGAATATCAAATTAACCACATACCCTTTGAGTCCACGTGACATCTTCCTAATCAGGAAAGACCGGAGCCAATATTAGTTTCATGCTTTTTTCTTTCTTTTCAATGATCTCTGCCCCAGCTTGGTACTTGCTTCTGATTTGAGCCCTTGGTTTCTCTTTCCCTTACTTTGTGGTCTCTGGGAGAGGTTATGGTATGAGACATGTTTACAGCTGCTACCAACTTCTTTCGCCGACGTCCCGTCACTGTGGCTGACCCCGCCATCTGTGGTTCTCCTGGAACTTACGAGGTCCCCTTATACACAAATGCCGCATACTATCCGAACTGGAGGGTTTACAGAAAACAACCACCTTCATCCTTGCGATTGGGCTTCATTTCACATGTATTCTACTCTTTTGCTTGGTATGTCAACAGCCAATCATCGGCAGTGAGACCTATAGATAAACGAATACGCTAATCTCGATTCGGTATCCTTGCAGGGTAAAAGAAGATGGAACTGTTTTTGTAAGTGATTCTTTATATTTATGCTATGCATATTCCATTGATGTCCGAGTACTAACGGAAAAACCGACATAGTTGAGCGATGAGTGGGCTGATACTCAAATGCCGGTGGATGGCACCGAAGGATGCCTGCGGGCCTTTGTGCAGTTGAAACAACAATACTCTCAGATGAGAGTTATCCTTTCTGTTGGTGGCGGTGGGAAAGGTAGTGAGAACTTCGCCGCTGTTGCTCACGACCCTTCTCGTCTTGAAACCTTTGTCCGTACAGCCCGCGAGTTGGTTGATCAGTACGGATTGGATGGTATCGATAGTAAGTCAACAGGACTCCCTTCATTTACTGGTGACCAATATGGTAGAAGAATATTTCATTTCTAACATCATTTTTACTAGTTGATTGGGAACATCCTGCCGACTCCACACAAGGAAAGGATTATGTTCGTCTTCTCGCGCGCCTTCGTGAAGTCTTACCCTCTCCATATGTCCTAGCTACGTGTCTCCCTGCAGGTGAATGGGCACTTCAGAATATTGACCTTTCCGCGGCGCATAAGTATCTGGACATGATCAACCTCATGACTTACGATTTCTACGGGCCTTGGGAGCCTGAGACCGGTCACCAGGCCCAGCTTTATGGCACCCCTACCTCATGTTACCTAGCAGTCACTTATATCTTGTCCCAGGGAGTCCCTTCACGTAAGGTGATCCTCGGCATTCCCACGTATGGCCGCTCATTTCTTGCTTGCAATGGACCCGGTCAAAAATATAGCGAGCTTGGTGGCGAGGATGGGGTCTTTGACTACCGAGATCTACCTCGTCCAGAGGCTCAAGAGATTCTGGACAACCAAGCCGGCGCCGCTTATTGTGTTGGTGGAGATGGAGGATTTGTTACCTACGACATCCCTGCTACGGTGCAACAAAAGGCACAGCTGGTGACAACAACAAAGTTGGGAGGTCTTTTCTACTGGCACATCTGCTCCGACTCTCGGGGCCCACGAAGCCTGATTGAAACCGGTTATAACACCTTGCATGATATGTAGGTGATTAGCTTGTATGAAAAAGAAAATCGCTCAGTTTATTCAAAATGTTCAAAATATTACAAAGTGGATTCTCCGATATTCAATCTATAAAACGCATCCGAGTCGATATTCCGTGACCAAGTCGATAGTATACGCGCTATCCATTATACAGAATGTATAACTCAACTTCCGGGATTCGAAGATAAGGGCGATTATTATCGTCAGCTTTGGAGGTGTGTATTGAGTTCAATGTTGATTGATTTCCAATGTTGTGACAATTGGTACCCTCATACTCCATTTTCGGCGATTCCGCGGGTGCTCACTTCCAAGGTTCGTAGATCTGACACCCGAGCGCCGAGGTCCATCTCAACCCCCAAAGTTCCACACCCCCTCATTTCATAAGATCGTCAATTGGCAAATTATCATCTCAAGTTCCCCTCAACTATTAAATTTCAGTGTTTTGTTTGCTTTCTTCTTTCTTTCATAACATCTGAAGAAACTCACTTACAATGTCATCATCGCCCCCCAAGCCTGCGACGGCGGAGAGTGGGTATATCACCCAGCCTGCTGCATTGGAAAACACATATACGTCAGACATATCTCTGCAGCAGTTATTAAAATGTGAGTTTCCTAGGACTTGAACAACGACAGCAGATCATTCTGACACTACAAGGGTATCTTCCATCTGCGACGTTTCAATCAATAGAACCGCACTTCACCCAGCTCGGTGCTGAAGCTGTATCCGAACGGGTACGAGAGTGGAGTGCGGATGCAGAACGAAACCAGCCTTATATTAAAAGTCACAATGTGTGGGGAAAGCGATATGGCTATGACCGACTCATCACAACTGAAGGCTGGAAACAGCTGGGATACTGGGGTGCTCGCAATAAGATTGTCTCAGCGGGATATGACCCTGCTTATGGATCACACCGCAGGACTGTTCAATATACACTGTGAGAGAAGAAAACCTGAGCCTCATGAGATCGAGCAAGATGCGCTGATATCCTTCAAGGAATTATCTCTATTCCCCCTCTTCGGGATTATACTCATGTCCAATCAGCATGACAGATGGTGCTGCTTTTATTCTGTCTTCACAAATTGGAAGCTTACCTTCTGATCATCCATTCCATGCGGTATTTAAGGGGCTTGTCTCTGAAAATGAAGATCACTGGACTTCAGGACAATGGATGACTGAGCGAGCCGGTGGAAGCGACGTGCAAAATACTGAGACATGGGCAACCTACTCTCCACTATCAAATTCCTCTGGCTCAGATCCACTTGGAGAAGGAGATTACTTGATCAATGGATTCAAGTTCTTCTCTTCTGCTACAGATGCTAATGTGGCCCTTCTACTTGCCAAAACCCCATCAGGGAAACTTAGCACCTTTCTGGCTCCGCTGCGAAGAACGATTGTCGACGAGGATGGGTCCTCGCGCCAAATCTCCAATGGTGTAAGGATTCATCGATTGAAAAATAAGCTTGGCACAAAAGAGCTGCCAACCGCTGAACTCGAGCTGCAAAACATGCGCGCTCATCTGGTTGGCGAGCTAGATCAAGGAATTGTAACTATTGCTCCCCTTTTGAACGTCACTCGCATCCATACGTTCGTTGGGACACTTGCTGGATGGCGTCGCGCTATTAGCATTGCCAAGAGCTTTGCTAAAGCTAGAACCACAGTTGGTGAGCCCTTATGGCTGATCCCAATGCATATGCGTCTCCTTGCAGACTTGGAAGTCAAGCATCGAGGATGCATGAATCTTGCGTTCTTTACAATTGCACTTATGGGCTTGGTGGAGTCAAATAACTCACAACCCTCTGATCTCGCTCACCTGCCCCTTCCTGGAAAGGAAGCAAACGTTGTTTTCCGAACTTTAACAGCCACTGCTAAGGCTGTCGTCAGCAAGATGTCTATTGCGGGTATCCAGGAATGTCAGGAAGCGATGGGTGGTGTAGGCTATATGGATGAAGCTGACGAGCCAGAGTTCAACATTTCACGAATCCTGCGCAACAACTCAGTTAATTCGATCTGGGAGGGGACTACAAATGTCTTAGCGAGTGAGATGTCTCGATTCCTCCTCAAGGCCAACAATATGTCCATTTTCTCCTCGTGGCTTGATCGTACCTTAGCGTTGATCCGAACTACAGATCTTCGTGATCCATTGATTGTTGCCTGGTCGGAACTGAAACGTCGTTTCTCTCCAGACAATCAGTCACCCGCTGCTATTCTCGCCGATGCTCGTCGTTATATGTTTACTTTAGCCTGGATTCTCTGCGGTATGCTTTTGGCCCTTGAAGCTGAACAGAACACAGACAGTGTTACTAGAGACATTGCCCGACGCTGGGTTTTAGATGCCGAGGGAGGGGTTGGTGATATGGTCTTCCATGATATTGTTACGGTTCAAAGAACTGGAGCCGCAGTTCTCAATGGAGATCAACATCTGGAGTGGGACTGCAGAATTGCTTGGGGCGTTGAACTTCCAGCAAATCGTGCGTCGGGTCATCGATCTCTACAAACTGCCAATGTATGGGCTAAGCTGTGAAATTCCTATTAAATATGGGCTTCAATTTAAGCAGAATTTATATGTGGTGACTTGAAACATTTGAATCTCTCTCAATTGGAACATCTAGTACTAGCCCGCTCCAGCCCTGGAGTGATACTGCCCGTGTTTTTACTACAAATGTGGGAAAGGTAACCCCAAAATTAGGGCAGTCAACTTGAAAATACTAATCATGAATTATTATCAATGATCTAGATTTTAGATGCTCGGTATCCAGTAGATGCAGTAGCTGGCAGCTCAATACCCCAGACTATTCTGGAGTCCCACTCTGTTCGTTCCTTCTCTGTATGCCGTTTATTCTGAGACGAGGCCAACCGTTGATAGATCATTTCTGGGAATGCGAACTCTCCAGGGAATACCTGTCCTTCAAGGACCCATCTGTGAGCGACTTCGATAGCCACACCATCATTGTCCCGCTGGGCATCAAGAGTGAGTAGTATACCGCAAACCATCCAGGCCAAAGTAAACATAATCTGGCGACCAACACTAAGAAGAGCCACCAAGCCATGGTGACTTTGGCCTGTTGCAAGCTTAGCATTCAGCTCGGCCCAGACATTCGACAATTGAGATTTGAACTCGTCGTCCGAAATTCGGCCGATGATGTCTGAAATCCAGGCATCAAATAAGACCAGATTTTTCTTCTTGGTTAAGTGGCGTACTGTTTCGCTGGCCAGCACATTCGTCGTTCCCTCCCAAACACTATTACTGGCTGTGTCACGCCATAGTCTGCTCACGTTGAACTCTGGCTCTTCGGGCTCATCTGTCATGCTGTCAGTAGAATTCATCATTCAAATAGTGAAGCAAACTAACCGATGTATCCCACACCACCCATAGCCTCCTGGCATTCTTGAAAAGCCAAAGTCGCTGATTTGCAAATCACCGCTTTCGAAGTTGACGTAAAAGCTCGCAACACGACGTTTGCCGCAGTAGAAGAATCTGCCAGAACTGAGAATACGCCTGCTGCCTCTTTCGGAAATCCGTTATCAACATAGCTTAGCAAGGATGATGTGAAAAAAGCAAGCTGCATCCAGCCGCGGTGCTTAACCTCCAGCTGAGATAAGACGTTGAGGTGCATAGGAAATGACCATAGCTCTTGGTTGATAGTTGTTCGAGTCCGGGCAAATGCCTTAGCGATATCTAGTGCGCGTCTTAGGCAAGATAGTGCAGTGATGAAATTATGGGTGCGTGTGGTATTCAGTAAAAGCGCAATGGTCACGATACCACGGTCCTTTGGACCGATCAAGTGTGCGCGCACATTCTGAAGCTCAACTTCTGCAGTAGGCAGCTCTTTGGTACCCATCTTGTTTTTCAAGCGATGAATTCGGATTCCATTGGAGACTTTCCTCTCTTGCCCCTCAGAGTCGGTGATTCTTTTTACTGTTGGTGCCACAAATAGAGAAAGTTCACCAGACTCGGTCTTGGCTAACAGCAGGATAACATTGCAGTCAGTGGCACTGCAGAAGAACTTGAAGCCTGATAGGAGGTAGTCTCCCTCTTCGATATTTCCGAATCGGCCAGTTTTGGTCACCGGAGGAGAATATACAGCAACAGTTTCACTGTTACGTACATCACTACCTCCTGGGCGCTCTGTCATCCATTGCGCTGAAATCCAGTTGTTTTCACGGGCAATAAGACGGGCGTAGAGCTCGTGAAATGGGTGGTCGGAGGGTACGTTGGTCAACTGATGTCGAACTAATCGTGCTGCTCCCGAAGTCATAGAGATTGGGCAGGAGTAGGTAGCTGAAGATGCAGAGAATATGTAGTTGCTGGAGTGAAGTCAGTTGAGAATAGCTAGTACTGAAATATGAGAGTAATACTCACAATGCATGTTGAATAATTCGACGATGCGATCCAAACTCTTCCTCATAACCAAGCCCTACCACGCTTTATAGTGCGAAAAAGAAATCAGCTCAAATATCCACTTGAATGTGAGCTGTTTAAAGCGGAACATCATAAAGACTTACCCATTTTTGATGCCCCATTTTCCCAACTCCTTCCAACCAGTACTGGTCACCAATCGCTCAGTATCATGCCGCGCACCCCATACATTATAAGGCTTGATATATGGTTCCTGTCTTTCCGCATTTCCTATCAGGCTGTTGATTTCATTGGAAATGGCATCACGACCGAACTTGGTCAATTCAGGAGTAATCTTTGCGACTACATCGTGAGGTAGGTACCCTAGGATGCCATTGTAAGTAAATTCTCAAATCACCATTTGAAGCTATTCCGCCTCATATGACTTCAACACTAACAGTTCAGAATTCGCTCGAAGACTTTATCGGATGTTGCTGGATTTTCCAATTTAGCTGGTGAGAGAATGAAGCCTTTCTCGGCCGTTGATGGTGATAATTGAGACATTTGGAAATTTGAGAGCTTCGAACTGAAGAAACTCTTATGTTCTGAATAAGTACTGATATATTATCCTTTGAATACGCTACTATCTTATATCCCCAGATTTATCTCCAGATTCTCCACATTATTCTCACTTTCATGCGGGGTTCACTACTACCTACCACCTAATATGTATCAGCCGAGAGACGAGATCGTCGACTGCCGAGCACCAACACCGATTATGACCGACAACCACCGAGAAGAGCCGTATGGATTCTTGCATCTACCAGTCAGTATCCACTAAAGCTCTTGATGTGTACACGTTTGCGTCAGGCGTGGGGTATGTGGGTTAGTCTGTGCCGATTACCGAGGAGCCCACCTGGGCACATATTAATTATGTTGGACTTGCCCAAGTGAATTCTGTTTATCGACATCTAAAAGCTCAGAATATTCGACTTTCATAGCTTTCAGTTGATTGAAGTTTCCAATATGGCTGAATCCTCACATCACAATGGTTCTAAGACACGTCCTATCTGGACACCAGTGGTTCCGCCAGATCAAATTCCAATGAACATCTACCGCGCGCATATCAACAAGAAATTCCATCAAAACTTACAGTCATCCCAGGTGCTCCATCAGTGGTCTGTGAATAATTTGCAAGACTTCTGGATAGATCTTCATGACTACACTGGCGTCATTCCATCTCTTCCAGCAAACACGACGATAGCATTTGATGCTAATGAGCCAATGGAAAATGTACCTGAATTTTTCCGTGGTGCCACTGTCAACTATGCAGAGAACGTGCTTACTGACAGAGATCCTACCAAAACTGCCCTAGTTGGAGTCCGTGAAGGTCAGAATTTGGCAGGCGAGGTTTGGACATGGGCCCGGCTGTGTGAGAATGTTCGTCAGGCGAGAAGTGCTTTACTACGCATTGGTGTTGGAGAAGGTGATCGAGTTGCAGCTATCATTTCCACAAGTGTTTGGTCTGTGGGTTTGTTTTTGGCTACTGCTAGTATCGGTGCCATCTGGACGAGTATTGCACCTGACCTAGGTGAAGAGGTAAGTTGCATACCATCATTGGAATGATAATAGTCCTGGAACTAACGCCTATCAGGGCTGTATATCAAGACTGCAACAGGTCACACCTAAAGTCCTTTTCGCAGACAGTGAATCGGCCTATAAAGGCAAAATGAAGTCTAATGTGGCGAAAATTAACAATATTGTTCAGGCGATGAACTCCAAGCCTGAACTATTCTTGATCCCTATCCTATCGGAGGTCAAAGAAAAGCTATTCTTCACTCTTGATCAATTTTTGACGAAGTCCCGACCGGAAGACAAGTTGGAATTCAAGAGACTACCATTTTCTCATCCGCTTTATATTCTCTATACGAGTGGGACAACCGGTCAACCAAAATGCCTCGTTCATAGTCACAGTGTGATCTTACAACATAAGAAGACATCTGTACTTCACAACTCGCTCACCTCCGAAGATGTTGTTTTCCAGTTCAGTAGTACCTCGTGGGTGCTATGGAACATCATGATCGGTCACTTATCTGTAGGACCAACGCTGATCTTATATGACGGCTCACCACTATGGCCAACTGCGAAGATCCTAGCTAAGGTTGCCGAGTACCATCGAGTAACCTACTGGGGATGCTCGCCTCGTTATTTGCAGGAGTTGGAAATGACCCGGTCCATTCCAAAGGAGCAGTTCGACCTTTCAGCGCTGAGAATGGTGCAAACTGGAGGTTCTCATCTAAGCGCAGATCAGTATCACTGGTTCTATCGCGCCTTTCCACCAAATGTCCATCTTACAAGTGTGACTGGTGGGACCGACTTGGTTACATCTTGGATTGGTACAGATCCTGCTGGTCCGCTCTATCCGGGTGAGATTCAGCTGCCTATGCTGGGTCAAGATATAGACGTAGCGGATCCCGTCAGCGGTGAATCGATTAAACATACTGGGCGGAATGGCGAATTTGTCTGTCGTCAACCTTTCCCTTCAATGCCTGTCTTTTTTTGGGGAGATAAAGATGGATCCAAATACAAGAGTACATACTTTGACAAGTTTGAGAACTGTTGGGCTCAACATGACTGGGCAAGCTATAATCCTCAGACGAGCGGTTGGCAAATCCATGGAAGAAGGTAAGCATGACTCTTTGATCAAGGCTTAAGTGAACGATTTGGACATTGACAAATTCATAGTGATGGGGTGTTGAATCCTCAAGGGATTCGATTCGGGTCATCCGATATCTATTCGATTACCGAGTCCGCGCCATTCAACAAGATGATTTCAGCGACATTATGCATCGGAAGGCGCAGACCACATGATTCCGATGAGTCCTTCTTTCTCTTTGTGGTTATGCAACCAAACCACGTATTCACAAGCCAGCTCGCTCTCGGGATGAAGGATGCCATCCGTAGGGGCCTCAGCAGCAAGCATGTTCCCCGTTTCGTGATTGGTGTTAAAGAGGTCCCTATGACAGTCAATGGTAAGAAGGTGGAGACTCTGGTAAAGGAAGTTGTATCCACTGGACAGCTTCCTAAGACTGTCAGCAGCACTGTGGTCAATCCTGGGTGTTTGGAACATTTCAAGCAGTACTATCACTTGGATTTGTCTAAAGAGAATAGAGCAAAGATGTAGGCAGGATATTCCAGTGTGGAACTTGAGAACCATTGAAAGATAGCATCATCGCTGGGAAGAGTAATAAGTAGGCGATAGATGGTATATAACTCCTTCATTATGACAAGTAGTATCTCACAAGTGCTCACGCCGCGCTTCGCGCGGCACTGCCAAAGTACATAGCAGTGAGCATTTGAAATTGGGAAAGATAAGTTCCCAGCACTCAAGCGCTTGGACAGGTGTGTTCACATACTTAAGTACATGGCTCAGTCCGAGTCAGAGCATCTACAGGTGACTGATGTCCGACCCCTCTTTGTATGGAGGTACCTACAGGGTTACCTACATGGTTAGCTGGAGGGGTATCTGGAAGGGAAGGTTAACTGTTCAAATGTGATGTATATTGTTCCAAGATTGGATATAGGCAATTGGTAGCCCTAGGGAATCAAGCTGTAGGCTCTCCTCCGAGTCGGGTATCAAGACAGGCGGCGAATAAAAGTGCAGGAACCCAAGTAGTAAAAGAGCTCTATGATCGCCAGGATCATTGCGCATTCGCAAAGAAATCGTCAAACATGCGCAGCTCGGCTCTGCTCTCCTCCAAAAGATTTCCCGTTATCATGCTATCCCATATTTCATCTTTATCCAAAGATGCCAGGTTCCTTGTGCTTGCTTGGAGAGCGGGATACATGTCTTCGAGGTCTTCAAACGAAGGTTCATAGTCAGCATGAGCAAGATCAGTTGTATTCCATTCATCAGTCTGCAGCGGATTCCACGGTCCCTGGGAATGAAGCCCTCTACTCAGAACAGAATGAATGTTATTCAGGAACGGTATATCTGCACTGCTCAAGCAAGATTCAGAGTCAAGGCCACCTGTCAATGATGCAGATCGCAAACTTGAGGGACTAGCCTGTCTGGTGATAGCTCGTGAAATATCTTGGGAGCAGGATACTCGGTCGAGATGCTCCATGACCTTGGTGAGGACTGCTTCCCAGGTATCACGGTATTTCTCTAATTTTTTGTTGCGTTCCGCCACGGCAAACAGGAACGAGGAGCAGGCACCTAAGTCATTTGCCACATCAATCGAGCATGGTTGTGAAGATCGGAATAGACAGTAGCTGTGGGTTCAATATTAGTTCAATCCAAGCAGAATGTAATCAAATTCGTTCCTACTCACCATAATGTAAGACCGGCTTTGAACAAAGTACTGACTAAGAAATACCCAAAGCCTATATACCCCTTTTGATGCAGCGACTTGTAAACCTGACACATCCTTCCAGATGCCTTCATACAGGTCTGAATCAATTCATGATCAGAAGGAAGTTCACTTAGAAACGGTTGGATTAGAATCATAATGCCATTATTCCAGTGCATATTGATCCAGTCTTTGTCCATGGGCGAGAGGTCAGATTGAAGAGATCTTTTGTATTCTTCCAAGGCTGAAAATAAAGGGTTGATCTCTGGCAGCAGCAACGAAACATCTTTATCGACTCTGTGAACTCGGGTTTGGATTTGCGACTTCAAGCGAATCAGCCTGATAGCAGGGATGAAAACGGCGATACTCGTTCTTAAATGTCTTTCTCGTCGCAGAGGTTCCTCATGAGAATATCCCTGGAATGGCTCTTGGTAGTCAAATGGCAAACCAACGTCGATGTCATATTCAGCAATATTGAAAGGTCGATCAAGAAGCCGGGCAATGCTTCGATCCATGACGTAAACGCTCCAGAATAAGCGTCGCCTCCGTTGGGACTCGTCGGGTTTTAATTGGAGATAGTTGACTTCTCTATGCAGCCCAAGGTCTATTGCTGTTCGCATGGCGAGACCAATCATGTACCAAATATTAGCACTGTTTGGTATGCGTAGGTTGTACATGATCAGTAGCATCATGGCCTCGATGCTTTGAAGAGAGCGGAGTTCTGTGACAGCAGGCTTGTGTTGTAAAGCTGTGCGTAGAAGATCAGCGACGGGGACACTGGGCTGGCTCTCTGTAGCTCGACATGTTGCGGCTCCAATAGCGTAGACCATGAAGATCTTGAATGACTTCCAACGTGCAGAACGTGTTGGCGCAATGGATTCGAGTCTTTTCTCGTGGAGTTGATAAATCTCCTCGCTATCAATATACGGCATGTGGTTATGCATTGTCTCCATGTAAACGCGGATGTACTTCAAACCTTCTCCATCAGGTGGGACTGCCGGGCGCGCGAGTAGGTTGTCATCACCGGACTCTATGTCGTTCTCCTTATTGCCAGCACTAGCAGCTTTTTCCGAGTCATAACTCTCTAAGACAGTGTTTTCAAATAATTGGTCCATCTCCCTGGCAATCAACGTCCTTGGTGCTGAAACAGTTGTTTGGTGGGTCGCCTCTGTCATCTGTCCCACGGTCAAGAACTCCATCACATCAAACAGGTGGCCTACCTCGGGAAGGTTAGGAGGGAGTTGCTCAGGGCTTTCATATCGCAGGGAAGTTTCATTGGGGCAATTTGAATTCTTGGTGACATTATTTAATTGAGCTTCCAACTCCTCGATCCTATGAAACAACGCATCTTTTGACATTCCATGATATCGTTCGGATGCCGGTTGGAATGCAGATGTCTCTGATCTGGTACATATGGAGTTCGCAGCTTCGCAGTTCAGACAATTCGGATAGCCCACGCATCTCTGCTTCCGACGGTGACAGCGTCTACAGGCTTTTGGGTTGCGTTTTCGCACTTTAAATTCACTGTCATTCATCGGGAAATGACCTCGCGACCGAGATTCGGGGAGTCAACAAAGGTATTAACTTGGAGAATGGAGAGAATAGCTCAGGGAGAGAAGAGAATAATATGGAGTTTTTGATTTCAAGTTACAAGAATCACGTATTTTGGGCTCGAAATCAACAACTTGAACCATCTTCAGAACATTTGAAGAAAGAATCGAGTTAACATTGGAAGATGTCGTGACTCTCGTGGATAATGGCGACTTAACCCCTCAAATAGTCACGTGGTAAATCAATGATCAACCAGCCTTTAATCCCAGATATTTTGGTCTAAAACTTGAATGAATCTATAAGTGGCTTTAATATCTCAAACTAGTTTGGACGTTCATCAAGGATGAAGTGAATATTTACTTAACCCATGCCAGTGGATAGTATGTAGCACTGTTACTAGTACTACCCGGTCAATTCCGTCCTGATATACTGTACATTGCCGCGGTTATACTAGTAGTACGAGCAACAAACTATTATACATTCAATAACCATGAACCACTCCAATCAAACCCAGAGCCTTCCCAGTTGGTACCGAATGGCTCCATCTCACTATCAGGATTCAAAGGGAAATTAAAATCAACCAGCATATCCTCCGGGCGTGTATCGAATGCCGGGAGTGTGTCCGTCAGATCTTGCACCTCGGCCAATGTACATGTCGGCTCTCCCAAGTTGGTTTCCAACTCAGAAGTATGTGTTATAAATCGCCATTGTTTACACATTTTCAGATCAAATCCTTCAAAGAAGGCAGCACTTTCAATGTCGAGAGTTGGCGGGGACCCATCGATCGGTCCTTGCTCTCGGACCTTTTCTGTTAATTTATTCAAGGCGTTCAAGGGTCCAACAGCTGAGAGCCATCGCTCTGATAATTTCTGCAGTGAGAGTTTCATCACGGTCAACTCATGCTCGGCTGTGGTTTGTAGTTGCGTGTAGCGACAACATGATAGCAGAGAGAGACCTGCGCAGAGTGGGTAGAATGCGAAGACAGGACCAAGATAGCGAAGTTCATCTCGTAAGAGAAATTCTTCATATATGCCTGCAATGAATGATGAGGCTACTAGAGATGCTGCGGGTGGGACACTGTTGGGTGTTGGTGACCGGTGGAGGATGGTTAAAACCACGAAATACATGACAAGCAGTTGTTGAACTTCGAACTGAGAGGTCATGGTATCCTCTGTGGTCAAAGTAGATGTGCGGAGTTTTGGAATCACTTGTTTGGCCCATCGATAAACGGCATTCTCAAGGTCAACTCGTCGTTGTCGCGATATCTCTCGTCGCAGGTAGCATTCAACAGTATCTCCTAGGAGGCATGATATTGAGCAATATGCTAAGAAGAGTTGAGTACGGAAATCCTTGGTCGCAAAATCATGTATTGAAGGAGGGAGAACATCACTATCGCGTAAGTTGATAGTTCTTGGTCGTCCAACACCGACTGAGATGACATTGTCTCGGATCTGTGGCGAGTCAGTGTTGGTCATATAAGATGGTGTCCATGGGAAAACTTACCACTAACGACCACCATAACCTTCGGCGGAGACCGCGATATTTAGTATTCGGGGGTGGCTCTTTGTGTAATCCAATTTGAAATGCCATTGCTCCAGCTGTGCGTATCCAGAAACCACTAGTATCAGTCGAGACATCTTCAGGTCCAACAGGATTATACCAATGCAGCAGACAAGCAGCAACAATAGATATGAGGGATCCATGTCCGCCACCAAAAAAGAAGAGCAACTTTGCACGTCGATAAAAGACTTCGCTTGATCCATACTCCAGATGGGCTTTAGATACTCGACTCCCAGCAAGGAAGATAGATTGAAGTAGTAACATCGAAGGTGGTGTTGACTCATCTAGCCATGCGGGGTCGATAACGGGGGTCCAAGGAGCACAGTATTTATTGAAACTCTCCATCAGCTGTTTTTGAATTGATACTGGCGGAAGATCAAATGCACCTTGTTCACGGAGCATTTGAATATCAGTCGCAGAGGCCGTTGGACTTGTATATGTTGTTTGATGACCGGGCTTGACCATATTTTCATCAAACGGAACACTGCCACCCAAGTACTCGCTCCGACCGCGATAGGTTTCTTGTTTGATAAAAGAATCATTTTCGATGGTTGTATTTACTTCTGTACTCTCAATAGTCTCATTTCTCACGGTAGCTCCTTCAGTAACTTGTTGAGGAGATAGACTTGATGCAATTGTGCTCTCAAGGGGCGGGTCCACCGGCAATTGCGAACTTCGCCGACTGACCGAGTCTGACTCAGGCGCATTGCGAGTACGTCCTGGTGAGAGACTGTTGGTGAATCTCTTGCGCTTCCGTGTATATGGTCTGTATATCAAGTTAATTTTGACTGTTCATGCTGAATACTTGATATAGAGCCCTCAGCCCACTTACTTGCACTCTACTTCTGACTTGGTGCAGTTGGTGCAGGGATTGTGGGTCGCCAGATCACAACGCACCTGGACTCATTAGTGATGATTCTCGCATTTACAAGAGCGCAAATCATTTACCTTACGCTTATGACAGATTATACATGCACTGGACATGGCGCAGATCATCGGGGTGGTTCAAAATGGAGGTGGAGAGATTAAACCGAGGCATCTCGGCGTTGTTTTTCCTCTTTAATTTGAACAACTTAAACCGGGTTATTCCCCACTTCAATATGAATTCATACAATATGGTGATGTTTCCTTTCATGAACAGGATAAAATGGCAGAAATCAATTCAGAAACTGTGATGATCGATAAGACTTCTCATCCTGGAATTACCATTCTGTCAATCAATCGACCAGAGAGGAGAAATGCTGTTGATCTTGCCACGGCCAAACACCTCTATGAAGCTATTCTCAATTTCGAGTCCGACACAACACAAAAAGTGTGTATCTTGACAGGCAATGGAGGCAATTTCTGTTCAGGAGCAGATCTACACCAAGTTGCCCAGAAACAGAATGAGCCCGCTGAGAACCTGCAACCTGTCAACGAGCGCAATCTAGGCCCGATGGGACCTTCAAGATTGATTGTTCAGAAGCCGATGATCTGTGCAGTAGCAGGCTATGCTGTTGCTGGAGGACTTGAACTTAGTCTCCTAGCTGATCTTCGTATTATCGAGGAAGATGCGATTTTTGGTGTGTTTTGTCGCCGCTGGGGTGTTCCTCTCATTGATGGTGGGACTGTTCGATTACAAGCTATTGTTGGACTTGGTCGTGCAATGGATATGATCTTGACTGGTCGACCGGTCAATGCAAATGAGGCACTGACTATGGGCCTAGCTAATCGTGTTGTACCCAAAGGGGAGTCATTGAATTGTGCTTTGGAGCTTGCGCGTCAGCTTATGACTTTCCCTGATTTGTGTCTTAATACAGATCGACAATCCTGCTACTACAGTGCCTATGAAGCTCGCTCTTTCAAAGATGCTTTATCTCAAGAGTTCACAGCTGGCAAGAAAGTCATTTCAGCTGAAGCTATTCAGGGCGCTGCCAAGTTCAGTGGAGGATCCGGGAGACATGGTAGTTTTAAAGCCAGCAAGTTGTGACTCGGATGAACTTGTATTTGAAATTATTCCTAGATGTATGTTACACTCTGATAGCAATATCTGAGCGACTGGTTCTGAAATTGAAGCTGTATCGTTTAGATGATTATTTTCTTCCCATATACTTTGTCTTGAAATGAAAAGTATTGTCCCAAATAGTAATACATGGAGTCTGCGAGTTGTGCTAAAATACAACACAAATAATTAAGTACTAGTAGAGTGAATCATTCTAGTTGGTCTTCTCCTCTTCCTCATCTTGGCCATGCGTAAACTGAAGGCGCTTACCATACAATAAGGGTGTGCGAGAAACCAAGGTCCCCACCACGTAGCCCATGTATGCACCTGCCAGAATGGTAATGGGGAATGCTTGCCATGGGCGATCCCAGTCCAAAGGAATGGGAATAGCACCGAACCAAGCACCCAGAACGGTACCAAAGGCACCGCCCCAAACCGCGTCGACGGGGCGCGCAAATCCCCAAACCTCCTTCCAGACAGAGGCATCTAGTCCATGAACGTAGGTCAATCCGGAAGAGGAGAGAAGAGCCATATGAGCTGCGCAGAGGATGGTCTCATAGTTGTGGGTGGTAAGCGGGGCACCGAAGAGAACGAGTAGAACGGCGATGACTGGGGTGGCGATGAAAAATGTCAAGGCCACAGAGAGGAACGCGGGCTATAGTGAGTGCATTGATTAGTATATTAGACCTGGAAGAATTGTCCCTGCGATGAACGAGGTAGGACGTACCATCAACTTAGCCCAGATTCCAGCCCACAAATTCTTTCCTGAGTGCTTTCGGCGAGGTCCAGGCTTGCCTGGGCGTGTGGTACCAGAGGTTGACCGTTGACTTTTCTCACTAGATGAGCTGTCTGAGGCTAGTGATCCCGCGGGCGGGAGACAAAGTATGACATAGCTCAGTTGCAAGAGCGCTAGCCAAGGAAGATCATTGAGGAGTTCGGAAACTGGATTTTCTACCAAGGCATTGAACCGTGTCACTCCCAATGCCAGGAGAATTGTTGGGTGCACGTATGAATAGGTTTGCGCGAGTTGAGAGGGGAGAATATTGACAGGTGGTGGAGATGGTTTTTCGACAGGAGGTTGTGATGGCGAGCTGGGTGGGTTCACAGCAGAGATAAAGGTACTGGGAGACGCCATGGTGAATGAGGAGGTGCCTTTGATTCCCTCCTGGACACGTTTCTTCTTTGCGCACCCTTTTTTCTGGTATGAATCTCCGTGCTTGAAGCTCCGGGTAAACCGGCGTAAAAGGGTCAATATGAGATCCACTTATGTTTGTCTGGTTTGGTGAGGCTATAGTCGCCTGGTTTTTCGGGCGGCAACATGAGATGTGTATCTCATCAGGAGTTCGTTTCAACCCAATTATTTTATTATTTAGTTATTTGTAAGTTTAAAGAAGACATAGACGGTTTGAATTAGAGATAGAAAGTGAGGTAGAGAAAAAAGTCTCTGGGTTTCATGCATTCAATTCCAATTCTACCCTTCCTGTAGGCACCAAATAACCGGCAGAAATACCGAAATGAACATAGGCTGGCTTGAATATCAACGAAGCATAGAGGCATACATACAGTCGTGTCACGCAAAAAGTCATTGATAGAAATCATCGACAAATGGCAGGGGAAACATGGGAATAACAAGATGAGGAGCCGCATGGGCTCAAAGAATATCATGTCGGGGCAATCGAACAAGCATATAAGAGAGAGGTCTCCATAGTAGCATAGGATTTGACCTGGGGCTGGCTACTAAGAAAAAAAAGGGAAAGGGGAAGAAGAAGGGAAGAGGAGAGAATCATTGAGAGGTCAATCGTGAGGTAATCCATAAGCAGTTTCATCATGGCGAGTAAGGATATCTGACAAGAGGCATCTAAGAGATGAAATGGCAATAAAACCAAGGAGACAGGTGCAACTAGTTTGATACTTCTTTCTCAGTTGCTGTGTCTTTGAGCGGTAGTTCAGAGACAGGTAAAGGCTCCATCGGCTTGGATTCTGCCGCCGGTGCAGAGTCTTCCTTTGGGGCATCGACAGCAGGAACAGCAGCTACCAACTCAGGGCTGTGAGGTTCTTCTGGAATTGGAGGGGGAAGACCGGCACCTGGCAGAGGTGATGATGGAGAACGCGATGGTTCCTCCTTGGGAGGATCACTTGGCACATCACCGGAAGGCTTGCCATTGGTCTGGTTAATAGTCGGAGAAAGAGGTTGTTGGCTGAGAGTCGATGATCCACTGTCAAGCGGAGTAGGGCTCTTCATTCGCTCTCGATCATCACGGACCCCATCTCGAACCTGAGCCACCTTGGCTTTGAATTTACCAAAGAGACTCCTCCTCTCGGGCTCAGCACTTGATATTGAACCGGCTTGGATGCCAGCATCCAAGCTGATAGGCTGACTAGAGGGATCATTGCTTGTATGTCCACCACTGGCAATTGAACTGGTGCTTTGTTCAAGTTCTGGGTGGGTTGCTCCTAGCGGGGGAGATGCTAGGCCTAGTCCGACATGTTCACTGCTACGCTTCGCAGAGCGATGGAAGCGCCAGCTTCGCCGGTGATCTCGACGGTCAGCACGACTACCATCTTCAGGCTGGTCTAAATCAGACGCGTCGGTGAATGATGATCGAGAGTTCATCGAGGGTGTGCGCGACTGATGAGGTCGCAAAGAACTTTCAGTGTGATTTCCGGCAGGATCAACCAAGAATGGGTTGGATTCTGATGCTGCTTCGCGGTTATTCAAGATAGCCGCATTGGGAGGCCTGGGAGTAGCCTCTCCGAATGCTGCCTCTATTGATTGTGGCTCGCGATTGGCCTCTGCAGTCATGTCGGCAGGAGGTTCGAAAGATGGTCCATGAAGGGAGTTGGAAGAGCTTTGGGCACTGACGCTGGCACTTCCTGGGATCCGCTTTTTTTTAAGACGGTTGGGTTGCCGTGGTTCTCTATGCTCACGATCTGCAGGTGGAGGGGATTTGCTGAAAAGATTGGAGAGCTTGCGCTCTCGATTTGGCGTCGCAACTCGAGGGGGCGGTGGGGATGTAGGAGTGGGAGTGTCGAGATTTTCATGCGGGTGAGGGAGATCGGTGATACTCAAGTGAGCGGCGGCAGCGACGGGGATAGGACCATGAGTGGAAGTATGAACATATGTTGGTCCTGTTGACGATGTTGCTGGCACAGGCTGTGTGCTTCTTTGCTCGGGCTTTTGCTCAGTCTTCTGCTCTTCCTTTGGCTCTGGCTCTTCTCGCACGGAAGGCGCTCGGCTTGTCGAGCGTGAACTGCCATGCGAAACAGAGAGCGTGGATGGATTAGCTGACCCGGCCTCAACAGCCCGTGCATGACGCGCAGTGGCAACTGCAGGACCCATTTTAGAGGGAAGGGTGTTGCTGCGATGTACACTGCCAGAGATCGAAGTAGGTGTTCCGGGGCTAGGGATCGTATTGGAGGTACGCGAATTGCGTGAGTTGCGGGACGAGACAGAAGCATTGCGACGAAGTGTATCCAACTTTCGATGGCTCTCCGTGCTCGCGCTGGCGCTAGAGGCTGACCGTCTGATGGTTGAGCCAGCCGACTTAGTGCCGCCGATCGATTGTCCGGAGGGTACCACAATTTTTGGCTGAATGCCAGCTTGAACCTCCTTGATGGTCTGCTCATCGGCTTTGGTACCGTTCATTCCCACCAAGAAGTGATCCTGATTCTCGATCAGAAAGATCAGGACGTCTTGACTGAGCTTGTACTCTTCCGGGGACATATCATGTTGTGGGTGGGAGAGCATGCCGGGTTGGAAAATGGCGGAAAGATTGGCCGACGTCATTCGGTTCTGTTCTGACTTGGATGCGAAAACAGCGAGGAGATCGAGAATGTACAGGAGCAACTGTTTGTTCAGCGGGGGGGAGTTCAACGATCAAGTGCTGATACGTCGACACGGCCTTAGCATGATCGAACTTGTCTGCTTCTGCTACCTGAGATCCCTCTTGCACTTGTTTTTGATACACTCGTAAAGGCTCTCGGAAGCGCTCGTAGAATTCGAGGGGTACGATGGGTTCGGGTAATTGGTTTAGATAGCGGCGTAGCACGTTGGCGGCATCGTGAACGGTGTATCCTTCCCAATCCAAGCCTTTTCCATATCGCTCCGGTGAGTCGAAAAGCTCTTGAAGGTCCTTAATTCGTTTTGCGGATCCATTAAGTCGGAAGATTCCTTCCACATCCGTCGCTATGAGAAGAAAACGCGATCAGTTCTATTGTACTCTATAAAGATTGGGATTTAGAAGACGCACCTTTTTCTTTCAGAAAGACTCCACATTTCGCAACCACGATAGGAACATATCCATAAATGAAATTTTCGCCATGTTCATTAGTGAGAGAAATGGCAACATTCGCGTACTTGATGCTTTCATTCAACGGTACTCCAAAGATGCCCCGCGGAGATTCTATTCACGAGTCAGCTCATCCAATACAGGAAAATGTGGACCATCACTTCATCTGATTTGTAACGAGTGTAGGGCTTCCTCGAGGTGATAACAGGATGTGTTTCAATATTCGTTTATTCCCCGCGACGAGGGTTTGGGCGGATCAGGGGGGATGATCGTGAGCCGCCGCACGCCGATAACGAGAGAATGCGACAGGATGTGAGAGGATTCTGGAGTAGACCGCAAAGACCAAATCTCCAACTTATGCCAACGACCAACGTACCTTTCAGATCATCTTTCCTCGAATTTCGCTTGAACTGTCTCCACCACGAGGCGAGGTCTCGCTTTGAGGGTGGGGAGCCGGCGCCAACGGGTTCAGGCGAAGAGATGGGCAGCTGGACCGGTTCAACAGCTGGCTGGGATTTACCGGTGACCATAATGGCCGGAAATCAGACGAGAAATTGAAAGATGTAATATAATTCGGCGGTCAACTGTATCTTTGATTGGGAGAGATTCGACGAATTTGGGAGGGCCGGACACTGGATTCGCGGGAATGTCTATGGGGGTGAGACGTCACCGCCCGCAGGAAATACCGGGGCTGGGCCCAAGAGTCACCTTCGAAGTTGACCGTAGAAGAGGCGAGTCAAGGTATATCAAGGGAGAAAGGGGGGCCAAATATCAAATCTCCCGGTTTGAAAAAAAAATTCACAAGGGGAAGAAAGAATGTGACTGTCGAGAGGTAGTGGAGGGGGGAAGAAGTGGAGGAGCACGAGCTAAAGGGGGGTTTTTTGTGTGGCTTTCTCTCTCACGCACACACTCGGGTTCTGTAGTTGGAACGAAATGAATCGTAATGGCGGAGGGATCGGTAAGGAACAAGAAGAAATAGGATACGAAGGAGTTTGAAGAGGAGGAAGGGAGAAGATGAGAATACGGAGTAGGAAAGAAGAACAATCCACGGTTCGCGGGGGGGGGGGATTCAGGGTTGGCTGTCACTTGATATCACATAGATGACAGATCTAGTTGGGCCTGCAGGATGATTCATGACGAGGTTCGAGGGTCTCCGAGGGTAAAAAAAGAATACACATGTGCATGTAAGAATTGAAGTAGAGCAAGAGAGGAGAGGTTGAAAAAAAAGAGATGTGATCAAAGATCAACAATGAAATTCAAGTATGTTTTCATCTGAATAGCATTCCATGAGGTTCTGGACCTTCTTTCACATTTAGATCCTGTTCTAATTTAGGGGTTTTGGTTTTGGGTTGCTGAATGGAGGATCCGGATCCAGGGACACAGTGGAGTCAATGTCTCAGGTACAAATGAGCATTTAAATAAGCCACTTCAAATGTTGGTATGGATCTATGTAGAATATATATAGTAGGAAAGAGAATTGAATAATTTAATAAAATAATATGTGATTGATTATTCAAGAGAAAACCCATCTTCATTAATCAAAATTGTCGTCTATTAGTACCTAGGTAGTATAGATGCCCAGGTGTGGACTGTTGTATATCCATACTCCAAGTTGTAGGTCATCGCAAACGGTCCCCGGTCACGTGGAGGGATGGATTCGGGGTTTTTGGCAGCCTCATTAGTCAGGCACAAATATAACTAACGTGATTCCCAAGCGAGCGGATCACCCAAGCGAGCGGATCACCTACCACCTATTATACTACTTTAGATAAATTATTAACCACCATAACGCCAATTTATTAAAATATTTATCTAAATATCACAATGATCTGACCTATGTCCTTCTTCTCCACACTTTTTACATGTCGGCAGCTTTCTCCTCGTTGGCTGAGGCTGTAAAACAGGCGCTCTCCGCGGTGGTACGGGAGGGGCAATTGGCGCTTCAACCACCTGTATAGCACGCTGTATAGCTTCCTGGCCCTCTTGAACCGTCATTCCACCCTCATTAGGTATCTGTCTAGTAGACCGTTGGCGCTTTTGCTTCTGCTTCTCGTGTGCGGCACGTAATTTACGTGTTTCAACCTCTAATAAAGCTGTTGAATGCATCTGAATTTCACAGGCCTTAAGAACTTGATCGATTTGCTGTTTGAGTGGACTTGGAGGGCTTCTTGAGCGTTGTTTTAGAAGAGATTTGATTGAACTAGCTTGCCGCTGAAGCTGGATAATGTTTTGAGGTGTCTTAGGTGAAAATTGGCTTGATCGACTGGTAGGGCGGCTACCTGGGGGTGTAGGTGTTCGAAGAAGAATATTCAACTTAGAAAGCACTCGATCTGGGTTGAATGGTACTAAACCAGCTGCTGCAAAGCTGTTTTGAATAGTTTGGGTTTGAAAAGCCTCTTTACGAGCGATTGGGTAGGCTTCAAGAAAATCAAATTTATCAACATGGTTAAAACCAAGCCGCATTTGATTCTCAACAAGCCGACCATATGCACGCTTAAGAGGTGAAAAACATCCAACATCAAGCGGTTGATGTAAATGTGAAGAATGAGCTGGCATACAAATTGGAATAATATTATTCTCTTTGCAAATCTGGTCAAATTGGGGAGTTAAATGACTCCCATGACCATCGAGAATTAAAAGTCGATATTTTCCAAGTGTACGTTCAGTTGTTGCTGGAATAAAGTGTTTTTGAAGCCATCGAAGTCCAATTTCATCAGTTGTCCATCCATTTGGACTAGTTTCAAATCGCCAGTCAAGTGGAAGGTTCTTAAACCATCCTTCAATCAAAACTTTACCTTTGAAAATAATCACTGGTGGAAGGGCCCATCCAGATACATTAATTGTTTCAATAGCTGTTACCCATTCACGATTTCCAGGCTGTAAAAGTGATCGTCGACCATAATATCGAGAACGAGTAACAACCTTAGCAGTTGCTGTAAGTCCCATTGCAAATCCAGTCTCATCAAAGTTATAGATATCCTCTGATAGAATACCATTCTCTTGAATTGTCTGAAACACAAGATTAAACCATGCTTGAACCACTTTTGGATCCTCCATTTTCGCACGCTCGTAATTATATCGACGAGAGAAACGGGTAGTAAGCTCTGAATGTCGTCTTACGAAGTTTGTAACCCAATTTTTGCCAACAGTTTGAGGGGGGGGTCTGGCCACGCGCTGCGAGTAGAATATTGGCCATTTCTTGGACAGTAGCCGGGCGGGGGCAGCTCCACGTATATCCATAGAGATCACCCATTGGAGAAGTGAATTCTCTTCATTTTCGTTTAATTTGTGGTTATTCGCGCGAGTTTCGAATCGATTGGTATGACCATTTAGTCGGCGGTGGAGGGAAGTAAAAGGCACGTTAAACTGACGTACTGCCTCACGGATAGAGCTAATTTCATTGTTTTTAATAGCTTGGATAGCAAGTAAGATCCTTCCCTCCTGTTCGATTGAATTTCGAGAGGTTTTAGAACGTATTGGTGGCATGGTAGGTGGTTGAAGATGGCTAGACGCGGTCGCGACGCGAGTTTTTGGTTGGGTGATCCGCTCGCTTGGGTGATCCGCTCGCTTGGGAATCACGTTAGTTAGTCATAAATATTCCATTATGTCATCGAAGATGTATCACGTGATAAACATTCCGGATCAACATACTCGCGACTTCCGAAAGAAACAGCTTCGGAGCTGCGTGTTTCGGCGAAGCGTCACCACATTAATCCAACTTTGATCAATTCTATCAATCCCCTTTATCACCAATTTCACAATGGACGGGTATGTTTTAATTTTCCATCTCTCATCTATTCTCGAATTAACCTATTGAGCATCTTACTCAATTGAATGCACGGTCGCTGATTAAGTATCCAGTCTCAACGCAACTGAGCAGCGCGAGTTTGCCAACCGCATGGAGCGGAAGCAGCTGAAGGAGTTTATGACTGTATGTTCTCCTTTCTCTCTTATTGGAGCCATCGTTCCTATCCTCGATTACCCTCGCCCTGCTCTTTCTCTTGCAGACTCCTGTCCCTTTCAATTCCCAGTGCTGTCTCTCCGGGTTCCATAATGTCTCTGACCATCGATCTTTTCTTTAGATGTACTCCAAGATGGTCCAGCGCTGCTTCGACGACTGTGTCAACGATTTCACCACCAAGTCTCTCATCAACCGTGAGGAGCAATGTGTCATGCGCTGTGTTGACAAGCACCTGAAGAGCTCCGCCCGTCTGCAGGAGCGCTTCCAGGAACAGAACGCTGCCATGATGCAGAGTGGTCAGATGGGTCCCCAATAAATTAAGCCTTCGTTGCGTGGGTTCCGAGATGGTGGACTTTGATTTCTTCTATTGAGCGCGCACAAAATGTGCAGCCACTGGGCAGGGGGGCCACTAGTGGCAGTGCCTTTTTCATTTTACAGGAACCTCCCCCCTTTCTTCTAGAAGCCAGTCTCGGAGTGAACTTGAACTCGACTTGTATGGGCACAGTCATCCCATCAAGGCCAAGAAACTCTGAGGTTGAGCCTCTTCATGTATCATAGTGATTTCCGGGACGGGATGAACCGGAAACAAATTTCCTCATCCTCGACCTCAAATATAAAAAGGCGCAAGATCGCCATTGATATGAATGACTCGACTTCTCGATTTATACTTCCGATGTTTAGATAGACTCTATAGAAAGGACGACTCCAAGATTGAACCATGCAAGTTCCGATTAGCAAGGTACTCCGTATTAGGTACTCCGTCCACGGCTATCTCTAACTAACACGAACCGATGACCCACTCTATGTGCCGGATACCTTTACCTGTTTAGGTACCCTACAATATGGAATAGTGGAGGAGAACTCCGTGGAAATTGTCATTTGAACTAGATCATTCAAATTACGACTCTACTATTATGAGGAGATGGAAACTGGAACTGATAATATTGAGCATCCCATCATATCATCTGAACTCATCTACCAACTAATAGGTATAGCTTGAGACAGATTTACCTAAATGTCGGCAGATTGGCCCGGTTCACCCGGATCGGTGATTTGTAGCAATCATCTACACAGCTTAAATTCTCAAATCAATCGGTAGAATCGGGTCCGACACCCGTTCCCAATATTGGAGAGTCCGGTAGGCCCCTCCTCCTCATCTCAAGTCTTCTCCTCTTTCTGTCATTCTATCAGTTTCCCCCCACTCCCCTCACGGCTCCACTCCGCAAATCTTTCTCTTCAAAACCCCATTCTTTCCCTTTTCTTTTCCGTCATCCATCCTTGTATGTTCCGTGTCCCCTAGTGTTCCGACTTCTTTTAACCACATTCTTAGGATATCCCTTGACATCATGGCTAGCACAGTTGGACAGGTAAGCTCTTGTTATCTCTTCCATATTACTATGGAAGCAATTAAACTAATCATTGAACAATAGACCATCACCTGTAAGGTAAGCTGTGAGCTGTGAGCTTGAAGCTACATTACCAACCCCGCCATGACGTTTACCTCACCCCGCGAAATGATTCAATTTATTGCCACACGTTTTACACTTGAACTTGGACACATGAATCTGAATCATGGATGCTTGAGGCATAAAAATCAAGATTTCTCAACTAACATGTTAAATAGGCCGCCGTCGCCTGGGCTGCTGGTGAGCCTCTCTCCATTGAAGACATTGAGGTCCTGCCTCCCCGCGCTCATGAGGTGCGTATTCAGATTCACCACACTGGTGTCTGCCACACAGGTAAGCCCCGCCATATACCCCGCCAAGAGCCCCAAGTACCCCGCCACGCGACAGCTTGAGCATCTTGTTTGATTTTGAAAGCTACTAACAACAATTGATGATTAGATGCCTACACTCTCTCCGGAAAGGACCCTGAGGGTGCTTTCCCGGTTGTTCTGGGTCACGAGGGTGCCGGTATTGTCGAGTCCGTTGGTGAGGGTGTGACCTCCGTCAAGCCTGGCGACTACGTTATCGCGCTTTAGTATGTGATTCAATCATTTAAATGTAACAATGACCACAAACTGACTTCTCTTCAGCACCCCCGAGTGCGGTGAGTGCAAGTTCTGCAAGTCTGGCAAGACCAACCTGTGTGGTAAGATCCGTGCCACCCAGGGTAAAGGTGTCATGCCTGATGGCACTTCCCGTTTCAAGGCTCGCGGTAAGGACCTGCTGCACTTCATGGGTACCTCCACTTTCTCCCAGTACACTGTCGTTGCCGATATCTCCGTCGTGGCCGTCACTCCTAAGATCTCCACCGACCGATCCTGCCTGCTCGGCTGTGGTATCACCACTGGTTACGGTGCCGCTGTTGTCACCGCTAAGGTTGAGGAAGGTTCTAACGTCGCTGTCTTCGGTGCTGGCTGTGTCGGTCTGTCCGTTATGCAGGGTGCTGTCAAGAACAAGGCTGGCAAGATCATTGCTGTTGATGTCAACGATGGCAAGGAGGCTTGGGCTCGCAAGTTCGGTGCTACCGACTTCGTTAACCCTACCAAGCTGTCTGGCAAGACCATTCAGGAGCACCTGATCGAGATGACTGACGGCGGTTGCGACTACACCTTCGATTGCACTGGTAACGTTGGTGTCATGCGCGCTGCTCTCGAGGCCTGTCACAAGGGTTGGGGTGAGAGCATTGTTATTGGTGTTGCTGCTGCTGGTCAAGAGATCTCCACTCGTCGTAAGTTCATGAAATTTCCTCTTGATAACGCGTTTTGTGCTAATCTTGTCCCTCTTCTCTGTAGCATTCCAATTGGTCACCGGTCGTGTCTGGAAGGGATGTGCTTTCGGTGGTATCAAGGGCCGCACTCAGCTCCCTGGTCTGGTTGACGACTACCTGAACGGTGAATTGAAGGTCGATGAGTTCATCACCCACCGTGAGCCTCTGTCCAACATCAACACTGCCTTTGAGCAGATGAAGCAGGGTGACTGTGTCCGTTGTGTCGTGGATATGAAATAGATATGGGAAATAGTTTGGTGATGTCCTCAAAAAGGCTTGATGTGAAATATGAATTTCTTTGTGGTTTGAAGAATTTACTCCCGATCAGTTTTAGAGAATTCAATGCTGGTATTTACCCAGGTAGTATTTAAAGGAAGATGTGCTGTAGGGATTGTGTAGTCTTATGAGGAATGAGAAGGTCATCCAAGGTCCTCACCCCGCCACCACCTTGTGGGCAACCATCTTGTACCTACACTGACTACTTGCAGCGGATTACATCAACAACCTTGGAAATCTTGGATTTTATCTGTTACGGCAAAAATCGCTTATCATCGGGACAGATCTGACCTGAAGACGATCAACAGATACCAACCATGCGATTGTCTCACTTCAATTGGGGCGGGCAGTCTCCGACTCTCCCCACCTTTTCTCCGCAGCATAATGATAAGCCGCCCGATGTCGGTTCCTTGCTCATCAGGGCCTCTGATAGGGAATCACCCCTTAGTACTCCCTAATGAGGGAATCTTGACGGTAATGAGGGGCTTGCAGGTACTCATTGATCGGGTTTCCCTCCACTAGCGGACGATGTCCGCCGGACGGCAAGAATAGAAGGAGAGAGCGAGTTTGTTATCCAAGGATATAAACAGGACAAATCCCCTTGATGCACTTTTAAGATTGCAATTGAGTCTCATTAATCAGGCACCTGATCTGTGTACTACATATAAACCTACTGACGCCGCCTACCCTCCCATCTTGAATTGTGTTCTGTGATTTCTTATAATCCCACTCCGACTCCTCACTATGACAACCGATACTATTACCCTCCCGGAGCCCTTCGCCTCAATCCCACGGACTCCTCTCCTCCTCGGCCCCTCACCAATTCACCCCCTCCCCCGCATCAGTGCCGATCTAGCCCGCACCAGTCCACACAAAGTAACCATCTATGCCAAGCGCGATGACCTGAATTCCGCATACGCTTATGGTGGAAACAAGACTCGGAAGCTCGAGTACCTCCTAGCCGACGCGCAAGCTCAAGGTTGTGATACTTTGGTATCCATTGGTGGAGTCCAGAGTAACCATACTCGTCAAGTTGCTGCTGTGGCTGCGCGGACGGGTCTCAAAGCTCGTCTTGTCCAAGAACATTGGGTCGATTGGCAGGATAAGGGTTATGATTCTGTCGGTAATATCCAGCTTTCCCGTCTTATGGGCGCGGATGTAAGACTTGATCCATCGGGTTTTGGAATCGAACATAAAAATACTGCCCAGGCTGTTGTTGAGGAGTGCAAGGCCAATGGCGAGAAGCCTTATTATATCCCTGCTGGTGCTTCGGATCACCCGCTCGGTGGATTGGGTTTTGCGAGATGGGCTTTTGAGGTGAAGAGCCAAGAACAGGAGCAAGGTCTGTTCTTTAATACTGTCCTTGTTTGTGCTGTTACTGGTTCCACCTTTGCCGGTATGATTGCTGGGTTTAAGTTGCTCGAGCGTTTATACCCTGATGATTCTAAGCGTAAGATTATCGGTATTGATGCCTCCGCTACTGTTGATGCTACGCATAAACAGGTCCTCAGGATTGCTCGTAATACCGCGAGTAAGATTGGGTTGACCGAGGAGGATATTACCGATGATGATGTCATTCTCGATGATAGATACCATGCTGGTATCTATGGAATTCCTGATCGTCAAACTTGGGAGGCTATTGAGTATGCCGCTCGCATGGAGGCTTTCATCACTGATCCCGTTTACGAAGGGAAGAGCTTTGCGGGTATGGTGGATCTGATTCGCAAGGGGGAGATCGAAGGGGGGAATGTTCTCTATGCCCACTTGGGTGGCCAGTTGGCCTTGAATGCGTACTCTGATCTCGGTGCGACCAAGGAGTGATCTGGCAGTAACTTGTGATTACTTGTGTCGGTGGATGGCAGTGACGGCTGGTGCTAAGCATGTTTCTAACGATTCAATATTTAAAATATTACGAGGAATAGAGAATACAGCAGGATAGAGAGTTATAGCATATAAAAATATAATCTTGTATTGGTCAAGGAGTGACTAGTAGTTGGACAGTATACCTAACAAGAATTGCGCACGTAGGACAAATTCAGGCAGAAACTCTGCACATCAGCACTTAGAACAGCTTGTGCTCAAGAGTCATCTCAGACTCAGGCTGCAGACCAACACAGGCACGGAAGATGTTGATCAGAGCAGAGCGCTGCTTGCCCAAGGCGTTGACAACGGGGGTACCGGGAGGAGTCAGAGGAGCCTTGAGCATGTAGCTGAGAATGCTCAGAACGCTGTGGAAGCCCTTGTACTCGGCACCCTCCTCATCAGTCTTCCAGCTGACACGGGTCATCATCTCGGCCAGAACAACCAGATCAATGATCAAGGGCGAGGCCAGCAGAGAGTCCTCGCAGATGTTGAACAAGCTGATGGTCTGATGGCCACCCATGAAGATCTCAGCGTAGTACTCGTCAAGAGCACGCTTGTTGTCACCGACAGCAGGCATGTACTTGATAACCACGGTGTGGTCAGGGTGCTCGTCCTTCTCGTAGAGGATGTGGTTGGCAGCAACCATGTCATCAACGACGTTGGACTTGGAGATCTCCTTGGAGCGGAACTGCTTCTGCGAGCTCAGGTTCTTGCCGTCGTTGTTACCAAGGTGGTTGTAGCTGGCAATGGAGGTGAGCTTGATACCGGCGTTGATCAAGAAGTCGACCAGGGCGGACTTCATCTTGGTCTGGCCAGACTTGAAGTCGTCACCGCCAATGAAGGCACGGTGCTTCTCGGCAAGCTGGAGAGCACCAGGAACAAAGGTGTTCTGGGGAGATCCGTTGATGAACGGAGTGTTCTCCAGGATGGCAGCAACAGCGAACACAGTGGAGGGAGAAACCTCCTCGTGACCGGCCTTGATCGAGTTGATCAGGTTGTCGGCAGTGTCGTTGACACCGGGGACGATATCGGCGTAGCGCTCAGTGTTAGCGGTCCACATGATGATCACCTTGTCCAGGCCATTCTGAGCCTTGAAGTCACTTTATTAAGAGTTAGCTGAAGTCATGGAAAATGTGATGTCTGGGCTGAACTTACCGAATATCCTGCTGGATCTTCTCGACGTGGGCCCAGCAAGCCTTGGTACCCTCCAGAACGTTGTCCGCACGGTCTTCCTGGTTGGCGGCAATGAAGTCTGGGTAGTAGATACTAGGCAGGGGCTTCATCTCGGCCATCTCCTTGCGCACAAGAACCTTGAGGCTGGGCTCGAGGACCTGAGCACGGTCCATGGATTCAGCCAGGTTCAAGCTGCTGATGTCCCAACCACCAATGGTCAGGTCATTGGGGTGAACCATCGGAAGCAGGTCATGGAAGGGGATGTTGATCTCCTCTCCAGACTTAGTGTCGGTACCGAGCTTGACGGTAGAACTCATAACAATAGAACCATAGTAGTTGGAGGTCTGCTTGCCCTCGCGGGTCTCCCAAGAGAGACCGCGGCGGTTGGCGAGGATACCAGCAGTAACGGTGGAACCATTGTTACCACCCCATCCGACCAACATCATACCAATCTTGCCAACCTTGCGGTCGACCTTGAAGTTGTAGTTGGTGGCCTTGGGGGTGGCAACGAGCTTGTTGTCGGCGGTGCGAGTGATTTCAGTAGTCTGATAGGCGTACTGACTCTTGATCTCGTCGGCGGTGTAGACGACATTGGGGGACTGGACTGTAAACAGAGGGGAGGATTGAGAAGCCGACCCGTTCACGGAGCCATTGGCACTTTCCACGCTAGCGTGAGGAGCCATTTTGTTCACAACGAGGGATTGCGGGATGTGAACTTGGGAAATAAACTGTGGAGCGTGGATGCTTTACAGAGAGTAAAGTGAATTGTCCGGTGCTCCTCCGCGGCTGGAGGTGCGTCGGCCGTTGAACGGGTGGTGGCGGCTGTAGAGAAAGCATGTCAATTGTCTGTCTCATCCTGCTGTTGTTGCTGCCATTGAAGTGTGGTTGCGTGGTTGCGTGATCCCGCAGATGTAGGTTGACTTACGAGTTAAGGTGTGTGGAGAAAATTTTGACGGTTGTATTTGATCACGTCTCAAGAGAGTGATCGACCTATTGATAAGGCTTATACGAACCGGTTAGGGTAATGAAGGGGGAAACGAAGAATGAATTGGTTGGAAGAGAAGAAGAAGAAAGAGGAAAGAATGGAAATCTAAATAGTCAATTCCACGTGAGTGACTCCGCTCGGCTCCGGGGTTCATTCCCCCCCCCCCCCTATCTCCCCCTTTTTTTACCAACTCATAATGTTGGGGCAATCCCACTTGTTTCTTGGTGGATCTGTATTTTACCTTCGCTAATCCCTCCGAGCTAAACTCTCTTAAGATCAAAATTCGGGATGAGAATATGATTGGCCCTATTCCTTACGGACCTTACGGATTACTGCTATCCGGGGGCCATAAACCACCCACTCATTCTCGAATCTCGCCTAATGGTGTTTGCGTACTCGATACTCGATACTAAAGTGGATCGATTCACACAAAGAAAAGACAGGATCCGTATAGTTCCGATATACGGGTACGAATATACGTAGAACTACGGAGAACTCTGGAGTACTCCGTAATCTCCATCAAGATCCATAATAACCAATGGCACTTGGCACCGAATGCCCCATCAGGACCAGGTTTCCTTTTATTAGTGTTGCCTGACATTCAGATGTCCCTAGGCAATAAATTACAAGTTAGGTTGAAAGAAACTATGTGTATGATATTCTATTATTGAAGTCTATACTCTCTCAATCTTGTACATATAATGATCATCAATATTATGTGTATATGTCTATACACTGATAACTACCCCTCGGTCTCGACCCAATAAGTGATCCGTGCTTGACAGCCGCGCGGGGCAAAAAAAAGGGGAAAATGCGGTCAAGAACAGACTAAGAACAGAGTTGCATAAAGATGTTTGCGGCCTTCACACCGCACTTTCAATTACTACTAAAAGTACGGAGTACTACTAGATATATGAAAATCTCTATAAGTTTAATGCACTCATACCAATAAGTGCTAGTAATCACTAAATATGGGTTAGAGTAGGATAAAACATTCCTCCAATTAAATTAAATTGTATTTAAGCTGACAGAAATTTACAGAATATTATTAAATCTGGACTAGCCACAGGCGCAGGTACCAGATACTTCCACAATCAAGTCAGATGTCGCCATTTTAGGCACTCATGTGCCTCTTATAGACTCGGTGAACTTAACTAAGGAATTCAGATGGATTCCACCAATACTAGTACATGGATACTGACTGGAGTAATCCTGGGTGCATTTCAGTACTGCATTTATATATTGCTAGTCATATTCGAAGTTCTAGAATGTAGTACTCAACATTTGAAGTCATGGTGCTTGTACTAACCGCAGATATTGCCCTTAATAGGTAATAGTACTACTGCCACTATTAGTACTTTGGCTTCAAGTTCCACTAGCAACTTGAAGCCGGGCGTTCATCTGTGAAACTGGTCCAACCAGGTGACCTCGGGTCAGGCTTATCCCGCCCTTCGGATAGTCTCGTCTTGATTCATTCGCTTCAGCTCGGGGCCATTCTCTAGTATGTCAGACTAGAATCCATGTCTATTCACGGGATGACGAGCCAACTTCGTGGTCATGATCCTCCAAGTAATCATCAACCGTAGCGTCGGGGGCCATTGGTTTCACGCCACTGCGCTCCGCTAAGCGACTTTCAATACCGAACAGTCGAGACATTTCCTCCAAGGTGCGCCCTCGAGTCTCCACTAAAAAGCCATGTCGGTCAGTGGATACTACCATCATACTAGTACTCGGCTCAAGTGACGATCAACAACCTACCTAGGCAGTACCGAACAAAGAAAAATGCTACTACACAGATCCCGGAGTAGATAATGTATAGACCCCAACCAATCGCATCTCCAATAGGTGGACTGGCTTGCGCGACAATGTAACACGCGGCCCACAGCGACGCCGTACTGAGGGCATTGCCCTTGGCCCGCATAGAGACGGGGAATATCTCGGCGGCGTAGGTCCATGATCCGACACCCCAGCTGATATTGAAAAACACATAAAACAAGTATGGAAACATGATGATCGTGTAGTTGGCTGGGTCGCCTGGGTGATGCTCGGCGTGCCACTGCAACACGGCTATACCAATCATTGCACCCATCATTCCGACGGTTCCAATCTGCAGCCATGTTTTACGTCCCAATCGATCGAAGAAGAAAATTGGGATCCACGAAGTCACAAATAAAACAACGCCAACACCACCGGTCGCTAGATTCGCTGTGCGTGGATTCGTAATCCCTCCTCGTTCGAAAAGGGATGGCTATATTATATGAATCAGCGATGCTCACAATACTCACCGAGTCGATCCGGGCTCACTTACAGTGTAATACAAAATCGAGTTTGTTCCTGTGATTTGCTGCAAGAACTGAACGCCCATTGCCAACAAAGTGACCCGTAAAACGGGCTTGGTGAACATATCCTTCCACGTTGCTTGACTAACAGTATGTTCGATTTCAATCGATCCTTGAATCTCTAGCATTTCCAGATCGGCAGCCTCAGATCCATGGAGTCTGGTTAAGACTTCGCGGGCACATTCATGTCGATCTTGACTGGCGAGCCATCGAGGACTAGGAGGAACCCAGAACCAGCACCCGACAGCAAGAATTATTGCCGGCACGATCTGGATGGCTAAAGGGATGCGCCACCAGTCTTTGGTTTCAAGCAAGTTAAACCCATAGTTAAGCCAGAATGCAACTAGTTCTCCCAAGCATAAGATCATCTGTTCGATTGCCACAATGCGGCCACGAATTGCTGGCGGAGAAAGCTCTGCTACATAGAGAGGAACTCCTCCAGCACAGGCCCCGACACCGTATCCTAGGATAACTCGTCCAATGGTCTGCTTGTTTTAGCGTAATGCTCAGAGCCGTGAGGAGGATGGGTAATGCTTACGATTTGAGTAATCGAGTAAGATGCCGCCTGGAGTATAGCCCCGACAATGAAAACGAGACAAGCAATCGCCAGAGTTCGTTCACGACCGATTGGATCTGCGAGCCATCCAAGGGACATGGCTCCGATGAAGCATCCCACATCATATAGAGATACAACCATCCCTGTTACCCCTGGTTACCGTGTCTTAGTACTTAGTTCTTCACGGATAATATCAAGCCTGCACGTACAAGAATTCTGAGGATGTATCAGATCAATCCATCGTTGATCAGCTACGATCACTCCCATCACCCCTTGATCATACCCGAATAGGAACGCGCCCAACGAAACAAAGGCTGTGACGGCGTATAGATAATTCGGGTTTCCCTCCTGACGTTGAAGAGGATCAATCCCGGCCGGTGGTCGAATAAGTTTGGTTTGCTTGATGGATAACATGGTGACTGAAAATCCAAAGACGAGCATAGTGAATAATAGCAAGAGCCATCCGTCACATATTATACATCTCGTGCTCCAACACATACGGTCCGATCCGAGGTCCCATCTAGAAACTGGGGGTACTTTCTGGGGTATTGATGAGTCTGGACCTAGATGCCTCGGCGGTACTCCGTTCGAGGGCGAGTGGAGGAATGTCATCCCCGCGAGATAGATAAACTGCGGGTGTCAACTTCCCCTTTGTCGTGAAGATGGGGATGGGTCAAGCCACTTTGCGTCGATCCTTCCTCTCTCTGGACTGAAAGGGGGAATTGGGCGCGCTGGTTTAGTCTGTGCGTCTAAAGTGCGGGGGTGCGTGGGGATGCTTCAGACAACATTGAAGAGTGAGTGTGAACTTGAAGAGAAGATGTCCGATTTCGATCTTATTGCATTTGATAGCATGACCCGGCTTCGGGCAAATATTTTATCTAGCAATATAGAAGAAATCAACGCCACACTCGCAGAATTGCGAGACAATCTCGACGACGAAACCTTTCAAGCAAAAACAGGCTCTCTTTTTCGTGATGCGATTGAGAAGAATGAATTTCAATTAGTCGATTGCTATCTCCGGAACTATGCTTCTATCAATTCTCAGCTTATTGTGAAAGCTACCAGAAACACATCATACCAAATTTTGGAGCTATTTCTTAACTATGGATGGGACATCAACATGCCAATTGACTCATACTCTCCTCCTGCTATAGCGTATGTTAAGCTCCGAGTCTTCATGATCTTACTATCTTACTATTACCTGCTAGTGAGTATAAACTGATTATCTTTTATAGATTTTCCTTCCATGATAGTGACTTCACACAGTGGTTTCTAGCACATGGAGCAGATCCTAATCGACGATCTCATGAATATACCGACTGCACACCATTGTCAATCGCATTCAAAGAGGCCGACTTTGCAATAATTCAGACAATTCTCGACCATGGTGCGTCTTTACGGCACGGCCAAATTATACATTATGCGGCAATGCGTGAGCTGGATGACCGATTGGAGGTTCTTACATATCTTCTAGATCGAAAGCATGACTCAGTAAACAATATCATGTATGAAAATTGCGGCGATGAGTACTACTTCCATATGTTTAGTGGCATTGGTACCCCACTTCACCATGCAGCCGCAGGCGGATTATTAGATTCAGTCAAGCTCTTGGTCCAGTACGGGGCGTTGCCCCGAATGAGAGATCCCGCAGGCCAAACTGCTGCTGAATGGGCTAAGATGCACGGTCGCAAGGCTATTTTTGACTTTCTCAACCTTTATCTATGAGGAGCCACCCAGAGGATTTCCAGTTTACAGATGCACCCGGGCGCCATTTCAGGCCTAAGCCACTGGAGGAGTCCATCATGAATAAAGTTCGGCTAGTTTAGCCTGCTACTGAGATTTGTTCTCAGGCATTGTTTTCTCGACTTTTTTCCTGCTCGAAATTCGATAATGTCACATAACTTGAAGTTGCATGACGGCGTATGGTTGATCTTTGTGATGAGTTGGTATCTAGCCATTTGACCTCCCTCAATGTGAGTGAAGTAATACTTACACTTGAGGAGCGGACTGTGATCTAGACCTTTGAAAGCCAACTATGCCTTTGCGTAATTCTAAACATGCATGTGCAAGACATAAAATGATTTTTCGGGCCGAGTCGTTGTGTTATCAAATCCCGCAAAGTAAGGGCGTGAATGGAATGCTGGCGCAGCAACAACCTATTACAGTGAGACACCAAGTATGATTAAATGATCCGCAATCTGCAGAAAAGCACAATGAGAAGATAAACATCCTTGGAAACCTCCTGGCTTCTACGGTCACATTCAAGCATCCGTTGCGTGTCCAAACATCAATCATTACCGTTGCGCTCACCATTCGCTCCTCGCTGAGCCTTTGAGCGCGATATGTCACGGTTCCTTGGCATGCGAGGGAATCGCCTCAATCTTGTTGCATTATGTGGCGTAACAATGCCATCCTTGATGTCATTCGGATACAACCAGGTCCTGCTTGGTGGTGTTTTGACACTACGGAGCTTCAACGATGAATTTCCTGAAATCGACGTGGCCAATGCAGCTCCTTCAGACAAACGGAGAATTTCTGTTATTCAAGGTACAGTTGTGGCATTATATGCGATTGGAGGACTTTTCGGCGCGCTTTTATGCATTGGATTGGGGGATATCTTGGGTCGCCGTCGAGTGATTATGGTGGCCTCGGTTCTTCAAATATTGGGGGTGGTGCTCATGGGAAGCGCATATTCATTCGCCCACCTCATTGTCGGTCGAACTGTCCTTGGCCTTGGAATTGGTGGCCTGATGGCGACCGCTCCTGTTTGGCAATCAGAAATATCACCCGCAGCGAAACGAGGCACCCATGTCGTGACCACTGGGCTGTTTGGAGGCATTGGCGGTACGATTGCTTTGTTCCTAGACCTCGGCATGTCCTTCACACCTGGAAGTGTGGGATGGCGCTTCCCATTCGTGTTCCAGGGTCTCTTTCCCTTGATGTCAATCGTTATAATCTGTTTTCTGCCAGAGTCGCCTCGCTGGCTTATCATGCAGAATCGAGTGGAGGAAGCGCGAAGTGTCCTGGCAGCCCTGGAGTCAATTGAGCAAAGTCACCCGAAGATTGACGCTGAAATCAAGGATGTGCAATCATCTCTTAGTCTCACTGGTGAAGGCTCTCTGCGGCAGGTCTTCCACATGGGTCCACAGCGGGTTCTTCATCGTGCGTTTATAAGTGTGGCTGCAATGTCCTTTTTGCAGCTCACTGGTGTCAACGTCATTGCATTCTATAGTAGGTCATGCTCAGTCCCTGATTGTTGGATATAACTGACTCTTTTCGAAGCGACCACGATATTCGAGACCTACCTAGAGCTAGGCTCGATCATGTCCAGAGTCTTGGCTGCCGTATATCAATCAGTCGCCCTGGTTGGGGGCACATTTTGTATCTTCACCGTGGAAGAATTCGGTCGGCGAAATTTGATGTTAGCAGGTGCTGCAGGCAATACTATCTGCTTGGCTCTTGTCGCGGGACTAGGCTCTCAGCCTCTTAACCAGACGGCTATCCACGCGGCTGTGGCATTCATCTTCCTATATCATTTCAGCTTCATTGTCGGATTTGCCGGTGTCCCCATTTTGTATGCGACGGAGATCGCTCCCTTGAAGATGCGTGGGACGATCAATGGCCTGAGTCTCGGCTTCTTTTGGGCATTCTGTGTGCTTATCGCAGACATCACTCCGATCGCTTTCGAGGCTATTGGCTGGCGGCTTTTCATTATTTTTGCTGCGGTCAATCTGGCCATTGTGGGAGTTGTGTATCTCTTCTTTCCAGAGACTGCGGGTCGTACGCTTGAGGAGATAGATGGGATTTTTGTCTCCTCGACTACTATCTGGGATCCGGTATGGGTGGCTAAGCGATTGCCACGGTCAACGAATGGGAAGCTTCAGGCTCAGAAGGACTTGAAAGAGCGATGTCAAGGTAGGAGAGCTATGTAATGATCATTAGTCCAAATCTCTGCCAGAGTCGGACAATGTAGAACACGCTGATTAAATAGGAGCATAGATAGAATAGAGGCCTGTCTTTATAGGAAAAAATATTCAGGTTGGAACTCTGGGGGAAAAGAATTAAATAAAAATGTTGGAAGCTGGAATCGAACTGGGGACTTTCAAATCAATATCCAAATCAAGTTGAAACATTGAAATCGGGTGTGCACCTGGGCAACGGAGATGCTGTGAAATAGCCTCACTTGATACACTCATCACCACCACATAATCCCTAATATCTCACTCATTCTTGGTTATTTTTGAATTCCGAGAAGACGAATAGAAAGAGCAAGTCTGAAAGTAGTATACATAAAATTATGAAAAAAGTTCAAAAAAAGAATTGACCCTTTAGCCACCCGCCCTCTGGTGTCGCCTCAACCATCGATCAGGGCCAGACCATCCTGATAAATGCCTCTGTCCTCCACCTGGGCAGTCAGATACCGCTGACCCTTGGACCAGCTGGGCTGAGTTGTTACTCTTCTTCTCCTCAACTAAATTATATAGGAGCTTTCATTTGTCTCTGCCTTACTTGCAAGGTTGCCACGTAAAAAGTCCACAAACCGATATAGCAAGCAAGCACTACCAGGTAGCACAGATGGTATCTAGAGAGAACTAGTTTGAGGGAACTAGTATTAACAGCACTGAATATGATAATCGAATTTTATATACTGAGTCTATCTCAATGAGTATCTGGAAGGTTATGGTGCCTAAGTGGGTGTCGATCATAAGGAAAGTGCCACCCCCACACTTCGACCCCACGTAGTTCAGCTCCCCCCTCATCTTTGTACCTTTCCACATCTTAACCATGACTACCAGGAATCTTCAATGTTGGTGAGTGGAACGTACTCAAATTCCTCATTGCATGATACTGACTATTTCATAGTGATCCATGTCGTCTACTTCATCATAAATGTGACTGCCTTTCCTCGCAATGCGTCCCTTTCTCTAACTGGAATAGGTGATGGGATTCGACCAAAATGCGGCCGATGTCTGCGAACAGGGCGAGCGTGTCTAAGAGGCGAGAAGCGAATGCAGTTCCGACAAGCTAAAGACCGTGGATTTCGGACTCGATTCCCGCGTAATCAAGTTTGGTTAAAGCCGCCACCTCGAGGTTGGTCAAAATAAGTCTATACTACTAGTATTCCTCAGATCCATGCAGTTCTAACAATATTTCCGTATATCAGTGGATTTTATCCTCGAATCAGGAAGCGGTGATACAGTGGATGACATAGAACAGCCATTGAAAATTGACAACTCGGAACACGCGAATACTACAGTGGACTCGGACACCGTTCAAGTCAACTATGAGCAACTCGAAACTACAAGCTTAGAGACGCCGTCTCTTCCTCCAACAGAGTTAGAGTCAGATCAATATCCCTACTTACCATCGGTCGGTGGGCGCCCGAGCTTGCGGCTCAGAAGACGCTTTTGGCCTCTACGAGACCCGCGAGAAGCCCATCTCTTGAAGCATTTTGTAGATCGAATTGCATCATTTGTGAGCCACCACAGTACTCTGCAAGAATGTCATGGATCTGACTGTCGGGTGCTTAGTTTGACTGCACGGATCGACAACAGCATTTTGCGGTCCATATACCATATCGCGCACGCTATTGTGATACCTTGTTCAACGCAATCATGGCTTTATCCGCTCGCCACCTCAGCCATACGGCCCAATTCGATACCTTCCTGTCAGATCATTACTACCAGGCATGTCTCGAGACATTGATACCTTCATTGAATGATCACGAGGTTACCATGGATGATGACTTACTCGCTGCTACTGTGATTCTCAGACTGCTGGAAGAATTTGACGGTGAGTTCATCACCCACTCTTCTGCACTTTATTTAGAATTGAGTCATCTGACGGCGAGCATAGTCCCACTCGCAGGGTCGGATCTTCGTGGTCACTCTTTTGGTACCAAAGCGTTTATTCAGGGTCCTCCTCCATCAATGACTACAACTCCAAGCCTACGACAAGCCGTTTATTGGAGTGGTCTGCGCCAAGAGATTTACAATGCTTTGAGTCTACAACAAGCTCCGGATATTGATCTGAGCTCCCTGCACTCTTTATTCACCGCACTAGGTCCAGATGCTGGAGACTGTGCCTGGGCCAACCAGTCGATTGCTCATTGCGCTGACGTTCTTCTTTTCTGTTTTGGCACGGGCCCGCGGTCTGTGGGTGTGTATGAAACCCTGCGCAAACAGTACGAGCAATGGAGTGAAGCTCGTCCATCATCTTTTGACCCATATTTTGTAGGTGGCGATGAAGTGGAAGTGGGTGCATCGTTTCCTGATATTCGCTTTAGCTCTCCCTGGCATGGTAGGTTTCCCGAATTTGATCACCTTCATGCAGATCTTCGGCCTAAACTAAATCATGCCTGTCAATTCTCAGCGATTGGGAACCAGTATGCAGAACTTGCACGGATTCTCCTCGCCGTCCATGACCCTACTATCCCGACTGTAGGACCTCTACGAAGGCGGGTTGTACAAGAAGCTGATGTGAGTATTTTCAATAAGCACTGCCAGGGGATACAAAACTTTAACCACTGGTACATGGTTCTAGTCGCGAATCCGCAAGGGGGTATGGACTGTCTGTGGTGTGGCATTGTCAAATGAATCTGTCCCCCCGGGCTATGGTCATTGGCTGTATGGCCATCCATCTCTGTAAGCACATCTATCTCGGGATGAGGATATTTTGGGACAAACAGAATCCGTCACTAAACAACTTCAGGTGGCGACCGATTTGCAGATCGGCAGGAACAAGAACGATTAATTCAAGTTTTGGCCCGCACGGACTGCTTACATGGTTGGCCGACCCACGCTCTTCAACGACAGCTCCGCGATACTTGGGGAATGTTATGAATCGCTATTCAAGATTCTCTTGAAATTATCAACGTATCTGTTACGACGGATTCTTTGCGATCAATACAAATGAGGCTCATTAATCTACAGTGTACGAGTCTATCGCACATAGACCTTCCGGACCCGTACGGCGCACTCCGTAGGCAGGACGCGCTCCCGCCCCTGACCCCCTTTTTTCTTGGCCCCACTGAAATTGTCAGATGTCGGGGGGTGAGCTTGAATGAGCTGCGTCACACGGGGCCAGAAAGCACACGCGTTGCTGACTCGCATGAAAAGGATGTCAACGGTATCTTCGGTGGAAAAAGCAACCAACCGGCTGATGCAGGAACAAGTCATGTTGGTCATTACCACTTTTGAAGAAATTAGATAGTACGGATACGACGAAGGAAGATAGCGATGATCCAAAGTCCAGACCATCGACAACTGTCCTCTGTATGGACAATCCCAGTCGGAGACAGCAACCTCTGTCATGGGGCTCTTTCATTGACTGGGGGTGGGCTTGGTGCTCGGGCGCAAGTGCACGTCAGCGTTCAAGTTCGATCCAGATCAAGGGGGCTAGTTTCCTTTTCTTCCTTGAAGTTCATGTTTAGTGTCCCCACTCGATCCTGCATTGACTCTCTAGGGAAAACATTATACGGAGTATATAGCCCAGGCGATCATAATTGGCTTTCTTATGTGGCATGAACACGGCGCAGGCACCAGTGGAACCTGAGGATCCGAGGACCCTTGTGCATACAGGAACTGTGAACAAATATTATGTTTACGAAGTCCGAAGCACAGGATCCAATGGATTACACAAAGCGCTTACAAGAATTTCCCGGCGGTCACTTTGAAGTACAAAGTACAAAGTACTCATGAGCCATTCATGAATTCGGGCATCTCGGATTATAGGAGTGGAGTTCCTCGTAACACAGGACACACAAAGCATCAACATCAAATGGATATGGATTGCATCAAATTTTTGTGGAACCACTTAGTCTTTTTTTATTTATATATTCTGATATGATCTCACAATGTTGTGTTTTTTTATTTTTATGATTTTACCCCTGAACGTGACGACTTATGAGTACTTACGAATCTTTCCATCCGCACTGGAGACGCTACAGCACTAGCGTGGTGCATGGGGACATTGACTGGTTCCCGCTTCCGACTCAACTTGGCTTGAATCCACTCACTCAATATAGGCGATCGACCCAATTTCCAAATACGACTCCACTGCTTCTTCTTGAATCACCCCTTCCAGAAGACCTTTCTTTTCTATCTCAGGCTTTCCCACCCCGCAATTAATTGTTTTAGAGGGATGAAGTTGGGGCTTGTTGGCCCATTGAACTCTTATGACCCAGGTGGTCTGTGATAGAAGATGGCTACAATGGATATGGGCTTCTTGCCTACGATTAAATGCTCCAGCTGTGGGAACAATGTCGAGATCTCCGCCATGGGGGACCATGTATGTGCCCCAGTCATCCATGGTATGTACATTGTGCCCCTCCAATCTTCTTCCAAAGGATGAAACACATATAAAAATAATTAAAGGGAAGAACAAACAAGCGTGAATATACTAACTCATATTTAGCCCCTATTGCACCTCCATCACCACCACCATCAGCTGGGTTCGAATCACCAAATCAATTGACAGCGGCGATGGCCATGAAGCCCGGCCGGTCTGCCCCGCCACGAATTGATCCTTCAATAGCAAGTATGTATTGTCTCGTGGAAGGCTATGATCCTCGTGCAAGGGCGGTGGGCTTCTGTAGATTAGCTGCTAACAAACAGGTTAGACCGCGCATTTCTTCAACCAAATGTGACAACGCCAGCAAGCAGTATTGGTTCTCGTGCCCCATCACCTCTCTCAACATCAGCTCCTCGTTCTCCCTTACCATCTCCTGGAGAGCGAATATCGCCTGACAATGAATCCGTGATTGATTTGGACTCGGTGTTCTCCTTTCCAATGCCAGGGAATCGAGATCCAACTCGGATATCGGCACAAGGGTTAACAGGGAACGCACGTAATCGGTCTCCAGCGCCAACGCCTTCTCCGCGCTTGGGACTTGGGCTAGATCTGGTGCCAGAAAACATACAGCTGCCTCCAAGCCCACTACCACCCCCACCTAGGGAGTCCGCCCAAACGCAGTTGAGCCATCAACGCTGGGATTCTATGGCTAGCCATAGCAGCTATCGAACGTCGATGGCAAGTACTCGTTACGGAAGTTCGACTGCCAGATCTTCAACCCACAGCTTCTCGCGCGGCTTTCGAACCTTTATGGATGAGACTCCACCGCTACCGCCAGCTCCTCTTCGCACGCCAAATAAGGCGTCTTTCCCACGAGATTCAAATCTATCAGTTGGCGCATCTTATCGGGCAGAGACATATAGCGGATTTGATTTCGGCATAACGACAGACACACATACAAGCTTGGATGACCTTCCTGAGGAACATACGCCTAGTATGATCGAACCAACAGTGAATCACGATCAGTTCTTTGACTTCTCCAACGATAATTATCTCCATCCCACCGCCGCTAAATCTGAGTATGAACCATACAGAAAGAATTCCGATGCTACAAGTGAAGGGGCTCTCTCGATAACAAGCTTTGCTCGTGCCTTGGGACTCGAAGATCACATTCGGGAGGGAGAAAGTTCATTATCATCAGAATCTTCGACATCCGAGACGCACAGTGGGAGCTCCATGTCTAGTCTTCCCTCTGATGTGAGCCTTACTAGACATAAGCCCACTGATCCTCTCAATCTTGAACCTTTAGTCGAAGAAATGCCTGCTCGGACACGGCAGACAATTCTCGAATTACCTGAGAGACGCACGCTGGATGGAGTGCCTACCATCCCGGCGGCTTTTTTCAGTCCGGACTCACCCACAGACCCAGCCATTACTCAAGGATCTTTGTCCTTGATTGTCGAGAAGCGAGATTTAAAACAACAACCAGAGCCCGCGCCAGAGCCAGAGCCAAAAGAGCCTCCATCTCCAAGACCGATTCAGCGATCAGCTACATTGCCTATTCCTCCTACTCCAAATCGTCCCCCGACCCGGTCTGCGACACGAAGTAAGGGCCAATGCAAAGGTTGCGGTGAAGCAATCACCGGAAAGTCAATCTCATCGTCAGATGGCCGTCTAACAGGTCGCTACCATCGCGGTTGCTTTGTTTGTTTTGAATGCCACTCGCCCTTCCAAACGGCCGATTTCTACGTTCTAAATAATCGTCCTTACTGTGCACAGCACTATCACGAGCGGAATGGATCTCTGTGCTCCACTTGTAATACCGGTATTGAAGGTCAATATCTAGAGACTGTTGAGCCCAATCCGAACAAGCCTAGTCGTCGCCGATTTCACCCTACATGTCTGCAGTGCCGTACCTGTCATGTATTGTTGAACGGTGACTACTTCGAGTGGAATGGGGAGGTCTATTGCGACCGAGATGCTCGGCGTGCAGCAGCAGCAGCTTATCACCCGCCACCAGCTGGTCGTCGAAGGCCTCCAGGATCTTCTCCCTTGGCTCAATCTCGCAGCTATGGCCCTCCCAGTGGACGTCCCCCTCCCTCTTCCGGTCCTGGTCAGAACCTTCGTCCTGGCCCTCGCTTTCCCTCCGGTGGTGCACGACGTTTCCCTGAGCGTCGAACCACCAAGCTCATGATGTTCTGAGCTCACACTTATATTTTAACGTCACTTGACCCTCCTTTTGCTTTTAGACAGCGTTATACCCTTCATATTCTTGGCTCTGCATCATTTATTCCCGCTGCCATTGAAACCGGCGTTTTCCATTCGTTTTTCATTCATTCGTTTTATTTCCCTCTATACACACTACCCTACATACTTCTCTTCTTAGTGATTATTGTTTCAAGTTTCATATAGCGCCGTCATTTGGACCGGGGATTTACATAGCTTTCTAGTCACGGTCAAAGGTACATCCCGTGTTCAGGGTTGGTTCCATTGGGTCGGTGTTTGGTTTCGCGACATCCAAGGATGTTCGCTGTTCATACTATCTTGTACTTAGGACCGGGTGGTTATAATGTTTCAACTGCTAGTAATTTGAACCAGAGATGATTTCATATCATAAAGTTATGTGCAATTAATCCCTAAACGCCTATATCCATAGTCTCTATGTCGTTCTCTTTGCCTCAAACTGTACACGTTCCAATGTTGGAAGATATTTGCGCCTGATGACCCACCCAAAAACAAAGACTAAAACCGTCACTAGTAAGACCCTGGTGCGCTGACCAAAATCCAAACGGTCCTGGTCAAGGTTAGCAGTACGAGAGGAACCCTCACTCTGCTCCTTGTGCCAGTTTTCTCGGATCTCATGGAGTCGTTCGGGTTCATCTGTGATAATGCCATCGACTTGATGTCGAATGGCCCAGCGCATTAGATTAGGTGCATTCACTGTCCACAGATACACTCGACGACGTGCAGCGCGGGCTTCCTCCAGGAACCCCCGCCCCAGGGGGCCCATCAATATTTGCTGGTTGACGTTAAAAGATATGCGAGGTACGTGTAGGAATTGACGAGCATAGCTCAAATCAACGCAGATCAATGTCATCGCGTAACGTGGTAGATATTGTGTACTTGGTGGCAGGAATCGGGCAGACCAGCAGCCAAGGACAATTCGTCGATGCCAGTCTGGTCCAATGGCTGGGATGGGAACTGATTCAATAGTTTCGGCAATAGTCTTCATTATGGTTTCTGGGTCATTATCCAGCTAGGAAGCAGTGTCAGCGACTTGAAATCCGTTCTCAAGATTAAAATTGATAGTGAAATTCATTTTGGTTATCAATGACATACCTTGATGTCCAGAAGGACCCATATATGCTCTCGACCTGGCTGTCGAAGGTATTCAAGGACATCTACCAAGCGAGGCATGGGTACATGTGGTGCCATCAGGGTGCGCAGAGTTTTCAACTCTTCCCAGTCGCAGTCAATCACCTTCTTTTTCAACCCGTAGCATCGCTGCAATGTTTTGTCCTATGTATAATGAGAGGTGAAATGACATGTAAGAAGTAGTTTCGCTTACATGCGATAACACGACAACTCCATCTCGGGTGAGATGTAGGTCAAGTTCAAGGGCATGAGTTCCCGCTTCGATCGCGTTTTCTATCGCACAGATCGTATTTTCAGGATATTTCCCCTTATATCCTCGATGAGAGATAATCTGAGGCATAGTTGAGCCATCGTTGGAGATCGGAGAATGTAAAAAATGAGCTGTGACTGGGTTAGATCAAGTTTGCTGGTCTTGGTGGAATATGCCAACAAACCTGGAGGTTCGACGACACTAGTATTCCCTTCTCGGGGAGATGAAGCGTTTAATACCATCATGCACTGGCAGTCTTAAGCTGAGGATAAAACTTGTCAGAAAATGGAAGTTTTGAACTTCATAAAGAAGATGGGACGCCACATTTTCAGCCATCGGAGTTTACGCGGAGTTTATATGTTTCTCCACTGGCACCACCTGGGCACTGGCAGTCCTGCTGCCTGGACTTCAACCTCAAGCTGAGTCGACATACCAGTGCCAATGCACGATTTCAAGGTTCAAATTCTACTTTTAGAGTCCTCGGGATAACTTGAAATACCACTGGCAATGCATGACTCGATGGTGATCTGTGTCCAAGCGCCGCATGAGATTACCTCTTTGTACCACATCACCTTTCATCGAGTGGAGATGAAAACCAGTTGACGACTTGAACTCCATCAAGTTCATCCGAGTCCGTCGGATGACTTTGTTCCCGAATTCCTTTGGTATCCAAGCTTCTATTGGGTCCGCGTCCGCGTTTCTTCCAAGGTTATAAAATTGATGGAGGCTTACTAGTATCCCATGTGCCTCTCCTAGCTTCGAATTCAACCAGTTGACTTGAAGTGCTAATACCTTCAAGTTTCTCGAATAATGTTTTCTTTTAAATTTCAGAATATTTTAAATAAAAACGAGATGATCAAAGCTGAAGAGGTATTAGCATTAAATGCTAAACACGATGTCCAATATGTCATGCTGGGATGCCAGTGGCCAATTAGACAAAAGCATCAACATTAACAGTTGAAAGGGGAGAATCATCCACCGCCATTTTGAGCATGATATTGGCTTAAAAAGCAAGAATTTGAAACATTTGAACATGCCAGTGATCATCCGATGTCCAAGTTTGTACCTAATGCCAGTGATGTTCCGCCACTCACCGCATCTTACCCCACATCATGATACGGAATGCCAGTGCCAGCGAGAGACATACTATATTTTACTATTGAATGTGCCTTTAAATAGTACGAATTTCAAGTCATTATGACCGAGAATTGTGCTGAATTATATCAATTAATTATTCAACTTCCAAGGTTGAAGTTGTGGTTGATTGAAACTATAGAGGTCAACTGGTCTCACTAGGTACTGAAGACCCCGCTATTACTACTAGTAGAATTCAACATTTGAATGTTAAATTCTACTAGTAGTAATAAAAAAAAGAAAAATTCACATGCACATAAGATACTAATAACATCGACTTTAACATGCCCGTAGTGAATCAGGGAATCTATGGTGATCACATCCTCGAATGCCCACAAGTCCGAGACATGATCTTGGCGTTGACTTATAACAACTTGAACTTATAACAACCATAGATGAATACGAACAAATACGAAACGTTTGAATCGAGAGGTAGATCCGGCGCAACTTGAAAGCTTAGGATCCAATATTGATTATTCTCGATATACTATTTCCTGCATTGACCAGCTTCGTTGGTTAGCGGCAGACAATAGGTTAAGTGGGACCATTTTAGCTCTTACTAGTTACTAGTAGATTATTCTTCACGGACTCAAATTAAAGAAGATTTTTACTACTTAATCTTAGATTATGAATTCACCCAATTATGCTCGATGCCTCATTTAGATACATCCCAGTATATCGGATCATTGATCATTCCCACTGGATACTAGAACACCATCCAGCGGGCCGAGGTCTTCTTTCAAACGTGTTCCACCAACTTCCAATGGCTTACAGTCCTGCAGGATGAATGCCATACGTGTCCACTCAGTCTTGCTCGGGTTACGCCAACCATGCATGGTGGCCCGCTGAATGGCCACGTCCCCACGTTGTAACAATACGGGTTCCCCCTCCTCCAGAATCATCTCCACTTGCCCCTCCAACACGATTCCATAGTCCAAACTCTGTGTGCGATGAACGGCTGCTGGAGTATCGGGCGCAAAATCGACAATTCGAAAAACAGTTCCGTTGGGGTTGACCAAACCCAGGTTACCAGATTTAATGACATTATCATGGGCTGCTAGATCCGCATCGTTGTTCAAGTCGGCTGGGAACTGGGAGGTTGTGTACGCAACATTAAAGGCCATAGGTCGAGGCTCGCCCGGTGTGAATTGACCGTGGAAGGAGGTGGGAACTTCGCTCGAGGAGTGTAACACAGCTTTTCCCTCTGCATTGTGACTGGTAATATGTCTGGTGAATGGAGGCAGAGCTGTACCCTGGTGTTGCTCCACGGCTGCTGCGATTTCTTCGCTGTGAGACATTTTGAGGACTGGGTTGTAGAAAGATAGAAGCAGATGAGATGAGGTGCTGGGAACTTGGGGGTCTTGGGCACTATTTATTAGATCTCCTCATTTTTGGAATAGCCCGGATTCCGGAACATGTTAAAATCACTGCACAGTGACACGTAAAGTCTCAAATTTGCCGGCAATTATGGGGTTTCGGCTTTTCGGTGTGAATGATCATTAGTGTGGATGTACTTCGTACTCCGTACTGCGTATCACATGCAGGGAAGTGGATTGGAGCTTGGGGGGCGGATCGAGGGTCTTTAGACTCTTTACCGTCAACTGGTTAAATTCATCATCAGTTGGCATCAGTTGGCATCTTCAGGTTCATATGTAAGAAACTACTCTCTTCCAAGTTCACGGAATGTCACGAATATAAACAATTCATTATCCTGATTCCTATTTACTTTTAATCTAATCTTTGGTCTTCTGGGCTAAAATCATATCTTCATCCCACACAAGTCTCCACTCTTAAGGTGGGCATACGTGGAATCTCCATGACCTTAACTTCAACACCCAACGTGGGAGACTAGCTTTCCCCGCAATATCATGGGAATTCATGGGATACTTCGATGACAACTGGGGATTTCTCCATAATGCTACCAGAGACCTGATCATCCAGCGATTCCATCTTGCCCCGCCCCCACACGCTTTGACTGTTCATACGGGGGATTTCGCGAATGATAACTCAAATTTGATTTTATACCAGTTGACTATTTACAGATAACATTTAATCATGTACGCGAAGTATCTTGATCGTAGCAACCATGCCTCCAGGGCTTGAATCACAGAAACCAGCGGAATTCAGGCGATGATGGTCCATCTCGTAGTCGGTCTGTGGGAATATCCCGCGCTTGAACCGTGACTCCATCACGACGATCCCGTCGTTTATTATCCAGCCACATGTATAACGCCAATAGACCCGCCAGGCAGGCTCCTGTTGCCCCAAAGGCTGAGACAGTGATCAAGGCAGGCATATACTTGGGCGCATCTTGCTCTCGGAACACATTGCTCGCGACCAATCCCATTAGGTTGGCCAATGGCACACCGATACTCGTAAGAAGGACTCGACGTCCTTCGTGGGCAATATTGTTGTTGTACCATGTACTTAGCATCACGGAAGGAGCTGATGTACCCCATGTCATCATAAATGTAGCAAAGTAAGCCAGCTGCAACTCCTGATGAACGTTGTCGATGGAAGCATAAATCATGAATCCAGTAAATGTGAAAAGGAATCCAAGTACAATAAAGGGCGATCGTAATCGTGTCGCATCTGACATAAACGCTAGAACAAGTAGCATCACGGCTCCAGTGACGTTGGGCGCAACAGTATAGAGGTTGGTTTTGACAGTCGGATAACCTAGTCGGGCCACAATCTGTGGCATGAAAAGTGCAACACCCTGTAGTGGCACTCCCAGGCAAATTTCAATACAGAGGAAAACGTAAGTCGTGGGATGTTTGAAAATAGCAATCGCTTCACGAAAGCGGAATTTCTCATTCACCACTGCACTGGAATCGACTTGGATACGATGAAAAGCCAGGGCTTTTTCCTCCTCGGACAGGAAGCTGGCCTCGGCGGCACTTCTGGGTAAATAAAAGAAGGCGAATGTTGAGAACAGAACGGTCACTGACCCTTCGATGATGAAGAGATAGCGCCAGTTGGGAATACTAGACCCTTTAATCTGAAACACTCCAAAGGCAATTAATCCAGAAAAGGCATTGGCGATGTTAGATGCGGCGTAGAAAATGGCCAGTCGACGAGCCAGCTCTCCACGGCGGTAGAAGGTGGTTAGGTAGTAAATGACCAGAGGGAAAAACGCCGCTTCTGACATGCCCAGGAACCAACGCAAAGCGAAGATTCCACCGAAGTTTCGAGCGGCCGATGACAGCAAGGTGAAACAGCCAAAGGAAAACATCAGAATGGGGAGAACACGGGCCGGACTGAACTTCTTTCCGAGCATGGAGAAGGGCACCGCAAATATCACAAAGGGTACGAAGAAGATTGACAATAGGAGGTTATATTGACCGGACTTGAAGTGAAGGTCTTGAATTTCCTATATCAGTATCAAGTATTGGTGTTTGAGATCTTAAGAGCCTCACCTTCAGTCATTCCAGCGGTCTCAGCATTTCCCAGGTTTCCCTTGTCAAGAGCATTAAACAAGTCTGGCACTCGTTAGCTCGGAGATAATTTGCCTTGGGAGAAGAACTTACACATGATAGCTAGGATTGGGAGTAACCGAATATCGAATCGCCGACAAAGGCGCCGTTCGGCTTTGTGATCAACCACACGTGTGACATCGTCAACGATACCCGGAGCGGATGCATAGCTTTGAAGCTTATCGGGCTCATCAACAGCTTTGAAGGAGGGTGCCTTTGCAGTATCAATCACTGGAACTGCATGGGAAGATGATGGTGGAGGACTAGATGTCATCATGCGATCGTAAAGTTTAGGAAATATCGTATGGAATGTAGAGATCAAATTGTTCAATGAGAACACTTCTCTGCTAAGGGGTCACACAGATTGAGGAAGAGATCTCCTTTATTCGATGTTGTAACGCGGGCATCCCTTGCTCATAAAATGAGAAAGAATGTTGCATCATTAGGTACCCCCCACGCTTCTCCGCATAATAGCCCACGAAAGAAGGTAGTATAGATCCACCATAGACACTGGGTTTCGACGCTTGCATCCTCGATTCAGGGTCCAAGCACTGATTTTCAAGGTTCAAGTTAGTCTTTTGTGGAGAAAGCTCTCAGGTCCGCGATTGTGACATTGCCGAGGTCGTTAAAGGGAATAATCGAGAACATTCCTGTCCCTTACATTAGATCTGATGAACAAAGAGAATTCAGATTCATAGACCAAATAATTAATACTGACTCGAATCTACAACTTTCCATGACTCGAAGTGAAGTTTATGGTTTCATTAAAGAAAAAGTTCTGATCTCTCTACGCATGTGTGCTGATCAATCCCTAATTGAGATCAATGGCTTATGGGATTTCCAAATGCAGCAAAACGGGGTTGCATTCAAGTTCTCATTACAACTAACTACGCCAATCTGGGTTGAGGATACCACAATGAATATCTCAGTTTCAGACTTGTGTCATGGCATATTCATTTTCATGATGGCTCCTTTAGATGGAGAATATCAGACGTTCATCCCCTCCGCGATTTCGCCTCTGCTTGAATACCCTCTTCAGCGCGACTCTTCCATTCATCGTGCCATCGAGACAATGCTGGTCGTCCCTCAACAACATCATCACTGCCCCATCTCATACGAGCCTGGTCCAAGGCATAGTCTGTTTCTCCATCGGGACAGATAATGTAGAACGATCCTTCCTCCAATCCCTTCAGTAGTTCTGTTGCCACTTGACTTGGGTACCAGGCCCCGGAAGGCTTCTTGATTTCATCCTCATTCACTGGCCCAATGTTGCCCATTAGTCCTGTCCACGTCCACCCTGGTACAAGAAGATGAACCGAAATATGCGCAGTTGTTGGATCAGATCGGAGATCATAGGCGAGATGCTCTGTTAGATTTCGGATCGCCGCCTTGGACGCATTGTAAGCTGGGTTCCCAGCACCGGGTGGGTTGGTGATTCCTTGTTTGGAACCAGTCACGACGATGGATTTGGGGGTCTGAGATTTGGAAGAGAGAAGAAGCGGCAGTAAAACTTCAAGCCCGTTCAAGGGACCATTCACATTCGTTTCGAGGGTCTAAAATAGTTAGAATGGGATTTTCAAGAAAAGAAAAGATATTGAATAACCTTGCGCCAATAATCACCGTCCAGCCAAGGCTTAAGTCGGCTTGGGCTGGCTTCCTTTGGCTTATAAGCCTTGCCCGCATTAAGTACAACCAGATCGATGTCTGAAAACTGGTTATTGATATCTTGCGCGATTTGTTTCCATGCCACTGTATCAGCGACATCAAGTGCATAGGATTCTGTCTTGAGTGAAGGATCCAGGTCGATGAGCCCACTCTTGGCCTTCGTCAAATTCTCTTCATCAATGTCCAGAAGTGCTAGATGCATGCCTTTGCTACGACAGAGCTTCGCGATAGCGAAGCCAACTCCCGAGGCAGCTCCAGTAATGAGGGCAGTCTTTTGCGATTGAATGACGGAGGCCATGGTCAATGAGTTCTCAAATTGGTGGTGGAATTGAGGTTTATTCTTGAGGACTTCGAGTTCTATTTAAACTCGATAAGTGGCGGAGATGACCTTCAGTGGGTTCAGAGCTGCAATGTCATCGCGGACTTAGCGGGGATAAAGTGGGGAAAGCTGACTCTTGGAGTTCAACCTTGAAGTTTCATTGCTCTTTCTAGCCGTTGTGTTCTAAGAGTTGGTGTCACACTTGAATTACTAATAATAATGACCATCCACACCTGGGCAAGGTTCCAAGGTGGGATGACTCTCGAGGTCACTCCATAAGTACTAGTCGCCCCAGAATAGCCGCGATTTGAATTACAAGAAATCAAGGATAATTACCAGATATCTCGCTATGGATTGCATTTCGCATATAATTCGTTCCAAGCATATTAAGTACATATTGACACATCTTCATCTACACATTCGACATAACATGCAATTACTCCTACATCATGTGCCTTAGAGGCATTTTCCGAAATCTCGGCGCTAAGATCGCGAGGCAGAAATGACCGCTTCGGGCTTTACAAAGAGAGTCGAGCTTTAACTGCGACGGCGCAGGCGCTGGTTCAGACTGCGCTTCTTGAAAGCATCACCCTCAGTCAGCGCGGTCGCAGGGCCAGGGCCAAAGTCAGGAGTGCCACCCAGAGTGCCGAAGATATCACCGATGTAGTTACGGGGCTTCACACCCTTAGCAAAGGTAGTCTCCCAGCCGCTCAAGATGCCCTCAACAACGTGGATACCGGCGCGGTAGATGTTCTCAATGGAGGGCTCGAAGCCACCACCATCGGCATAGAGCAGGTTCTCAGCAGCAGACTCGCCAGGGTAAGGACGATCGAAGTCAGAGGCGGTACGCATGACAATGATACGAGCGAAGTCAGTGAGCTTGCGAGCGGAAGATCGCAGGAGAACCTCCAGGGTGGCGTTGTCCTCCTGGGCAGTGCTGCAGTATTGGCCAGTTCCGTTGGTGTACAGCTTGGTGGTGTTGTCAAAGGCGCTACCCAAGATGTTACCACTGTAGTAAACATCGGAGGTCGCAACATCACACTCGATAACGCTGGGAGGCAATGTAGCGGCCTTGTACTTGCCACTGACAGTGGCATACTTAGCACGGTAGGCTTGAGCAGTGGCGGAGTCGGACAGATTGGCACGGCGGGCGAACTGAACAGCGAGGGTGCGGAGGTCGGCATTCACCTCAAAGACCTCAGTACCGTAGATGCTGGTAGGGTACTGGTTAGGGTAGTAAGCACCGAAGGGAATGTATCCGGTGGTGTAGTTGCTGGAAAGCTCGCGAATATCAATTTCATATTGCAGCGCAACCTGAACGGCGTATCGGGCAAAGGTGACAGCGCCAGTTGTGGCGCGTTCGGGGTTGACACCTGCAATGCCAGCAATGAAGAAGTAGGTCTCGGTGAGATCGAACAAGGATGAGAAGACGACCGAGCTGACGGTGGTCGCAGCGTTAATCTCGGACTCGCCGGTGACTAGTTGACAGACTTCATAGTTGTCGGTACAGTGAACGTCGGGGTGGATAGGTGCGAGACCAGGAACGGAAATATTGTGCGCAAGAAGGTCGAACTCGGGAATGTTCCACCATGCTTCAGCTTCAGGTTCGAACTATTATATGTGTGAGTATGGATTACCACCAGCATTGAATCAATTGAAAGAGAGATTTTCGCGAATGTCCGTACCATTGACACAATGAAAACCTTGGGAGCAATCTTTTGAGACCCAGTGTGGTCACTGTGGTGATCCTTAGTTGGGACTGCTGCACACAAGGTGCTACCCAGCGCCAGGGAGGCAATCAATCCATTTCGAAGGGACAACATGATGATGGTGAAACTCTGGAGCGGCTCAAAATTTGCAACCTCTGGGGGCTATCTTTGCTTTTAAATATTAAGCAGCTCACGTTTTTCACGCCATTTCCCCTGTTATCACGCGCTACTGAACATTGCAGAACCTCGATCCAGTAAAGATCAACACTGCAAGATGAGGAAATTCTGGTTGTCCATGGTGACTGCTATGCTGATTGGCGTGCACTCGGCTAAGCTCCATAGACTCAACCGTTCTTGATAAAGATTCTGTATCTTCCGGGCGTCCGTGACTGGTCTATTGAAATCGAGGTGGATCTTTGCTTATCATCGGATTTTCCCGGCCCATAAGATGAAGAATAGGCGACTCCACATCACGATACACAGAAAAAGCTTCACGCAATTGTCAGGGGATATTGCTCGTTCCTATCATCATAAATGATGATATATTAGCCGGATAACCAGGTGCCAAGGTTCTTAACATTGCCCAGGTGGGACTCAATCTCCTATACCCCGGGCCACAGTAAGCAATGTAGTTCAGGCTGAAAATCAATGCGGTAGAATTGATACTTATGACCAACCTCGTATCATTATATACTATGCATTGGAGCAAATTGAAACCCTCAAGTGCTTCAAGCTCAGGGCTGCATTTGCATTATGCACAAGGATCAAGTTGGGGTAGGTGTATGGAGTACCCCAGACGAGTATGCATGCAGGATGAATTCCAATTCAATAATGCGGAGGCTTCGGAGCAGTTCGCTGGACTGTTCTGGATTGGTTGTTTATCCTCTCAGCTCAAATGGTGGTAGTTCAAGCTCACACCCCAGACTAATCCGAGTCTGTTCCGAGTCCAAGATTAGGTATTCTAACCTGACTGCAGGTGAGTTCAAGTTAGCGCGAGGCCACATAGTCGTATAGGGATTCTCCAATATTCGTATCCGGTTCAGTTTCTTGCCTGAATTGAAATTTGAGTAGCTGAATGACTGCATTCTACTCCGTAATTCTATTGAGGTTGCTTCCAAGGTTGCATTTTCTGGTTTTGAGCCTGAGGCTTAAATTGAAGCCTGAATAATCGGGCTTGAAAGATAACGTAATTCTCAAGCGAGCGGCGCACCCAAGCGAGTGGCGCACCTACCGCCTACCCTACTGTTTTAATCATAATTATTATTACCATAACGCCATTTTATTAAAATATATATCTAAATATCACAATGATCTGATCTATGTCCTTCGTCTCCACACTTTCGTCATGTCGGAAGCTTTCTCCTAGCTGGCTGAGGGGGTAAAACAGGCGCCCTAGACCGCGGTACGGGAGGGGCAATGGGTGTTTCAATCACCTGTATAGCACGCTGTATAGCTTCCTGGCCCTCTTGAACTGTCATTCCACCCTCATTAGTTCGTGACGCGATTCTTTGGTCGGGTGCGCCACTCGCTTGGGAATTACGTTAAGGCACAGTTGACAAACCAAGAATAAGGCACCAACAGGCATCAATAATAAGGCACCAATGGGGCACCAACATTAAGGCCTCAAAATTAAGGCACCAATAATCATGAAGAAAAACAACGTTGAATGTTGAATGATTGAAGATGCCGAAGGATTTGCTCGCAACGTTTTGAGCCCCAAGTTTTCCGATGTCTCCACTATGAAGCCGATTCATCGATCATTCAGAGCCGTGCTCATCTCGTTCAAATGTTCAAATTCAAATTGAGAACTACTCCTAATCTACTCCGTACTGTGGCAATTGCAAAATTGAACATGTCTGATCTGACTTCTTAACCGCTGAACAGGGGGTTGTGAAGGAATCTTCAACACCAATCGGCGTTTTACCATGACCAGTTCATATGTATCTTGCTCCACCATTTGGTACTTTTTATTTCTTCAAACCTGGAACCTGGAACTGTAGGGATCCTTTCCCCTCGCTTTTCCCTCGCTACGCACGCGACGAGCCCCATTGAAGTTGATTACAGTCCACATCGTTTCTCCTTCGCAATTAGGCCACACTGTGCAATAATGTCACGGGCATCGATACTCAGTCGGGCTAGAGGAGTGGAACAATCTGGGAAGTGGGTTGCGGCAGAGGACGGACCGACCTCAAGTGATGCTCCTTAGTCTCGGAATTCGGATCCGCTCATATTAGTTATTCGTCACTAGCTCTTGATTAGTTCAAATTCCCTGAATCAAGGTGAAAAAATTCTTTTTTTTTCTTTGCAAAAGGAGTTCAGCCTCGGTTTGCTGTTTGTCACTGAATTCTTAGTGTTTTTCGGCTACTTCGCTTCACTCCGTCCCACTCCTCGATGCCTTCAAGCCTTCAAACCTTCAATTACCTTCTTTCTTTGTCTCGATGAGACGGGCTTAACGGCTTTAACCTTACCACTGCTGGTCTCCCTTTAAACTTTCGTGTTATTGTGATCTATCGCTCTTCTCCCGCCCAATTGCCCAATTGCGTGGAGAACATTGAACCCGTCATATTTCCTTTCGGAAAACTCCACAACGGTTCCGCGGATACATTTTGGATCCAAATGCCGAAAGATCGCCTAACCCGGCCGAGGAAACCTTGTTTTGCAGCATATTCTGGGTCTTTACATCGTTGTTAATTACCCAGGGTGGATAGAGGGTCGTTGAAAAGTGTCGATCTCCGCTTAATGAATAACGGTCTTCCGGGAACTTGAAGTGGAATTCCACATATATACTTGTGCTTTGGCAACTGAACATACCACATACCCCAATTAAAACAAAAAACCGGGGTCCCCATCTGGAGAAAGGTGCACCATGGACGGTCCACCTCGAAGTATTATCATTGTCGGAGCGGGAATTGCGGGCATCGCTTGTGCTCTTGCTCTGTCTCGAGAGCTCACCCCATTTGTTCCCGATTTGAACATCACAATCTATGAGAGACATGATATCTTGTCCACCTCCGGTGGCGCCATCAATCTGACACCGGTGGCCCAACGCCACTTAGCCCAACTCGGTGTGCTATATGAACTTGATCGAATGGGACCTGAAGGGGGAGCTGAAGTCGATGCCATTGAACTATACTCTATGCGATCTGGTCGATCAATGGGTTCTATTGATTTTATTGACCAGGATGGAAATGGTTTTGGTGGATACAAGGGCCGCAGAGTTATGCGTATCATGCTCTCAGTGGCAATGATGACAGTCGTGGACAAAACTCAAAATATTGATATCGCTTTTGGCAAGAAAGTCGTCGGTGGAGAGGAACTCGATGGTAAAGCCGTGGTCCACTTTCAAGATGGGTCTGAAGCTGTCGGTGATCTTGTTATTGGATGCGATGGAGTTCACTCGCCAGTCCGAACTCGCTGGGTCGATCCAAAATGCCCTTCCCAGTATACAGGCATGTCTTTCTTGCAGGCTAATATTCCATCAAATACGATCTCGTCTCCGATTCACTTCAAGTCATCGGCTTTGAACATCTCCAGGCATGGATCAATCCTCACCAGTTTCTGTGACCGCGATCAAGAGCAAATCTTTGCAGCTGCAATTGTGCAATTTGATCAATCTCAACTCTCTGATCATAAGCACGACTCAAATCAGGACTGGGCAACCAAAAATCGCATTCGTTCTGCCCTGCGCCGTGAAATCCAAGATCGCTTCTCCAAATCCGCGATTCCATGTATCAGAGAGATCACAGCCAGCAAAGCAGATTGGTTGCTCTACCCGGTATACCAGGTCCAGCCAGGAGGCAGATGGTGCCTGAACCGTGTTATCCTGTTAGGAGATGCTGCTCACGCTGTAAGTAATAGTCTCCTTGTCTGATTTTCCAATGCTGGCTGTTGCTAATTTCAATTGACACAAACTAGATGCCTCCAAGAGATGAGTCTGCAGCATATGCTCTTGACGATGCCATTCTATTTGCTAGACTCTTAGCTCGATACCGATCAGAACCTCTCTTTGAGGTGTTTGAAGCTTATGAAAACTTGCGACGTGAGACGATCAATCGTGCATTCAAAGAATCTCGTCGAATGTGGGATCGTAATAGAGACATGGGATTCTTAGAGGGCAGGCTGAAGGAATGGATGATGCCTCGCTACGTTCGAAGTCAGCGAGATGAGCGTGAGGCTGCATGGGAGTTTGATGCTACTCAAACTTCCCTTCCCACGCCCGCACCTAGCGAGGATCTGGTGAGCTTGCATTCATTTTTGAAAGAACATACTGCTGTATGAGTGTTCTTTACTCTGCATTTACATTTGCATTTTGTTTCTATTTGCATTTTCTAGATGTTGGCTGGTCGTGCTACTGAATGAGGGGCGCCTGGGCCACAGTTGCATTGGGTGGTGTCTAAAAGTTTGATTCTATTCCTGTATAATATACCCTGAGTGTTATGATAGAAATCATATTACATTAATCTTCTCTCTTCAATTTCCACCAAGCAACTTCATCTACTAGTAAACTAATAGCTTCAAATTTTTACCTCGGTCTGAAGATCAAAGATGAGTCAGCTGTGGTATGTCGCCATCAAGCGTATAGAACAGGATCCAAGTGGGGGATCGTGCCACCTTATGCCTTTTCTGACTTGACGACATATTTTGGGTTGACAACTGAGAGGTGATATTGTGATTTAAGATCGGCAACAAATAACAAGATTTTGTAACTTCAAATTCAACATTTGATGAACACCATGGCAGGAGTGTTTGAATCAGTGCCGATCGTGAACTTCGCCCATCTGAGCGACCCCAGACATCAACGGAATGAGCTATCGAAGTTGAAAGAGGCAATTTTCACCGTGGGATTCCTGTATTTGACTAACACCGGTCTTGAGGTTTGAAAATCTAGCGTCAGACAATGATTTCAAGACTGACGAAAATACTAGGATCTCCTCCAGCACACACATGAAAGGTTACCGGAACTTTTCGATCTGCCCACAGAAGTGAAAGAAGGGTGTAACATGATTCACTCACCCTCGTTCCTGGGATACACTCGACTTGGAGCGGAGACTACAGCTTCAAGAAAAGATCTTCGCGAAGTAAGTGTCACCTTCATGGCATTCTTCGTCCACTGAGTACTTACGTGTCGGCTCATATAGCAATTTGATTTTGGAACACCAGAGATGAAAGAATGGAATCCGAATGATCCATTTTGGCAAAGACTGGAAGGGTCAAACCAAGTATTACATAGTTCAAATGCAACATGTGTAATAACTACTGACATTCAGATAGTATCCAGATACACCAGGTGTCCAGGATCTTGTAGAGACTTACATCGCTCGAATCGATGACTTGGCACAGAAATTCGTACACTCGGTCGCAGAGTCCCTATCTCTCCCGTCAAATGCCTTTGATGCCTTTAAAGGAAATATGAGTCGCTTGAAATTTGTCAAGTATCCCCGCTCAGCCCAGGATTCGCAAGGAGTTGGTCCTCATAAGGACTCTGCTGGTCTTTTTACATTTCTTTCGCAAGATGACACTGGTGGGCTGCAGGTCCTTAACAAGAATGGCGACTGGATTGATGTTCCTCCTGTCAAGGGAAGTCTGGTTGTCAATATTCAGCAGGGGTTCGAGGCAATTACCGGTGGTATTTGTGCTGCAACTACACATCGAGTTATCGTATGAAAGTTGGAATTCTCTATAAATGTTGCACAGCTAACCACTATTCTTTGTGCATAGGCACCAACATCTCAGACGCGATACAGCATCCCATACTTTTTAGCAGTTCGTCTCGACTTGAATTTGAGCCAGCTTCAAGAATCAGCAGCTCACATCGTGGACCGAGTTCCTGTCTCTGATGACCGGAAGAAGCGGGCAGTTGATGTGCCTAGCGAGTTTCTCTCTCCTTTATATTCCTGTGTGAGTTCTTTTTGAATTATCCGACCAAGTATTTTATTCTGATCGATACTAGTTTGGAGAGGCTCACTTGAGGAATCGCATTTTGAGCCATCCTGATGTTGGACAGCGATGGTATCCAGCGCTGTTTACAAAATATTCCACCCAGACACTGAAATAAGGAACCAGTGCTACTGCGCCACGACGAGAACCCAACACCGGAGGGTGGATGGAATTTTTCATGACGAAGTGATCCTTCATTTTCTTCGAAAGCAGTATACTATTATTTTCTGTTAATAGTCAAATATTTCAACTCATCTTTTAAGGAGAATGATAACTCCAATCAGTTACGTCATACAATGAAATACCTTGAACGATGAGAATAATCCGATTGTTTGCTTTAATGCATGTTCGTCATGGAATCCTATGTCACTAAGTAGTACGCTATCAAGTGCTCTTGAGACCTGGGATTTCCTCGCACGAGTGCCACTTATCAATGTTGTGAACGGTTCCCGCTCCGATGGCGAACCGTGCTCTTATTACTCGGCAATGTACTTTGCCCACTGCGGGCGCGCAGATCAAATACCCCGCGATTCCTATACCCCGGTTAACTCTGCTTATATTTACGAGAACGTCCGAAAGAGGTTGAAGACAAATCAAGATTATCATATTTTTTTTGGAAATAAGCATCATGTCCAAGATCAACAGCGGATTCATCGACATTCTTCGTAGCCGGCTCAAGGATGCAGCAATTTTCACTCCTGACTACAATGCCTATGCAGCGAGTATCGGCCGATGGTCAGAGACAGCCATAAAACCCGCGGTAGGAATATTCTACTATCAATAATGGTGGGTGTGCTAATAATTAAAAGGGAGTTGTGGTACAACCACTCGAGCCTGCCGACATCAGCACATCTCTCTTATGGGCACAAGAGTATGGTATCGATGTTGCTGTTAAAGGAGGTGGTCATTCAACAGCTGGAACCAGTTCGAGTGATGGAGGACTGGTGATCGATATGTCACGTATGAATAATGTTCAAGTCAACCCGACCGCGAAAACAATTAATGCACAGGGTGGTGCAATCTGGAAGGACGTGGACGAAGCGGGCGCAGCTCACGGCCTGGCGACGGTCGGGGGAACTGTCAATCATACAGGAGTTGGAGGACTGACACTAGGTGGTGGGTATGGATGGCTAAGTGGTCAGTATGGTCTCACTATTGATAATCTGCTTTCAGCTCGGATTGTATTAGCAGATGGCTCACTGGTGACTGCATCTGCCTCTAAAAATCCTGAGTTGTTTTGGGGACTGCGTGGAGCTGGGTATAACTTCGGTGTTGTGGTTGATTTTACCTACCAAGCTTATGATCAGGCAGATCTGGTATTCTCTGGAATTCTTGCCTTTACCCCTGATAAGCTGGAAGATCTCTTCGAACAGCTAAATCTTCTTCTTGCAAATCCCGACTCCCGCTCAGGTGCAATGGTCATTTTTGCTCAAGGACCAGATGGTGCTGGACCCTTAATCATTGTGATTTGCTTTTACAATGGGTCAGCTGAAGCAGGGAAGCAGAGATTTGCTGGGTTTTTGAATCTGGAGCCAGTCATGAATACCCTGGATATGATTTCATACTCAATGGTCAATACACTTCAAAACCCCCAGGCCACTTATGGAGGTCGCAAGTCTTTCAAGGGAATCTTTTACGAGCCACCTCTGGATTTGAAGTTCGCTCGCACAATCTTCGATGACCTCATGGAGAAGGTTCAAACAGATCCCGACCTTTCTGAATCCGCCATCATTCTTGAATTCATCGATATGCGCAAGGTTTGCGAAACTGATATTTCAGCCACGGCGTTTGCAAGTCGCAACTCCACTCAAAATGGCATAATCTGCCTACGGTGGTATGATAAGGTGAGATGCATCCAATTATATTATCTTATTACCTATGCAAGTATGTTTGTCTGATATCTATGCATGACTCCAGTCAAAGGACTCCGAACACCGCGCCTGGGCACGTTACATCCAAGAGAAGTGGAAGTCTGAATTGGACAAGACTGCAGCCAGCCAGCCAAGCGAGAAAGTACCCCAGTACATCAATTATGCAGAGCGTAAGTCAATCCTGAATCAATTCTCCAGTATCAAAGGCTCATTTAATGCCTAGCGGGTGACTCTGTGGTGTCCAACATTTACGGCGCAAATCTCGCACGTCTACAGAAAATTAAAGGCAAATATGACCCGAAGAATGTGTTTCATAAAATGCATCCAATACCAATGTCGAACATGCTGTAAGAGTCAAGCAGATATACTCAGCTTGACAAGTCGGATGGAGTGGATCCAGTGGAAGAAAAAGGGGGCGGGAGGTGGGGGAATAGCCCAGGCCGTCGAGAGTCGAGACACGCTAGGAACGATGCTGCTGCAAGCACCAACATCTGCAGAAATTTTAGTGTTAGGCCTGATAGGGAGAGACCTCTCTCGATATGGCAATCTTTGACATGCATCCTCCTGCATACCTATCTCGGCTGTTCCGACTTCGCCATTGCCACTCCCGAAGATGAACTTTTCAAATAGGCAAGCCAAGCACCGGAACCCCGTTGCCAATAGAGGAAATAATTTCATATTCCTGACGCGTGCCTCGCTCACAAGATAAGGCTTAGATCAAGAAATGTAACCTGAAAGCACTTAGCATGTGGCTTACGCCGAGGAGATTCTGCATGTTCACCTGGGCATGAAGTGCCCAGAAAGTTGCCAAGTGTGATTCGGAAGGATGACTCGGGATCATAAATCCCAATAGTTAAGAGCAAATATGATGCCGAGCCCCTTGGCATGGTGTCCCTTCGCTTTAACTTGATGGTTATCTCCGGCCTTGCCTACATTTGCCTGTCCGTTCATATACCACGTGTTAGTCCCCTGTAATCAAATGTAGAATAGGAACTGACATAGACAATCAACTAAACAAAGTCTGAAACCCACTCACTAGGAGAGAAATCTTATACTTATTGATCTATTTGAAAGATGAAAATGATATCAGTGGTACGCGGCTTTACGCTGGAGGGGGGGGGGGGTTGGTGATCTCCCGCCCGATATCACCAGAAGATGGCTTGGCAAATAAACCGCTCCTACATGTACCTGGTGCTGAGGCAAGCTAATGCAAGAGATAGTTGAAGAGTGTGAGAATCCACTCACACATGCATGTAATCTAGACGGAAAAATAGGTCATTGGCTAAGTATGACCGAATGTAGTTCCAGATGTCAGTAATCTCGGTTAAATTTCCCCATAAGATTGGGAAACGTCAACTAATTTTCCAATGATCTGCATGATACTTGAGTTAATTCGTATGGAGATTGGTTTTCAGGGAAGAGTTATGGATGCTGCTGAATTCCTTGTGGATCTGCTATGGTATCTGGGATATCATAGTGCCAGTGGCTGATGAACAGACATAGGTTTAAGTTCTTACCCGTGGACCTATTCCAAGGAGACTCTAGGTAGAGACTCCGAGTCAGACCCACCAGTATTTGATATACAAATAAGACCCATAAGGAACGGATGAATGAACCATTCAGGAAGGTTTGTCTAGATATGATCTGCCCGGAGGGATCGCCGGACATCTGGATGGTCCGAGCCATGGTGTGTTAGAACAGTGCTACAATCTACTACTGGTACAATCATCAACTTGAAATATTGAGGCCGTATGGGATACCTAATTTCTAAACAGGCATTCACACATCTTGCAAAACCGAAGAACATTAGTATTTGGGATTAAACATCATTTAATTCCAACAGTCTCAAATTTTTAATCCATGGTTGCACTTTGTCCTAAAACGTGGCATATCGGCTTACACAATCTAGCACTGCCACCAAATGTCTAGATTGTTTCACTTTAGAAGAATGCATAGTAGAGCTCCCTTTAACATGCGCCGCCAATAAATGATAAGGTCATTCACTGGGTGAAGATGACTTGGTACGACCCAAGAGCAGAAGATAAAGCATCGCATGGCTTGGCATACGGCGAAATGTTGCATTCCCAAGACACCAAGACGGTGTTCTCATATTTCATTTATTTGTGTAATTGTCTTGGCCAAGCCAAGCAGGTAGAGCCACTTCCAAGCGTAGAAATGGTGATAGTGATGATTGATGATTATGATATCTTTTCTCGCGGGCGTCCCAAGGCGGAACCTTGGAAGCGATTCAATCCCAGGTGCCGGAGGTATAAAGAGGCAAGCCTCTCCTCAGATCTGAGATTCATCACCTCACCTTCAAGTTCCTATTCTTCAAATCATCCCAAACTTTTCAAATATTTTGCCAGCCATGACGATTACCATCACTGTTGAGAAAGATGGTTACTATGAAGTCAATGGCATAAAGCAAGAGCCATCCGTGTCACTCTATGTTATCCCAGCAGCATCAAAGTTGCGCCGAATGCTGAAAGATACGAAAGAATTGATCGTGTGCCCTGGTGTCTATGATGGTCTCTCTGCGCGCATTGCCATGGATCTGGGCTTCAAGGCACTGTATATGGTATGAATCGCTCTCAAATCTTGTACATAACCTTTCGCCGAGGGATTATTCTAACGGTGTTTGTAGACTGGAGCTGGCACGACAGCCTCACGCCTGGGAGTGGCTGATCTTGGGCTGGCGCAACTTCACGACATGAAGACAAACGCAGAGATGATTGCCAATCTCGACCCATTCGGTCCACCACTGATCGCGGATATGGATACTGGATATGGAGGTAGGACGCATAAACTCTTCTGGAATGAAACCCCTGTGTCTGACAAGATTTCTCATATAGGACCGTTGATGGTTTCGAAGTCAGTCCAGCAGTACATCCAGGCAGGCGTTGCTGGATTCCATATCGAAGATCAAATTCAGAATAAGCGATGTGGTCATCTTGCGGGGAAACGTGTGGTGGGCATGGAGGAATACCTCACCCGGATCAGAGCAGCGAAACTGACCAAAGATCGTCTGCATTCGGATATCGTCCTCATTGCGCGAACCGATGCTCTCCAGCAGCACGGCTATGACGAATGCATCGCCCGGCTGAAAGCAGCACGAGATTTGGGTGCCGATGTCGGTCTTCTGGAGGGGTTTACGTCCAAGGATCAGGCCCGGCAAGCAGTGCAGGACCTGGCTCCTTGGCCCCTTCTTCTGAATATGGTAGAAAACGGAGCATCACCAGTAATTACCACTAAGGAGGCTCAGGAAATGGGATTCCGGATCATGATCTTCTCCTTCGCGTCACTCGCTCCAGCATACATCGGTATTAGATCGGCTTTGATACGCCTCAAGACTGAAGGCATTGTTGGCACACCCGAGGGTCTCGGACCACGCAAGATATTTGAGGTCTGTGGGCTTATGGAAGCCGTCAAGATTGATACTGAATCAGGTGGAGACGGCTTCAACGACGGCGTGTGAGAGACGTGAAGGCTTGGATATTCGAAATGTTTGACATTTTTCAAATCTTCTATCGTTTGTGGTATTGGGGGCATATACAGAATGTGAAATCAGTCTTGGAGTATAGTAGCATATTTTGAATCTTATATATCAATTGAATGTTTCAAATATTGTTTCCGAGCTAGAATTCCGAGTTTTGGATAATAATATTCGAGCAAATCATTTTTTCAATTTTGCGATGTGGCAATCTGAAGCAATAGTCCTTGTAATATCGTTGTTGCGCATGACTTCGAAAAGTCAAATCTCTTTCTTTGCAATTTTCACAAATGCGTGACGAACAAAGCTGGGCTCTGTGTCATCTCGCTCTAGCTTATATAGAGCGGGAGACAGACAATACTCAACAGTACCATTTGAAACTGCAAGATCGCTTTCAGGTAGGGTGATCATATTCCCCTCCCGAAATGGCGTATAAGGCAACACCCACCAAAAATAGTAAAGGGCATCTTGACGTTCAATCTGCCCCTTGAGATTGACAAAGTCCCAAATTATGCCTTTGAGCTGTTCGGCCCTGCTGTTGATATTCGATAAAGGAGTGGTATAGTCAAAATATCGTGCTTCAATCACTTCGGCTATTTGACTCACGATGCCCTCGAGCTCTGTCCTCGCAAGTTGCAAGGCTGCGATACTTGTGGCAGAGCGCCAATGCAGCCTTATGGGGATGGGGCCTAACCCAGTGAAATTAGCTATGATAGATAAATTTTGAGGGGGAGATGTGATAGAAGGACTGGTGTTACTGTGCTTGGATAGAGAAAGACTCAACCCACAAATTTGTTGCACTTCCTCATCCAGCATCCGAAATAAGTGGTTGATAGTTGGATTACCTGTGCCCACAATGAAACGACTCAGGATAGCATTGAAAATATAATGTGATATATCACCATAGATACCGATCGGCTCCATTAGAGTCTGTGTAGTACTGCATGTGGTATCTGAGTCAAGCGTACTTCGGGTTGTAAGTGATTCCGTCGGGGTTTGTATATCCTCTGGGCAGAGAACTCCATAATGCTGCTCGACCCAGGACTGGAGATTCCGGTACAGTTGAGCTGTCTGGTCCCTAATCTCTTCTTCACTTAGAAAGTCAGTAAAACCCTCCAGCTGTTTGACACTGTTTATGATTTCTTGATTCTCCCTGCGTGCTATATCCGCCGCTTGTCGGGCCTGTTCAAGCAGCTCGGCTTGTTCACAGAATCTCTCTTCGGCGGCGATCTCTCGCTCGCGCGACTTTCTTGCCATGTCCTCGTACTCCGAAAGTCTCGCCTCAAGACATTGAAGTGTATTTTGCAGGTCTGCGATTTCTGTAATTGTCTTCCTGTTCGCCCTCTGGTCTGCAAATATCAGTGATCGAACTAGGCTGTGAATCAAAAGAAAATATGATCCAAACCGTCGGTATGTGAACGAGGAAGATCGATGGACTGTGATATATTCATGTCTTCTTCAAAATGTAGCTTCCAAAAGAAATTGCCAATACATCTAGAAGTGGGTGTTTTTTGTCGTTCAGGGGTGCCAGTCGGGGGTTGACGGGCTATCTCATGCGACTCATTCTCTCCGGGATGGGTGTCTGTCTCTTGTAAAGCCATAAAGTTGGATAAGGAAAGGTATAACCAAACGCATGAGAAACGGAGACTCTTAGTCGAAGGAAATATTTCCATTTCGCTGTGGGTGCCAATATTCAGCTCCGACGCCGCTTATGGATACATCGGAGATCAATGACGACGCTTATTCCAAACTGATAGCAGGATCATGTTATTATGGATAATGAGCTATGCAAAATCAGACAAAAGGCGCGCGGATTATTGATTTACTAGTTCTAATTTCGGACTGAAATTTAAACAACCAGACCTGGATCACTGCTACTCAGCAGAGAGTTTATCATTGCCTGTGACAACACTGTAGGAAGATCACAGATATACTATATGCGTGAAAGCTCAAACCAGGCCATCGCTATAAATGATTTGTCAAAGATAACTCTTGCAGTCCAGTCCCAACAACATATTCCAGTGGCGCAACAAAAGCCATCTGGCTCCACGAAAAGACCTGGTTTTTCCCGCCATAAACGAAGACCTCGAAGCGGCCCACGAATTCACCATCAACCCAAGCTCTACTACCTTCAAATTGGTCGGTTTGGATAGTGATGCTGCAGGGACAGGAAGTGTTCAATACTGTATGGGTAGAACTTGTTGCATTTGCCCAAATCTGACCGAGTTCTTGCGGATCGAACCCATCGGATTCGGAAACCGAGCGTAAGGGATACGGCCACCCGTCCGCTGAAAATACCAATTGACCATCGTCTGAAAGAGAAAGTGTCGCATCCTCGGAGTGAAGAGCGAATGGACCGGTAACATTGAGTTCCAGTGTATAGTTCATACCCTTACTTCCAAGACCGATTCGGTGATGCGACTTTGATGCCTCGTCGTGTGAGCGAGTCCATGATAAGATGTTGTAGATATGACCAGATTGATCCTTTGGCACGTCTCGATCGAGATTTTGGGATACAGCATTTGCAGTGAGAATAGCAATCGAATCATCTAAAGTCGATTCAATAAGCAGTGGTCCACGAGTTCCTGACCACGCACGAGATGCGACAACGGGAATGCCATTTCTTATGGCATAGTAAGACTCTAACTGAGTAGTCGCATCGGGTCCATTATCATTCCAAGCTGCAAGAATTGCACCACGGACGGCATTCTGAGTCGGCTGCTCTGTTGTATTGACCGGATTGAATAGGTCCGGAGTCCACTGCCAACCTTCAATATCGCCGAAGTTCAATACACGCGTGTTATTGAAAAATTGAGGATATGGAGCTGGTGTGATTGGAACATGATTGTTCTTGAGTGAAAGGTAGGCCCACCAATCCTCAGAATTGATGATCTTGTATCCTTCACGCGCCAAGCTAACTGGATCAGATTGTCCATATTGCCAATGCTGGATGGTAATGTTCTTGCTTATTGACATGGAGGTCGAAGGTTCATAGGTCCCCCAGATGCGGATTTTCTTTCCATGTGTCTCCTGAATAAAAGAGGACATCTCATTCACGAAGCTTATATAGTCATCGGCAAGAGTCGAATCATACTCGTCCGCGCCAATATGAACCTCTGTAGTCTGGAACCATGGTAGAAACTCAGACCAGATAGATTTGATCAGTGGAATAGTCTCGGGATGAGTGAGGTTGAGAAGATCCTCCTCTGCCAAGGCAAGTTCAGGCTTCCATTTTGTGATTGACAACGCATGACCTGGACTCTCGATTTCGGGAATCACAGTAACTCCCCTTCGCGCGCAGTGAGTTTGAAAATCGTCAAAGTCCGACCGGGAAAGTGTCTCATTCACTCTTTGTACAAGAGGCATTAAGGCGGGATCTTCAGGTCTCAAAGCGAATTGTGAATACACTGTGTTCCATGTTTTGTTGGGTCCTCGACTCAAAGGGTAATTATCGGTCGCATGGTAATGAAACTCAGATAGCTTGAAGAATGAGGCATAGGTGCAAAGATCCTTCAAGTATTTCAGTGAATACCATTTGCGTCCAGCATCAAGCATGAAACCTCTGGTAGGGTACGCGGGTGCATCGCTCAGGCGGCGTAGAGGGAGGCCATCTGGATTCAAAGCAATCTGTTGAAGCAGCGTGCGTGTTCCCCACCATACTCCACGGGCTCCTGATCCAAGAATGGAGATTGAATGCCGATCGACGAGTAATTCATACCCTTCCTCTGTCTCGGTACCATCCTCATATGTGAATTTGCCGGCCGATGCATCAGATCGCCCCAGGAAAACACCCGACGCGCCCTTAGGAAAATCTGTGACTCTGCGCAATTGCCAGGAGGAATTGGTCAGCTCCTCTATATCATCACGAAAAGTCTCTGCAAATTCTGCGACTGATGGTGGGATCAAAGTCAGGCTATTTTGATCACTCCATGATGCGAAATCGGACTGGACGTAGATGGTCCTACTAACATCAGCCAATGAGAAGGCCTCAGTCGCGCTTGGATCAGGATCATCGAATTTAATAGGAGGCAAAGTCTGAAGGGCCGAGGCCACCACAGCCAGGAGACAGACGCGCCAAATCATTATGTCGCGTTATCTTGAGGTCAGCAAGGGGGAGGAGATTCTGGTTTTAACATTCTGATACAAGGGGTAAGCGTAACCTTTTGATGGTAGTGTTGCATTCTTCGAAATCGCCAGAGTTTCCTAGACTTATGAATCTGAACTGATTGTTTAGTGGAGTGGACATTACTCCGTAGTGTATGGTATATTTTGCGTGGGATGAAAGTGGGCACTTTGACGGGTTGACCCGATCTCCATATTTACCAGTTGACTTTACTAGTTGTCAAGAACGAAATCAGAGATAATGAACTGGTAAAATCTTCAATTTGCTATAGAATTCTCATTATCGCATTCAGCAGAGTCTTATCTCTCCTCTATCCATGATTACGAGTACACTTATAGTCGAGGCATGTTGGATTTTCGTGCGGGTACATGGAACCATGCTTCCTCGAACCCCACATGACGAGGCCAACGCGCTGTCACACGTTGAATTTCTGGGGACATAATACGAGGATATCCATACTTGACGCAGATCATTTCTGTTTCCCGATCGGCAGATTCGAGATTGAATTTCTCGGCTGAATCAATCACTACACAATGTTAGATAAGAGGGTGTTTTCAAATATTCAATGAACTTACCCATGTGCGCAATCTGGAGAAACTGTTCTTCAGTTTTTAGCGAGAAATGTGACTTAGAGACAAATGGCTTGCTAATTTGATAGGCTGTTGCAATTCCTCGAATGAACTTGGCCAAATGACCATCATCCTTGTAATCGCAAGCGCGTTTAAACACCTCGGACCACCCGGAGGGATACTGTGGCCTATACGTAAGTAATTCCTCAGGTTGTTGAGCTGGTAATCCGACTTGACAGTATAACATCAAATCTGCACGTCCCTTCCATTCTAATAAGCGACACTTTGCTCTTTCACTGATCCATGACACACTGTTGAATGCTGGCCAAAGAGAACCCGCTGTAATCGAATGCATAAGGAAAAAGTCGAATCGGATTTGCTTCTCAGGGCGTTGAGCCAGAGCTGTCCAGTATACTGAAAGGCTTGTTAGAAATATAACGAAAAACAGAATGGGATGGGTGTAAAGAATGCTCATACGTGTAGAATTGAGACACTCGGCTGTTTTCTCTTCAAGTTCATGGGATTGGACTTTCCATGACCCGATCAGTTCCATAAATGTATCCTTCGTGTGAGCTAAAAAGCCATCACGCACTTGCTTGACCCCGTATTTGTAATCCATCGCCCCACGAAGTTGGTGATTCTCATGCATCTTTCTCTGGAGCGTGATAAGTGTTTCATTTGAAGACGAACGGGAAGCATATCGTTCAATTTCAGTCAGAACCAATCCAAATGAATTATCATGGACGGCTGTCATAGCAAGAGCCTCGGCGGCGATAAGCGGCTGATCGAATTCAATCGCATACCCAAGATGAATGGGAGAGTGAAGGAATCCTATGAACAAGTCAAATTCAAGGTTAGTTCAGAGCCAGAGGATGAAAAATAATTACCACTGAAAAACCGTTGAAACATGTCCTCAGCGCGATCGTGCCCTTTGAAGAGAAACTCGTTGACTGTCACCGCCAGGCCATGGCGTGAAATTTGATCTTGGAAAAAGGCAAAGTAGTCATCATAATAATCCCCCTTTCCTAGGTATTTTCGAAAGTTGGCTGGTTGAGCGAAATCCAAGACACGGCGAGGATCAGGTGGGCGAGTAGATTTCTGAGAGTCTGTATTCAAATTATATGCCAACTCCAGCTGGGGTTCGGTGCCTCCTAATGCAACAAGAGCCAAAATGTGATGGAGAATATGATCTAGAAGTGAATCCAAGTCAGACTGCTTGGCAGTTTAAACTTCACTGTGACTTCGGGGCTCTAAAGAATGTTGATTGACTCACTGTGAAGTCCTAGGTTATGGATGTAGATGTGATAGTTATCATGGTTCTGTTGCAAGATCTCCGATGCTTTTCGAAGAATTTCGTCTTTTAGAGGCTGGACTTCAAAAATCCCGGTCAACGGAGCATAATTGGTAAGGTTAACCCTGTGAGAGGCTGCCATTGTTCAACGAGTAATCTATGCAGTGAAAAATGCACAATGTTGCCCTGGAGTATACTAAGTCACCAGGGAGCGATGAAGATTCCAAGATTGTTCCAAAATTTCAAGTTTAAGGTGTAGATATTTCAAATTCCAAATTAGACTATAGAGTGCGCATGAAGATGTGGGATCTCGGTATATTTTTTTATGGAATGAAGTATCATGATAGATTGAAAGAGAAAGGGGAAGTCAAATCAGACCAAAAGACCAAACCCCCCTCATTCAGACCTTCCCCGCATCTTATGAAGTGCATAGTATGCATAGTGGCGCATAAGAATGCTTATACGGTTATACCTCGGGATTCATTTCTGGAATAAAATCAAATCCGAGTTAGAAAGAATAAATCTTTATAGGATTGAATGTGAAAGGAACCTTGGAATTGTGATTTAGCATGAACTCATCATCCAAGCCCATGACGTAGTTCATGAATGTATCTACTCTCTCCGTACGGAGTATTCAGTATGGAATAACGATCGGCAAAAGGTGGAAAATGCCCGTTGAAGGACCGAGGAATCAGGATGATCATTCAAATGTTCAAGTTCCCACTCTACTCCGTACTAAGCCGAGTTCCGAGCTTCCAAGGTTCATGAGGGGAAATTCATCTCAAGTGCTCGGACTACATGATCCTTCATATTATGGGTTAATATCATCATGCACTAAGGCCACCAAGGATTATTCGAAATTATCAGCTTTCGTACGCCTGAATCCTGCGAAATTCTGATTCGCAGTTCATTCCGAACTCGGCCACTGCATTGTCGATCTGGCCAGACGATCATCTCACACTTGTTTCAATCTGTTCTTTTAAACCTTCCAACATCCTACTCCTAGACATTTGAAATCTGGGAGTTTTTTCACTAGCATTGAATCATCAGTATAACCCATCAGTAAATAAAGACAGTAATACAGAAGCAAGATGATTTTCGAGCCCGCTCAGCGTCTTTCGCTCCCCACAAAGGACTTATTGTCCTACATCTTCGACAATCCAACGTACGATCAAGATAAACCGGTGAGAATAGGGATTTTGAGACTCTGGAATTGACACCGACGAGAGCTAAACGTGGAAAAAACAGATGTATATCGATGCCCAGACGCCAAGTAGATCAATCTCTTGCAATCAAGCTCGCCCAATAATTCGGCGTCTGATTGCAGGTCTCCGAGCTGCAGGTCTTCGAAGCGGAAATTGTGTTCTAATTCATTCTTTTAATGATGTGAGTCTGCCGATCTATATTAATACTTGGATTTCAATGATCCTAATCAAGATAATTTGCTACCTAGATCAACTACAGCATGCTGGTACTCGCTATAATTGGCGCTGGCGGCGTGTTTACAGGATCGAATCCGTCCTACACTAAGAATGAGCTGTCTCATCATATCAAAGCGTCGGAAAGCAAGTTCCTTATATCCGAACCAGAAGTTCTAGAGGCAGCACTTCTTGCAGCGAACCAGGCCGGCATTTCCAATGACAGAGTATGGATATTTGATAATTTGGAACAGTCCATTCCAGAAGGAATGGAATCATGGAGAACATTGTTGGATCACGGAGAGGACGATTGGATTCGATTTGACAGTTTGGAAAAAGTTCAAACCACTACTGCGGCCAGATTCTTCAGTAGTGGCACCACAGGCCTTCCCAAGGCCGTCACCATTACTCACTACAATTTCATTGCCCAGCATGAGTTCGTCACAGAAATGAATCACCGACCTTTCCCGGTAAGATGCATTTATTACCCGCGACTCCATGAAATGCTAAGAGGAATTCTGACAATTGATTTGTATACAGATGTCTCGAGTGATCGCGGTTCCCGTCTTCCATGCCTCCGTCGGCTTTGTAACACATGTGGCGACTCTAAAAGCCGGTCATGAGACATATGTGATGCGCAGATTCGATTTAGAAAAATACCTGGAGACAGTGGAGAAGAACGATATCACTGAGCTGGCAATGGTCCCACCAATTGTCATTGCTATTTTGATGTCTCCCATCTCCCACAAAAAGCCTTATCTCAAGAAGACAAGGACTGCACTGTGTGGAGCAGCTCCCCTGGATAAAGATCTTCAAGAGCGGCTTCGATCTATGATGGCTGATGGTAGCCCCTTTACCCAAGTTTGGGGTATGACGGAAACATCCTGCGTCGCCACTATGTTTACCTATCCTGAGCATGATACCACTGGCTCGGTTGGACGATTGATCCCGAATTTAGAAGCAAAGTAAGTGATTTCTCCACGGTCGGAGTTGAGTGGGAGGGAAAATTTTAGGGAAGAAAAATACTAATTATGCATGTCAGGCTTATCGATGACAAAGGGAACAACATCTCTGCATATGGTGTGCGGGGCGAGCTGTGTGTTAGAGGCCCATCCGTAACACCAGGGTACTACAAGAATGAGGAGGCCAATGCAAACTCGTTTGATGCCGACGGGTGGTTCAAAACTGGTGATATCGCTTACTGTGATGAAGAAACTCGAAAATGGTACATAGTCGATCGAAAGAAGGAACTTATCAAAGTCAGGGGATTCCAAGTTGCGCCTCCTGAGATTGAGGCTGTTCTTCTGTCGCATCCTCAGATCATTGACGCTGCAGTCATTGGAATTACCATCCCTGGCCCTGACGCAAATACCGAGTTTCCCCGGGCCTATGTGGTTCTTCGCCCCGAAGCCAAAGAGAAACCACTCACTGAAAAGGATGTTCAACAATTCGTTTTGAAGAATCTGGCTCGATACAAGTCTTTGACTGGAGGAGTCAAGTTCCTTGATTCTATTCCTCGAAACCCGAGTGGTAAAATCCTCAAAAGATTCCTCAGGGATTATGCGAAAAAGGAAATTCAGGATGGAAAGATTCGACCCAACCTTTAGACCAGGTCTTGATTGTATAGCATACTCCTTTTTCAAGCTTGTACTTAGTTTTATAAATCATTGCGATTGAACCTAGGAAAGTTATCTATTCCTACTATTCAAGTTTTTGAGATTAGAACACTTCAAGCTGAAGGTGACTCCGAGTCGAATTTACTATACTTCAAATGATGTTGGTGATAGCCACAGTTACTACTGCAGGTGGCAGGGCTGAGCAGTTGAGAGTTCAAACTTAAAATCCGACCAGCAGATAGTATTCCAAGGTTACGTAGTCATGGGACACTAAATCGGCCTTAATTCTCATCTCAGCCCTGGGGGCCTGAATATTCAACAGTACTGCATCTCCAGGTCTATCATGGATCGACATGTGCCAAGGGACACCGTGACCTTACTTCACATTCTGCGATTATAACCCTAATTCTTCAGGCCTCCAATGTTCGTATTTTGAGCCAGTAATCTGTCATATTCTAGACCCAAGTCTCCTTTCAACGTTTAACTCCTTATAGAAACAGATGACTTGAGTCCAGAAGAAGAGTTTGAATCTTGAATTTGAACAGAAAATGTAGACTTGGGTCATGAAATAAACAATTGAATCGTACATAAAGTACCAACTGCACGACATCTGAACATTTGAGGTAATGGATCGCCAAGTCGGACTCCTAAATGAAACCCTTCAAGGAATCGGCGGCTTTTGAGATATCTTTTGAGCTTGTCAGATCGCTCAAAGTGTTGGTAATATTCTGGACCAAACTAGCGATCGTAGAATTGCTGTGATCATCCAATAGTCCGTCAAGAGTACCGCTTAGTACTTCAAGTATTGAAACTCGTGTTGTGAGTGTCAAATTATTCAAGATTTCCTCATAGTACGCAATATGGTTACCGTTATATATTGTGGAGTTTCCAGATGCGGAAAGCTGAAAGTCACCATCCAGAAGGGCGGCCTCTTGCGAATGAATGATATCGTATATATTATCGATGATGGTCTCGATATCAAGCTCCCCTCGAAGAGACACTGTGTTGTTCCCTGGCTTCAGTACCACGTTCTGGATAGTGCCTTGGCCGATAAGCAGATCATAGCTCCAGAGATTAAGAGTCACATTTCCCTACAATATCGAGCATGATTTCATCAGATCATGTCTCCAAATATTCTATGTGATAACATTACTAGAGGATATGTACTCACCAAAGCGAAGGTAAAAACTGAACGGTTGGGCAATGTTGCTGTGGCGATAATATTGGTACCATCTGCCTCTTTTGGAATAGCAACTTCAGCGGACTCAATTGAAAAGCCATCTAATTTGTCCAAGCCTTCCAAGAAGAATGGAATTCAGTTTCCAGTTTCAGCATATAATAATAGTTCACGTACCATTCAACTCGATATCTTTATTAAGAGTTAAGGGGGCATTCAGAGCTCCCAGATGACCCACGGTTGACCCCTTGGCTGACATTGTGAATCTTTCCTGATAGACCGCATCTGTTAGAGTGTCCAAAAATTGACTCTCATTTAGAATCAAGGTATTGTGCTGCTCAATAGTCATAGCGGTGTGACCCTTGAGACTGTATGATGGTAGTTTCACGGTGATATAAGGAGTCATGGGCTGAACATCACGGTTGAAGAGACTCAAATTAAACGCATTTATCCGAATTCGCAGACCAAGCGGGATTTTTAAAGATGTATGGAGCACAAAGGATACTGAGCTCGGGGTTGGATCCAAGATCTCAGCTGAGTATATCGGGAGATCTGTATCGTCAACAACTCTTTGTGCGATAGCTGGGATTGCAACGAGGAAGCTGCGAAATATGGAGGAATTAGCATCAAAGCAGCTTCTTGCTTGAAGGCTTGGGGCCTGGTTGAGTCTTCCCATGGTCACTCACAAGACTGGAAGAAATATTATCAAAAATATAAGAAGTGCTAGACAATAAAAACAGAAGAAGCGCCGGCAATGCCTACGAATCTTGTTTGTTGCTTTTTGTTTGGTAAAGTTGATCTCTTTCACCGATAACCAGTTGTCGCGTCCTGCATCAGCCGGGCCCTTCTCATATATAATATCCCTTGGCTCGTTCACCCCAATGACATACTTCTCGCTCTGCAACTTGTCCATCTCCTGCAAGAAATAAATGTCAGAGAGGATCCACTGGATATAAAGGATTACAGTACGAAGAGAGAGTGAGGGATGTTGGAGATACGTGTATATACAGGACTGGGAATGATGAAACTTGAAGTGCGTCGACCAGATACCTACTGGATAGTAAGTCGTGTACTCAGGGAATAATCCGTCATGCAGAGCTGTGGATGTGTACAGCTGAACTTGTTTCCAAGATTGAGCTCGCCTTGGATGATGTAAAGTGTCATCAATCCACTTCTCAAGATTGGAGCTTCGACTCAAAGTAGGATTTCCAGTCACAGCTCTCCCTAGGATGACAAGCTCGAAACGAAGACTTGCTATGCAGATAGATTTCAAGGCTATAAGGAAAGCTACACCTTTCAGCTAAAGCACAGTATTTATAGTATTGCTACATTGATTTGAGACTGAAGGACCCGCTATTAAAGTGCTAGTACCGGTACGCTGAAGTACATTCATTCCTCGACACATCTAATAGATACTATTGGTAAACTCCACTTTGGAGAAAGGTTTTTATGTACTACTAAGTAGCTTGATCTGGGCTGTGGCACGGTATATGTGGAACCCAAATTCAACAGTTCAGAAATTCCTCGTGACGCGGAGATCATGATGATCTGAACGCTGTAAGTGTTTTCCCCTCTCCAGGGGTCTGAGTTTCTATCCACGTATAACAGTCATGATGTTAGAATGCACTAGTAAGAATCCATTGTCTCAATTTGATTTTACCTCAGAATTTCGCTGATCCTGCGGGGCCCCGCATCCTCAAGGTCTAAGAACCTGGAAGTTGACATTTCTGCAGCATGTGTTCAGAGAAAAAGAAAATGCCGTCCTCGGTTCGTATCACAACTGCCGGGCCGCTAGGTTGTTTCTTGACTGCTAGTAGGTTGTGCTCAGGGCTCTTCCAGGGGAACTGAATCACACGCCAGTATATATTGGAATGACTTTTCAATTGAGGTATCAGATCCCGCCCGGTCCGCGGTCCACGGAAACCTTGCAACCAGAAATTTTGACATTCGATCTCCTATCTTATCCTTGAATGAATCAAGACACTCAAGCATTTGAATGCAGATGAATCCATATGATCGAGGCCTGCGTCAACAGTTCAAGTATCTTCAAATCCCTGTGTTTTGATGACACACCGTGCATGTGAGATTGGACGAATATATTTCAGCTAAAATTTCCCCAGTGTGATTTTTTGGATAGAACATTTGAATTGAATTTTATATGATAAATCTTGAACTGTCAGTGTTTAACATCATCTATTGAGTCTCAGCCTTGGAACTTCCCATCCATCTGACACTTCGTGGCAGTTGCCGATCGTCATTGCAAGATACGAAAAAATCTATAAAAAAACATGTCAACATCATCATCCCCTGCAAGGGGCCAAAGCCAAGGAGAAAATGAGCCCGACGTTCTTTTTGCATCAGAGAAGCGCGGGGGTGATCTCGTGCCCTCAAGCCCCCAGACAAATGAGAATCAGATTCCTCAAAGATCGGAAGTTATGCAGAAAGTTGTGCAAGAAGCGATTATACTCGCTGGAGGCGCCGTCGCTATTTTGCTCCAGGTAGCTGAGCCTGGTGTTGGAAAGGGGGTGGATAACCATAGCAATTTCGCATACCGACCAATTGATCGCCTTCGCACAACAATGACCTACATTTACTGCATGGTCTACGGAACTGAGACAGAGAAAGAATTGATCATAAACTTTGTCCATAAAGCCCACGCCGCCGTCCAGGGCCAGGATTATTCTGCCGATGACCCCAAGCTTCAGCTATGGGTCGCAGCCACCTTGTACGCAGTTGGAACCGATATCTATCAACGCATATTTGGTCAAATGACCGAGGAAGAAAGCGAGATCATTTATCGCGAGTATTCAATCTTGGCAGTCTCACTTCGAGTTCCTCCCTCCCTCTGGCCTGAAACCAGGCAATCCTTCTGGCAATACTGGGACCATAAGATCGAGACTATTCAAGTCACTGATCACGCCAGGAGAGTTGCTGAGGATCTACTGCGAAACAAGAAAGTACCATTCGCTCTTCGCGCTGTCCTTCCCCTTGTTCGCCTCACTACCACCGAGATGTTACCGCCCAGACTCCGTGATGCATATGGGTTGAAAACCAGCAGGCTGAGGACATTCACATATCGTGTTCTCCTTGGGATGACAAGAGTCACTTATCCTGCCCTTCCTCGAAGCGTGCGCACCTACCCAATGCGGTATTATTTGAAGGATATGCGAAAGCGCCTTCAGGATACACCGCACAAAGGTTGAGGTTATGATTAATATTTACGTCGGGAAAATGTTTTCACTTTGAGCACAGTGCAAGGAATTCAGAATGTTAGACAGAAGTGACCTATTGAAACTTTTTCCAATCATACATTTTTTATTTTTATTTTTTGGCCATTTCTTAACCAATTTCAACGTTGCCCTCTGGTGGAGTCTTCAAGGTATCATTACAACTTAGACAATAGTATAATAAGGTTCAACGCTCTAGTATGGGAGATCTACCTTGGATTGATGTAGAAAATTAAATAAAACCGGAGAAACAGCCTTCAAATGTTATTGTGGTTTCGTCAACAATATATTCATTTAGCAGACGATTATACGCAGTTAAGTTAGCACTTGAGGTTGACTGCCCAGGTAGTACCGAGAAATATCAATCGGTAAGTCGTGATAGTTACAAGTACTGTGCAGTATGTAGTAGTTCAAACGGCCCAGAAAAATGCATCCTTGTCAAAAACCGAGCTCCGGTTACATGATTCAAACGAATCAAGGTCAAAAGATTTGATTAACCGAGTTCCGCGGCTCTCCACCTCTTCGATGCCGTCTCATGTATCATGTTGTATGTATAATGTGGAGAATGATCAACTGCCGATTCATAAAATGTGGGGCTGGCTCATGACTCATGAATCTTTCATACGAACGAGGCTTAGCATGTACTCTTCTCCTGTGTCCTTGCAAAGTTAAAGCATGGGAGTTAGTCCTGAGCTTGTTAAATGAAAAGTGTAATTCTTTCCGGTGGACTAGAAGCATTTCATGGGGGACTCTGGGTGGTTAAGACTTATTAAAAATACCAGTTCAAAAAGCAGCCCTGAAGCCCTTGGAACCTTTGGAATATTACTGATCTGACTCGGACTTGCAGCTTCCGTACTAGTTTAATGCGGGGAAGGACAAAGGAATCTCAACTAGAAACTGGTCATATCATGAAATAGTAGGACAAGAAAAAGCCATTTTTCAAGGCTACTGAATTCTAGCATTAATTTCTAGCATTTAAGCAGCCAGTCTCATTTTTGAGACAAAAGGCCAGCTTTGATCTAAGTTAATAGGATACTGTCCCCAAGAAAGCGGAAATTCCACTTTGAAACTCCCCATCGGACTAGAAATCAATCAAACTCCAAAAGTTACAACAAAATGCTGCGTCGAACACGAAGAGCCCCAACGGCATGCTTATGGTGTCATCATAGGAAGGTACGGTGCGACGCATCCATTCAGGGTTGTCCATGTACGCGTTGCCGTCAGGATGGCCGTGATGACTGTGTGCTTCGTCGCAAGTTTTCAAAACAGTAAGCTGTCTCCGTTGAAACCAGACACTCTTCATCCATTAGACACAGTCCGTGGTCAGAATCTCATCGTATCAAATCTCCGACCGGAGCGTTTTACTAACTAGATATCATCACAGAAACCGCGCCACCACGCCGAGGGAGTCCTCACCGGTCGGAAAGGAGACTGAAGTGACTTTAATAAGTCCTCTGATAACCCCTGAGAACCAAACTCCTGCAGATATTCGGCCTTCGCAATTTGATTCCGCCGACCTTGTGAACGTGGACGGCAATCGCTTTTTGAACTTTGATGATCTGAACTGCTTGCCTCTTGAGAACATTACATTCTTGTACTCCCAGGGAGCTCTGGAAATACCAAGTCGCAATCTGACTCATGAGTTTGTTGAATCCTATTTCAAAGAGATTCATCCAATGGTTCCAGCCCTGGATGAGGCCCAGTTTTGGAAAGCATTTCTTGGTCACGCCGATCACACGATTTCAATCTTCGTTTTCCAAGCTTTACTTTTTGTGAGCTGCTCAGTGAGTTGTCTCATTTAACCTAGCAGTGCCATCCTTTCAATTTTCTGATTATAAAGTCATATAGTTCGTCAGTCTTGATATATTGCGCAAGTGTGGTTTCATTGACAAGAGAGATGCTCGGGCCAAGCTTTATAGCAGGGCAAAGGTCTGATATACTATCCTGACGATATGATAAATCCTGGACAGTTCTCTGATAAACCTTATAGCTCCTTTTCGACCTGAAAGTGGAATCCAAGCCGTTTGCAAAGGCTCAAGGTGCTATCCTTCTCACTCATCACACCTCGGCAGAGTCTCCACTGGCAGGGAGTATGTGGCTCACATGTGCCATCGAAAATGCTATGATGATAGATGCGCAGCCGTCCAGTTCTGTGGAAGATGTAAGCGATTCAATGAGAAAACGGGTGTGGTGGTCAATCTTGCTGCGCGATAGAAGTCTCTGCATTGGTCTCCGACGCAGACCCCAAGTAACGTCAATAAATATCTATGGATGTCGCGACATGCTGGAAGAGACCGATTTTGCACATGAGATGCATAGTTCGGAAGTGCACAGTTATCAAAGCAAAAAGGCACTGCTCTTAGCTTTACAAGAGCAATGTCAACTGGCAGTCCTTCTGACAGACCTCACCTCCCTCATATTCGCTCCCCGAGTGAGGTATGGTGAAGTCTATGATCCCGATGAATGCGGAGCTTTGATGCAAACACTCGCAAGTATCAAGAATCCATTGGTTCAATGGTGGATCCACGCTCAGTCTCGTCAATTATCTGAGAACAGCCGATCTCTCAGCGTGTCTAGCACGTTACGAAATCTCACATCGATGTATTATCAGTGAGTATATCACCTCATGCCATGTTGGTACATATTCGCTGACAAGAATTCTTCAAGCGCTGCCCGAGTGGACCTGGCGCAATACCTGGCCCTTCTGATCGAAGAAAACCCCAACGTGCCAGCTGATATATACAAGAAGACCATTTTGGAGATTGGAAGCGACTTGAAGGCTGGAATAGATGGCCTCAATGCGACCATGAAGTTCTTCAGCACACATGATGTCAATTCCCTGCCTCTCAGTGTGTAAGTGCGAATTCCTCTAGGAACCTCGGGTTAAATACTATATTTCATGGTGGATACCACCCTGGTTATATATGTCGACTCGGCTGAGAAGATCCACGGCTGATTTCACCTTTGACTCAGACTTGGATATGTTGGAATGCCGCTTGTTCTAGCTGCCATCGATTTGAAACTCTCCAACAAACCGTCTGAAACTACATCTCGACAGAAGGTTGTCGATTTTCTCAGCAAAATCGTTCGACACGCAGAATCCCTCTATGATGTTACTGATTTCGTGGCTGCTGGAACCAATCAAATTCTCCAACTTGCCTACGTAACAACCCAGGACTTCTTTCTCTCTGCAAACAGTGCTATCCGCCATTCAAGCCCTGATACGAGTTATGATTCAGGTGGTGGAAGAAGTGCAGTGGCACAGAGAACGCGTAAAGGTCGTGCGCGGGCAGGTGAAACTTCTCGAGCAACGAACTGGTTAGAAGCATATATAAGATGTCCGCGCGCTTACCTTTTGATTTCTACATCTGTGGATTATAGTCTTTCAGTGGGTCGCCTGCCGGGTGGGAATTCCCTTCCTTCCTTAGTGCGCGAGATTGCTTCAATGTGCTCCATGGCACAACTTCCATGGACAGTTCAATCTAAACCGTTCAATAAAACGCATGTTACTCGCCTGATGCTAGAGCCTCAGCTCAGTCCTGTGCGACCAGGGTTGGTGCAATCAAACAAGACAAACTGCGGATCCGAGGCCCACGACGGGAGCTTGGAGCTTGTATTCTCAACACCGAGAGATAGACGACCATCTCCCATAAATGACTTTGAAGCGAGCAAAAACAAGGATGATCAACAACATGATCAAACCAGTCAAGGAGGGCATGCAGCAGTACAAGGGCTCGTTAATCTTGATTTTCTCGAGTTTGATGCAAATACCTGGGGCATTCCGCAGCCAGCCACAGGTAGGTACCACTGTTCCGGTCGTTTGGCCAACATTTGGCCGTCTCACTTCACGCCTGACTCTTTATCAGAATGTCACGTTTGGGAGACCACAGAAGGGGACAACGGCTTTGATTGGTCTCACCTATCATTGGATTATGTATGATAACAATCAAGGGAAATAATCCTAATTCGAAAGTGCTTGACGATAAATAGAGTTACAAAAGCTCTATTAGTACAGGGAAGCACTTGAGTGTGCCAAAGACTGCCAAGCCAAGCCTTGAAGGGATCTGAAGACAGACTTGAAGATGAAACTGCATGTACTATTGAAAAAAAGAATCAGTTTCCGCCTCATCCTGGCCATGTAGCATGACACTGGCATTTATGGCCAGACAGTTTGAAGGAGAGGAGTCAAAGATACTAGCTAGGCCTAAATTATCAAATGATCACATCGATGTTTTAAGACACAGCGTGCAGGGTGCGAACAATAACGGAAAAGCGCATGAACTGCATTTTCAGCTGGGTTATTGGCATGGCCGAGGTCAAGAACTGTTGCACGCACAATCTCGAAATGATACTGTGCACTGGCAGATGTCGGATTTCTTTTCTTCAAGTTTTCTTTTCGTACTTCAATGTTAGCGCTGGAGGTAACCTTGGAAATATTATCGGAACAACATTTGAAGAAGCTGTGCGTGAAGATCCGATACCTAGCGGAGCATATATTATAGGTATATTGAATTCAGATGTCCTATTCACGTCACATGATGTCTCGAATGATCTTTCAAACAAATCACATGCATTTCTTGAATCATGTTTTCAACATTTGGAAAAGCCTTACCACATCCAATTAGTGTTCTCCAGCCCAGGCAGAGAAGCATCCTGAAGGATATCGAATTCCAGCCTCTCGATCGCGGATTCGATTGTTTCGGGATCCAAGAGCCCTGGATCCCAATCAGTTGTTACCCGTGAACTAGAAGCCACATGCGTTGGAAATTGATCCTGATGGGTCTCTTGAAACTTTTCTGTCCTTCGCAAAGGAGAACTGGCCTCTGCATGATCAGGACCTGGCGGCTTGCCGTGTGTTTGAGGCTCGGATAATCCATTGACTCGACGATCGACAGTTTTCAACTTTTCACAGAAATTCATGACCTCTACCAAATCTTGCTTATAAGGTCGTGCAATAATGATACCTCTGGTAACGAATTCGTCCAGTAAAGAGAGAACATTTCCCAGATCCCATGGCTCCGAGATAGAGGGCGCAATAGTATCGATAATAATCAAGATAAAGGCTGCCGCAAACACCGCATCGATGTCGTGGGGAAGCATCGTATCTGTTCATTTTGTGACTAACGTCAATAAACCATTCAAATGTTATAGGCTCGATGAATCAACCATACTCAGAAGTTTATGAATTCGCAATGACTCAATTATAGTCAAAATTCGAATAGCCGACTCTGCACAAATTCGAACAAGTCCTATCACGGCACCCGATAGACGCAGAGTGGAATTTTGATCTGCGAGATTGGCTTTCAGAAGGAAGTAAATGACCGGCCTTATAGCAAGTATACTGCACTGTAACCCCAATGTCAGCTAGGGACGACGAAACGGAAATTTGTCATTTAGTTGCAGACCTGGTGATGTAAAAGATATAAGTTTGCTGCTGTACGTGAAACAGTATCACCTGGAGAATTTGGTTCGATTTTCATCTTCGTGTTCAACTTCCTGGATGTCTTGACCTGTTTTTGCAAAACAGACTGTACTGCTGCAATAAACTTGCTACCAAGGTACCGCTGAGATCCGTGACCGTAAATGACTGGAGAGTAAAATTAGTTCAGCATTTCCCTCTCACATGTGTGTCGTTTCAAGCAACAACCATTTAGAATATGACCCAATTGGGACATTACCTCCACATGTAACCCCAAAGCAAGATCCTCGTCATGGTGGATGTTGTCTGTATCGGGCATCGGGAGCGATATATCCGTATCGGAGAAGCCAGGGACTACTCCGATGAGACTAGAAAGCTTTCTGTCAATCACATAAACTGACCACCATAGTCTTGACCGATGCTCAAACTCTTCCCGTGTATTCCGCAGGGTATCCCATTTTCGCTCCATTCCATGTGTGATAGAAATCCGCATAGCTAAGCCAATCTATGGGGAATAATTCATTAGTTTCGCTATCTAGGCATTGAGTTCGATTCGATGCTCGGAAAAAAAAACAGGGTATATCGCTCACGTATTGATGAGCAGCCAACTGCATGTCCATTGCTTGCATGAACAGAGCAAACAGACTCAAAATTTCAATGGCTAGAACGGGCTCTTGGGAGAGTTGGTGACAGTCAGGAAGTGCCTCAACTGCTTTCGCAAAATATGTGGCTCCAGTTGGACCTAATGGTCCAGCCTCTCGCGCAAGAATAGATACGCCGAATGCAAAGATAACCAGCATTTGAATATGCCAGATACCAGTAGGCTGCACACTATTTTGGTTGCGGTCGGTATAGAACTGATGTAGTCTGGATAAGAAAGCACCGTTATCAAACAAATGATAAAGCGGACGCAGAGCGAATGAAACCGTGTGTGTTAGATATACTGCGTAGTCTTCAGAGGGTAAATGAACTCCCGACAGATCCACATGTACTCTCTGCCAAGGACTTCCGTAAGCACCGTCTTTTATCGGAATCATATCATGTAGCTCGGGGCCTTGGACAGCCTTAGTGATCATAAGTCGAATGTTTCGACTAAAGGAAAACGAATTACTATGGCCAAGATACCCTGTGAAGGTGTTTAAATTAGCAAGTTTCGATATCGAGCCATTCATAGGCTCAGAAAGAGGAGGTTGCGCTGTTTACTATACTCATCGCCAATCGCATCCGAGTGACAGGTCTCGTCATCTCTACCTCCATTTCGTCCAGCTGCACCTCTTGGTCGACCGGAATCTATAAATTGTGTTTCAAGATAGGTTTGCTGTCTCTTAAGTGACTTAGTCAGTGACTTGAGATCCATCATACGGGGTTCGGGTTCGTATATTACGTTCTGAGCGGAGTCCTGCACCACACGCTCTTGTGATTCAAGTACCAGACCTTTATTAAATGTCAGTTGACCCGGGATTGTACAGAGGAGGAAATTCAAGCAAATTGCATTCTATACCTGTCATAACAGCTGGTTGCGCCTGTCCTGCAAGTGAAGAGCTGCGCCCTTCTAGCTCACGGAGGTAACTGTCAAATCTGTAAGCGAATCTGTGCAAGTGAACTCAAGCCATGGAAATATTCCTCATACTCTTCCGTAATCACGACTTTCTTGCCCCGCTCATTGAAAATGCAGTCAAGTTCTTTGGAAGTGCAGTATTGACAGGGCTGCTGGCCAGTACATTTGATCTTGCGCGTTCGGCACCATTGGCACCTGTTATATTCACGCATCAGTAAATTTAGTCCACTCATGGATTAGTGGGGATCTGCATACGCGTTCAAAGTCTTTTTTTTCTTCCTGATACCAAGTCTCACTCGTTCCTCCATTGTTTTCTTTGTTGATCTCGCAATTTCAGTACATAAAGTCTGATGATGAGGATTCTGGTAAATGCGGAGGTTGACGGGATCTCGCTTGATTATGTCAGTATTTTCGGAATCGGAAGCCGGTAACCTTATCGGACCTCCGAGGTCGCCGGGAGTTGACAACATACTACACTGTACACAAGATTGCAGGCGCTTCCAAGTTCCAACATTTGAATGTTCTCAAGCCCTGGAGGTTCTCCATTATATATGTATGTTTGCTTAGCTTTTCTATAAAATAACTGAACCTTAGAAAGTCCAGATGTCTTCCAAGGTTGTCTGAAATTTCGGATCTCCAATGGGGGAAGTGCGGAAAATTTCACCCCAAGAGGCTACTATGGTAAAACTATCATAAATGAAAGAGGTCTTTGTAGGTCAATGTATTTGACATATATTGCTATCTATATGAGCATTCATTTCGTGACAGCAATAATGTCAACCTCTGCTGTCACGTCCAGAGGTAGCCTGGAAACCTCCACGGACGTACGAGGGGGCTTATGGGGGAAATAAGTGTTGTAGACTGCATTGAACTCAGGGAGCTGGTCAAAGTCTGTGACAAAAACCTGAAAGATACATGTCAGATCAGTGATGCAATGTAATCAAGACTTTTATCTGAGATAAACCGTTACTTTGACTGTTCTCTTCAAGTCAGATCCTGCCGCTTTCAGGATTTCATCAATGTTCTTGCAGATTTGATGGGCCTGTTCTGTCATTGAACCTTTGATCAAGTTCCCATCAACATCCGCTGCAATCTGACCTGCAATCCAGACTTGGCCATTGGCTGAGAAGGCTTGAGACTATCAATTATATCATGGTCTGTTAGCCTTGCACGAAAGCCAACAAAGAGTCAATATAAGGGATAGCTAAGATAGCTCTTACATAATGACCGATTGCTGAACACAGAACGAACAGAGAGACATCTTGTTAGCGATTTCGCGCTTCAAGTGCCATATAAGCAGGCTTCTTACGTGCATAACTATCCGTCGTATGAATTGTAGTGATTGATGATACCATCCTGGCGTTTGGAGAGAAGAATTGCCCGGAGAAACTCGGCCAAACTTTGAACTGGCGTCTTGCAAGATGTCCTCCTGGACGGAGAGTGCAGAGAGAATAGAGACGGAAGATGGAAGTCAGCATTTTCACGAAAAGTCAGTCAAGAAGATCAATAGCAGCAACTGGGTTAATAACCTTGCAAATAAGTAGTGTGTAGTGGAGCAGGGAAGCCGATTGTCGGAACGGATGACCGCTGACGGGATACGATGCCGTTATCTCCAAAATCAAATAACGCGAGACAAAAAAGGATTTAACGGAAGATAGATAGATAAACTTGAATTTCAAGTTATTCATGTAATTTGAAGACTCGAAGTCAAGTGACTGGTCTATATAGTGTAGATCGATACTTCTTCCTCTTATTCACTCTCCTTCCCTCATACACATAACATTTGACTCGGAATAATATCATCCTATCATTCTATCAATCTATGTCATTCTCCATGCCATCCTTACTTTCAATGTTACATAACACCATATATGCTTCACAAGGTCAACTGTCCCATATCCTATCTGATCCTCCTCTCGTTTGAGTCAACTGGTGCTAATGGAAATTCATTAGTGGCTCGATCTAGTGCAACTTTCGCTTAGAAGTCCATACCCCCCTTAACCAAAGATGCACCATGTCATCTGAAAATATTATCAAATATGAGCCTGTATCATCCAAAGAGGCCACAAGCACATTTGCTGATGGTATCGGTACTAGTCTATTGCCCCAGCTCGAATCAGACATCGAGTCAGTCCGGCGACCAACAGTCGCCATCATGTCTGTTGGAGAGATGGGCCTTGGTATCGCCGGCTTAATGTCCAAATACTCATACCCTGTGATTACAAGCCTTGAAGAGCGGAGTGAGAAAACCAAGGCTCATGCTGCAATGGTGGGAGTAAAGGATGTACCTTTTGATGATCTGCCATTCGTAGCAGACATTTTTCTTTCGATCGTTCCGCCTGCGGCGGCACAGGCCACGGCTCTGAGGGTTGTTTCCGCTTATAAGAACGCGAATGGGAGGATACGGTCCCATAAATCCCGTCCACTGGTCTTTATGGATCTTAATGCTATATCACCGGCCCTATCCCAAACAATAGGATTGACCTTGCAAGAAAGTGGTGTTATATTTGTGGATGGGGCGATCATTGGCTTCCCGCCTCGGCCAATTAATGACGGAGATGATATCTGGTTTCGGCCATCTATTCCAGTCTCTGGCCCAGAGCTTAAATCGGCAATTGGAGATCCATGGGCTGAGCATTTTTCTTCGCTGCTGAAGCTTCACCATGTTGGTGCAGATTTGGGCGCAGCGAGTGGCTTAAAGATGTGTTTCGGTGCCATGTACAAGGGACAGGCAGCTGTTGCTACTCAGGCCTACACTACAGCCCAAAATTTGGGAGTCTTGCCAGCTCTTCGAGCTCATATGCTTGAATATTTTCCACACACTACCCCTATCATTGAGGGAAGCATTATCGGATCTCAGCGCAAGGCATATCGCTGGATTCGAGAGATGGAAGAAATCGAGGAAACTTTTGTCTCAATGGGAGGATGGGAGCCAGAGCTTTTTCGCGGGGTCAAGGATGTATTCAAACTGGTTTCCCAACAGACTGATTTACAGAAAGATCCTAAGATGGAGGTGCAAGATGTCACAAGGGATATTTGCGGTGGACTTCAGAATGGGCGTTGTGTATCCAGACTTCAAAGGTCCGCAATTAGGAAACTTCAATAATTCAATGTTGACCTAGGTACATGTGTAGAAAGCTTGAAACATTTGAACATGAACAATGGATGGTGTTAATCCGACATCTAGATACACTGCACCTGGAGGTAAATCAACCAGAGCCGAGTGGACTGGGGTATGTAGTAAGACTGTATCATGGTCAATTGGTAGATATGTATGAATTCAGTGGAGATATAGTGAGACCTCCGGAGGTTACTAGTAGGAGGTCCCGGAGATCTGATGCCTGGCGGTAACGAATAGTCTCGGGTATTTAAGCAGAAAAACAAGGGAAAGGAGAAATACAGCCTTGGAAGCCCTGCCAGTCTTGCCGATAGCGTGAACAGAACTCCCCATGGCTGATATGTAACAATGATGCCACTAACAAAACCTCCGAATGTAATCCATGACAATACGGTTACTTCAATCAATAATTGTAGGTCCAATAACGAAAAAGGACGCCCGTCAAAATGCAGTAAGCAGTCGGAGGGAAAGTTGCACTCCACCCAAAAATCCGGAAACAAATACTAGTATTTTACTAAGAGAGGCGATGAGGAACCAAGCGCCAGAGGTTGAAATGACCTAACATAGGTATGTTAGTTCGAAAAGGAGTTGATACTCCCATGTATACCATATACGCGACGATAGGGGAATTAATAATAGTACCAGTATCATTGAAACTTGAAGCACTTGAGAAGTGGCCACTTGGGGTGTCGCAGCTAGAACGAAAATTGACGAAAATGGAGATAGAACCGCGTAGAACGAGACTAAAATCACAATAATATTTTTTGGCCGCTTGGAAACTGCTCGTTGTCAATAATGTATCTCTGAATGTCCAAATTCTGACTTCTCTCTCATCGGGAATAGGCTGCGCTCTTGTGAGGAATTCCTGCAAGATGTAACCCGCCAATGTGATTGAAGAGGCTACTATCGTGTAGTGATAAGTCCAGAAGATGTTGGATTTGACTGATGTTAAAAGAATGAGATATTCAGTACCCATGCAGGGTATTTAGGCTACCACTATTTCCATTTCACATAGTTGCAGTTCATTCAAGTCGACTTCTAGAGTAACAGAGGATCCCCCGGTGTGCAATCAGTCGGAACATACGACCCCAAGATACGTGCCTAATCTCGTTGAGGGTTGTACAATTGATGCCACTCTATTTTTTGGACCCATTATTGGCATTCTTATCTCACAATTATAAAATCATGTTAGTACTTCCCCTTGGAGTATCAAACAAAGTGGGGGGGTGATCCCGAGACGGCTTCACATCCCGACAGCTGGTCGGGTCTTTCAAGTTGTTGACATCTGGCCCTATATTGAATTCCTCATGCGAGAATTCCATGACATTATAAAAACTCCAATCCTGAAACCTCCCATAGATGTCAATCATCTTCTAAAATTACTCCTGTTATTAACCACCATGACCCTACTATGCGTTGCCTCCAAGGGCCTCAGCCCAACCAGAAGACAGGTTTCTCGGATTAGGACTTATGTACCATCTATCTCGAGATCCCTATCTTTGTATCAGAAACCCTCTTTCCAAAATGAGCCTACAGTGAGTCATTGCATTCGCTCTTAGTTAAAAAGCTTTCCCCATGGGGCGCATTCTAAATTGTACATTAGAAAGCCTATGCCCGAGGATCCCCTGAGCTAGCTGGCATCACGAAAGCCCTTGAAGATCTAAAAGCCAAATTGCCTGTTCAGCTTCCTTTGCAAATCGGTTCTGAGAATGTAAGGTTACATTCACGGTAATATTTGTTGATTGACTATCGTATTCCCGCTGACGGGTTGACTACAGATCAAATCACCAATCTCTGCCCAGATTAACCCAGCGAGGCACAGTCAAGTTATTGCGGAATGGGTTCCAGCGAGAAAGTCCGATATAAAGAAAGCTATTGATGCGGCACTTGCTGCAAAGCCCTCTTGGGAGAATTTGCCGTTTGAAGATCGGGCTGCAGTTTTTCTTAGAGCTGCGGAACTGATATCGGGGAAGTACCGCTATCCGTTGATGGCTGCGACGATGTTGAACCAAGGGAAGAACATCCGAGAAGCAGAGATTGACGCTGCGGCCGAATCATGCGATCTTTTGAGGTAAGTTGTGTTTTTTTGCGTTCATTGTATCAATGATGAACATCAGGATCCTAATATTTTTGTGCAAATAAGGTTCAACGTTCAATGCGCGATGGACATGTTCAAGCAGCAGCCTGCAATTAACTCAAAGGGAATGGTAGGTTTAGACATAGTTGACACTCATGTGGTATTCTAGCCTGGAGGCTAATCTACTTATTCCTCTTTGTCAATTTAGTGGAATCGCCTTGAGTATCGACCCCTCGAGGGTTTCGTTTATGCCATTGCACCATTCAACTTCACTGCACTGTGCGCTACTCTTGCATGTGGTCCATTGCTAATGGGTAATGTCGTTATCTTGAAGCCATCCTTGTCTGCTCTTCACAGCTCATGGTTGTTTCATCAAATCTTACTTGAAGCTGGACTTCCCAAAGATGTCCTTCAGTTTGTTCCAGGTGATGCCGAGGAAATTACAAACGCAGTCCTTGAAAGCCGGGATTTTGCTGGTCTCAATTTCACTGGTTCTACCCATGTTTTCCGAAATCTCATTGCGAAGATCGGAATTGCTACAGGCGAAGGTCGGTTCTTAAGCTACCCACGAATTGTTGGAGAGACGGGTGGAAAGAACTTCCATCTCATCCACGAGTCCGCGGAAATTGAGAGTGCTGTCAACTGTACCATTCGTGGTGCTTTTGAGTTCCAGGGGCAGAAATGTTCAGCGCCTTCTCGTCTTTACGTCTCAGAATCTGTCTGGCCGGACTTCAAAAGAAGTCTGTTGCAAAAGATGAACACAATCAAAGTCGGCAGCCCTGAAAATCCGGAGAATTATATCAACCCAATCATCCATGAACAAGCATTTGACAGAATGGTCGATTTGTTCGAGAGGGCAAAATCGGACGCTAATCTGACTTTGATCACCGGTGGTAAAGCTGAAAAAGATGTCGGCTTTTATGTTTATCCCACAGTCTATCAGACTACAGATCCTCAACATGAGATCATGCAGACAGAGTACTTTGGTCCCATGTTTTCCGTTTACGTGTTCCCTGACAATGAGTGGGAAAGTATACCCAAGCTCATTGATACTACCAGCAGCTATGCACTTACCGGTAGTATCTTCGCTAAAGACCCGAGTGCTATTCGATTCGCTTGTGATGCATTAAAACACTCAGCGGGTAATTTCTACGTCAACACCAAGAGTACTGGCTCTGTCGTTGGTCAACAACCCTTCGGTGGTTCACGCGGCAGTGGCACGAACGATAAAGTGGGATCAGTGAATACACTGAGCCGTTTTGTAAGTGTTCGAACTGTGAAGGAGGAATTTGATGAAACAACGGAGTTTAGCTACCCCAATTTTCAATCGGAAGATTGATTTAGTAAGCTAGAGGATAATTCGAATCTGTGTTTTAGGTATGCACACTTGGAGCCTTGATCTGAAACCTATATTCAAATGTTACATATACGCGAAAATGTCAACCTTGGAAGCGATATAGTATTGCCAGGTGGGGGTGCTCAATAAAACACAAGCTTGATGATGCTGGAAGAGGGTGAAATATGATTGGAACTACTTGAGTTTTTGATGATAAGGGAGTTCAAGTTTCAAGTTGGCGGGAATTTGAATTTCATTAAAACTTCCATACTTCCAGATGTCGTGTAGTATTGAAGGAAATATTACGATCTGATGACCACTTGGATCGACATCATTGAAAGGCGAAGCCACACTTTACCCACATGCGGGTGCCCACTCTTTTTTTCGGAAGAACCTTGGAAGAGAGCACTTGAGAGCCCCGGAGGAGAAAATTTGAAGATTTATCATATGTATGTAGGCGCTACTAGTACTCGTACCTATATACTACATAGTCACCCGACTCTGACTCCAAGTCACATCCATGGATGCACTCAGGCTGTCACGCAGGCAAACACGAATTCTGGCAACATTTCTTAAACGTACCTACGCGTGCCCAGGTGAACGTGTGGTACATACATATATAGTACATCCATGCATACCTATGTACATATGTACCTAGGTACTATCCAGATGTCCAGATGTCGGAACCTTGGAATTTCTTCGACATCTGCATGTGGAGTTGAATTTGTGAAGAAGCTAGTACCACTGGCATTATGATGGTGTGCCCAGGTGTATGTTTCAACTTGAAGTTACATACTGAACGCTACCGAGAGAAACCCGAGCTAGCTTCCAAATTTCGGTAATGTTTCAAATGTTGAGTGAAGTTAAGCCCTGGAGTAGGTACACTGTAACAACATTTAAAGTAATTGTGCTAGTACATAGTATCTACTCCATGGATATGATCATATATTCTATCTAGTATGGTAAATACATATGCAGATACACACACATACATGTACAGCGCTGAGCTGCCTGCCCACTGGCAGGTGAATGACAACCTTGGAATTGCGTCAGATCATTTCTTCATAAAGTTGGCCAAATTCGACCCCTCTCTAGCCAATTCCGTAGCTAGCGAGGGTCGCGGTAACTCAAAGGTTTCGCGGACTCGAGAGTATTGAATACCCCCAAGCTGAACCACAGGTCTCATGACAGACAAATCAATTTCGTCCTGATGGTCATTGATCGCATCGGATCGAACCCAGAAACGAGTTCCTTGGATGACTGCCAATGATCCGACTGGTTTTCCCTGCTTTGCATGCCCATGATAGTCGAGATCTTTCATCTCAAGTAACTTACCCTCAATTGAAAAGATCGAGTCCTTCAGACGACCGGCACGCACAGTCGCAGATGGAAGTGACTTGAGGCCGGACAGTCCCCACTCTGATATGCTAGACTCGACATCCAAGGAGGTCGCATTCGCAGCTTCCACGAAGTGATCTGATACGACGTTGATCACACACTCGCCGGTTTCAATCAAGTTCTTCTGCGTATCCTTTGGTCGACTGGCTCTTGCTGAGAAGCCTATGACAAACGTGGGTGGGTCGTGATCAACCAACTGAAAGTAGCTGAAGGGAGCGAGGTTTGGTGTGCCATCCTTCGACAATGTACTGACAAAGCTAATTGGCCGCGGAATTCCAGAGACCAGTAGGCGATAATTGTCAATCATAGCGCGATCGCTCCCATAGGGATCAATCTCAACATGGCTTGACTCAAGTGAAGAACAAGCTTGTGGGGAAGAGATTGCACCTTTACCATACTCCCAACGGGGGTCTGGCGTTTGGGTGTACACGATTGGCAAGCTGGGATCAAAGGCAGGCCGAGTCGCTTCCACCTTCTTAAAGTCTGGGTATTTCGGTTTCAACTCGAAGGGGCTTTTTGTACTCCTCATCATGTGTCGCGATGCGCTATGAATCGGGACAGTTGGGGGCTTTGTATGCAGATTAGTTGTGGCATTGGCCCGCCCTGTAGCAATCAAGGCGGGTCGCATGATGCTGCTTTTGTCACGGTCGCAGTAAGGGAGCTCCGCGAAATCCCTCGACTTATGTAAAGTGGGCATGCACCTGGGCAGTTCTTATCACTCAAAAATTCAAAACGATGTTGTGGAGCAGTCGGGATCAAACGTCGGGATCGAATCCCGCAGCCTCTCTGAACCTGAAACCGACCAATCGGAGTACTAACGTTATCCCCTCAGGAGCAAGAAGGGGAAACAGCTGGCAGATTATAGAGAAGCAAGAGAAAGAACTCGTCCGGAACGGAGGGTATGAGAAAACGCGACAGCGGGATATGCCAGGTCTTACCTCCTTACCTTGATCCTCGAGAGAGATGCAGCACTTGAGGCACCTCTTCGTGGTGCGAGAGATCATTATCCAAGTATCGCATATTCAAATGTTGATTTAGATAAGGAATTAAAAGAGACCTTTATCTAAGGGTGTTTCTAACATTTGAAAGCACCAGAAAAGAGAGAGAGAAAAAGCGATAGTAACAAATATAGTATAAGGGTGTTCAATATATGAGATCAAGATTCAGAATGAAATCCTCTCCCCATGTGGACCTGGCCGAGGGGGAAGCACTTGTGGGACTTCAATGTTCAAGTTGGTTTAACACCTGTCCTCCTAATTTAATCCAATTTAATCCGTAGGGCCCTTCAAATGTTTTACATGATACCATCCAGTGAACGTATTTTTCACACTAGTCACTCATAGTACTTATCTTCATTAATAAATAGGTGTCTATCGATTAGCTAACGGTGAATATGGTGTCACCCGGCAACATTCAAATGTTCTCAATCTGTGCCAGGAATTGCCTACTGAGCACCTGGAGGCTTCAGAGCTCCGATTTGCCCCATGATCGCGAACAGATCAGGCAAGCCAGTCTCCTCCACAATCTTTCCATCCACAAAGCGATAGATATTCATAGCACGGGCCTCAATCTTGTTTCCAGAAGGGGGAACACCGAAGAATTCACCGTCGTGAGTTCCACGCAAAGTAAACTTCGCAACTACTCGATCGTCTTCGGCAACGGTATCCTCGAGGGTCCACTGAACATCTGAGAAGGCAGAGCGCATCATCCCTAGAACTTGCATATACCCAGAGAATCCTTTCAGTGGAGCCTCTTGAAACGGAACGTGGAATATAGCTGCATCGGAAACCACTTCCTTTCCAATAGTCTCGTCGGCTGAGTTGATGAACTGGACGAAACGATTCATCTTTGGGAGAAGTGGAGAAGGCATTTTTCAAGTTGCACTACATCATGCTTTAGTTAATAACTTTTCAGCAATTGAGCTAGACGGGATTTGACTTACATCTTGACTCGGGGTTGAGGATAAAGTTGGGGCTTGTGGGGGTATGGACGTCGGGTTTGTCTGTTAAACGTCTGGAGAGTTCAAATCAGTAAGGAAAGAAAACCCATAATATCTCACGAAAATGTACCTGTTGTAAAACTTGAAGTCTTTGTTCTGTTAATTTTTGAAAGATTCAGGCAATAAGAGAACGTACTTATACCTTTTTTTCAATCTGATCTGATCTATGATCCGTGCACTATTAGGTATGTTTGCTATGTTTGAACAGTTTGCATCAATTACAATGTTACATCCGTCGGATCCACTGAACCTTGGAACCCTTCAAATGTTCAAGTTTACAACAGGCCAAAATGAGATAGGAATTCAATTACAGAAATCTTGGAATTGCCACCTGGGCACATGTGCATGGAGCCGGAGCAATTTGCTGGGAGAGCATCAAGAACAATTCAGAATACTCAAGTTAAGCCTAACTTTGAAATGAATCAATTGATAATTCCCACTCAGTGACTCTATTATGGTATCCACCTGGGCACCTATGGGCCCACATATCAAACCAGCCCTGGGGCAAATTATTCAAATTATTCAAATTATTGTAAGATTTTCTCGGAATTCCCGATATTTACGCTTGAAGTTGGTATGTTTGCAGACTTTGCATCAGCCAACCTTGGATCATTATGTTTGCATGTTTGCATGTTTGCACGTTTGCACATGTGTCACGGACCATCGGAAATACCAGCACTCAAGTGCTGAGTTGACACTTGTACATAGCTTCTCCGTGGTCGGCAGCTCGGATATATGGCCGGCTAGGTCGGCGTGGTAATATATTGTTGCGAATTAAGCTGCCACCTGGGCAGTGCTAGGTACGCCCGGGCGGAGGACACAATTGTCCTCCAGATGTCCACTTTCAAGCACCTGAGTTATCCGACAACTTGAACAGATATCCGAACTTGAAATCACTAGTCCATACCTAAGTATCGATATGCCGTCATCCGAAAAGCTTAATTCGCGGATCAGCCGGTTAGCTTCAAACATTTGAATGTTGAATTATTAAACAGGCTGTGGGCTCCAGAGAAGCTCACCGTGTTGCGCGGAGTAGTAGACCGGAACGTTTCGACGGTTTCGCAGCCTGAGCCAGCTGGCAACTTCCGCTTGCGTTGAGTTCAGGATGCGGCCACTATAACTTGTTTATTGTTATTTTCAAGGCCAAAATCCAGGCAGAAAATACACCTGAAGGTTTTCCTTGAACCAGCACAATGGCGCTGAACCGAACCACCAACAAAACGATCAAGGTTACCCTACCCGTCTGCAAGGCAAAATTGCCCCTGAGGAAGCCGTGGGTAGTCCCTACTTGGTTGCCCATGGCATTCACCCTCTGACCCCCATGATCACTGGAATGGAGGATGGCTTGCCCCCTTCCAACGCGCCGTTCCTGCAAAATATTGAAGATCGTCTAAACAACGTCGAAAAAACGTCTAGAATCTATGAATGCGAGTGGTATTGACTATGCAATTGTGTCTCTGACTTGCCCGGGCATGCAGGGCATTTTGGACACTGGCGAGGCTGTGGAGCTAGCAAGAAAGACCAACGATGCCATTCACGAGCACTACGTCAAAGCTCATCCGACTCGCTTCGGGTATTTCGCTTCGGTTGCTATGCAAAATCCGGAAGAAGCGGCCAAGGAGCTTGAGTGTGCAGTCACTGTGCTGGGTGCCAAGGGAGTTTTGATCAACGGATTTACCAACATTGACAAAATAAATCTTTCTCAGGCAGCCTATGGTTTTGGTGTCGAGACTGCTGGTCATACTCTCCACATCATGTGCTCGGGAGTTTTTGACAGATATCCCGTATCGAATTGAGAAGCCCGTGTTTTGTTCAGCGTTGACTACCCCCAGGAAAGCAATGAAGATGCCGGAGGCTGGTTTGACGGTATGCTGATGCTGCATGCATGAGAATACGCGGCAAGCTCTGGCAAGCTCTGGTTTTCGAAAACGTAAAACGAATAATCAAGCTTGACTAAATCAACGGACTCCTACCTAGGATAGAGATAGAGAGACCTAAAAAAGCTGATACTGATAGGATTAGTCTGAGCCTCTCGCGGATCCCCTCCCAATGTAGAAATATAATTAAAACAAAGGAAAGCAGAATGCAAGTTCAATCACTCGCACAGTTGCACTTGACCCTCACCGCCTTCACAACTCTTCTCAACGGTCGGCATCCACCCCGGCGCTTGCGAGCTCTTTTGACTCAAGGCCAAGGGAGTATACTAGACCTAGCACTACACACCGAACGGGCATTGTTATTCTCCTTCCGTTAACCTGTTTTTCAGGGGCGATTCTCTTGGTCACTCCAGCGGGACATGTGCCACTGTATGGTTGCCCAATTTGTAGTTACACCGTGTCGTCGTTTGCTAATATGAGCCAGGTAGGCATGCAGGCTGATTCGCCTGGTGCGGATCAATGCACATGCTTGCTTTGTGTAATCCCGCTTATTATTCTAGTGTCTACTTGCTTCAAGTTGGTGCCTCAATCAACTGTTTAGTCGGCTGACTGGTCTTCTCCGATGTCCATGCTCTCTCCCATTGGATCTTTGCCTTTTTTCCGGAATTGACGCTTATCCGCAGCTCCGAGACGGATATGTCAATTGTGAGGAATCTATGTTGTATCGGCACCTGGGGTTTCTGGGTCCACCTCGTTGCTCAGCACCCCAGCTGGAATCCATCCGAGGCCGGTTTGCCGGTTTGCCGGTTTGCCGCTCTGCCAGTTGACGGATCAAGTTCAGGTGATCCTCGAGACCAAACTTCGAACCACGGCAGCTCCCACTTTCCCCTCAATTCCACTTTCATCGGAATACAATTTCAAAATAGTAGACCCACTTCCATGTGCCAGGTTGTGACTTTCTCTGTCCAAATCTTAAAGGTGCGGGTCTCCATAATGAACAATTGGCCATATTCAATTGCTTGTTGCAAAGCCGATATTCTCGGGGTAGATCCGAACACCACGCCACATGATCCAATCTTCGGATACTGAAATGCTCCCCACTCGATTTAATCGGATCACAGTTTAAGACCGGTCGTGTTTAAAAAAAAATAAATAATGTGAATCCAGATAGAAAACAATCCCACTATCTTGGAGCTTTATTATTCCCACCGTCCATTCTGTACCAACTTGATTGAAAAAACTTGAACCGATGGCTACACCTAAGAACTTTCACGTCGCCGTGGTGGGTGGTGGTATTGCAGGTGTGACTCTGGCGATCGCTCTTCACCACCGCAATATCCCTGTGACACTTTACGAGCAAGCACATGCATTTGGCGAGGTGGGCGCCGGTGTGTCCTTCGGACCCAATGCCGTCGCGGCGATGAAAGCCAGCCACCAAGGCATCTATGAGGCCTTCCAGAAGGTCTGCACACGGAATATGTGGCCGTCCAAGGAGAAGGTCTGGTTCGACTATCTTGATGGGCAGACCATGGGCACGTCGACTACTGCCCAGAATCCCAGCCAGCAGGATATTGCCTTCACCATCTCCAACAGCACCGGCCAGACCGGAGTCCACCGCGCGCACTTCCTCGACGAACTGATCCGGTTGTTACCTGACCACATCTCGCGGTTTAACAAGCGACTAGACACCATAACCGAGCGCGCAGATGGAAAGCTCGTCCTGAAGTTCGAGGATGGCAGCGAGGACGTCACCGATGTGGTGATCGGTTGTGATGGAATCAAGTCACGGGTTCGGCAGCTGATGGTGGGTGAAGACCACCCATCTGCCAAGCCCTCCTATACGCACAAATATGCGTACCGTGGTCTCGTGCCCATGGACAAAGCGATCGAGGCAATCGGGGAAGAATTAGCTTCCAATTCCTGCATGCATGTAAGTTGCGCCGTGGACTCTTAATCGGGAGAAACCGGACTGACAATGATGACAGATGGGTCCCGGTGGCCATGTATTGACTTTCCCTGTTAACGAGGGAAAGACGCTCAACATCGTGGCCTTCCACACCACTCCTGATAACTGGGCAGATTATCCCAGGTTAACTCGACAGGGCAAGAGAGAGGAAGCTATCAGCGACTTCACTGGATATGGACCTAACGTGATCAATTTGTTGAAGCTGACCGAAGAAGAACTCAGTGTAGTGAGTCTCCTTCCATTCCCCGCAACCGTTCACCATATGTTGGGACATGCTAATATTTCCTAAGTGGGCAATTTTCGACCTGGGAGAACATCCTGTATCCACATTCAGTAAGGGGCGTATCTGCATCTCTGGTGATGCGGCACATGCCACATCGCCGCATCACGGCGCGGGAGCCGGGATGTGCATTGAGGACACGGCAGTATTGGCGGCATTGCTAGAAAGCGACCAGGTACAGACACCCAAGGACCTCGAGGATGTTCTCACTACTTTCGATCTCTGTCGTCGGGAGCGAACGCAGTGGCTGGTACAGAGCAGCAGGTTCGTTGGAGACTGCTATGAATGGCGGGCTGAGGGAGTGGGAAGAGATTTCAAGAAGATTGAAGAAGAAATCAACCGCAGGAATGATATTATTTCCAATGTGGATATTGATGTCATGTGTGAGAATGCCCGACAGCAGCTTGCTCAGAGGCTCTCCAGTTCTTAACATTGGAACCTTGAAATCGTCTCAAGATTTCTGATATTGTTAAGATTCGTTGTTGAATTTCCGAGGGAGCAACCTGGGAATAGAGACTGTACATATACTGTGAATACCAAGTCGATATAAATATGAAATTAGTTCATAAATTTCCTCCTGCCCAGGTGAAGCCTTCAATATTGGAGATCGTGCGAGTTATTTTCGTTGATGTGGCTTCGTTCTTGGTCTGCACCATAATTGATCATATGTATCAAAAACTTGAACAAGAGTTTTGATCCAACCTACGCTGAATGGGCTACTCAAGTGCTGAAGTGATGAATGAAGGGATACCCGGTACATGGCACATGTGCATTTGAATGGATCTAGGTACCATATTTTTTAGTGGCAATTCAATATTAACGCTACATAACGCTCCAGTACGTATTTACCACCAATAAATGAACTTGAACATGAATGTGTGAGATATGGAGCTGAAATCTGCTAAAGGTAGGACTCGGAAAGTCTTCAAATTTATGTGAATTTATAGGAAAAAATCTTGGAAAGCCCTGGAGTATGTAAGCTCAAATTCAGTGCGATCGTTTAATTTCATGTTCTCATTTGAAGGAGGACATCTGGACATTTGGACTTGGATGTTTTGATTATTCCGACTCGGAGTCATGTCATTCGAGAGCTTATCGGTTAGTAGAACAGAATCAGGGTACATATTGAAGAGTTCTCATCATACTACATGGTTCATTTTTACTAAGATCTCAATTTCCATATTCAGAAGCTTAATATTGTTCATGGACCAATTCTCTCGTTGTATTCTACTATAGAGTCTAAATATTCCAAAGTGGCATGGCAGTAGACGGGAGATTTATAACGGAAGATGAAACTTTCTGTATAAAACCTTCAGTATGTCAAGTTGCAAGCGATGTATTTAATTATCAACTCAGTCCAGGGAGACAAAGATCGATTTAACCTCTGTCCAAGAGTCTAGCCCCTCTTGGCCCAGCTCTCGACCTGTGCCCGAACCCTCAGAACCACCGAGAGGAAGATCTTGGCAATAATAAGGCGAAGAACAATTGACTGCAACAGACCCAGCCTCGAAGTTCTTGGTGATCCGAATTGCCCGGTTCAAATCGTGTGTGAAAACGGTAGCGTAAAGACCAAATTCAGAATCATTAGCTCGTTCGAGGGCATCGGCTTCATCTTTGAAACGGTTGATACATGATACAGCCCTAAAAAAAAAGCAATCAGTGCCAGATCACTATATATAATCATGCGCAATATAGCAATCATATTGATTTAGTCCGAGGTCAGAACTCGGAACTTGAAAGACTAACCCGAAAATTTCTTCTTTCATGATTGGACTTTCTTCTGGCACATCGATGAATACTCGAGGTGACACGAAATTTCCCTGAGAAGGATCCGCGTTATCGTCAAGAATCGCTTTGAAGTTTTCAATTCTCGCCCTATTCAAGAATTTTTGGATGTTTTGAACTTGCTGGGTATCTGCTTGAGGACCAAAGTTGGTCTCAGGGCCCAATGGATCTCCTGCCTTGTTAGAAATTGCCTGGATTTCTTTCAGATAGAGCTGAGTAAACTCCTGCGCAATTGAGTCCTGAACATAGATTCGCGAGGAAGCCATGCATACTTGACCTGAATTGAAAACAATAGAGAATGCGGCTGCCTTTGCGGCTTTCTCAAGATTGGCATCCTCGAATATAAGCAAAGGACTCTTTCCACTGTTGATCAAAAATTAGCAAATTGTTTATTCAAAAGAGATCGAAGTCAGTCGTAGCTCACCCAAGTTCAAGTGTACATGACTTCAGGTTCGACTCGGCAGCGGCTTTCTGAATCAACTTCCCCGTCATCGAACTGCCAGTGAAAGCGATCTTCCGGATGATTGGGTGACGTGCAATCGCATCTCCGCAAGGAAGGCCAAATCCAGATAAAAAGTTCAGAACCCCAGGAGGGAATCCAGCCTCATGAGCTAGACGGGCAAATAGTAGGCAGGTAAGCGGGGCTTTCTCGGAGGACTTCACAATCAGGGTATTTCCGGCGATTAATGAGGGGCCGACTTTGAAGCAGAGCATAATTAAAGGGACGCTGCGAATAAAACCTGGCATTAGCAACCCATGATATTCCAGTCTTTGAGTTGGACTTCTTGTCTTGAGATCTATCTTACTTCCATGGAATAATTGCAGCGGTGACACCATAAGGTTGACGGAGAGAGAGATTCAAATGATTCTGGGAGGTAAGAGATGTCACACCATGTACATCAAGGGCCTTTCCTGCATAATCTTCGGACAAATTAGTCACTAGGGATGTATATTGCCAGATCAAGCTAGCCATCAATGGTGCACTCATATCGCAATGTTGCCGTTCCCATTGTCGAATCCATGTACTGCGACACAGGTTTGCCCATCGACAGGGCTTCCAGCCGTGCGAACTCTGAGGTATTTTCGTCAACTAGATCAGCAAGACGAAGCATGAGTCTTCTTCTCTCGGAACCTACATCATATTATTAATATATGGAAGAAGACAACTTGGATTTGGGAGGGTTGTTCTGACCGTCAAGCGAGGACCAATTCGGGAAGGCTGCTTTGGCGCTATCAACAGCACGGTCGACGTCTGCTGCCTTAGCTTCTGAGACTTCAGCAGTTATATTGTTATTCCAAGGGTTGAATAACTTGAAAGTAGATCCATCCAAGGAAGGTACAAACTCGCCATTGATAAAATGACGAGTTTCGATTGATAGAGAAACAGACATCTTGAGCTTCGTGGTTGTTTGCAAGGTAATACGATTAATTGATGATTCACTGGAATTAAATTAATAAAAGATGGTATTTATAGTATTTCCCTATACCTTTCACTCAGTCTATCGTCAATGATCATAGAACTTGAAGTTCAAGTTTCATATACAATTACACTTTTCGGATATGGGCTTCCGATCGGAAGTCTCTCTCTAAATCTTCGGCTAAACAGTAATGTATGGGGCTCCATGGGGTTAAGTGGAGTATTATTACTTGCTTCCCCGGGTGGCGTCAATAGTGGAACTTGAACCCAAAAAAAGGTCGCGGGGTTGAGCAAAGATGTGAGGCAAGAGAGGAGATCTCTTCTTTGCTACCTCTATTCTGTGTAATTGAAGTTGTATTAGGTACTAGGAACTGAAATTCCAAGGTTATCATTGTTAGTGAACTGTGCTGGGGTCATATCTCGGGCCAACAATGTTATACTTCCTTTGCTTCAGCTCAATGGGCTGTTTATTCAAATTCATGCTCCAAGTTTACGGACTATGCTCGCGATCACCAAGGAGCTTCCGAACGGAACTCGCTTCGGATCTTGAACCCTCTGCAGAGTACCGTAATTCCGGGGAGCTAAGATGACGGAATATCTGATAGTAGTAAGTGGGAATGCATAGATAGACATTATGGATGCAAGTCTGCTTTTCTGTTTTATGTTCGTTTTTCTTGTCCATAAGCAAATCCTCAATTCATACTCTCTCATAATGAACCACAAGTCTTGCGCATTGGTTGTCCAGTCCGTTGGAGGCAAGCCCAAGCTCCTCGAAATCGTTCTAGATTCGCTGCAGGCCAACGAGGTGAAAGTTCAGATATACGCGACCGGCGTTTGCCATACAGATTTGGCATGTATGGAGGGGCATATTCCAGTTCAGTTCCCCAATGTGTTTGGTCATGAAGGTACGTTTGACATGATCTAGAAATGAAATCTCCTGCGATGAAGTGATACTCAATTTCTCCGAACAGGTGCTGGAGTGGTGCTGGAAAAAGGAAGCGGCGTCACAGATGTGGAGGTCGGCGATAAAGTCCTGCTCAGCTACAATTTCTGTGGTGAATGCACTCAATGTAACGCAAATTCCCCGGCCTACTGCGAAAAGCTGATGCAGCTCAATTTCAGCGGGGAGAGACTAGACGGCTCTAGCACGATGCATCTGCCCAATGGAGAACACTTATCCTCCTATTTCTTCGGCCAGAGCTCCTTTTCGAAGGTCGCAGTGCTCAGCAAATCATCAGTCGTACGTGTTTCGCCGACCACGGATCTGCAGCTTTTTGCTCCACTGGGATGTGGAATGCAAACCGGAGCCGGTGCGATCTTGAATACTCTCAATGTGAGACCGGGAAGTTCAGTGGTGGTTTTCGGAACGGGGTGTGTTGGTCTCGCCGGGGTCATGGCCGCCAAAATCCGGGGAGCTCGAATCATTGTTGCCGTGGATCTCCAGCCTGAAAGATTGGACTTGGCCCGGGAGCTGGGTGCTACCCATACCTTCCGAGGAGACGATCCCCACATCCGAAACCATATCACTGATCTATGTGGATCTTCGCGGGGCGCGGATTTCGCCCTTGATTGCTCCGGTGCCATCCCTGTCATAGAGACGATGATTGTGACTCTTGGAATTCGCGGGAGAGCTGCTAGTGTCGGGGCACCAGCTCCTGGCAAAAAGGTCGAAGGGGATGTTTTCTCGCATCTCACAATGGGTCGTCAATATCTGGGTTGTCATCAGGGTGACAGTGTTGCTAGAGAGGTATTTCGTGTCTTCAATTTAGCCATATGTTGCGCGTTGACTAATGTGGCAAACGGATGATTCCCTATCTCATCGAGAAACAAAAAGAGGGGAATTTCCCTCTGGAAAAGTTGATCAAGGTCTATGATTTGAATGACTTCTCGCAGGCATTTCATGACATGAAAGAGGGCCTGGTCTTGAAACCTGTGTTGCGATGGACTTCATAGAGAAGGTTATGATAAATTACAGACTCGAAGGATAGACTCAGAGAGGAATTCAAATTGTTTTCTTGTCTTTGTGACACCACGATCCATATAATCATATTGAAACTCTTTGACATATTCCAAGGTTCAAGAATAAGCAAACTGATGATTATCCAGACGTCGGCTCATGATGTAAATTCTGGTGTCTATGTCGTCCCGAAAGATCTAAACATCAGTCTCCTTCACTTTACAAATAGAGAATATCGTACGATTCAATGACATACAACCACGAGCTATTCAAGATACTGAGGATGTAGTTCCCATGATATCTGGTAGAGTGCTCCATATACTAATCGAGGCTTTACGTTTGACGAAAGATCACATACGTACTGGTTCCAAGGTTGAACTCACTCCAAGCTCGGAGGATTTATGAAAACATCATGATGGTCACTGGTAGGTGAACTTACATACTAGCTTCTCCATCGCATCGACAGGCGCCCTTTTTAGAGAGCGTTGGAAGAAACATTGAAGGAACCACATATGCAAGGAATTTGAAAGATCTCCCAGCATAATACCAATATAGATGGCAACATTGAACCCATACTAGTAGTATCTACTTTCAAGTTATCGATATTTGAACACATGCTAGTAGTATCAATTGATTTAGTCATGATCATCGTGGGAGGCCTTACTCAGCTACTCTCAGCCCCAATTTGAAATCTCTCCTTATTTCATGAAATATTTGAATATTTGTATAAAATCTGACTTTCAACCAGTACCCATTTCTTTATCAGATTCAAATGTTTGAAATCTGAATTTGAAACTCCCGAATTTCTATACACTTACTTCCCTTGTGAATTCCTCTCTGTCGTTAACTGGTGGCAGTGGTGCTGAAAATGGTGAACACGGGCCTCCCAAGCCGAGACTGAAACTTGCCGTCAGCGACGAGTCAAGGTACGTGGAGCCGCGCAAATTATTTTTTCACCTTCTCCCTTCAATAGTCAGATATGGCTGACCAGGCATAGTGCGACCTTCGTCGACCATTTTGTCGAAGATGTGAGAAGATCGGTCGCGTCTGCTCCGGGTATCGGGACCTGAGCAAACCCACACTCACATTCCGTATCCAAACACCAAGTACATTCCCCAATCGGAAGAAACATGGTCGTAAAGGCGCAAACATTGAGAATATTAATCGATCCCTCAGCTTAACCAGCCAACCAGGATGACCATCCTGAAAATATCGTGATGGTGTCAGAACGAACGCCATCATTCCAAGCTCTGTTTATGGTGTCACAACCATGGGAGTCACATATTCTGCCTTTGATGATACACAACTTCTCGTTCCCATCACCTACTGGTGGTCGTTTTTCGAGGGTCACTGGAGTGTGTACCCAACTTGCTTTATAACATTAACACAAATGCGAATCTCCCGTACTTGGGACTTCGGGAGCTCGAGGTCGTAGAGCCCGCAATCTCTGTTGAGGCGTTCCTCTGCATCCTTGATGCCTTGTAAATCCCCACTCCAGTCATCAAAGTGCAATATCCCGCGGGTCAATAAGAAAAACAAGTGATGTTTCTCATTGTAGAAACAGACAGCCTGAATTTGATAAAAAAGGAGAGACTGATAGAGAGCGCTTATCGATGTTTCGATAGAATTGCGGATTGGTCTAAAAGACTCTTGGTCGCTGATGAAATCTTGACTCAATATTTTGTCGGTGATGTCGGAAAACCATTCGATTCTACCCACGACGTAACCCACCCCGTTGCATAAGTCAATGCCGGATTTGACTGGTTTAAGGAAAATCTAGGAATATAGTGTAGTTAGCTTTTCATACAACCACATAATTTTCCTTTCATGCAAGTAAACCCACATCCACACTTGACGAGATGACTGCCCAGGGCAAAGCGACATGCGGGATTTTCTGCAAAGCAATATCCAGAAGGTTCTTGACAGCCGTTATGACTGCGATGTTCCTTTCCGACAGGCCTCTAGCCACCTTGCTTCTCTCAATCTTTTCCAATCCCTGATCAATGATTCTCTTCATCCGCTCCTCTCCAAGACGTGCGCCAGTCTCTTCCTGATCCGACAAGTTCATTGAAGTTAGTTCCTCATACCGAGTCATGTATTTTTCTTTGGATTTGTCGTTCTTCAGGGCCTGCTAAGCATTTTCCCATAGGGCTTTGTGGATCGAAGCGTGCTTAGTCGTTACATCAGGAGCTTCAGAGGTCACGGTGCGTTCCGCTCCAACAGAACTCGAACTTTTGGACTGAGCAGGACTTTTATGGTGAGCACGTCCAGATTTTGCAGGCTCTACGCCGATGGATGGAAGTTTCGAGCTACGCTTGTCAGATTGCCCCTTCCACCGATCCCGGAATCCGTATCTGAGTCTAGAAAGATGACCTTCCCGCTCAGCCGAAGACATTTTTTGGGATCCTCCTCCGTGAAGTTCGAAATGGTAGACCACGTTGGGAGTTTTTCGAGTAGGACTGATTCAAAAAGAGAGCGACCTTCAGAAAATCTGTTTATCTTCAAAGTCACCCAGGATCGAACCCCTCCCCCGCGAATTGGAAAGCTCGCCCATCAGTCTGCTGACTACCCGGCCCGACCCCGGGGCCGTAACTTGAAACCCAAATGGATGCCTGATAGACCAACTTCACACACACAACAAATAATCCAGAATCATGGTGCTGGAGCTAGAGAATGATATAGGCCGTGTAGGAAAGAAAAATAGACTGTAACAGATGGTTTCAATTCGCGTATGGATAGCTGCTCATTTCAAGAATGTTGACATTAAACCGGGACACAATAGTATTCTGCCGATATTCACCGTCCTCTCGCTTCATCAAAGACTTGATCAATTTACTCAATTTCATATTTCTGACAACGTCCTGGGGAAGCAAAAACTATAACACTACCATACACGAAAGCAACTATGAGTTGAGAATGTAATACGCGGCTTTCAATTTCACAATTTATACCTCATCACTCAAAAAGTAAGTGGCTGCCACGGGCTCTCCAACGGCCTCCACGATAGGCGTGAGACTGAAGTTGAAACGAGCATCAGTAGTTTGTGAGTAGTATGTTCCATCCAGTGCAGCCTGGGGAGGAACATAACCAGCTGGCTGATCAAACAAGTATAAGCTATAAGTATGGTTGGTACTATCGCGAGGACGTGGAGCTGTGTACTCTGCAAGACTATCGCTTGAGTTGACAAATTTGCCATTCTCGATGGTATAGTTGCCGCCCCACCAGTGGACCCGGGTGGTCGTGTTGGTGGCGAGACCAGGCACCAAGGTATCATAGTATGATGCGGTAGTAACATCGGAGTCGGGAATGTTCAAATCCATCATGATAATCATGTAATTCGAGTCTCGGTGCATTTTCTTGCTCGCTGGCCAGATAGCAGGCTGATCACTGACGTCTAGACTCGCGGTTAACACCTTCACAGTGCATCACTCAGGGAAAGATCATAAATGTACCATCAGGGCTAATCCAGACTCCAGGGGTGATTGTTGCGTTCTGAAATGCCGCTCCCAAGTTATTCCTGGTGTATGCGAAGCTGCCAGGTGGCGTTTGGGCCAGCGCGCCGGCGGCGAAGAGGAAGGAGAGAAGTGAACCGATCATCGCCCTATATCAGTTCTATTCTTGGAAGTAATGTTGGGATGTCTGGGTTTGAATTGCAGTTGGAATTGCAGTTGCAGTTTTAAAAACAACTTATGTGTTCTATCCGAATTGAACATATTAGCATCCGAATGGTGCGTATAGATTGCGGGAAAAGATCGACGGAAACACGGAGGAAGCAACCCGATGAAGTTGTCAGGTCCGAGATCCCACTTTATGAGCCACTTGGTCACCCGAACTGTCGAGCATGACGAATCCCTCACCAAGCTTAAAATTGTGAGCATACGTATGCATCATCATTTCACTCTACACTTCAGGTTCCCTTGGCTCATCAAGCAGGTAATAATAGTGGATCATCTTGCCAAGCACCCCTTGATTTAATATCTGTTGATGTTTTACTAGCACAAGTCAACCACTGTGACCGACTAAATGTTACAGATTTGATTAATCTGATGGGGCTGATCATGTCACTCCAATATTAGTATAGAAGGAGATCATAAGGTCTACTCGATACCTCAAGGGAAATTAGAGATCAAGAAAAGTGTATTGCATTCTTCAAATATGGGGCTTAGTGGTGAACTTTCAAGAAAGTCACATTTGGACCAAGTCTCTTCAGTATCTACCGACGAAGTTCCATTCACATCAAAGTTCATCAAATTCTCGTTCACCTCACCCCTTCACTGCACGAGGTTCTTGGGGGTAGACCGAGGATGCCAGGCATCACCAACTCGGAAACCCTCTGGAAAAGGATCTGTGGGATCAAGAACGACTAGCCGGAAGCTTGTAATCCAAGCGCTACCCTTGACCCGTGGTAGCACCGCCTCATAGTTGCCAACCTTGGTCACACCCACAATGGTACCGGTGTACTCTGTTTCGATAATACTGGTGTGTTGAAATGACTCGCCCTCAGCCATCTGCTTCCTAGCATAGAGCTGGGCCATTCGAGCGCAAGTGCCAGTTCCACAAGGAGTTCGATCGAGACGGCCAGGAGATACAACCACAGCATTCTGCGCTTTCTTCCCACCAGGTCCATCCTCCAGAGGTGCTGTGAAGATGAAGTTGGTCACGCCGTTAATGCCCAGATTTTCAGGGTGAACAGGGTGAACGGTTGCTTGAACAGCGCGCTTGATCCGCTCTCCGTATTCGCCAATCTTCTGGCCATCATTGGGGTTCATGGTGAGGTCTGTTTGGGCCATATCGACAATAGCGTACATCATACCGCCCCATGCAATATCACAGAGAATTTTTCCAAGCCCCGGAACCTCAACTTCCAAGTCAAGATGGAATACAAATGCGGGGACATTATCAAAGGCCACGTTCTTGCATTTGTTTCCCTCATATTCAGAATCACAGATACCAGACCGGCAGCAGTATCAAGCTTGAGAGTAGTAAACGGCTCTTGCGTCTTGATCATTCCAGTTTCAAGAAGGGCAGTGGTTGTACAGATGGTATTTGAGCCGGACATGGGGGCATACTCCTCACTCTCCATAAGGAGGAATCCTGCATCGGCGCGAGGGTCGCAGGGTGGTAGGACAAGGTTCACATTACACGAAGGGCGACCGCGAGGCTCATTGAGCAGAAGTTGGCGTAGCTCATCCTTTTACGTCCAGAAGTACATCATCTTGTCGAACGTTGTCTTTCCAGGAACATCAAGAACTCCGCCCACGATCACATCTCCGATTTCACCGGCGGAGTGGACACTAACGATATGGACGGTGCGACTTGAGAGAACCATGATGTTTTATAGATAGCGAGATGAGTTGAATGAAATTTCGAGACATCTGGGTGAGACTATGAGCGTGGATGAAGAGCCAACTTCTAATGACCAATTTTTCAACTCGATCCCCTCATTCTTCGAAGGTTCTCCTCATCTCTCAATCTGTAGCTCAAGATGTCATGACTCTAGCTTGCGCCGATAGTTAATTCATTCTACTATTGAAGGAAGTGAATCCTCGGGGCTTTTTTGGTGGACTCATCCGAAGTCAGTAAGAAGCTCCGTGCGTCCTACTACCCAAATTCAAATGTTTGTTAAATCTTGGTGGATCATCCGCGAGATCAAGCAACTGAGAATTCCGCTGTTCAACATTTCCAGGTTATTTCAAATTGGTCTGCTGCAAATGCCAGTGGAAAATAATGATCGATTGAAGATACAAGGTATATGAACTTGAACTTGGAACTTAGATGCTAAGATTTTGCTTTCAAGGTGGAAGGTGGCTTATTCTTCGTCTAAATACTATCGAACCTTTCAGCACATTATGATCTTAAAGGCTTCAAACATGAGAGGTCCTTTGCGACAATTATTTTGGAGACTCGGTACTGCCTTCAAGTTCCTTGTTCGAGTTAATAATCCTCCAAATGATGTTAACATTTGAGCACATCTAGTAGGCACTACTAGTGGCCACCAGAGAATTTGAAGGCTATGCAGGCTATGGATGGGGTGAATTCAATATGAATTTAAACTTGACTCGGGGGGGGGGATTGATTACTACTAGTAGTACTATGCATGGATGCACTTCAACTTGAACTTGAAGTTGACTGAAGTGATTTACAGGAGATAATCTCCAAAGATTTTATTTTCAGTCATCATGATGATACCTATGGAACTTGAAGCAACCATAATTTTTTTCTATCTTCTTCATTTATCTGAACGCTCTGTGATGGGGTCTATTAATAGTTCAACCTTTAAAATGTCACTTCGCTCTTGACTTCCGTTTACCCAGTTGGTAGAACGCCCTGGCCCACATTAAACATTGAACTTACCCCCCACTTTCCGTCAAAAAGAGCAATGTTGAGCGAAAAAATATTCTCCACGTAAATTGAGCTATGCAATTTTGGGTGTAGCTTCGTCGGCTGTTCCTGAAAACGGGCCTGGGGGAAGATTAGGTACATATGTACATTTCAAATGTTTCCCAGCCTTCCTCGGAGTACTGCTCTCGCGCGATGAGATTGCACTCAGATGGACTCAAAGGTATGCAGTCTGCAGATGATTGAAAAGATAACATGATTTGAAGCATTCTTGAAATGCCCATTGGCTCTGAATTATCCGCCAGTGCATAGCTTTCCCTTTACTTCAAGTTCCAAGGTTGAAACACGATTGGCTTCAACTCAGTGGAGGTAATCAAGTCGACTTAGCGCTGCAAAAAATAAGAAAAAATTCAAAATGTTACAAAGTGCAATCCTGCCCATCTAGCTAGGAATAATAAACCAAAAGGGATGAAATATCAGTGTTAGTATTTGTGAAAACTAGAGAAGAATCATTCAATCCAGGCACAATCAAACTGAAAGTCGCCAGTAGTAATTCCAACCTTGTAAGTGCTAACTTGAGATAGTATCATGTACTAAGAATTGGAATTGTCGGCACATGTCCAAGGTTTTGTCCCTTGCCCACTTGAGAGAGCATCAATAATGGAAACAATCGAGCCGTAGGTACCTGCGACCGTCATAAATGATCCAACGACAATAATGAAAACACTCCAACATGCGAGGGTAACCCATTTCCAGTTCCTCTCATGACTCTTCGAATTATCGTAAAGCCACATGCAGCCAGCGGGCTGATAGGCTAAAAGAAAGCCCAGGAGAGCGCCAATAAGGAAAACAAGGTCACCAAAGATTGGGATACCACTTGCAATGATATGAGAGAATTATACATCCAAATGTATAACCAAGCCATGTAGACCAATGAGTGAATGAATTTGATGCCAAATGTGAAGACCCTCGTAAGAGGCAAAGGAAAATATACTTAGACGGATACTAGGACAGTCAAAGTGATGTTAGCAATACTTCAAGGTCTTAGAACATTCATGCGGGGTTCAATCACTTACATGCAGGAAGATTGTTGTTGAGGCAAGAAGACCAGGAAGAGCAACTCCATAGGAAATCCTCTTTATCAAATGACCAGCAGGTCCCAGCGCAGGAGAGGCAACCATAGACCCACAGTAGTAATAGACAACAATACCTATTGCCAGGTATATCAATGTTGAAATGAACTGGCTGATTACCGCTGCGCGAGTAAAGTATCTGGGATCTCTCATCTCTGCCGGAATAGAGAAATAGCCTGGAGTGGCAGAGCACGCAAAGATCAGGGTGGAAATAGCGGAGACTCCATCAGCGAAAGATGGACTGTTAACAATCTTATAGTCTGAGACCCAACCATCTGGCGCGGTAGATGGGCCATCCTGAACACCAACGGCAATTGTCATAATGAAGACTAAATGATGTTAGCAGATTAGCTATGTTTGATGTTGGCCCCATCAACACTGGTAAGAATTCAACGCTTCACTGTGAAAGAGGAAAATGTGAGACTGACCAGCTGTGATAATACAAGTCAAACCGACCCATGCAATCCAAGTGATGCGACCGAGAGTTCAGATACTACTGAAGAGGAATCCAACCAAGGCAGCAATAACAACGAAGACAGCCGTACAGGCCGCATGATTTGAGACAGCATTGAGACCGATTGACAGGCTTAAAATTCCTGAACCTCCGTGAAATACCCATATGGGCAATTGCCCTACTGGGCCGAAGGAAATACTGAAATAGCACTTGAGGTGTTAGTGCACATAAGAACATAACCTCACATTATCCTTCAAGTTTCAAGGTTAAAATGGCCATAACCTTGGAAAGTATGTAGTTCCGTCGTTATCATTAAGCTTATCAACCCCGCACGCTCACGATAGTTTAAATAAGTAGGTATTCCCGTGGGCCATTCCAAGGTTCCAATGTTGTTCACTGCTCTTATCTCATACTTCCGACCATATTGGATAAATCATAGCAGTAATCCTGGCCTTCTTCAAATTGGTCTTATCGGAACTACTTTCTTCTGTGCTGAATGAATTCCCAACCAGGAAAGCAAGGTGTGCGGACCCGTCGGAAACACGCTGTTGGCGTATGCAATACATGCCGCAAAAGGCACATAAAATGTGACCTAGTACGCCCAGTATGCTCAAGCTGCAAGGCAATCGGTGCCGTGTGTGAGATTTTCAATTCAGAATTGAGATGGAAGCAAACATTGACGAGTCAAAACTCAAGCGAATGCTCCGCGCCGAGGGCTGCACCGAGGCGCCATCTGTACACAGACAGCCACCGCATGTCGATGAGTTTCGAACTTCAATCTAGCCTACATGAACGGTCTGTAGATAGAAGCTTGCAAAATATTGACGATGGGTCGAAAGAAGAACAGCTTCCTCCTGGTCACGGCAATTTCATCGGTCCATTTGGAGTTTTGAGCTTGTCGCAAAGCACAAATCCACCTATTGCGGGTACTAGCCCAAAAAGAACCAATTATGTACCAGCACAAGGAAGTCACCTACTCGAAGCTACCATTTTGAGGCCTCTCCCCTCGAGAATTCCAGACCTGAACAGTGACTTGCACAACATCGAACCGTCTTTGAACTGGCCCGATCTATTTGATATCAGCCTTTCGTGGGCGGACTTGAACTTCGATACCTTCCGCGATCAATCGCTTGATGCCTTAGTCATGAGGGATGATTTAGAAAACAGTTACAAAACACTGCGAGTGGCTGATCTTGCCGATTCCTTTTCCTCAGAGTTTACGTTGGGAAATGTGGAAATATCAGAAGCTCAAATGCTGCTTAGGCGATACAAAGACACCATAGTCGCACAGTTGTTCTCACTCCCCCTTTATAAAATGTCACCCTGGGAAGAGATAAACGTCGATACAGCTGTGTTGATAATGGGTAGGATCTCATATATGGGCGTTGAGCGTGTCTCAAATGCGGCAATAGCAAATTTATTGGCCTTGATTGCCATTTCTGCTGCGGACATGGCTGCTGAAATGCGGAAGTCAGGCACAGAGGGATCTGAGCACTGGGAAAACATCAGTGCTGCGAGCTATGCTAGGGGGAAGGCGCATCTACAGAAGTCCCTTGATGAGACTCAGAACATGCCACCCCCAAAATATAAAGAGCAAATGATGGCCATATCTGCAATGCTGTCATTCTCGGTATGTACGGACCTTCAAGCAGTTCGTATATTTTGGTCGTTTTGTCCAAGACTGATTCACTCCCCAATATCCTATTTGACTGTCAAGAAGAGGCAAGGGCATATCTCATCAACTCCGAACGTCTCTTGCGTCTCCGTGGTTTACGGAGGCGGGTTTTCTCACAAAAGGCACGATTCCTACATCAAACCTATACGTGGAACCGTATCTTAGGCGAGACCACTTATGTCTTTCAACTACACGACACAGAGCGGAAATGGTCATCATCGAGCTCCTGACCCCAAAGACTAGTCCAGCCGAGGGGCCAAGAGACTTGCCAGGATCTTCTCACTCTTCATCCAACCCAAAGGTTCAGCTTGATGATTTTCTTCGGTTGGATGATGAGTTGGTTGACTCCGAGATTGAAGATGGAAAGAACAATGGCGGTGTTCTCAACGCCATGCATATCGAGAACTCGGGTGAAAGCACCAGAGCAATGTACCATCAGCTCTATGGTTTCTCAGAGACATGGCTTAGTCTTGTCTCAAAGACGACACGTCTTGCTGATATCCTGGACAAACTCAAGCTGAGGTCGTCCCCTCAAAAGTCGAGAATCCTGCAGCCCCTTGAAAGCTATAAGCCGCACCTTGAGGAACTGATCTGGGAGAGAGTAAAAAAGATGAATCTCCTCAATACTCCCCAGACTGCATACCAATACTCAAGGCTCATCGGCAACAGGGCTCTCTCAAAAGCGCACCCGGGAACCCCACTTCATACGTGGTTCATGCGCTGAACCTGGAACTGTTGATATTTTTCTATCGACGAATTCGGGAATCCAATCCACGTTTACTGCAGCCCTACGTGAGTTCAATCATTCAAGCCCTCAAATACTTCGCAGCCTCAAGCAATGCTCTGGGGCTTGGAGGTCCCGGCTCACCTTGGCCTGCTTTCATGGCCGGATGTGAAGCAATGTCATCCAAAGGAAGAGACTTACTTTCAAGTTGGATGGACGAAGCCTTTTTGCTTACTGGGTTTTCCAGGTTTCATACGATTAAGGGATGCATAGAGGAAGTTTGGAGGAAGCAGGGTGAGATTAATGTTTCAAAGAATAGGCAAGCTACTACGTATCATAGCTGGGTTAATACCTGCAGGGAGCACAACATATGTGTCCTTTTATCTTGATCAATTGAAATAAAAGGTCCATAATATCCAATACAGTTGCAACTTGACGGTTTGCCCAGGTGCCCAGGCGTGAGTACAGATCGCGGACGGATGGGACAGATTATCCGTCTACTTTTAAGTGTACGAACATTTCTCTAATATGCTCCATCCCGAGGGATCCATGGTGGTTGAGGTGCTGGCTGTGGCCTGGTATAACCAGAGCGAATGACTGCTGTTGGTACTAGCTTGATTCCACCAAGCTTGGTACTTTCCACGTCCTGCGCCCAAAGAGTAAGCGCTATGTAATTAATCCCGCTGTAGTTCAAAATGCCCTCTGGGACAGGATACGATGTTTGAGGCCCGAGGTTATTGACTAAATGAGTTAGTGATAGTTACTACTCAAATAGCCTGTTGTACTTACTGTACTTTCCAAACTGATACCCGTTAATGTAAAATTGGCACCGATAATTGATCCCTGATCGGTAATCTGGCGTGTTTGAATCAGAGCTATTGAAAACAATGCTCATCGGTACATCCCATCCTTCCGGGATGCTAAGCTCAAAGGAAGTTGTGTAAAATCCGACACCGGGTCCATCAATTCCATTCTTCAACGGATTGGAAATAGGCCACTTGGCAGTCGGTGGGTTGGGATAGTGATATCCTTGCCGCTCAGCATACATCGAACCCTCGTTCAATGGACCACGGACCAGATCCCGATACTGCTCCCCGCCTAAATTACCAGTGACCTTCCACGAGACATCGCTTTGCTCATGCCCAGATAGCTCGTAGTTCAGGATACCTTTGGGGAATTTGATCACATCTGTCCCTGGAGCTTCCTCGTCTTGCCCCATATTGTCAATCAAAATAGTCAAAACATGGAAGCTATTAACGGACAAGTCATTTCCAAATTTCAGCGTTTGAAGAGCCGTGGCATTTGCGCTCGATCCAGTCCATGAGCCAACAAAAGTGTTGTCCAGCCAAACAGAATGACCAAAACCTGTGCCACCGGATGTGTTCAACAAAATATATGATTCTTGGCCATTTGCAGTAAAATGACCTCTGTAAATCAGGGATCCTGTGTGGAATCCATAATCCATAGCATACAGGTTTGTCGGGGTACTCAGGTTCCGAGGATTGTTTGTCCATGTTCTGGAGCAATTCAGCCAAGTAGTATCATCGTACGAGCTCCTGATCTCAGGCAAGGTGTCCAAGTATTTCCATTCCAAATCAGCGAGAGCAGGGATGTTCAGTGATGGCGGATGATACTCCAAAGTAGCAAAAGGGTTCTGGGCCTTTCCGACCGAAGTATCTAATACATCGCCATTGAAGATGATTTTGTTGACCTTTTCAATTGGAGAAGAGATTAGCTCGACCTCTGTCGTTTTGTTGATGTCACCTGTTAAGCAAATATCTTGGCCACAAAGCTGAGTATTGCGTAGCAGGTAGCCAGCTTTGACGATAACCAAGTCTTTAGAACGCGATGAAAAATTGCCGATCGGTTCATCTGCTTCAATTTCCATCGGCCAATAATTGTAGGCTTCATTGCGCCAAAGCAAATACACCCGAAGCCCTGCAATATGGAATATACGGCGATCCTGCTGAACCTGCCACTGTACCACCCACATCAACCCCTTTTGTTCGATTGTTACTCCGGTTCCCTCGATGATAGTTGGATTCCCAAGTTTATAAGAGAAAGCAAGCTCATGCATCTCGTCCATTCCGCCGTAGAGGACCAAAACACGTGTCGATCCGGCACCTCGAGCCCAAGTCAATATTTCGGCTGAGGAGTAGATCAAATTAATGCCGCCGAGATCGTAATCAGTGACATGGAATTTAGAATCGCGGCCATTAAGGCTTAGATTGCCACCAAGCTGAGGTATAGTGACGTTTCCAGCACTCGTTGGAACAGTGATTTTGTACTTTGTGTTATCCGTAGAGCTGAAGTTGGCATGTCGAACCACATAGAAATTCGAACGAGTCCCATTTCCAAGCAGTGGAGTCACTGCAATTGAACCTGGCGCACCATAAGAGCCGTTTATGCCGATTCCAGACGTCGCAGTTAGATATGAGGGCGATACTTTAAGGAAATTGGCTTGCAATTTCTGTTCGCTGTACTTTTCGCGCCATAGACCTCGGTCTTCTGTTATCGCTGCGCCATAGTCATAGGATGTGTATCCATTCATGTAACCTAGGTTTCCCCAGTTTGTGCCACCAAAGGTCTATAACGGGTCATTATCGCTGACAGAGCAAGTTCCGAGTCGTATAAGAGAGACATACCATGTAAATGTTGAAAAGTTTCACGCCAAAGCTGTAATTATTCTTGTACACAACACGCGCCGCTTCCTCGTTGATCAACTCCCCGCACATTTCCTCGAGCACACCTCCCCTGTTGCCATGTCGTTAGCATAGATTGGGCCAGACGTAAGGTTGGATAGCATCTAGACGTACCATCCCTCACCAGAACCTCCCTGGAACTCAGCGATGGCGAAGGGTGTGGTAGGACTCTCCTGCTCATGGATAACCTGCCAATCATGCGGAAACTCGTACGTTGGCCAGACAGTTGGATTTGCGCCTTTGCTCGATAAAGTAATCAGTTCGAAGAATTTCTATCATGAGGATGGAGAAGGACGGTTCTCTTACAGTCATAGCGTAATGGGTAAGCATCAATGCCATAGATATTAGTCGCGCCGAGACCTGAGCCTGGAGCCCAGTACCCCTTCACTTCATTATCATTAACAATCAGCGGAACAGTGACTCCTGCGTTGAGGAGTTGCTGCTCTACAAAATTCATATACTCCCGATTCATTTCTGATGGAAAATCAGTAACTTCCGGCCAGGTTGTGTACTCGTTCTCAGGTTGAACTAGGATTATCGGTCCACCATTAGTGACTTGAGCCTTGGCAATGATTTCACCCATGGTAGACAAGTATTTGACGGTCGTGTTGAGATATTCAGGATCGTCGGATCGAATGACTGCTTCCTTCCGAAGAATCCAGCCTGGAATCCCACCAGCCGTCGTCTCTGCATTGATGTACGGACCAGGTCGAGCAATGAGATATATGCCTGCCTGATTTGCAGCTTCAAAAAACTGTTCCAAGCTCCATATTCCATCTGTCACAACATGTCCTGGGTTTGCTTCGACTAGACCCCAGTCTACATAGAAGGACACTCCCGAAAACCCCATGCTTTTGATCTTCTGGAAGACGTCTAGCCATAAATCAGGGACAGGAAGACGGAATGGATGAAACTCTCCAGAGAAAACCATCAATCGCTCTCCGTGAACGAAAAGAGAATGTTCGTCCCAAGTCACCTAAACAAAATAATCAGAGAAATATCTTTAACTCCCGTTTCTGCGAGACTTACTATATTTTGTAGTCCATTACTGGCTCCACGTACAAGTATTGGGAGAACGAGCGAGACTATTGTCCATATGCATATGGAAAGTGACGATTCGAATGATACCATTTTGAAGATAAACCACAATGTTGTAGGGTAATCTCAAAAAGAAAAACAAAACTTGAACTTGAACTTGGACCACCCAAGTTCTAGTGTGGGGGTTTCTAGTTTTAAGATCATCCCCACGTTCTTATTGGTGAGATCACCGGATAAATGACTTACCCCGCAAAACCTTGTGTGCTCAGCAAGAATTTAGGAGTAGTGAAGAGAGAGACTTTCCAGATATTTGTTTCGATTCCATTATTGACCCGGATCCCGAAGTGCATCAGGCTAAATTAGTTCTCTATAAACCCGATCTCCGAATTTAGGCAAATGATTGAAACTCAATCACTCAGTCTGACACTCTTCGGAAATTTATTTCTTTCTTTTTCATATCAATCATAATACAACCTCCCATCATAACCAAGGAGCAACTCTCATGGTCTCATAGACGCCACGTGTGGGCTTCTCCAGTAGGAGCTGCGCAAACCCGGTTATTGACTTAGGAATCGATTCCCTCGACGCCGAATTTCCATAGTGAGCGTTCAACTCCGAATTGTTGTTTACTCACAGTGACAAACTCTCACATTGTGCCGGGACACCTAGAAAAATTCCCTAGGATTCCTTTTGTGCGACCGCGCAATGCAACTGGTCTACTGGCCGGTAGATGTGCAAACCGATATTGAGGATTTATTTTCCATGCATGGCGGCGCCGGTGATGATTATAGTGGTGGGAACCGAAGTGTCCATGCACTGTTGCTATTACTAGTATCGGTGAAACTTTATGATGGCTGCCGGAGAATTCCCTTTGTTGCTTGCCGAAGGCAATCGGGAGATGCGTAAGTATATGCATGTTCTGGCAGCACTCAATCCAAATCTCACTCAATAACACCACTTTGCACTCGCCGGCACAGCGACATTTGCTCAGCAAAATTCGCATCTGTGTATCAGCTTTGAGGTCTCGATAACCCCGGTCGCACCTACGGAAGAAATGAAAGAGTGAGTAAGCGCTTGGAAATAGCCAGGGGCTTTGCGAGCGTCAACTGGTGGGTCGAGGCTCAATCTCGGTTTGGGACCTTCGTGCTCGAGTAAACGCGTTGGTACTCACGCGTTGGTACTTACTTGCTCCAGTTCTCGATGCTTTACGATCTGCCTACTACTATCCCCCACACCCCGGGGCTTGCATCATCTATTGCAAAGGAAATATCAAACTCCTGGGCAGTAAACCTTAGACACAGCTTTTTATACTATCCTTATCACACGGCCAACAACTTGAACCATCACTTCTTCAATATCTACAAACGCAGAAGTATAATTAGAAATTCAAGAAAACAGCCGTGGAAAATACAAAATTTTAATTCAAATGTTGTACACAGACCGGGTGTTTTGAATCGGCTGAGTGCTGTGGTAGTATGTATCAATGTCTTGCGCTTCATTATATGGGGCTTCCTGGCCGGATGATATATGTAGCACTTGAGTTGGTACTACTAGTATTGTTCGCCGGGCGGATACTACATATGTGACATCGAAGGGAGTTGATCGACTCCGGGGGCAGGTCCTGCAAGAGATCTACTCCAAATTCGGAGTTGAAGCCTGACCAGTAAGGCTATTATGGAGATTTTCGTCGGAATTTTTCCAAGGTTCAAATGTTGAGATTTGTTCAAGTTACTAGTATGTGGCAAATAGGTGGCACTGTGAGCACTGGACCCGGAGATATATTATCTATTCCAATTGATCCGAGTCTCAGCGCTTACCAGTTCTTATTAGATCCATAATACATACAACATTTGAAGCCCAGTATGAGAAGACAATGTATTTCCAAGGTTGAGGGCAAATAGTAGCTTTAGTATTTGGTGATTCAAAGTTTTCATCGTATTGTAGAATATGGGAAATATGTAGGTAGTTTGCACAATCTTTTTAGACGTCTTACATGCCTCTTTTAGCAATCTGATCAAAGTTGGTCTGTGCTAGTCTGGAAAATCTTGCAAATCTTGCAAACAAGTATTCAAATGTTCTGGAACCAACTTGTTTTGAGTGGAGGCCTGTAATCGCAGCCAATCGTATCAGCCATAGCACAATGCTGCACGTCGTAGCGATAAACGAAATAAGAAGCACTCTTCGTGTGTCCCGCGGAGATCGGTGATTTGTTGAAACTTGTTCCAATTTCTTCGATAGATGGGTCGAGACCTGTCAGGGAAAATCACTCATAGAACTCTAGATAAGCTAACAAGAGCCAAGAGTGAAAAAAATCCTTTTCATCGGGTGATGCGCCGATCCTTGCCCTAGGGGCATGCCGGGTCGCCGATTTGCCAGTGCTATTCTCGGCAACACCGAATGTCTCATGACAAGGGAAAAAAAAACACTGAAAAGACTAACCAGAAGTATTCTAGGGGATTAATAGAAACAAGATATAAAGATTGTCAATAATCAGCAATCGAAGAACCATCCGCATCAATTTCAATTCACTCTTCCAGTCTTCCACATTCCACTTCTCTCATACCAGCCTTGGTATATCGCCATATCCTTTCAGCCAACCACCCAAGTCTTTTAAATCCAAATTCAAACCTTATACATAATGGTTGCTTGCCCTCCACTCGGCGATGGCCCCTATGGCACACAGCGCAGATCATCAGCCCGCGCTAGCGCACCCGGCACGCCACAGCCCAAGATGGATGCAGCGGAAATTGAAAACATCTTCCAAGCAGTGGAAAACTCCCGACGCCGTACCGAGTCAGGAGGCTCTTCTCGTCGCTCCGGATGGTTCTCAAGACAGTAAGATCAAATTGCTCCGGTTACTTTTGATGTAAATTAACGTTAGTCTACTAGGTTCAACAAGATCCACCGTCGCGAGAAATCTGACTCCGCTTGAGGGTTCAACTTGAACTTGAACTTGTGGGCCCACATATATAATGAAGATGCCATTGGCTAAGACCAGTGGACATCCATCATACGCGAATAATGTTTTTGAATGGAAATGTATATAATAATATTAGAAATATGTCATAATGGGGGAAATAGATCATCGTTGAAGATTCAAATGTTTTTGGATATCAAATTTCCAAAAAATAACCTTGAAACATTTGAAACCACTGCACACCTGGGTAGTGGGCAGAACTTCAAATGTTGAAGTTTTTAGTTCAAACCCTTCAAATGTTGGAAACCGCCCGGGCGGATCCCCTGGGCCCCAAAGACTACAGATGTCGCAAGAAAACCTTGGAGAATAAATACTCAAGTGCTATATCCGAACATCATCCATGCGTTTATACGTAATTTTCAAGGTTGAAGTTGACTGGGAACATTTGCAAGTATAAATTTCAAGTTACATGCGTAATATGGACGGTTTCAAATGTTTCAAATTGATTCGAATGTTCCGGATGTCCAAGGTTATTCTTCAAATGACTAACCACTAGATCAGCAATTTGCCCGTCCCGCAACATTTGAATTCTTCCCAGGTTCAACAATTTCAATCTCTGACCAAGCTTGCTGAAGGCGCACTCAAGTGCTCTCAGCAGCACTTTTATTGCGATAGGCATACTTGCGCGCTGCAGAGGTTGGCCTCTCCGTCGACAGAGCGTTTTGTGGTCAACAACAGTGAGGTCACTGGGCTATAAAAAAAGTCAGCTAAATCAGATAATATTATTCTCGCTAGTGAGATGGAAACTAGACCTTGTCATTCAGGGGTGCACTCGCATCTAGAGCTGCAAATAAGAGGGCAACAGCGGCGAACTTCATCTTGTCGGGTGGATTAATGCTTTGTATCCATGTTCAAGTGATTTGCAGTGATATTAGTGACATTGCAGCGTAATTTCATCACACCTGGACATCTTGGAGTTGCTTCTGCTAAAAGTCGCTGGAATGCAATACCGGTATAGATTAGTATACAAAATACGCAATGAAAGCCATACAACAATAAGACGCGAGGTTAGAATGTGGAGTCGAGTAGAACATAGAGAGTAGTGAGCAATATAGGTATGGACTTGAATCGGAATCATTGGTGCTGTGCTTGAGACTCCTAGCTATAATGGGGGAAAGTTGAGACTGTCGTGACTCAGGCCGTTGTGACTCGGCCATATTGCATTTTGGCACTTTGAATTGATGGCTTAAATGTGAGTGTTATCACCTGGGCAGTGATAGACTCAGTTGGATGGTACAAACATTTCATCAACAGCCTTGGAGTGAGAACTTTTCAATTGGGATGGATCCAACCTTTCTGGAATTTGAGCAGATGTCGATCTTGCCTTACTATGTGGTCTTCACTCCACCACAGAATGGCTGATTTGAAAATACTTGAAGTTTTGACTCTTTTCTGACTCTGTTTAAAAATATATATTCTCTTGAATATCAAATATCGAGAAAAAAAAGTTCAAGAGGATGCGAAAGGCTTGGAGTCTGAGTATAGAAAAGAGGTAAGGATTTATAAGGTCAGGATAGTTAATAGCTTCGTGGGTACATCAATGTCGATGAAATAACTCCATGCTTATCGCAAGGTATGCATGAACATTTGAAGGAGTACATCAGGAAATAGAGAGGAAGGAAAATGCGCAGAGGTGACATATGCATATGTGGAGATGAGATACTGCAGTGTATCCCCATCTACCCTCAAGTGATTACATCCAACTTGAATAGCTACACATGCTGAGAGGCCCAGAATTGCGGCATTAGAACAAAAAATGACTACATATAGTCAACCTGTCTGGGCGGTTAACATTCTCATCCCTTGTGGAACTTGAAAACCCGGGGAACTGTAGATAGTAGGGATTCTTGATTTCAATTAAAAGTCTCTAGCCAAGCAGACCACTCAGGATCTTGTGGATACAAATTTTTCATTCCAAAGTCCATAGAGGCCAGAGAGATGAGATCTTGCATTTCCGGCCGCCCAGGCCAACTCATGGTTTCCTGGCAAGAAGGCGTAGGCGCAGCTAGTATTTGATCGAGACATCGCGAGAATGTAGTTTGGGCTTGCTTGCAGAGTCGAAAATTGCTTTGGCCCAAGACAACAAGGGAGTCGCAGTATGAGATAAGGGCACTGATGTTCTGGATTGCGGCCGAACGATTAAGTGTTAGCGACTGTTGCGGCTGGCCACTCTGCCGTAGCAATTCCATAATGAGAACGTTCGCGCAAGGCATGGCGTAAAACGTCACCTAAGCATAATTTCAGTTTTCCAGCTCGAACAAAGAGGGATCAGATCGGAAATTTACCATGAATTCGAGATCCAATCTCTCTCGGGCGAATGCGTCTGACTTTTTCAAAAGGCTTAACGCTAAATCTAGGACTTCATGGGAAGTCTGGATCATCAAGTCGCGATTGCCTTCGCTCTGGCCAATGAGTAGCTTATGCAGGAGGAACTGGGAATAGCGGTATTCCATTTTAGGGCCAATGGTATGCCAAAGAGTCCTCAACGGCAGGCTGTCTCGCATGGATGCATCGTAATATCTTGAGGGAATCGAATCCCAGACAGTGGACGCACGCTGAAGAATTTCTCTACAGGTTCATATCAATATCACGAACAGATGAGGAGTTGAAGATGGGCACGACAGTACCTTGCCTGGGAAACGGATTCAGGGACCGACGGGCCAAGAAGTAGCTCCAGTACCTCTTCGCGAATTATGCTCAGCAGCCAAAGAGATCGATGTCGTGAGGCTGTGTGCACCGATACCTCATCGCGGCTCCACCCCTTTTCATCAAGTAATTCTGCTTTCGCAGCTTCAAATTCCTCCACGGGGCCCATGACAAGATTATCGGACATGTCCAGCGGTAGATCAAGTGTGAAATATTGCCGATGGAGCCGCGGCGGTCGACCGACGAAAGTTGCCAATCCCTTATCAAGCTCGTGGGCCAAAGATACTGCCCGCTTGCGGAGTTCCTGCAAATATGAGGGGATATTGGCTGACTCCACATCGTTGAAGCCTCTATGCAGGCCCATAGCTGTTATGGTCGAGGCCAAGTCGCCCATCAGCCACCAAGAACGAGAGGAGTCGTCGCCACAGCACCAGGTACTGAAGCTAGATGTCATCGTCAACAGCCACAGAACCAGATCGTTGACTTGCTCAATTTCGCTACAGAATGTCCGACACTGGGTGCTAGCGTAGAGGGCTCTGAGCATGGCGGGGGCCCTGGCGTCTGTATCCATATGCAGGCGACTGTGATGGGCTGAGCGCGGATGAGAATTTGAGTTCATAGCCTGTTCTGTTCTTAGCCTCACCAACCCCCTGGCAATACAACTACCAATGTGCGCGCAGCACAATCCAATCGTCTCCCAGCGTAAGCGCTCACCGGAAAGAGCTTTCACAAGTGCATCATTCGCAGCGGAGACCGGTAGATGCAGTGGCCTGGCCGTCTCGTCGAAAAGCACCAGCGCCATACCAGTCAGTTGATCTACAGGGGAGCCTGCCGAAAGCTCCTGCATAGTATTTTGCGCTGCACGCCATGCCGCTCTGGCAAGCGGCCCACCCCATGGCGAAACCTCCTCCTCCAGGGTCTCACGTAGACCAAGAGGGGAAAGATCCACGTCTAGGAGGAACTGGAGCACTTCCACACCTTTAGCAAGGAGCCCAGGTGTCACTGGGTATGACCGCGCGGGCGCCGAAATGCCAGTCCGGGTAAGGTGCGGCGATGACTTGTGCAACAGCGCATCATCCTCATGATGGGATGTCATAGAAGGCACCAACAATTCTTCCATGGTCGATAGTCCTGTGCTGCGATTATACTCACCCACCGGGGAGTTTGTGGTCTCGAAAGGGAGATCGCCAGCGGTCGAGACAGAGACAGGTGTACTCGTCAAAGCCCTGCAGTACGGAATCAGGATTTCCCTCAAATAAGTTTTCAACGAAGCTACAGGGAATCCTTACCAGGATATTTGGGGAGGGGTCGGCTTCTCTGCCTTGTGCTGTCTCGTCGGCGAGGGATGGTAGTAGCACTGTCGAGCAATCTTGCGACGTAGGCAGCGTGAACAACTTGGCCGACCATGATCGCAGCGTATTTTTGAGCGTCGGCAAGGCTCGCACGATGAGAGCGTACCATTACGGCGGATTCTGTCGGTCATTGTCCCAGAGGTTCTTGAATGAACACACTTGAGGAGGTCTGGTGGATGTTAACAGGTTGTGTAATGAATTAGAATGCCTTGGGAGCTATTAGTACGGAGTACAGGGTGCGACTCGGACAGATCCATCAAGTATTCACAGGATCGAATCATATGCCACGTTGCATCGGTATTCTTAACCAAATGGGGTTGTGGCGTACTCCGTGAGTCCGTGCCACTCCGATGTCCGACGTTCCAGATGTCGCACACACATGTGCATGTGCACACGGAATAGTGGTGCGGCCCGCGCGGGTGCCACCAAGCACTCCAGGGCTGGCATTCCAAGATCCACTGTTTACATATGGAGTACTCCGAATATATGTACATATTGAAGAGGGGAACCGTTAGGCAGTGTATTCTAGATACACGGGTCGATCCAGCTAGCATGAATGGATAACACCAACCAACATGTACGTTGTGGCCGGACTACCCCGTAGGGGTGGGATGAGAGACGTGTAGGAGTGTGTATTCTAGACTATAACGACGGGCATTCTTGTACGTACAAAGACGGGACTGAAAACATGACAAAACAGAGATGTAACCAAACGGTAATTCTTAGCACGGTACGTGTAGTAGGGGACAGGGTACCCCACTACAATATGTACTAGTAAATGTTGGAGCACAGGGTCTATAGATCGGACCACTTTGCCCTCATGGAATGACTCTTGAAATACTTGGTAGAACTTCTCCTCGTTACATTTTCTCACATATATCATTGCGCCTATAGGCGTTATTTCCCACTCAATAGGTTCAAACAGGTGTTCAATGTTATGGCCCTCTATCACATAGGGGTTGGAGCAGTAAGCCTGACTATGCTCACCCATCTCATTCTATTAAGTGAACAGAACAAACTTGAATTGCCCTCAATCGCCAGTTAATTCTACATAACCAGCTAGGCATTCCGCAGAACTTCATAAGCTCGCTTGCAAGTTGCATATCCCAACTTTCGCGAGGTTCAAGATTGCATCCACTTCGTCTCGTCATGATCTGCAGCCGACTCTTTGTAGGGATTATTCTCAATCCACGATTTGACATCAAGCGAGATTGCAGACTGGCTGTAAAAATCTTGCAACTCTCCATTGAATTCTAGCGTGGAATGTCAGCCATTACTCCAAATTGGCGGGACTGTACTACACTTACCATCGAGTGAGAGAGGACTTTGAGGCTGAAGGGAAAAGCGAGAAGTTCCTTCACGCCAGAGTATCAATCTGGGAGATATAGGAGTCCCTAAAGGTCGTCAGCTTGCGGTGAGCCCCTCGATTCAGGATATTTATCAGCTTACCTGCTTCGATGTGTAATATTACTGGGCAAACAAGTGACTTGCCGTCCTCAATGGCTTCTTCATAACGCTCGAAATCAAACCTCAACATTTGCTGCATTGTGCGAGTATTAGGCATGAATACCGGGCCATTGGAATCTGACTATGGGTTAATTATATCAAAGCAGAATTTATGATATGCTCAGGGTCAAGGAAAACTCTCACAAGGACTAGACTTCAATAACTGGGGATGAACTAGGCCATCACTTGAGATTAAAACGGCATCTTTTGACCAACCACCGCCTTCCTGAGTTATGTCGAATAGTGATGCCTGTCGCCCATACTGGAATCGGTACAACGGGGCCGGAGTCCGATTGTGAGTCGACAGCAGTGAAAAGGTCCGCTTTAAAGATGAGTTGGACAGATAAGTCACTGTCTTCGAAAGATGAACCAACATATTGGACATAAAATGATTCCGATCGTAGGGGACGTTTCATGTACTAATCACGGCTTTCACCTAAAAGGAGTTGTGGCTGAGTGAGCTTTTAAGTTGGAGTGAGGTCCGTGTAATCGGCCGCAATGAGACCGCCTGCCTAAATGAGGATGAACCGGGGAACTTTGCCGTGAGGACGCGAAGCATTAATAATTATAGACTTTGGTGAAGCGAACTGCATTATACGGAGTTGAATTTAGTTGAAACGCAAAATATGGATGTCGGTCATTACTATTTCAAAGTTGAGTTTCCTCCTGAAGACTCGCATTTCGGCAACACTGCCTTCACTCACACGCGCGCTCTCACTCATGGCGGGGCCTGTTCAACTTGAAATAAATACTGTATATTTCAGCGTGTCGGGGACAGACCAAAGGTGATGACGTCACGCAGAGGATGTCAGCTGAACAGGGGATACCAAGTTACAGGGGACTTGGGAGGAAAGGGTAAAGATAAGACCAAAAGATCAGACAACACGGATCAGATGGAATGACATACGACCAAGCTGGATCCAAACTTAGGATGGAATGGAAGGAAAGAATCAAACAAAGATACTACTGATCCTAAAAAGATTGAATTCGATGCTCAACTAACTAAGGGGTAAGATCAGGTTTTATAGAACATTAGACTAAACAGATAAACATAAGACCAAAGGTCTCAGAACATGGGATGAAAGATCCACGGAATCCGAAATGATCAAGTCTTTCATCTCATCTTGTAACCATTGATCTCAACAACGGGGTTCGGGTTGCGAATCTTCTCGGACGAGAGAAGATGATCTTTGATCTGATGGATCAGATCAAAACAATAGCCATTCATTCCGCAACAAAATGTTTGATCGCGGGATGAATTAGTCAGCACAATTGACAGAACACGGGTGCAGAACTAGCCCAATTGGGTTAGTTCAAACCACTATTGAATGGAGAGCTCTGATTGGTCGAATCAGAATGGATCACATGACCGATCAGGTGATCTCCAGGCAGAATTTATGTGCGTAATTATCAGAATTAGAGAACCAGACCTGTTGATACATCCCATTGGCGACCGCCTACTGCATTAGACATTGTAGTCTGTCAGATGGGAACGGCACGGTCGACAGAGGCTCTGGGCGGGGCTCCGGTCGCTCTGAGAAACGTAGACCGCTTCTATCAGCTTGATAAGAACTCGTTCAAAAGCTGGCTAAGGCTTACCCGATGGGAGATATATTGGCCCGTTGCTAATCCCTATCTGAGTCCCTGAGTTAGTGGCATGGAACGATATAGACGTCATGTTCAATGGCTTAAGAACATAGTGTCGGGATCTTGGTCAATGTGCTGAATACGGATAATACGAAGTCACCCCGCCCCACCGTCAGGTGATAATCACTGGCTAAGCATCACTTATAGTCAAAGCCCTCCAACCATTGATAAATAATGGCCATTTATGTTCTACCGGAGCCTGGGAGTGGGCCATGTAACTCATAAGACCGCATCATAATGAACATATCTTTATGTCCTCGGAAAAGCCTTTCCTCTATGCCAAGTAGGTGACGATAGCTGAAAAGCCACTTACAACCCAGTGACCTAGATATAAATCCGAGTAATGAAAGAGATATGACCAGCATCAACTCGTCACCAAATGACTGTGTGCAGTATATACATGTGTATATCGGTTCGCAGTGTCGTGGATCCAGGTAGCTGTTCTGCTAAGGACAACTTTTGAGGTGGCTCACTTACACATCGCCATCCTAGATTGTATTCCCAACAATTCATCGTTAACAGCAGAGAAATTTATGTTACAAAGTTACAACACGTGGGAATAAGATCAATATTCAAATACGTCTAAAATGATAACATAAAGCCTTGACCGAACACCGTAAAGCCTAAAGTACTTCATAAACAGGCATTACTTTCTTTACCTTCTCGGCCCATTTTCCGATATCTTCCACAAAACGCCTAGCAATGCCTATTTTAATTCCTTTCTCGATGAAGAAATTTGGGTCCTGATCCTTGTAAACCTGCTCAAGGTCTAGACCATGGTCTAGCATAACGTCACAAACTTGTCGAAATGCAGATTTAAGGGCATCATTGGTGAAATTCGACATCTGCCACTCACCGTACTCCTCCACTGCTACATCTCTGGGACCAGGAATCTCCAATGGGCACATGGTCAGTTGATCAATCACCGCCTTGGGAGCTGAGCCATCTGACCCGTTGGGAGCAGCTTGGGAGGGCAGGACATTGATGATGTTGCTGAAAGGAGGATATGGTACTTCGGCCCGATTGGAGTGATCTCCTTTCTGCTTGTCCCCTTTCCGTCTTTCTTCTTCTTCCTTGTATAGTTCGTTGCGCACCACTTCTGGTACGTCATTGTGGCCCTCTAGAATCCCGTCCTTTTCAACATGGGCTATCAGGCGCTTTAAGTGATGGGTTTTCAGCGAGTAGTGCTTTTTTCCCATCGGATCCACCCAACAATGAGGGCCATGCGGACATGTCAACGAGTCATATCGCATCATATTATAGACGCTGCGCCAGATTGACCTCTCGCTCGAAGCGTCCTCCTCCGCATCGAGCTGTGCGTCCCGTTCACCGAGCATCCTTTTTGTGACAGATGATTTCCCTCTCTTCTCCCCTTTCCGGCCAGCGGATGGAGAAGAGTGGCGATCATCTACATAGTTGAAACTAATCTTCAACGTAAGTTCCTTACAGTGGAATTCGAAATCAGTTCTAACTCTAAACTCTTACAATTTAATTCCCGAACCCTAAGTGAAGACACGCTAATCTAATTTTAGCTCTTCCCCTGTTAATCCATGTAGGGCTGTATTGTATTCACTGGTAACCACAATGAGCCATTGTTATAATACCGTAATTTCTTGTAGAAACCGATGCAATCCATCGTGCAAACAGATAAAACAAAAGAGAATCCTAACAATCTGGCAAGATCTTTCATTCTCATGTCTTGCTTAGGCTATTTGTCACGCGCAGCCTTCGACCACACTCTTTTGCCAAAAGAAGGCTGTAATGACGCCATAGAGAACTTATCCTGGTACGCAACTTGTTTCTCTATATAGAGCTCTTCTTCGGTCGTGTTGGCCTTCGCTCGTTAGTTGAGGTTAATGTCTTGGGGTGGTTGGGGTGTTTTTGGTGTGGGGTGGTGTTGGGGTTGGGGTGGTTGGGGTGGTTGGGGTGGTGTTGGTTGGGGTGGTTGGGGTTGG